AAAATAGTCGATTTATTAAGAAGTAGTTTAGAGATACTTCTTTAGGACTTATTAGGTCTAGAGTTCCGAGTTAGAATTAGGAGAGTATTTAGATAAATAAATCTAATAAATAGAGTATTTTCTTAAATAGATATATATTAAGCTTAAGATTTATAGTTTTAATAACTAAAGTACTTATTAAGAATTACTAAACTACTTTATGAAATATAAGAACCCGTAGAAGTCCTTTAGATTCAGGTTCTGGTATTTTTACTCTATATTAGTATTATATAGACTAAACCTTTTTAAGGCTACGCTATAGCTAAGCCACTGCCGAGAGACCGGGCTGAAAATAAAGTAGGTCAGGTCAGCTGTACACCGTGGACGGACCTGTTCACCTCACAGGTTGATTTTAGTCGTTTTTGCAAGTGGTCAGTCGCCAGCGGCACATGGCCACAGTGGTCTCGAGACGTAGGCGATGGGTGTATCTGTCGTCATGGCGCGTGACGGCAGCTTGCAATGTGTGTTGTTGGGGTATGATCATTATCCCCTCGTGCCTCTGCAACCCTAGGAAGTATCGTTAGCTGGCTTTAGCTGCAGATGGAAGGTTATTTCCATGCGAGTCGAGCGGACAGGTCTCCGCACCGAGTCTGGCAACCGCCGTGCAAAAGGAAGCGATAAGACAGAATGATGTCGTGATTGTCGTGATTGTCGTGATGGATTCGAAACCCCCTCTTCTTATTACCTACTTCGGCACCCAAGCTGAACACACCCCTGCCAGGTCTCTCGTGCGTACCCGGTAGTCGTATGTGTTCGCTCGTTTTCCCGCCTGGTGCAGTACGTGGCTTCAGCTTAGATAACGGTGGAATTGCGTGTGGCACAGCCTGCCATCGTCAGCCTTACAGCAAAAAGGGGTTCTGACTGCATTGTCGCGATCTCGGTAGACTTTAAATAGCATGCTGACTGCTGGAACGTGGAGCATCGTGTGGGAGGCCGAGGCTGCTGAAACGCGGACCACGGAAATCATCGGGGGCAAGAACCGGATGCCTGCGACACAGGCACCCAGCAGGGCTGTTACTCGTAGGTACCTAGGTAAATTGCTGAGAGGCGAGTGGAATCAGGCGTGGCCGCGTGGGTGATTGGCCGAGCAGCTGACTTGCGTGGGCTGAAAAGCGGACAAAACCATGGCTCGCATGGCTCCTCGCTATTGCAGCTATTGCAGCTATTGCAGGCGACGACGTGATGTTGATGAACTGGTTGCAAGCGCGGCTCGCATGGGTGTGATGGAATGGGTTCATGTGTGACGGCACAGATGGATGCTGATTTGTTTGTTCAAACGTCAAGCAAGAGATCAGGAACTTTAATCACTTTGGCCGCGTCTTCTGCTGCCCATTCCAGAAGCAGTGCCTGCGGCTTTAGCCTTTGGAGGCCCCGACTAGGCCCTCGTAGGCGGTGGTGGACACTGATGGTGGCTTGGGGGTCGCGCATCTAGCCCAGAGAGGAGAAGCTGAGGGGTTCCCCAACCACTCACACGCCCCTGCCAACGCCCACTCGCAATCCACTCATTCAGGGAACATTAGTCCCCACCTGAATTTGCGAGGTACGAGGTGCACGTTCCCTTTGCCATCTCCCAATTCCACACGCCTGCGGGAGGCTGTGCACCGGCGAAATCAACGTGTCTTGCGCCTGACTCGTGCTGGGATGATCTTAGGTGGCTCCCAGGTGGCTCTCTCTGCGCCGTGGAATTCTGGGACAACACCCGTGGACTCTGTACCTCGTAATTTGCCCGCAGCTGAAAAGATCCCTGACCCTCGTCCTCTGACCGTTTACCCCCAGTGCCCCCAAAAACGCGTTAATACCAGTGACCACTTTTTCTCTTTGCTGTCTGCCTGCGCCCTGAATATCCCACAGCCTCCCTTCATCTCCTCCGTGCACCCAGCATACCTACCTAGGTACATTTTACATGGTGTCGCCTCTGCCTCAGCACTCATATTCTTCTTGAAGTCCTGATCGGCTTCCAAATCATATGGCGGCTTCCTCTCCTTTACTACCACGCCGACTGTCTTTAGTTCTCCGCACTCCTTGTCCCCGCAAATCATGAATTCTCATTGTCTGCCGACGTATGAGTACGAGTTGTCGAGGACGAGTACGCGCACATCAGACGAAACAGACGACCCTTTACTTTACTTCGAGCAAGATTCGGACCACGATGATTTCCACTCCCATTTACTTACAGGCCAGAGTGTGTCCGGCGTGGCCAAACGAGGAGTTCCCTCACAGCTCATCTCCCTAGCTCCTGCTTGGCTGCGCAAGCAGTATCTTCCACGCCGACCTCGAACGAGATCAAAACACCTTCCTCGCCGATATGGCTGTACGCCTAGATCACTCCTTCGAAAATTCGCTTTATTCTGTTACGTATTCTTCACCACCATCGCCGCCATCATTATCGTGGGAGGCGTCTTTTTCCCCGGCTACACCCACCTCCCACCCCATTATAGAGAATTAAGACGGAGGGCACAGGCCTCCGAGACCCCAGGACGGGTAAATTTGCAAAATCAAAAAGTGTTTCTGGCAGCGAGCATCTACGATAAAGGCGGGAAACTTATGGGTGGAGATTGGGCGAAAAACGTTCTAGAGCTGATCCAATTGCTGGGACCACAGAACGCATTTCTTTCGATATATGTGAACGATTCTGGCCCGGAGGCGAAGCAAGCGTTGGAGGAACTCGAGAGGCGGGTGCCGTGCGAGCACGCGTTGGTGTTTGAGGACCACTTGAGCATCGACAACCTCCCCCACATCCGAATCCATGGACAAGAACGCGTGAAGCGCATTGAGTATCTGGCAGAGGTTCGAAACCGAGCGTTGAGACCGCTGGAAGGTTCAAACACCACATTCGACAAACTCCTTTACCTAAATGACGTCGTTTTTCATCCGATCGACGCTGCCCAATTACTTTTCTCGACACACACGGTGGCCGATGGCGTCGCGGACTACAGAGCTGCCTGTGCGGTTGATTTTATCAATCCGTTCAAATTCTACGATACTTTTGCAACCAGAGATGCCGAAGGATACAGCATGGGGCTTCCCTTCTATCCCTGGTTTGCGGCTGGTGGTGACGAGACCAGCCACCAGGATGTCCTGGATGGCAAAGATGCAGTAAGAGTCAGGAGTTGTTGGGGCGGGATGGTTGCTTTCGATGCACGATTTTTCCAATCACGACCTGGCAGACCTGAGTTGATAACTGCGGGCAACCAGAGTCCAAGCAATTTCTCCACCCCTTATCGCTTTCGTGCGGAAAAGGATCTCTACTGGGATGCATCAGAATGTTGCCTCATCCAAGCCGACATTCAGAATCCTGAGCCTGGAAATTCGGGCATTTACATGAACCCTTTTGTTCGAGTGGCCTATGACTCCACGACTCTCTCGTGGCTGGCCTTTACCCGGCGTTTTGAACGCCTTTATACACCAATTCATTGGTTGATTGACCTTTTCACCAACAAACCCAATTTCAATCCGAGAAGACACGAGCAACCATGGCAGCAAGTGCAGGAGACAGTCTGGGTTGCTGATGAGAGGGCGCCCCCAAACAATGGTTCATTCCACCAAGTGATGAGGATAGCCTCCCATGCAGGCTTTTGCGGCCGCCGAGGGTTGGGAGTTATTAAGGAAAACATTATGGAAGGAGAAAGAAACTGGGAATTGGTACCGGTGCCTTCATGAATTTTTTGGGCATAGCGATGGCGTCCGGAGCGAGGCAAATCTCCATGGTGGGATATTATGAGCTCGTAAAAAGCATCTTGCGGTCGGTTCGACGTGAGCGACGCAGTTTGAGAATCAGTTGTGAAAGAAGACCTCCTTGCCTAGTGTGGAGCAAAGGAAGAAATGTAAATGTCGAAGCTGCGAAACAGCCTTTCCCACCATCTAAGTGCATACACTTTCATTGCTTTGGCCTCACATGAGGTTCACTTTGTCACTTTGTCAAATCAACTGCTAACGGCTAATGCGAGGTGATGGTGACCGCCGTTGTTCAAAAATCTCGGTGCTTTAGGAGTGAATAGAGGACGTGAATATTGGCGACCGCACCTAATTCTTTCTTTGATCACATCACAAACCACGACTGCTTTCTCCTCCCTTTCATCACTACCGCTTGCACAGCGCACAGCGCTTTCCTCGAACCGTCTCACGAACGCCAGAACCAGGTTGCCATCATGGCCAACTCGTCGCCGTACGATGATCCCGCCAACATCAACAGATTTCTACAAGTAATCAGCGGCAACTCACAGTCCGCAAAGACGGAGGCACGGTCCAACATGCCTGTGTCGAAGCTCAACGCACAGAGTCCGGTAAGTGGTACAATTGACTTACCGTGCTGGCGCTGATTTTATCAAGATCTTCTCACCCAAGGTCACTGTCGTTACCGATGGACAAGTTGAAAATGACCCTTTCAAAACAAGCAACGGCGCACGCGGTGTTGAGTCATTGCATGGACAAGCGCCTGTTCTGGCGCCCTTCCATTCTCCTTTCCCTCAAGCATCCTTCACTCAAAAGACTGCTCCGGTTGACTTGGTCCAAGATCAGAACGGCGTTGTCACCAAACCTGCAATCCCGGCAGCTGAGGAAGTACCCTCACAGAAGAACGCTAATGCCATCTCACCAACAAAGAAGCGCCCATTGACGCCGACCCAGCATAGACTGCTGGTCGGCAAGAAACCTGGAGTCGAGCACCTCACAGAGGATAAGTTGGCGGAATTGAGTAGACAGACTCAGGGTTACATGGACAATGTGATTGACCAATTCCGAAAGTCAAAAGAGCAGACTTCGGCACAGGAGCATGTTACGAGTGGTCGTGTTCCTCAGAGCAGGTTCCAGACGACGGCTTTTACTTTCGTTTGCTCCTCTTTGCCAACAGATGGGGACCATGAAGCAAACGGAGACATGCCAAACGTTGATGGAACACCAGTCAAATCTGCAACCAGCGAGAGCAAAGACGATGCGCCTACTGAGAGCTGTAAGTATATCTTATAGCAATTGCTTGAATTGGCTAACACCTTTACCAGCTGACCAGCAGGAGCACTGGCAACACAAGAGTGCCGATAGTGCATCTTGCCACACTCGTGTCGTGGATCCTGCGTTCAACAAAGATGACCAGCAGCGCTGGAACGACTGTAAGCTCGGGATCTATGCCATTTTTACAGACTTTCTGACGGGTAAACGCAGATTCAGAGAAAGTGAATGACTCACCAGAAATTGTTCCCTTTCCCAGCTTGACCGAAGGCCCAATCGCGCAAACTAGTGGCAGCGTGAACGGCTCTGGAGAAGGATGGCAAGCGTCAACAGCCGTTGCTGCGGTCAAAGACAAGCCTCTTTCGACCTCTACTCCTATTCTGTATTCACACAGCACACTCAAGAAGGAGGACCGTGAAGATGAGGCCGTTCCACCAGCAGGCAAAGCAACCGAAAACGATACTCCCTTGTCATCCACTCATTCTCCCACCATTGTGGTCACCGCCAGCACGGACACAGACGGCAGTGTCGAAGAGGACGATGACGATGACGATGACGATGTCGAGGAAGAAAATAGAGAGAATCTTGTCCGATTCAAATCGTGGGGAGCACCGGCTGCCCGTAATAAGCCGAGTAAGTCTTTCTCGATCACTCGGATCGCTTTGTCATTAATGTCCTTCAGGATCTCGTCCCCGAACTGTCATCCTCGCTGGTTTGCCACGTGGTGCTGATTTCACACTCGTCCAATCTTTGATTCACGGTGGTGCCATCGAAAGTATGGGGCTCATCGCGTCCAAGCCTGAGCACATCACAATCGCGGCTCACGTAACCTTTACCTCAGCTGATGCCTGCGATCGCTACTCTCAGGAGTATGTCAAAGGTATAGAACTCCGCTATCAAGGCAAGAAGTGGTCTATCTTCGTGCACAAGCAAGAGCAAGTTGATGTGATATCTGGAAAGTTGCAGGGATATCTAGACTGTGGAGCGACCCGCGTGGTCAAGGTGAACAACGTCGACGATGATTGGGGCATTGTTGCTTTGAATAAGCTCGCTGAAGGGAAAACTGGTACACGTCAAGTCGAGGCAGTGCAAGATACGTATCGCAATGGGGTGAGTCTGATAAGTTCTGGTCATTCACGGTTTGCGATGCGGGCTCTAGCTGACTGCTCCAACAGATCCGCACGATTGTCTTCCGCTTCGCCAACATCAGCCACGCAGTCCAATTCAAAAGCTTTCTTATTCGAGATGATGACTGGTATGGATGTCACGTTGAATTTGCAGAGGATCCATGCGAAAAGGCAACTGGGATTCGCAATGACTGAATGCTGTAATGGATGGGCTTGAGTACCCTAGCCTGCTAAGCAAGATGCAGCGACTGTGTTCGGCTCAAGACGACCTGAAGCTCTAGATTGAGTATTGTGCACATGTGAAGAGACAGTGTCAAGCAGAGAGTATGGGATTGAACCGGTATCTGGATGAGAGCTGGTATGGATATTGCTGGGTGGTGGTATCGGAGCAGAGAACAGGGACAATCAGCAGGCAAGTCTGAGGCTCACTGCTAGGTACCTAGATACTTACCTAGGTATCTAGATAGGCTTTTGAGCCAGTCAGCAACGGTGGCAGAGTCGCCCTGTACGGTATGGCGTTAGCTGGTGTGTTTAACCCGAGGTTGTGTGATGTCGCATGAGCTCATGCCCCAGGACCACAAGAAAATGGAGCTGCCCCACGTCAAGATGAATCTGCGAAGTTTTTTCTTTCTCTCATGCCCTACTCTGAGGAGTAACAGAGCTGTACACTCGGTACATACCCTCACAACCACCAAACATTACAGAAGAGCCTTCAGTGCTTGACTATAGGTAGACAAAGTCCACAATGGGTCAACCATCCCACCAGGCGTCCAACGCCATCATCTACACGACTTACGCGGCTTTCCTGTGCGCAATCATGACCCTGACCCTCTGTCGCAAAGCAAGAGAAAGACAACTAACACCATGCCCAACTAGTGTCTTCGGTCTCTTCGTCGCATGGACGCTGCGGCACCAAACGAAGGGCGAGTATCTCGCGACTTTGCGAACACAGAAGGGTACAAAACATGACTCCATCCAACCAACCTCCGAGTAGTCCGCCTTGGGAAAAAAATTCGGTGGCTGATACATTTCCTAGGCATACCTTTGGCCTTCAACTTCATCGCGTCGGGTGAGTGTGCTCGAAGAGCAGCAACAGCCTGAAGCGGCAGCAGCACGAGGGTTAGACACCATCGACTGCCAGAGCGCAACCAGAAATGGGGCGATTACATCCAGCTTTTTCGAGGTGGTACAGGACCTCCTTTGATCGATACAATACTTATGACTCGTTGGCATGCTGAGCAAAAGCTCTCCATCTGAGGTTCGTACGCTTGCATCAACGCCATTGGCTCTTGTTGCTTTTGGCCGACAGAAGATTCCGTGACTCTGCTCCTCTACTCTGATTGTCTACCTCAAACAGGTGCAGGTGGTTGAGTGGCTTTCTTTTCGACGTCAATGGCTCAAGGGCCAATGTGCAGCACTACGGGCGCTTGTGTCTGATCGTTTCTCCACCTTTCATCCACCTGGCTTCGTATTCAAGTAGCCAGAGATGAAGGTGTCGCGAAATGCTGATTACACAATGCTGAGATTGTACCGTCAAACTCGATCAAGTTAATGCTTGCGTGGGAAACGTGCTGCCAGCTTCTCCCCCTCCCTTATCCCTAAAGATCGTCCATACTAACTTGAATCTGCAACTTTCGTCAAAATAGCTTTGGGTTCAGGAATTTTGTTTTCATACCCCCAGATCTCCACCATCGCGGGTGTCCAGGGTCTTGTGGTCTACAGTCTGGCGTCCGCCTTACCACTTCTTGTGTTTGCCTGGCTCGGGCCCATCATCAGGAGAAAATGTCCCGAGGGATTTGTGCTCACGGAGTGGACACGCCAGCGATATGGAGCTATTTGTGCATTGTATCTCTCGGCCTTGACGTACGAACCTCCACTTGTTTGCACCAGTCGCTTGCGCATCTAACGCAAAATCAGGCTTATCACCCTTTTCCTCTACATGGTCGCCGAGCTTTCTGCCCTCCAACAAATCATCAATGCCCTCACTGGCCTCAATGGCCTTCCCGTCGTCATCGTGGAATGCGCCGTCACCACGATCTACACTTCCCTAGGCGGGTTCAAAGTCTCCTTCATTACGGACAATATCCAAGGCGTCATGGTCGTAGGGCTGATCGTCATCGGGTGCATCACCGTCGGCGTGGAAACCCATATCCAACACGACCTGATTGAAAAGAGTGGATACCTCAACGCAAGCCTGCTCGGCTGGCAATTGGTCTACATCCTGCCCGTGGCGATCCTCACGAACGACTTTTTCATTTCCGGGTTTTGGATGCGGACGTTTGCGGCCAAGACGGATAAAGACCTGTGGGTCGGTGTCAGCATTGCGACCGTGGCTGTCGCCATCATCCTGACGCTGTGCGGCGTGTCGGGCCTTTTGGCCGGGTGGTCCGGCGCACTGGGTGATCCGCCTCAGCAGTCGTCCATCGCCTTCTTTTTGTTGTTGGAACAGCTCCCCGCCTGGGTCGTGGGCATCGTGGTCGTCATGACGGTCGCCCTGTCCACCGCGGCCTTCGACAGCTTCCAATCCGCCATGGTGAGCACGGGATCCAACGACATCTTCCGCAACAAGTTGAACCTCTGGATCCTCCGAGCCACAGTGGTCTTGATCATTGTCCCCGTGGTGGTTGTAGCGCTCAAATCCCCCTCGGTGCTCCAGATCTACTTGATCTCCGACCTCATCTCCGCGAGTTCCATCCCCGTCTTGGTCATCGGGTTAAGTGACCGATGCTACGCCTGGCGCGGGTTCGAAGTCGTGGTCGGCGGCCTCGGCGGGATACTCACGGTTTTCCTGTTCGGGCTCGTCTTCTACAAAGGCGACGCCAGCTCCGCGGGCGCTTTGTTACTGCTTGAGGAGGGCCTGTACGCGAACGATTGGTCCGCCTTTGGAGCCTTTGTGGCTGCCCCGGTTGGAGGTCTTTTGTGGGCAGCTGGTGCCTTTGCATTGAGACTCGCTGTGCAGTGGGTGGTCGCAAGGGTTCGAGGCACTAGGTTCGACGCGCTGGATAAACCCGCGGCGCCGACGGCCAGCTTTTACACCGGGAGAGTCAGTCCGGAAGTCACGGGCGACTCGGAGAGAGAGGTCTATGCTGATGGGGAGGGCGTTGTGAGAAGCCACGTCGAAGTCAAGGGCAAGTTCTTCTAAAGAACAAAGGACAAGGACAAGGACAAGGACAAGGACTCTGAATGTGGGCGGTGCGAAAGCAAAAGAAAAAGAGTCTCATGAAACCACAACGTTGTTGAGGCCAAAATGCCGCCTGGGAGACGGGGCTTCTCTCCCTCGGCGACCCGTGACCGCCTCCATTGGTTTCCGAGGAGGAAGAGTATGACAAAGGCAGAGCGGAGGGGGAAGCGGAAGTGGAAGTCCGGCTAGATTGATTCGGTCGACGAAGAACATGGTGTTCAGCCTTTCACCACAACATATAGGCTTGTCTACGAGGTTTTGGTCCCCTAATCAACAGCGACACGATTCGACATGCATCCCATCCCCACAGTCCAGTGCTGCCACCTGCTTGGGAACAGCTTTCAACGAAGGAATGGATCAGCAAATGGATACCTACCTTACGGCTGGCAGGGCAGAATAGAGCTTGGAAGAGGGGATATGATGCTATATGTGGGGTGTCGTGTGAGAGGTTGTTGTTCATATGGCAGGTCTACCTGCACAATACATTCGTTTGGCCATTGTGATGTTGTATCTCTTGTCATACGAATATTCGCGTCCGTTGCGTGTCTATCTACTCGTTTCAATTTTCTCATCTTAAGTCTAGTATCCGTCTATGGACAGTCCGGAGCCATCTATCGCCATGAGTTCTAAGCACTGTTCTCTTAGTATGATTGTATGCAAACCCGCCCAAACGCTCGAAACATGATCCGAATCTCACTGGCCGTCTACTTTCTCCCTGAGCAGCCCTTCGTCGAGCTTGCCCTTGTCCTTCTCCTCCTGCAAGACCGGCCTGGGAAGCTCAAACCCGTCCACCACTCTGGCGTAGGTGATGCCACCGAGTCTGCCCACGGGTCTTAGGATGGCCGGATCGATCAGTGTGCGGTCCTCGTTGATGGCGTCTTCACGGACCCAGAACCTCACGCCTTCAATGATGGCGAGCACACCTGTTTTCTTGCCAGGTGTCTTGGGGGAGCGCGATTCGAATTCTTGCGTCGACAGTAGCTTGCCCTCGACGCTAAAGACGCTCTCCTTGACCCGCGAGCATTTGACGACCTCGCACTGCGCGGGTGTCAGTCCGGACACGCTCCACTCGGACAGTCCATACGGCAGATCGATGGCGCAGGCGTTGGCGGCCTCGACAAAGTCCTCGGAGATGATGTTGATGACGCACTCGCGGCTCTCGACCAGGTTCTTGAGCGAGTCTTTGGCATTGTCGAACCCTCCCGAAAACCCCACGCAGAAGATGGGCGGGTCGTGGTTGAAGAGCTGTGTGTACGAGAACGGGGCTAGGTTCGTGGATGTGCCGTCTTTGGATCGTGTCGAGAGGAAGCCCACCGGCCGCGGGATGATGCCGCTGATCAGGAGCTTGTAGTTTTGCACTGGCTGTCGGTCGGGCGCGTACGGGTCGATGCTGATGTGTTGCAGGTTCTCAGGCGTGGAAGTGGTGGATGATGATGACCCAGAACCATACGTCCACTCTGGATTGCGCGTCTTGGTGTACCGCCACGTGTGAGACTCGTCCCAGTCCGGCCGTGAGGCTTGCACTTTGCCAAAGTCGCCGTGCGGGTTGCGTTTGACGCTGGATTCGGCGTCGTGCTTCGCCTGGGCTTCCTGCGGGTTTGACGGCGCTGCTGACATGTTTTGATGGCGGCGGGCAGTCGGGGAAGGAAAGAGAAAGGATTAATCACAACGAAGTGAAGGAATTGTAATCCCTGATTGATAATAATTTCCGTAGAATTGGATTTGATGTTATTGTGATTCAAACCGGTTGAAGTTTCGACGCCTGATGTCGGTTCGGTTTTGTAATATTTGTATCTAAAGTTCTGAGCATCGAAGTCCTGACCAGGATGGGTAGTAGTAGTGGTGGTGGTAATGCTAAGCGACGCCCTCTTCGTCAGTCAATTACCAGGTAATCATTCGTGCGAGGATAAGCAGCGAGTAAGCTGGACGAGTTGTTTTTCTTTCTTCTCGGGCTCTCCGGGTAACAGCCTGTTTACCTAACAAGAGGTCAGGCTCAGGAGATGAGGCTTAGAAATCGCTGGATTGAGGAAATGCCACGCCAATATGATTTGCAGGGAGCGAGACTGGAGGAGGTGACTATTATTATGTTTGACAATGTTCTTATCTGTAAAATCTCGCATGTAAGGCCAGGTATGAACACATTGGTGGAAGGTCGAGTTCGTGGGTTTTGATGAAACTCTACGTCATGACTTTTGTTATGGATTTCCCATCATGGGTTGCATAACTCGTCTTGACCATGGGTGATTAGGGCGTTAGGCTTTTGGATACCTGCACTCTGGTTTGGATGCCCGTAGTCGAGTGTAGGCAATCCCGTCACAAGAGCTGAAACCCCCGAAACCATAGCTATGATCTCGGGTCTTGTCACAGCCTGTTATGGGCAAGATACCCTCCCCTAAGGCATTCACCCTGAGCCTCTTTACTCTCTCCTCCTTTTTTGTCTCTGGCTCCCTCTGTCGGTTCATTCCGCAATTTCAATCCGAATCTCACTTGACTCTTCCTCTTTCCTCTCGGACGGCGGGAGAAATCCACCACTCTGAAAGCCCCAAATCGATCAACACTTCTCCTTTACGGGCATCAAGTGCAAGGGAAAAGCTAGACTGGGCCATGTTGCCTCGTGAGAGGGCGTTCGAAAAGTGGAGATGAGCGCACTTTGCGGGGTCAGAGTTTACGCCGCCGTGTGCTTGCTCCTGATATGAGCGATATCATACTTGACGTGGACCGAGTAAGAGTCCAGTCGAGTCGAGTCGAGTCGAGTAGAGTAGGCAATTATTACCCTTGAGGTCCCCTTGCTTCTTCATTTTCACTTATCTGTCTGGACGTGCTTTGAGTTTGTGTGCGCGAGGAGATTATCACCACGAGATCAGTTATCACCGTTCTTACACGTTAACTACTCTCTCACTGCTGCTGCTGACAAGGTCAAATATACTGTTTCGTTTCGTTCTATAGGACCAATGCCAGCAGATTACGAGACGTACGACCTGGGCGATTTCGCCCTGCAAAGCGGCGCGACCATCCCCAAGGCTTGGATAGCATACAAGACCTTCGGCTCGTCCAGCAACCCTGCCGTGCTCTATCCGTCGTGGTACTCGGGCCTCATCTCCGACAATGAGTGGCTGATCGGCGCCGACAAGACCCTCAACCCAGACAAATACTTCATCATCATCACGGCCCTCTTTGGCAACGGCCAGTCTATCAGCCCCTCCAACTCGGACGTCGTGCCCTTCCCAGACGTCACCTTCTACGACAATGTCAAAGCCCAACACCGCCTGCTCACGGAGAAGCTAGGAATCCAACACTTGAGGGCCGTGCTTGGCTGGAGCATGGGCGCCGCCCAGTCGTTCCAGTGGGCCACCCAGTACCCGGATTTCATGGACATTTCGGTTCCCTTCTGTGGCAGCGCAAAGACATCCATCCACAACCAAGTGTTTTTGGAAGGCGTCAAGTCCGCGTTGTTGGCGGCCAAGGGGCTCAGTTCCGCCGGGAGCACCTTTGGCCGGGTCGAGAATGCCCAGGACGCCGTCGCCGTCAAGTCCAATCGTCAGTGGACCGACCAGGAGAAGGCCACAGGTCTGAAGGCCTTCGGGAGAGGATACGCCGGCTGGGGCTTTTCGCAGACCTTTTATCGCCAAAAGCTTCATGAATCTGTCTACGGCGCCAAAGACCTGGAGGGTTTCATGACAGGTTTCTGGGAAACGTGGGCTTTGTCCAAGGATCCCGAGAATCTGCTGGTCATGCTGCACACCTGGCAGGCTGGGGACGTAAGCAAGCAAGAACCTTACAACGGAAACTTCGAGGCGGCGATGAGGGCCATCAAGGCGAAGACGTTGGTTTTGCCGAGCCAGACGGATCTTTATTTCCCGTAAGTGTTGTCACCGCGGCCACCCTGTCTCTTTTTTCCTCTTGTTCGGTCTGCCCTATCTCAATACAGTCGACTTGAATACCGAGTGATTGACCGCCCGTTACTCACCATATTCTGCTTCCTGACAGGCCCGAAGATTCCGAGTATGAAGTCAAGAATATGTCTCCCGGCGTCGGCCAGTTGGATGTCTACCCGAGCATATGGGGGCATTGGGCCGGTGGGCCGCCGGGGAATATGGAGGACGTCAAATGGCTTGATGAGCGCCTTGCTAAGCTTTTCGCGGAGGCGCCCAAAAATGGATGAGGTAGAGTCGTTAGCCAGAGTAGTCTTGAATGCGCTCGTTCTCTGCCTCTAGGGTGTCCAGAGCAAAGGCAGCCAAGTTGAATTGTCTTCCCGTCCGTCCAGCGTTGGTCTTCCTGAGATGGACACTTCCCGCTGTGACAGATGCGGGCCGCTCCCGATCTGGCGCACCATCTTGGTGATTGGCGGCTTCGGTACCGCATTAAGACCCCGACGTAGCAATGTGGTGGACGGACAATTCCACCTAACAACCCCTCTAGGGCGTATAAAACCATCGATAAACGGTGCTTGAATATTGTCGAGTCAAATACAGGTAGAGACTGGAAACACCCTAAACTCGCATCAGCTTGACAAATTGAATACGGACCACCACCACCACCACCACTGGAGGTTTCTGATCCTTGTAACAACCATTGACGGCGCAGCAACAACGTCATGGCATCGACTTTCAAGGCAGTCCATTTGAACCATGAGATCCCCGACCTTTCTGGTTCCTTTGAGATCACCTGCCCGCCAGGAACCGATATCTGGGACAAGCCGCCAGCAACGCACTCGTTCAATGCGCCAATCATCTACAAAACCAGCACAGTCGGCTCATTCAAGTCCGCAAAAGTCACGGTGGCGGCACCCTGGAAAGACAAGTACGATCAAGGCGGACTATGTCTGGTCATAAAAACAAGTGACACCACTCGCTGGGTCAAGACGGGCATTGAGTTCCTCGACAATGTGCCGTTGGTCGGCACTGTGGCAAAGGATCGGTGGGCAGACTGGAGTCTCAGGCCTTTGCTAGCCGAGACCCTAAGTATTGAACACACTGCCATTGTGGAGATGGAGAATGCCAGCGACGGGAGCCTCTGGGTCTGGCTTGTCAGTGAGAGTGGGAAGAGGTTACCGTTGAGAGAAGTGACTTGGTGGGGAGATCTGCCCAAGGAGACGGAGATTTGGATTGGCGTCTACGCTGCAAAACCGGCACCACATGGAGAGAAGGACGATCTGGTTGTGACGTTTGAGGGGTTGGATATTCAGTAGAAAGGAAGGACGATTTGAGGGCGTCGTTCGCAGCTCGCTGGCCGGACGGGAGGGCAAGTCGTCAAGGGAGAATGCCTGCGATGAGCGAACCGGAAGCGCAAAGATGCAGATATCGCAGCAGATGAGACAAACAATAGAATTGAGATTCAGAAAATGGTATCAAGGAACTGATTTCCAGAGGCAAAACAATGCAATGCGGCGGAACGTCCTTTAGAAAGGACACTGAGTCCGAGTTAATGATATTATCTATGAAGGTGACAGACGCGTCTCAACTGCGGACGCGTTTTCGAAATCTCCAACCATTTCAGCCTCTGCCATCATCACCCGCTTCAAGAGAACTTCCCTAGGTCTTAACCAACGCCTCCTTCAACTACCTACTCACTACTTCCTCAGTCACTGCAGTCAGCCACCCCAGAGCAGCGGATCAGTCATTCGGAACTCTTCATCGCCTACAACCACTATTCTCTCCCTCTCGGCGCACTCCAATCCATCAGTCGTATCTCGGTCGCCCCTCTCTCCCAAACATGACGGTCGACTCGTGACACCCCTCTTTGCAACATGCCCACACGGCTTCGCAATGCCGCCGCCGAAGAGGCTGCGCATCCTCCTCATCGATATGATATACCCGGCCTTCAGTTCGATGAAGTTCTGACATGGCGCGCCGGCAAACCTATCGCTGTGGGAGATCTTCTCACGCGACTTCAGAAGCTTGCCGGCCAGCTGCGCGACTATGACCTTGACCAAGTCGACTCGCGTGCTTTTACACCACTTGCGCTCGACCTCGCAAATCCAAATCTCCTCGGCCACAAGGACAAGGGTGTGAGAGCATGGACTGTCTCCTGCATTGTAGATGTTCTCAAGATCTGTGCCCCGGATGCCCCGTTCGTCGAGGCGCAATTAAAGGTGAGCAAGGCACTTCCCAATATCATATACCTGAAGGCATCACCCCTGACAAGAGCCATAGGACGTATTCACGGTCATCATCAACTCTATTCTACCTGCGCTCGCTGATCCAACCAATGCATACAACGCGCAACATGTCTACATTCTCATTTCCCTCGCCGAGTCGCAAAGCATCTTGCTCGTAACTGATATTCCTAACAACGAAAACTTGATCACATCTCTCTTCACCACCGCGTTCGATATTGTCGCCGGCTCTGGAAATAATACTTCGGGGGTGGAGGTTTCAAAGAGCGTGGAGTACCATCTAAAGAACCTTCTGGCTGCAGTTGTTGATGAGGTTGTCCTCCCTCAGGAGGTAACGGACGTTATCATTTCCCAGTTTATGCGCGTGGACGCCCGCAATGTGCAGGACCATGGAGCCAAAGGCAAGAAACGGGATCCCCAGGACACCAAGCAGGGCACGCTGCTCCTCAAAGACTATCCTCCAGCATACAACATGGCCAAGTCTCTCTGTACCACCTGTCCCGAGAAGATGACTGCCCACATCACCCAATATTTTGGAACTGTGATTGTCGACAGTGCTAGCGGTCTCACTCAGCCTCCCCACAAACGTACTGCCTCGGATGCTGACGGCGACGATGAGGAAAGAGAGGGTCTGGCAGATTTGCGAAAAGCCCATCGTTTACTTCGAGAGTTGTGGCGTGCGTGCCCAGATGTCCTCCTGAATGTCATTCCTCAGATTGAGGCCGAGTTCTCTGCTGATTCCACGTCCCTCCGTCGGCTGGCCACCGAAACCATCGGAGATATTACTGCCGGGATTGGCATTGCTGGGCTGTCTCCATCAGTACCTCTCGATCCTGCTGCGTATCCTCTGCCATCTATCGACCGCCCAGAAGAGATCCCTGCGCAGACAAATCCCCTTCTAACTCCGGCCTCTCCCAAACCATTCATGGCGGTCCACGCCGCGGCATATCAGTCCTTCCTCGGCCGTCGGAACGATAAGTCATATGCTGTTCGTGAAGCATGGGCTAATGCCGCTGCTCGAATCTTGCGCACGTCGGCTGGAGGGATCGGGTTGAATCCGCAAGAGCTCGAGGACTTGCTTGCCGGCTTTGCTCAGATGCTTCGCGATCCAGAAGAGCGTGTGCGCCTAGCGGCTATTCAGTCCATTTACACCTTTCACTATGCGAGCATGATCAACATTCTGGGCGCAGATGGCGGCCTGGCGAAGCAGCAGACTGTGTTTTCTTCGTTGGCTGAACGCGCTATTGACCGAAAGCATCACGTCAGAGAGGCAGCGATCGAATTGCTCGGTCGGATTTGGGGAGTAGCCTCGAGCGATATCGAGTCAGGCAATGAGGTGGTCAAGAGCATTTTTGGAGACATCCCAAACCGCATATTTGGCGCTTATTTCACCAACGACCCGCATGTTCACGCCGTGATTGACAAGGTTCTGTATGAAAGTCTATTGCCGCTTTCTTTTCCACCATCGAAAATCCAGGTATCACGCACAGAGAGCCAGAAACAGCGAGGCAGAGATAAGGAGGGTGGTTCACCAGAAGAATCGGTGTTCGATCCTGATGCTGTCAGAGCGCGTCGCATTCTAGCACTCGTCCAAAGCTTGGATACAAGACCGCGCGCGGTATTTTTCAGCCTCCAAAATCGACAGGTGCAAATGGGCAAAGGTATGAGGATGTTCCTGGAGACCTGTGAGAAGTACAATGGAGGCGTTCTGGAAGACGACACATCAGAGGCAGCGCTCGAGGAGCATCTCACCCGCATGATCGAGCAGCTCTCAAAAAGCTTCCCTGAACCACCCGAGTTTTCGGCTGATCTCTGGAAATTCGCGAAGCAACACAATCGTCGATGGTATCAATTGATACGATTCGCCACCGGTCCTGAGCATGATTATCGCACAGTCACCAAGGCCATCAAGGAGCTCATCAAACGCATACGCGAGACTTCTGGGGGAGTACAATCACTCGTTGATACGATTCAACCGCTCTTATACCGGTGTGCTTTGCTTGCCTATAACCGAAGTCATGTGCCAGCGATCATGGCTATATCGCGGACCGATGAGGGCGGTTTGGGTGAGGTAGCTCACGAGGTTCTGAAAGAGATCTCTGCTCGAAATCCGGAAGTGCTCAAGTACCACATCCAGGCGCTGTGCAAAGAGCTCGAGGACGAGGCACCATCAGCTACCAAACCTGAGCAAGACGGTGTGCCTGACACCCTGAAGGCATGTGCCGCATTTGCTCGAAAATATCCTTCAGAAATGCCCAAAGAGCGCAAGTTCCTGACTGCGTTAGCACAATTTGCTTTGTTCTCGAAATCGCCACGGGCAGCGAAACACGCCGTGTCCATCATCATGATGGCGGCAGACAAGAAGGAAATGTATGCAAAAGACCTGCTGTCAAAGGCGCTGGCAGGTGTCGAGTCTGACGATCCTCATTTCCTTGCCCGCTTGGCTACTATAGCGCAGGTCTGTCTTCTCGCGCCCAACGCGGCAGGCGTCGACTCGGATGCCATTGGCAAGCTTGCGCTCTCAGGGATTTTGCTGAAAAACAAGTCGCCTAGTAAGATGAATGATCCGAATGCGTGGGATGATAGCCCAGATGAAGAGACAAGAGCCAAAGAATTGGCACTGAGAATCCTCGTCAATCGCTGCCGCGCCCAGGACGAAACTGCGGAAACCGACGAAAGCGCGGCATTAGCCAAACAGACATTCAAGCATCTCATTGTTTTGATCAAGAATGAAGGAGAAATAACGCCTTCGAACGATACGCCACCCGCACAGAAGAACCGGCTCAGACTCACCGCTGCACATCTGATATTGAAGCTCTGCAGCCACAAAAGAAAGTTTGAAGACTTGATTGACCCTCAGGCGTTCAATTCAATCGTGATGATCATAATACATCCTCCTAATCCGGTGCGGGCTGGATTTGTAAACTCTCTGAAGAAGTATCTAGGTCTCAACCGCCTGGCTCACCGGTGGTTCACGGCCCTCTTCCTCCTAGCTTTTGAGCCAGACCTGGAGCTGCGGGCGTCAACCATTACGTGGATTCGAGCGCGGGTGCAATTCTTTGCTAGGCAGCGGCTTCAAGCAAGTTCGACGGAAAAGAAAATGCATCAGAACGTAATGGAGTCAACATTTTCACGTCTGCTCAGTTTACTAGCCCATCATCCGGATTTTCCGATCGAGGATAGCGACGAATTTGACGGAGATTTGCTCGATTTCGCCAAATATATCGTCTTCTACCTTTGGGCAGTTGCCACGGAAGACAACCTCTCGTTGATATTCCACATTGCACAACGTGTAAAGGGTGCCAGAGACAGTGTCGTTGGTACGGACGATGCAAGTAAGCGATTGTACATTTTGAGCGATCTGTCGCAGGCGGTCATCCGGAATTACGCAGACACCATGCCAGCGCGTGCAAAGGGGGTCAACTTACTACAGACATGGCCCGGCAAAGTCAGCCTCCCTCGGAATTTGTTCAAAGCACTTCCTAGTCACGAAGCCGCGCAGGAAATTGCTGAGAGGAATTATTTACCGGAGGATGTTGCTGTTGGACTGGAGAAGATGATTCGGACGTATATTAAGGAGTTGAAGAATGCGGGCCACCCAGCTAAGCGCGCAACGATCGCCGAGAGGAAGCGGAAGAGCGACGCGGCGATGCTGAACGACGAAGACGATGGCGGTGAGGGGCGAAAGAAAGCGCTGAAGAAGCAGAAGAAAAGCACTCTTGCCATCCGCAAAACACCCAAACCGGGGCGCAAGAGCTCTGAACTTGCCAGTAGTCCGACCTTGCCATCACGGAAGAGCACTCGGGGTTCCCACGTGGTGTCATATGCAGAGTCTGATACAGAGGACGGGGATATGGAGATGGAAGACACAGATTCCCGGACCGGTAGTCCACCGGCTCGAAGAAAGAGCAAGAGAACGAAACGAGAGCTGGACGAAGACCAGGATCAGCAAGCAGATGATGGTGACAACCACGACGATGAGGAAAGGCGCGAGGGCGACGAAGAGCGGGACAACGCCGAGATGGAAGTTCACGAGAGAGACCCGGACGCGGAAGTTCATGTCCACGAAGATGAAGATGCCACCGCTATTAGCGCAAACGAGGTTGAGATGGCAGCAACAGAGGACATATCCCCACCACTGAAGGAAAAGAAGAACACGGTCGGTGGAAAAGTGCGGCAAGGCAAGAAAGTCGCGGCTAAGAAGACCGCGACACCCAAGCAACAGACAGAACCGGAAGTACGGACGACCCGGCAGACGAGGAGCACGAAGACGTGAGTTACGGGAACGAGCTGGCGGCATTTCATCAACGGGAACATACCGAGTATCTTGTAGGGGCCTCGTGTAGCATTTTCGGGGAGGTTCGTGTGCTGCATCGAGCATGGAAGATGGGCTAAGCATACCACGAACATGGATGATACGGATGACTGTACTGGAGCTATGAAAAGTCTACAAGTACAAGTAATTTAGCGGATGATGATACCAGACACCGACATACCCCCGACATAGGCAGCGCAGTGTTCGAAACTACGTACCCAAGGTACCTAGGTAACAATCTACTGTGGCTTTCAATAGCGGAGGATGGGCGTCTGATAACAAGCACGGACACGCCGGACCAAACTTCGGCCCACTGCCATCTTCATCAACGGACATGGCCCTCTCCTCATGTTTCACAATATACGAGCCTTGAGCCATTCCACATCTGGACCAACAACATCTCCTGCGTCGGTTTCTTTCGTCAATCAGGCATCAATGACGGGCCCTACTTAACATGTGTCGGCCTCCTCCTGCCATGCTTCGTTTCCCAGAACTGGCCCCCTTTACAGGTGTTTATCTGAGCGACCCAAGCAGGGCATTCTCATTCTTCCAGCTGGAAACCCTCACAGCCTAACCATCATGCCGGCACTGTCGTCAATCGTTATCGACGCCCCTCCCCAAGATGTCTGGAATGTCCTCGTTGACTTGCAGAGCTGGCCGGACTGGAACACCTGGTTTTTGTCCATGCGTGCCCACTCAACCCCCCTCGAACTTGGTACGCTCGTCACTTTTACAAATCGCATGTCTGATACCGCGAAACCGGGGGTTTACACAACACGCATCACCACTTGGAAGCCCGAAGCAACCGAGTTTGCGTGGAAGGGTGGCCCAATGCCCCAATGGCTGGGATGGATTGTGAGGGGCTACCATTGGTTCAGACTTGTGGCGCAAGACGATGGGAGGACGACTCTTTTCGATCACGGTGAAGACGTGGAGGGCTTACTGAGTGTGTTGGTCCCCGACAGTATGGTGCAAGATTTGGTCAAGCAGTTGGAAAAGTTCAATAGCGAATTGAAGAGACGGGTTGAAGAAGGACCAAAAGCCACCGCGACTTGAGAGGAAGAGGAAAGAGGAGGGACCGAAGTGACACGGAAAGAGACGTCTGCTGCTTTTTTCAAGGTGAAAATGCTTCCACTGCTCCAAGTGATGTTCATTCCTACTGACTGAGACAAGTTCAAAGTGATTCCTTTTGTATATTTACATTCCTGGCGATCTGGTGCACTTGATACACTTTGCCTTTTCAATACCCTATAGCCGTTCAACCTCACAACGACTGCTTATATCCTTTAGCACTCCAAAAGTCTCCATGGACGGCTTTGTTTTATATCCTCGTACATCAAGCATCTCAGGTGTCTCAACATGCTTTACAAACGAAATAACAAGCGTTTGTCTTGTGAATCTCGCAAACCAAATCAAAATTGGCTGGAACGGGTATTATACAGATACCCATGCCTTCTCTCATGGAACTACCTGGTGTTGCCATTGTTGCAGCAAACAATTTGATGTTGTTTGGTTCAAGCAACCGCCCTTGTTCGTCTTGCTGAAGTGTGTTAGGTCAAGCCTTTTATCAGAGCTATATGTCACCTTCTCCCTCTTGTGGCTATCCTTCTCATCACTCAAGTCAACAAGATGTCTCAACACCACCGAAACTGGCCCAGACGCCCCACTCGAAATGAAAATGCTGGCCGGGGACAATCGATACCCCGGACGAATCCACCCTTCGGTCCTGGTGATAGTCGATCAGACAACCCCGCTTCGAGTCATCAATCTAATGCCAGCCGGGCGAATACTTGGGAACGTGGTAGACGAGGATCCTCACAATCATCTCAGCGCTCGAGACATTCGCACCCAGGTCCTAGTCCGAGAGGTGGTCGTTCTGATACACAAAACGTCGACATTCCAGGGAAACAGCTGTTGGCCAACCATTTCGCCATTGAACTAGGCGACTACCGCCAAATCTATTCTTATGACTTGAAGATCAGCAGATTGGTGGATAACCAAAGCCAAACACCTGGGTCTGGAAGTGCCGATGCTGGTGACCAGAAGCCGCGCAAAATTGCAAGACAGAAGAAGAAACGACTTATCCACCTCCTCCTCGAGCGGCTCAAGTCGGAAAAGAGTCTTCCGGGTCCTGTTGCTACTGATTACTTGAAGCTGTTCATCACGACGAAACAACTAAATGAAGATGCCACCTCACGCGAAATCAATTTCTACGACGAATACTCGGTTGATCCAGGCAGTGGTCTTGTCCCAGGCTGTGACCGCTACCGAGTGGACTTCGAGAGGCCGAAAGTGATCTCTTTGGACAATCTTTTTGCGCACTATCGTCGATCGCCACAATCTCAGACAGCTGTCGCACAGCAATCGAATGAAGCTCCCACTGATGCAATCAACGCGCTAAACATCATCTTCAGCTATTTGCCTTACCAAAAATGCTTTTCAAAGGATCACCAAGCGAACCTTCCCTTGATGACTACGGTAAAAGGGCAGACGTTCTACGGCATTGCTCAACCTCCTCCTTCAGAACTCGTGTCAACAGAAACCGGAAAAATGCTTGACAACAGCGGTGGCCTCTACAGCATTCCAGGGTTTTCGAGAAGCGTCCGAGGCTCATTCGGCTCGTCGGGGCACGTGGATCTCAACATCTACATCAAGACAGGCTGCTTTTGGCAGCATGGGAGTGCCCAAGATATGATTCAGGCCTGGATCACTCAGAATAGCCAGAAAGGAGGCCCTAACCTGCATGCTCTTCAAGATTTCTTGCGCCGAACACCGGTAAGATTGACGTTCGAGGAGTCAGGACTTGATCGATTCTCTGTGATCAAAGGTCTTGCGCGCGTCGACCAACATCCAAGCGCCGACATCTGCCAGATGCAACGTTTCGACCAACAACATCCTGGCGGCTCAGTGAAAGACTACTTCTCCACGAACTACAATTGGCAGATGAATCGTGATGTGTACGTTGTCAAGATTGGGAAACTGTCACAGAAAGGATACATGACGGTCCCAGCTGACCGGCTTCAAGTCCTACCCGGGCGGATCAAACCGAGCGAGATACCCCAGCGTTCGACTCGATACCCAGATGCAAACTATAAGATGATTGTCAACGACGGTAGACGCACGTTCTATCCGACCGACCGTGCCGAAGGTGGAGAGGGAGCGGCAGCTTTTCGCCTGAAAATTGATTCCAAGATGGCCGCAGTCCCTGTGACGGTTTTGGCTAGGCCGAATCTTATGTACAAAGCTCGGGGGAACCGGGGGCATGACAAATACATCGATGGAGCGTTCATCAACGCTGGTCAATGGAATGTCCGAGATGCAGCCTTTGTCAGACCAGCTTCCGGCAAGAAGTGGTCCTGCGTTGAGCTCACCGCGAAGAACCAGCGATCGAAATGCTCAGAACAGGGATTCAAGCATTTTGTGGACAACCTGGAGAAAGCATTTCCACAATACGGCATGGAGGGATTCGTGTGGTCGCCATTCAACCTCCAGGGCCGTTACACCGACGACGACCTGTTTCCGACGTCGAAGACGGCCTCGAGTTTCCTAAAGCGGGACTCTGCCATCGAAAAGCTGCTCAAAGCTGTCAAAGAGAAGGGAGTTCAACTTGTCGTGCTGCTTCTCCCGTCCCATGACCTGGAACTCTACGGTTCCATCAAACGAGCCGGTGACCAAAGTGTCGGAATATCCACCGTTTGCCATGTGCTTCGACACGATAACAGGGTAAAGGCACTTTTGCCCAAAAGCCTTCCGCTGCGTGACAACGGGACCAACGACGACTTTCTAGCAAATTTATGCATGAAAATCAACTTGAAATCTGGTGAGACCACCGTCAATCAAGCCTTGCGCGACAATCCAAAGATTCTATCACCCAAAACGATGATCCTCGGCATTGACGTGGCACATGGAGGCGGACCAAGAAAACACTGCCCCAGCGTTGCAGCCGTGGTTGGCAGCATCAATGCAGAGTTCTCGCAATGGCCGGCAAGTCTGTTGGCGAATCCATGTTCTACGAGGGATGATGAGGAAAAGGAGGCAAACGAGAAGATATTGGATCTAGACGTTGCTGTGTACCAGCGACTTCTGGACTATTACGATCGGAACCATGGCAAAGATTCAGAAGGGCGAAAGGACAACGGCATTCCGGAGCAGATTATCGTTTACCGAGACGGGGTATCCGAGTCCCAATTCGAAATGTGCAAAAACTACGAGTATGGCAAGATCGGCCAAGCCCTGAGCAAGCTCTTCCAACAAAAGGCTTTGCCTGTCGAGCTTTTGCCCAAAGTCACCCTTATCTGTGCCATCAAGCGACACCACACTCGTCTATTCCCGGATCCCGATGGCCAGGACGAAAGTATCTTGTTGAACCCGAATGGTGGTAAGAGCCCCGCCAACAAAAACCCACTGCCAGGCTGTGTGGTGATGGACCGCATCACATACGGAGAGGGCAACGACTTTTTCCTCGTCGGCCAGAAGGCCATTCAGGGCACAGCCAGACCGGTGCATTACAACGTCCTGCAAAATCCACACAACTACGACATCCAGGACATTGCCAGGATGGTGAGTTTGGTTGCCGCCCCCCTCTCTGATCGAACAATTGCTAACAACTGGTTTGTCTGAACCCAGACATACCATCTGTGCTATCTCTTCGGCCGCTCGCGCACTTCGGTCGGACCATGCACGCCCGTCTACTACGCCGACCTGGTGGCCGACCGCGCGAGGTGTTTTGTCCGCCAGTTCTACAATCCTCCGCACGACGACGACAACCCGGTCCGACCATTTGATGACAGCGAACTGCCCGCGTTTAGGCGCTGCCTCCAACTTCACCCCGACATTGAAAAGACCATGTTCTACATTTGAACACACGCTGAGGTTCTGGGGGGGTCTTTGCTGTGATTTTTGTCGTTTGCAGTGATCGACGGACATGTTCCTGGCACTCGGGGTATTGTCGTCGACATTACGTGGCGTTTTTCGGTCCCCCCTCCCACCCATTTTTTCCTTTGCCAAACACATTGCTGGAACTTGTTTTCCTATTCTTTCTCCTTGATCGGTTTTGGGGCTTTTAGTATTCTTGGGGAATGGAAAGTACCTGGCTATGGCTACCTTTAGGCAGATGGATAGATTACTGGATACTTGATAAACTTCGTGCTGGCCTTTTTGTTCTCAAATTGCATTGCTTCGCCTGTACAGTACATACATCAACAACAATCATTCATTCTCCACTGTGTCTCTCTCTCAGCTTGTCTGTCCGTCTGTCTGTCTAGAATTCAAAAACATCCTCCCCGACCCTCTCCCTGACCATGACGACCCAGTCCCTCACGCTATCCTCGACATTCTCATCATCATCCTCGAGCATCTCATTAACGTAAATCATAGTCTCGCCGGCGCCACCGACCGCGACGCCACCCGCACCAGCCTCTGCCGCCGCCGCCGCGGACTGCCCGCCGCCCAAGACGACGTTCTGCAACCACTCGTCCCCGACATGTTGCGACTGTGTCAGTGCGATCTGCGCGCGAATACTGGCCAGGCGCACGCCCGCAAAGGGACTCCGGCGCAGTTGACACAGCTGGTGGTTCAAAGCGTGGTGGTGCGAGGGCACGTCTTGGACGGCGGTCGCGAGGGAGATGATGCATGCCATCACACTGTCCAGAACCGTGGTGTGGAGAGATGAAGGTGAGGGTTTGGATTTGTGTCTGTGTTTGTTGCTCTTGGGTATGCTGGATTTGGATCGGTGGGGGGACGAGGCGAGGAGACCGAATTGTCCGACGAGGAGATCCGCTAAGGGCTGGAAATGCGAAGGAGAAGTGAAGAATCCGTCGGCGTCGTGGGTTGCGATTGTCGTTATTAGAGACAGGGTTGATTTGTACAGCTCTAGCCCACTGTCAGAGGACAGGTCAAGGTTGTGGCCACCGGCGTTTCGGTCTGCGTCTGCCGAGTTGGAGGTCGACTTTGTTGCAGGGACACTATTGTTGGCCGCGGACTGCAAAACGTCGTTGACCGACGGGAGGAGGTAGCTCGCGTAGCTCGTCACGATACTCTTCAGCGTGGCAAAGAAGTGCGTGGCGAAGAGGTAGAAGCTGGTTTGTCGCGCCATCTGCAAGTCCCCTTTGGTAGAAGAGGAAGCCTCAAGAGGACTTGTTTTGGTTGCCCACTCGACCCATCCCTCAAAGATGGGTCGGAAGGTCGTGTCGTTGAGTTTGTAGATGAACACGATCCCCAACTCGTGCAACCTCTTTTCCACATTCTCAACGTCCGATGCAACACGCGCCGCTTGATCTGCACGGTTGTCTCTCTTGTCTTGACTGAGCCGCCGCAGGTCCAAGACCTTCAATATGAAAGCCGAGATCTCATCCGCGGTACCCACGACGGTGGATTTCTTGTTCCGCTCAATCGCCTGCGAAAGCATATCCAGATACTCGGCGATCGCTTCTCCGTCGATCTTGAGCTTGTCGCCTGAGAACGAGGCCACCACGGTCAATTTCCAGGCGCTGTTCAAGCTGCTCACGACCACTCCCAGATCCAATCGCTGCGCCATGAGGCTCAGCATCTCAAGTCGGGCCTCCTTGCGCGACGCGGCCTCGTCTGGTCCCGCGATGCACGAACGGTAGGACAGAGCGAGGATTTCAGCCACACTTTCGTCATCGATCATGTAAGGGGTGTGCGTGACAAAGGAGGAAAGGAGTGTGAAGCCAGCGTCGTGAAGTTCCACGCCCGTGCGCCCTTCTTCCCTGGTGGTACTGTTTCCGGGCCCCTGTCGCGGCGTCAAGAACGACTTTAGGAGATGCAACACTTTAGGGAGAGCTTGCACCACGATCGGGACTGCCCCTTCCTTGAGCACCTCTGTCGTACTGGCAAGGCAGAGCAGAGACATAATCCTTGTCCTTTCATTCTGGGAATCCAGCCCGGAGTCGCTCGCGATCAAGGCGGAGGATGCGCTGATGACGTCTTCGGGTTTCTTTCGTCCGTAGACCTCAATTATGCGATCGAGACATGCAATCGCCGCATGCCTGAAAGCCTCGTCATTCGTGGTGCGGATAATGTGCTGGAGGGTAGGGAGAAAGTTAATCGCCTCGGCCTGTGTCCTGGTATCCCTTGAGCTTGGAGCACTATGTTGCAGTTGTGTCGCAAGAACTCTGAGCGCCAGGGGTTGAAGTTCCCGCTGACCACCTTCTCCGGACTGGACCATGTCGTGCAGTAGATTGGGCATGAGCTTGAGTAGGTCGGCGAGCGAAGGTAGTTCAAGGAGCGAGCTCAAACACTTCCTCGTCGACGGAGTCAAATTGCTGTGGCCGTCGGACTTCTGGGATCTGAGCATGCTCAGGATACGGGTGATGCAGACTTTGAACTCGGCCCAGAAGGTCTTATTTTCGGCTTCGTCGGATTTTGAAAGTCTCTGCACCTGCGTCTTCAGACTCTTTGGCTCGAGGAGCTTCGAAGCCACTTCAAGGAGGATCAGTGCTTCTTGCTCTCCCTTCTCATTCGAGCTCGTCCGGCTGATGTCTAGTAGTGGAACGGCGTCGTGGGGATCCTCAGAGAAGATGTCAATACTTAACCCGATAAGTTTTCTAAAAGTCAGCAGCTGAGTCGATGCCGGAAGGTCAGCCATCAAGCTGGCAAAGAACGAAGACATATCCTCTGGATGCCGCCTCGACGCAAGAAGGGCAATGACTGCAAACGCGAAGTCGTCCGCACCAAGTCTGCTGAGCAGCCGCTGGTAAAATGCGGCTCTCCGATATTGGGGGACGTGGTCGTATGCCGTGACGAAGCTGGAGAGCAAGCTTGAAGTCGAATGAACAAGCTTTTTGGCGTCTTGCTTTTTCAACGTGGCAACCAGAGGAGGGATTATTTCGTCGATAGCTCGATTCGTCACGTAAATTGAGCGCTCGTCGTCCTTGGATAATATGCTTTTACCCATGAATGTGAAGATGGGCATAATGCTGTGCAATATCCGATCTGGAGCCAAAGACGCCAGCGAGGAAGAGAGAAGCAGGGCAGTGCTTTGGACCTGTGGGTTTTCCGAGGATCGAACACAATCGGTGACCAGATCGGTACGAATGCTTGAGAAGTCGATGGTAGGCCTTTGTGACAGTCTTGCGTTGTCAACGATGGCTAATATGCTGCTGAGGCAGAGGTTGAGAAGGTAAGGAGATTCGGACGTGCCCTTGTCCTTGAGCCGTCGGAGGATGATCAACATCTCGAACAAGCCTCCCAGCAGTTGTGGGTGGTTTTGCGGTTTGGAATCTTCGACGAGCTCCAGCGCAAGCGTCAATCTTGCCTCGCTGATATCCAACTCAATTGCCAGATCCGTTGGTATGCTTTCACGCCCATGGCTGACACGACGTCTTTTTCTGGGTGGGACATCTCTTTGCATCTCGGCGAGACCGGCAAATGAGTGGTCGAGTATCGCAGCGAGAATCTCGGTCGAGAGGTTGACCGTGTGTAGAACGCGGCGACTTCCAGCAGCTTGAACTGTCACTCTAGAGAAGGACATGTCAAATAAGCGCAGAGCAGCCGAGATCTGTGAATCGTTATGCATATCCTTCCAGATAGCAGCAATTCTATCGAAAAAGGCGTTGACAAGAGCAGTGCGCGGCTGGACTTTATCTTCGACCAGCATTGTAAGAATATGCTCAACCGCCTCCTTGTCCCGTGCATTTACCAGGCGAACCATCACAGCATCAATTTGATCCAAGACAAGTCCCTCTGATGAGGCGGCATCTGCAGCATCATCTTCTTTCAGTGGGGCCCAGGCCTCGAGAATGGGCAGCAGGGTTTTACTGGTGCTTGAGGTACCAAGTTTGTGGACGTCGACGAGCAGGTCGAGGATACCTATCTTGACTCGTAGCAAAGGACAACCTAGCGCACAGCCAGTCAAAAGATCATAGAGCGCATGCTTCATGCTCTTCTTAAGTTCAACGTCGCCAGCTTTTGCTGAGGGCGTTCGGTCATGCCTGTCAAAGGCAGTTTGAAGAACTCTGCGTATGTAGGAGGGATCCAAGATGCATTCTTCCAAATAAGGCAAGTAGGCTTGAGCAAGAATCTTCGCTGCTTGTGTGGACAATAAGGGTTTGACGTTTCGCATACCAAATGCATCGTACACTGTTTGGACCGGGTCTTGATCACTGCTCCCTTCTTTTGAGACAACCTTATGAATAGTCACTGTACAGGCGACGGCTGCTCGCCGTACGGGCTGGCTATTGTCCGAAAGCAGGACAGTGATGTAAGGAATCAGCGCCTCCGAATGGTCCAGTAATCCTTTTTCGATGACTTCTGAGAAAATTTGAAGAGAAGCACTGCGATGAGCGGGGGGGAAAGGTCCCAGGGCCACTCTCAATAGGAAGCTGGTATGCAAATTAGAATTCTTTCCTTCTTGCTTGTGCCACAGTGGAAGTTGTTCAAATCGTTCCAAGAGCCGCCGGTCCTTGTGGCATAGAGCGAAAGTTCGCGCAAGTCGGTCGAACAGCAGGGAGCGATTCCCAACAATGAGGAACGACGACTCAATAGTCTCGGAAGGCAAGGATGCAAGCATCGCCTCGGCCCCCTCTGAGCTCTGCATTGACTCGTCGTCGGGAAGGTCAAGTTCCATAGGCGTGTGTTCAATGAGTGGTCGCTCGGAGTGTTGGATGGTCTGCTGCAGAAGATCTTCTACCTCCGACTGAGAGCGGCCGGCTAAAGATATCGCCTGAGGCAAAGACGCCGAGAACTTGGAAGAACTAGCCAACGTCTGGAGCAAGCGTACTAGCCGTGTCCAACAAGTCGACTCGGGTGGAAATGCGGCATCTGTCGAAGAAAGCTTTCGAAGCAAAATGGCAATGAGCCGACTTTTTGTTGATGATGCGAAGTGGTCTTCAGCAGTGTCAAATATACGTTCGACGAACTGCACTCTTTTGTGTACGTTCTTTTCCTTCAACCCGGAGAGCCCTGAGCTGATCATGGCCTCGAACAACGACGCCAAGGGTACCAGCTTCAGTAGTTCGGATAGCCGCCACCCTAAATCGTCGGTGCCGATGAATATGTCTAGAACATCTCTTGGAACTCTCATGTCGGTCTTCTTTGTGACCAGAATAGCTAAACATGCCAAAGCTGACCTAGAAATAGATGCTTCGTCGGCGACGAATGGCGCAATCGACTTCATCAAGGAGTCAATGACATGGTCTTCGACATCTGCGCTGCCGGCCAACACGAGGACAATCGTGAAACAAGTGAGCGTAAGTTCTGGGATGTCTTTGATTTCAAACGCTTCATTGAGCAGCGGTAGAATCTTCATCAAAGCATCTTCCGTCCGCTGTCTCTGCACTTCCTTTCTCCCATTTCTGACCTGGCTCAATCTTCCAGTAATGGCTTCGACCACAACGCTGCCCCAGAACCGTAAGAGCTGTGAGTGAGCGGCACCTTCCTGGCACGCATTTAAGGTGTAGTCGTTGAAGAAGGAGAAAAACACTTCGTTGTGAGTGGCGCTGTAAATGACAGTATGTCGAGGAACAATGGCTGCTTCTCTGTGATATGGCGCCAGAAATTTCCACCCATTGACAAGCTTGTCGATGGGAATGATGCTCAATATAATCCGAAACACTGATGTTTCATGGTACGGTAAAAATGTGGCGAGAAGAAAATCCGTGTTGTAGACATGGACGCGAAATCTTCGCACGAGCCATTCCACTGCTTTCAAGCCAGGGCGAAGGACCACCTTAGATCCAAGGAGGCTAAGGCAGCGATCCAACACGAGCCCCAGCGCTTCATTTTGTGGCTTGCTGAGTTGCTCTCTGTCCTGCGTCTTGGACTGGGCACTGAAGAGGTTGTGTTCGAATTCGTACAGTCTATCGTCCAGCAGGCAAAGCTCTTGGAAACCTTCCACGCATATTTGATATATCGTCTCCCAATCTTGCTTGACGGCAACACTACGGTCGAAAATGAGAGAATCGGCATGTGCATCTCGTCGGGCCCGAAGATCGAGTTCGCTCGTAGAGTTCGCGGCTATGGTGCGCAGCTGCGCAGCGAAGGTGGAGGTCATTGCGGCTGCCGCAAAAGGAGGGTAAAGTGGTTAAAAGGTGATTCCATGGGCAAGAGTCCAAAAGCGACCAGCTGCAAAGATATCTTCACAGTCGTTAGAGCTTGGTTGTTGAAAACTTCGCTGTTAATCCAGCGGCGGCATGCGACACAAAAAAAAAGTTGGAGGCAGTCGGACATTGCGGGGATAAAAACTACGCCAAGTGAATTCAGTTTTTTCAGCCTTGCAGCCTGCAGCCTTGTCCCCTGTACCTACTATTCTTGTTTCCATGTACCCAGGTACTGAAGCAAAAGGACTACAGAAATGTATCTGTTATGTCAAGACGCACCCGTATACCTCTATCTAGCATGGTCTCGTAGACCTGTCGGAGTTTGGCATTGCCAATTGCGTTTCTCAGCGCTGGCTGCGTAAATCCCAGCATGCATAGTTCTTTCGACCATGGGCAGGCCCGTAGCGACGCATACAAGGATTGCGTCGCCATTGCTGCTTGTCCTTGAGCTTTCTCTTCAAGCCTCATGGATTCTTTTCCCCTTAGGTCCGAAGTGTCATGGAACTTGATCAATGATGTTTCCCAGAGAACGTATGTTTTCCATATTTGAAGACTGTCGTGCCCAGAAGATCCCAGCTGAGTCACACGTTTGAAAGCCGAGCGAATGCTGTGGTTTGTGCTCCCGCTGTACGACGGTCTGTTGAGCTCGAGCATCAACTCATACACGCATGGAACAACACTCTGTTCGATTTGCACATCTCCATGTCCATCTTCTTTGGAGTCGACCTGCCGCAGCCGGTCAAAAAGTCCGGCTTTCTGAAGGAAATAATAATGTAGCAGCGAGAGGTTGAGGTTGTCGGGAAACGTTTCTTTCGAGTCTTTCAGAACGGAGAGGAGTTCGCGCGGTCTAAAACTCCTTCCGAACGTCACGGAATGAGCGTAGATGAAGCGAGCTCGGTGCTCGTGAACAGCTTCGAGCACTGAAGAAGATACTGTCGACAGACCCGTTAAAGATATGAGAGATGCATGGTATATCTGCAGGGCCACTTCAAGCGACAGGTCAGCATTGAGGTACCTATGAAATGCAAGGACGTCGATCAGCGCCGGTAATTGCTCTGCTGGCTTCTGAGAGCGGCCCTGGTCGATGTGCGTCTTGATGTATTGCTCGACCTTGATCTGCATGGCAGCAGACGGTTCATTAATGGTTTCGATCTCTTTTCGAAGCCGAACTAAGTCCACCTGCTCCTCTGTCATCAGACTTAGGAGAACCCTAGCGTGATGAAATTGTTTTCGACACATGTACGAATATGCCCAGTCCCGCCACAGAAGGAATGAGTCCATTTGCACATCTTGGCTGAGCGAATATCGCATCGACAGTGCAGTTGACCAAACCCTTTCAGCGGCTTCGAGGTTGCCCAGCTGGCACTCAAGCAGGGCATACGTATTATAGAGTTTCAGGCTGTCAGCTTTGCGCTTAAGAAATGACCTCGTCTGTTTTCTGGCTGATTTCAAATCAATTCCAGCTTCCAATGCAATCGCGTATTCCATATGTACCTCACTTGGTTCTTCGTCAGAAGCCAGTCTCGCGAGCTGGGATATGGCTCGGCGAACAAAGCCGAGAGAAGAACCCACGACGCTTGCCGGGGAAGGCAGGAGACCGCTATTTGTCTGAGAGCTCAAATGACGAGCAGCCAGAAAGACTTCCCGAAAGCGCATCTGCAACCCAAAATTGCTCTCCCCAAGACCGTCCGGTACCACAGCGACGTCGGAGGCAGACGAATGGCTATGAACGAAAGGGTCTCGTTCCCAAACCCTGGACTCGGGTAATGATGATAGAGGCGAAAGGCCTGCGAACAACAAGAAGGCGTCCTGCAGTAGCCACGAGCCCTCTTCTGTGGTTGGCGAGAAGAGAAAGTCTTTAACATCCGAGAAGAGAAGAACGCGGTAAGGATCGTCCTGGTCAACTTCATCTAGAGCTCTTGCAGGTAATCCGGCGGTCTTTTCAAGGTCATTTTCAGCAGCAGCCCAGGCTTCGAAATCCATATGCTGCACTTGGAATGTTTTGTCACTTCTGGCCTCGACTTCACTGTTTGCATTTGATCGCCACCCCGCCGAACCTTCCTCCCCTATTCGCGCAACCTCGCTCCCCCAGAATTGCTTGAAGGATGGTATGAGCTCTGCGGGAGCGATGTCTCGGGGTCGGAAGTAATTGAATTCGAGGAGCGCTTGCCAAATCCCAACCGCGTGTTCGGTATACCCGGCTTGCCACACAAACAAGGTCAAGCGTAAAAGAATGTATATGCAGCTAGTGTCTCTCCTGTGGTCTGCTGACGCACTCTCAGCCTTTTGGAGCCATTGCTTGTAGATCCCCAAACAAGGTTCAAAGCTGAATTTGACGTGATTGGTTTGGACGAAGTTCAGGTAAAGCCGCCAAATGTCGAACGAGGCATCCTCTCCGAGGAAAGTACGCCATCTGGATGCCTGCTTATCTGCATCCCAAACCGTCATCCCCTCTCGCATGAGACCCAGGATCAAAGTATTTCGACCTTCGCGAGCTTTGACGCACGATAACGCTTGCTCATACAGCGAGATCTTGAGATCGACAACAGTCCTTGACGAGGAAGGACCGGAGCTGCGGGAGCGGCGCTCCTCGCCGAAGAGGATGGGTTGATACTCAATCAAAGTTAGCCATGCCGACACGTCCTCGGGCCGGGTTTCCGTGGCTCTCAAGAGATCCATATGACGCTGATGGACGGGGTTCCTTTTGAACTCATCAAAAGCGTCCTTGGGCTGTGCAAGCGCCTGGCTGTCTGTGTCTGACTCATCACTGTCGCTGTCTTCCAAGGTTGCGTGCTCCGATCCGGCCAATATCCGTCTCCTCTTCCTTGGATGCCCATATTCGAAGCTCAGAAAGTCCTGGCGCAGGTCTGAGTCGAGACTCACTCCGGACTGAACATTCTCCGCCGCTTGGTCGTCTTCGGGAAGCTTCTCGAGGAGAGACTGTCTGCGGGACCTCCGTGTGGAATCAATATCGACATTTTCGACGTCAAGGCGAGACTCTGATCGAGAAACTATTCGATAATTCGGACCGAGACCGAGTAAACCACCATGACCGACTGGTCGATAGCGCGGTACAGCATGCCGATCCAGTGACCCATATGTCAGGTTTTGCGGATCGCCTTTGCGGTCTTCGACGAACAAAGAGGGCTCGCGGACTTCTCGACCATGAGAAAGGAGTTCCACAGACTCCTCTCGAGTGTCAAGGCGGGCCAAAGGGCGGGATATGCCGCGAGGAATCTTCCGGTATTGAGAGGGATGGTGGTGTGAGGAAGGCATCATACGCCAAAGTCTAACTTAAGAGGAGAGAATAGAATAGAATAGGTATCCATCTATCCATCAACCTTAGACTATTGTCTCCATGCCAAGAATTGGATGGCCTCGACCATCTCGGGTCACGTGGAGGGTCTCAGTGTCGTTGTAGAGAGCAGGATACCTAGGTGCCGTTAAAAAGGCGGTGGCGGGTATTGACATTCACCTAATATTGTATACTTCCTGTGCTGACTTATCGTTCAATAGATGCGATATCCGGCCGAAAGAGGATTCTGAAGGGTCTTTAAAGGCATCCCAAGCCTTCCGGGCAAGTGGGCTCATGCAAGCACTATTGGGGTTTTCGGTTATCGAGGGGCAGCTGGGGCGGCCAGTATGCCAACCACCCACTTATTGGCACTTAAGCATCAAGGTTCACGCCTAAAGCCCGCCAATCCCGGCGGCAGGAATTTTCCCTTGGGGCCTCTAGCGTACGTCACTGTGGCCTTTCAGGACCTCGGGGTGCGTCTGTTGGCCCGGATGGCTTCCCCCCGTAGCTCCCTGGCACCCACTGGCACCTGTCTGGGCCATTTCGCGCGATCAATTGCGATCTCGAGCACCTCACCTCAAAAATGCTAATCTGCATACAGTGACCGCATACAGTGGGTTGATATACCTCGCTCTGTGCCTGGTCCATTTTATAACCTGCCTCAGTCGTCCACAATCTGGGACCTTATGTTTTCGGCTCACTCCTTACGACTTTCGAGGAATCTCCCCCTTGTGACGAACCATGTTCGACGGTACTTGCCACTAGTCGTGGGCCTCGAATAAACCTGACACTTCCCATTCACCCTCACCCTCGCCACGACGGATTCCTTGCGCGCGACGCGAGACCTGTCCTCCCATGGACGTGGCAACTTCCAAGCGACCGGCGCCTTCTGCCCTCGATGACCATGGCCCTCCTGCGAAGAGGCTCAAGGCCCTGCCCGAAGAGCCTGCGCAATACAGCGATGCCGTCCGCAAAAAGCTGGCGTCGACGTCGCGGACAGGACAGGCCTGCGACCGATGTAAAGAGAGGAAGATGAAATGTGACACAGACCCAGTGGCATGTCAGCCTTGTCGTCAGAAGGGTTTGCGGTGCTACACCACCGACCGTGTGACAGGGCAAGCACGAGAAAGAGGAGAGTCGCATCGCGCCGAGAATGAGCTGCTGTTTTTGAGGGAGCAATTGGCCGGCTACCAGCGCAGATATGGCTCTTTGCAGCGATCAGACTCTTCCGGGAATATACCTACAGCGACTCCCAGGAGTTCAATCTCTCAGTCCACAACGTATTCTGTGTCTCCTACGTCATCAAGACCTGACGCGAAATACGTCGGCTGGCCTTCACCGGGCCACTGCGACCCTCTATGTTGTGGCCCGGTCAACGGTACTTTGGTGGATATCATGGATGGCGTCGTTGATATTGCAGACTGGGAATGTGAAATGATGGAAGACTATCCCACTGAGCTGATGGGTAAATTCAACCTCTCGAGGACGTCGATTGTCAATACGATTTGTGGATATCAACGTGTGGAAGACCCCAAGTTACCACCGAAGGAAGAAGCTCTACGAGATGCCAATCATTTTCTGGTCATCATGTCGCAATACGTTCCGATTGTCCACAGGCCCAGCTTTATGGACCTCGTTAACAGATTCTATGATCAGGCGAACACGTTAACAGTTGCTGAGCGGGTCCAGGTGTTGATTGTTTTCAGCATAATCGCCCATCAAACGGCGGTGAGAAATCATCTCCATTCTGCCGAGAAGTTCGAGGATTCCCACCGTTACCTCCACTACGCTTTGGGCTACTACCGCGAACTCCTTCATGACCGGTCGCTTGCGTCTATGCAGGCAATGGCGCTGATCATTGTCCACTTTCGAAATCTGCCCAAACCTGGTGTATCTTGGACCTATTGCCATCAGGTCCTGGTACGAGCTATCGAGTTGGAGTACCACCGCGACCCGGATAAGATTCAACTTCCGGAAGGCGAGAACGATCCACTATCAAAGGAACTTCGGATTAGAGTCTTTCACTCAATACTGGGTATCTGTGTGACGACGGGTTGCCGTGTTGGCTTACCAGCACCGTGGCAATTCCAGCATATTGACGTCCCCTTACCAAGGGCCATCAAGGACTCCGAGATATCCAAGGACGGGTTTGCTGCGGAGTTGTCAGGCCAATGCGAGTTCTGGCCTTGTCTACATCTGGCAAAATTGCTGCCCCTCCTCACCGAATTATACAACAACATCATAGCCGTGAGGAAGCCCGCAGTGGAATATCTCCAATGTGTGGAGGCGCTCAACACGAAAATAAACGCCTGGCGACAAGACTGGGACGAGTCGACTAAAAACGAGCCAAAACATGTCAATCTAAGTGTCGCAACCCTTCTCTTCGAGACTTGGGCTGCTGAGTATCAGCTAAATTTACACCATCCAGTGTGTTGTACGAGTGATGATCCTGAGGTGATTGAACGACATCTGGACATCTGCCATAAATCCGCCAAACGTCTCTTGCAAAGTTTCCACCGACTGTCGAGCAGATATAAAGGCGTCGATTTCACATGGCATTCCACATTGGCATACGCAACTGGATTCGGCATCACCCTGTATGTGTACAAGAGGAAAAAAGGGCCAGTCACCGTTGAGCAATTCGAGGCAATGCGGAATGAACTAAAAGGTTGGACATCGTTGATGGCGTATGCAGACCTTGTGCTGAGTAAGTCGATGCTTGTCCTTACAACTCCCTGTTACTAACTCTGTTCAGGGACCGGCAACCACCTGCAGAGACAATTCCAGCCTCGTGTGCAAGCTCTCGAGGATGAATGTCGAAGACTGTTGATTGAGCAGCCCGTGAAGAGCAATAGCGCCCAAAGCCCATTGAGCCCAGCCAACCTTCCCAACGCTGGAGGCTCAATGAATGTTGAACAGTCAAATACGCTTCTGTTCCGAGAGCACTCCAGCCCGAACACAACGATGCACCGAAACAGCCTTCCGCAACCAATGTACATGCCTTCCCAAGGGATAGCTCAAAGCCACCCAACTTCTCCATTGACCCATCAACAGTCTCAACGGCAATGGTCTGGCACATTTTCTTTTCTTTCCCAACCTTTACCACCGGGACATGGCCACGAACAGGTGTCAGGTGTCACATCACCTATATTTACAGCTTTTGCTCAGTCCCCGATTAGTGGACTTTCTACGTCAGCGTCCATGCCGGCCATTCCCACATCCTTGGCTTCCCTGCTTAATGACTCGGGAAATCTTTACATGAGTTATCCCACGCCACCGCAGAATCACAACAGCCTTGGAGGAGGAGGGCTTAGCAGGGGTGCCGATCCACAGATGGCCTTTTCACCAAATCATTACTTTGACGGTCCAGGGCCGATGGGCTGGCCGCTGATTAGTATGCCACCAGGCCACCAGTCATGATGGAGATATTACCGAAATCAGTCCCCAATTACAGCCTCTTACGACAAGGGACAATGGATGTACCGACATATCCCGGCACGAGGACTTTTCTCATGATGGGTTTGAAATTTTTGATCAGATTAGATGGTCTCGCTTGCTTGATACTGTCGACAGAAGATAGCCACGAAGGAATGATCTGTGTGCTCGGTCGATTCGGTCGTCACGAAAGGGTCGTGCGACGAGAAGATACCTCGTAAAACATTCGGCGTACCGACGCCAACCCTGTTCAATCCTGCGCGACACTTATCTCGTGGCTGCCAATATTGCTCTAGGCTAGAATCTATGGCAAGGGCCGTATTTTCATGTGGATTCTATCTTGCTATGTGCAACTCCCTCAGTAGCTCCTTCAGAGTAGGCAAGAGGTAAGAGTGGCACCCTCCCACTCACTCAGTCTCAGGTCATCGAATACCTAGGTACCAACTCGTTCGAAGGTGTCAGTTGATGCTGATACGTCCTGGCCTTCGGGAAACCTTGGTGAAGAAACCGCCGAAAGCCGAAACGTGGGCTTGCTGCAGGCCCGTTGCGGATCCCCCTCAATGAGCTGAACCAGCCTTATGACCCTTAACCAGAGAAAGCCTACGTGGCTGATATCAGACCTTTGTCAGCGCTGGAAACAGGGTCGTATATCCGATTGCAGGCGCCCAGGCCGATCAGTGTGTTTCTCTCGTGAGAGTCTCTAAGTGCGATTTGACGAAGCCCCCCAGACTTAATACCAGCACACCTAACCTTTCCGGTGGCAAGCGGCAGAGTTATGTAAAGGACACACTGTTTGCGAAGGCGTGCCTGCGCTCCCCCTTGTCGACACATTTCATGGAAGCGACTTCATAGTCCCTGAACCAGCGCCCAACCAGGGCATGGGAAGCCCAGCTGCTCCGCCAGCGCCAACCGAACAGTACACCATTTCGCGAGGTGCAGATCACTTACTAACTCGGCCCCTCCGAAGTAGAGCTGAGCTACACACGGCGTGTGCACAGCCTTATATACGGCGGCTATCCCTGGCAAGTTGTGGAGGATCTCCAATGATTAGGAGACACCTCTATTTTGTATCCGACTTGGACATTAAGGGCGACTGAGGTCTGCCGTCTATCAGCAACTCCCAGACCAATGAATCTGCTGCTACTGCCAGCATGGTGCTCTTTCTCCGTTCAGACATCAAGTTTTTGCCCCCAACGAAACAAGACAGACCTGTTCGGGAACAAGAGCTTGAGGGCGCAGAGATAAAGGCACACGCGGCCAGAATCTCTCACCAAAAAAGGAGATGGGCAAAATTGCAACAGCAGCTGCTACAAAAGGCAGAGCTACACGAGCAGAGCGCAGTACGGGTTCATAGCGGGCAACAACCCAACCGCCGGGTTCAACCACATTACCGCGAGATCATCTTTGTCTTGCATGGATCATCTGATCCGTTCCATGCATGTCCTGTCAAAATCACACCAGAAGTCAACCGTATCATCACATATTCACGAGATGTCATGCTTCCGAACATCTTCAGCCCGCCATTTTTCCGACGACTTACCGTGGGAGGACCCAAGATAGTCAACTATGAGAACTCGAAGAGGGTCATGGGAGGGTCCAGCTTTCTTGACAGTCTGAAGGGTTTCAGAGACATGAATGAGGGTGCTGCTCTTGCATGGTTGTGTGGCCACATTCCTGGCATAGTGCGGCTCAATTCTGCCCAAAATACACAGCAGCTTTCAACAGCGAGGCTCAAAATGCGAGCCAAAAGTCTCAGATTGTTGCGCGAAAATCTCGCTGAGCATGCACAACTCTCACCCGAGTCGTTGGCTGCACTCAGACTACACATTCGCTGTCTGTTTGAGACGGAGTGCATGGCGGGGGACACGATGGCAGCCAAAGCTCATGCGGATATCCTTTTGCGCCTCCCTGATCCTACAACCGACGAAAGGGAGCGTATTCATCATAAATTGATCATGATGTTCGATGCTACCGAATTGGCGTGCAAGAAGCTGGAAAGGACGGTTATACCTTTCGGGAACTGGACTGCAAAAGTGCACGAAAGGCTATGGGACCTGGCCAGTCCATATGTACCGATCCCTCCTATTGATGTCCACAACGCTCATCCCTGTGTGGAGGTGCCTGCGCATCGTGATGCAATGGTCACATTGAGATATTGCTTGTGGATCGCCGAAACGCCCTTGCCATTCGAAACTGCTCAAGAGAAGCTCAAGGCAGATTTGATCTTTGCCTGGATGGCGACCAAGACCTTTCACGATCTAGGAAATTTGATCAACTTGTACATGGATATAATGGAAGAGAAGATTTCCTTTCGCTCTGAGGGCCACCGGCTAACGCAGGCATGCATGGTCCTCACACTGATATATGAAAGCCGCAAATGTGTGCATGAAGCGATCATCGAGAATGGAGCCGACGTTCGTGAAGCTTCTCATGTTATAATGCCTCGATTGGCGCAAGACATGGCGGCGGCCATGGAGATCCTGAGTCCAGTCGAGAGTGTTTACTATCAAGAAGCATACCTGTGGATGCTCTATGCCGGTGCACTGCACGAGCAACGCCAGAAAGGCAAGATGCAACGGGCCGATTCCAACATAAAACTGGAGCCGATAGAGGAAGCGTGGTTCACCACGACGCTCGCCAAGCACGCCGACTTGATGAAAGTCACCGCTTGGGCGGCGGCCAAACCCATCCTGCGGCGATTCCTGTATGATGAGCATTTGGGTCCAGACGGGCACCTGTGGTTCGAGGAAGTTGTGCGTGTCCCAGAGCCTATCAAGAATGAAGACGACAATCAGCAACGAAAACAGATGGCTATACGCTGAAACGTTGTGCTGATTCGGATGGGAGTGTGCCGGAATCGAGGGCAAGGCTTCGGGGCTGTTTATTCGGCGCAGCTGCTTGCGACCCAGCGTTGCAAATGCTGAAAGCAGTCACAGGGGCATCTGCTTATATATAATTTTATATTTTTCCAGACAAGAAGCACCAGAGTGCCGCAGCAAATGTCTCTCAGCCCATCTCCCCGTTAACAACCACCATCCTAACACGCCCCCAAGAGAGCCAAAAAAAAAAGGCACAAAAAAAATATGCGGTTGATGAGGGTGGGACTCGAACCCACGCGGTTTTACCCACAAGTACTCCGATTATACCATTCGAAGCGTGAGCTCCAGGTCTACCTGAAACTTGCGCCATAACCACTCGGCCTAAGAGAGCTCTGTTAGCTCCCAAGTTTCATTATAAAGGTGGTGGAATTTTTCACATACCACCTCACCAGCGTATTTAGAGGCAACTTTGTGCCATATCAATATCTAACCTTCCTTTTTATGGAGGGGTAGAGGGGTAAGACAAGACTGGATGGAATGGTGGGGTGATCCATCAGGCCTCGGCATGTGCATATCGAAGTACTTCATACTACGTTGCATACAATGTGCCTACCTAGGGAGATTGGGGCTTTGCTAGTTTTGACACCGAAGCTGGTTCCATCTATTCGAATACAGGGCATAGCGTTGGGTCAAAAGCCTTGAACCGATCCTACAAGGTGCGAAGCTGGATGGGTATAAGCACTAACAAATAGTGTATCTACCTAAGCATCATGGGCAACAGGACCAGTCAACGACCTACTGAGACACCAACGAGACACTGACGTCGAGGCTGGAATAAAGTCGAGCAGGCCAAGTCACAACCATACAAAAGAATTGTCCAGGTTATCTCATGATCCAACCCCAGATCTGTGCCTCCGATCTGCAAGGTACAAAGTCGTCGGTGCCAGATCCCCCCTGCTTCTTTCTGAGGCTGTGTTACATTGCGTCGTAAACCTTTCTTTTCCTGGGCCATGGGTCAATAGGTACAGTCCTTGTCAACCCGGTCCCGCTCTGTCGGGCCTGAAGGCACCTCCCAGGCACCATTCAACGATACCCGTGGGCCTCTATTGCAAGATCGACCCTACCAATCATCCGCCCTGCTTTGGCACATCCTTCCAGCGCCGTTGGTCCCTAGGAATCAACTCCCTGTTGATCTGGTAATTCTCAGTTGTTCGGTCAACATCTTTATTCCTGTGTTCTCTTTGTTCCCTTTTCAATTTCTCTCAAGAAGACGCCCGTTTCGCCGGTCCAGCCTCCCTAGCTTCCGGACTAGCCGATACTGGGACGCTTCATAGCTCGAACCAATTGTGCGCTTCCTGACTCGTCCGAACACCAGGGGAAAAGTACCAACATCAACACTCATCCACTGATTTCACGGCAGGCAACCTTCCACCAGACCCCAGAGGAATAGCTTTCGAGGATGGCCCAACCTATCTTCGGCCTCCTTGACATCAAACGCCTCCCTTCTCTACTCTCTGCGCTCGTCGCAATCTACCTCACAGTCAAACTCGTCCGGATCATCCAGCGCACCATCAATGCTCGTCGTCGTTACAAAGAAATCCCGCAGTTGCCCCGTCACCCAGTATGGGGCCACTTGATCAACATGGGCGAGAAGCTCAACCCCGCCCTTCAAAGACACCCAGACTATGCTTTTGAAGAAATCTGGGAATCGTTAGGTCGACCTCCAGCTTTCCTGATGGATCTGAATCCCGTGGACTCGGTCTTTCTCATTGTCACGGATCCGGACATCGCGGAGCAGATCACCCAGCCTAATTCGGTCTTCAAATATTCTCTCCCAAAGAGCGACACATTAATGTCCATGTACCGCCTCATTGGCCTTGAATCGCTGATCATTGCCGAGGGAGAGGAATGGAAGATCTTGCGACGGCGGTTCAACAAGGGATTCTCTCCCCAGCACCTGCATACCCTGGATGGAATGATTATTTCCAAGACCCGAGATTTTGTCGATCGGCTGAAGCGCGCCGCGGCGAGTGGTGAAGTATTCAGCCTCAAGGACTATTCACAGGATTTGACGACAGACATTATCACCACCGTCGCGATCGAGAAGGATTATCATGCCCAGACAACTCCGGACGGGGTTGGATCGAAAGGCCCCTTCGGGATGCTCACGGCGTCGAGGCTTCTTTCGAAATACGTGTACCCCGTCGGCAGGGGATTTAACCCGCTGGTCTACTTTGACCCTATCCGGCCCACGAAGTCCTGGTTCTACGAGCAGGTCTTCAACCGCGACTTGGCCAAGGTCATCCGCGAGCAGCTAGCGGCTGAACAGAAACAATTGCGAGAATCGGTCAAATCTGGCCCAAATGACAATGGGCAAACCGGATCGCAGAGATCAATTACGCGTCTCGCATTATCAGGTTTGAGTCCGGACGAGGCGCTGATTCGCAACACTGTATCTCAAGTCAAGAGCTTTCTGTTCGCCGGCCAGGACACAACCGCCACGCTTATCCAATGGCTCTGCTTCGAGCTATCCAAAGCATCATGGTCTCCGCCCTCGGCAGCCATTCTCGAGAAATTGATCCAAGAACATGACTCAGTGTTTGGCAAAGAGGGAGGGCCCTTCAATGCCCTCGATATTCTGGGCCGCACGGATGAAGAATCCCGTAAAGAGACTGAAGCCATCCTTGGCAGCCGCCTACCCTACACAACGGCATTCATCAAGGAGACGCTGCGCATTCATCCCCCCGCCTCTACAGCACGACGCATCCCCGAACTCTCCCCTGAGAATCCGACGCCTGTAAAGTTGAAGCTGCGCACAACGAGCGGCGAGGAGAAAGACGTGGAAGTCAATGGCGTTAGGATCTACGTCTGCGGATATCTGGTTCACATGAACAAAGCCGTGTGGGGACCCGATGCTCCAGTCTTTCGACCCGACAGGTGGTTGGATGAAAAGTACGTGGCGTCTTTGCCCACTGGCGCATGGCGACCCTTCGAGCGCGGGCCGAGAAATTGCATCGGACAGGAATTGGCAATGGTGGAGGCCAAAGTGGTGCTTTGTGCCGTGGCCAGAGGCTTCCAGTGGGAGAAAGTGGGATATTCAGGCAAAGGGCAGATGGCAGAAATGGAGAGACCGAGAGGAGATGGTAAAGATGATGGTGAGCGAGAGGTCTGGAGCGTCAACCAGGTCACATCTGTGCCGGTTGATGGGATGACGATGAAGGTTCAGGTGCGGAGCTAGGTGTTATATGTTTTGAATAGACTTAAGAGCGTTGCGTCGGCGAGCGAACTCCATCTTCAAGTAGTAGACGCCCATAAATGACCCAGGCTTGGAAAGGGTTTGGTTTCTCTGTGTACGAGTATCCTGCACTGGTGACTACCTGCTGGTTAGGCACCCAGCCTCGTGAGGGTTGGCAACAAGGCTGAGAGTGGCTTCGGGGCCGAATGGTCCGAGAGTGACGGATTTACTTTGATCCGACCGTTAAGGGACGGCCGCGACGCGTCACTCGATCGGCGCCAACTTGCATCTCAGAAGCCGATGGAGCATCAAAGACTCGACCGAAGATCGTCCCCAAGGAATTTGCCTCCCCGAACCATGTTCTGCCTACTAGTAATACAGTAGCAGCCAGTGAATGTGCAGGCCATCTAGGCACCCAGCATAACGAAAGCCCAGACCATCTCAAAGATTCACACCAGCCGCGCCACAATGGCGCAGGCACCCAATCGAAAGGCTGCGTCTGCCGCACTTGAGCCTGTGGCGTCCAATGCTTCTCGCAACTTCGAGCTGCCTCGCCGCCATCCATCGCATAAGCTTCGTCCAGGATGTGTGTGCGTAGCGAATGTGTTTGCCTAGGCGGCGGGGTAACCAGAACCTTGTGGTAAATGTGCTATAAAGCATCTTCCTACCTTTGCTGTGGCTTGCCATCTCCCTCTCTCTCATAGTCAACCATCTTTCCTCACTTCATTTCGAAGTCAAGCAAGACAAGATGCCTCCCATCTACTACTTGAATCAACCGCCCCATCCCTTCTGGGACTTCGTCGCCGGGATCGAAGATCACCCTTTCTTCGCCCACTATCGACGACCTGTCCCATCAACTCCGCCACCACAACCCCCTCGTCCAGAGGCCGGGCAATCTCAAGCACGAGCACAGGCTCACGACGCCGCTGCCGCCCAAGCCAACGAGAAAGCCAAGGGCAAGCAAGCTGAGACCAGCAACGTTGAAGATCCTCCTGAAATCGACCCTGCCACCCTTGCGTCTGAACGTAAGGACGTGCCATTCCGTGGCCGTGGTCGCTTCGCCAGGGCCTTTGCAGACAAGGACAACGAGGACAGCAGCGCCGAAGAAGGCAACAGCGGCCGTCGCGGTGGACGAGGCTGTCACGGTCACGGCCACGGTCACGGTCACGACCATCACCATGGCCCCAATCCCTGGGGGGCTGGACCACCCCCTTTCTTCTTCGGCCCTCATGGTCCCTTCGGCTTCGGTCACCACGGGCCCCAAGGCCATGAAGGTCCTGAAGGCCACGGTCCCCGCCCCGGATTCCGTGGCCGCGGAGGCTTTCATCGAGGAGGCCGTGGAGGACCACACCATCATCATGGACATCATGGACCTCACTCACGCTCCCCGCCACGCGGCGGCGGCCCATTCGCCGGTGGGTTTCGCCCCGGCCAAGCAGCACCCGGCTTCGACCTGAGCAACTTCCTGAGTAATCTCGGTGAGCGTCTGGGCGTCGACTTGACCTCCGCCGCCGAAGGCCTGGGACTACGCAGCTCCCCACGCTCAGTCGAAACCGACTTTGAACCACGAACCGACATCTTCGACACCGCCGCCGCCTACGTCATCCACCTCTCCCTGCCCGGAGCCAAGAAATCCGACGTCGGCGTCGATTGGGATGGCGAACACTCCGTCGTGCGCGTTGCTGGCGTTGTCCACCGCCCCAACGTCGACGAGGAGATGATGTCCCGCCTGGTCGTGGACGGGCGCAAGCGCGAAACCGGCGTCTTTGAAAAGACCATTCGCCTGGGAACACCAAGGGACCCAGCCAGCGTCGACGTCGACGGCATCACTGCCAAGATGGTCGACGGCGTCCTGATCATCCGCGTACCAAAGGTCGAGAAGACCTTTGAGAAAAAGGAAGTCCACGTGGGCTCTCCCTCTCCTGCACGACCCAACGAGAGACCCGAGGACGCATACATGAACGAGAAAGACCTGCTCTTCGATGCCGCCGACGACGACGATGAGGACAGGGACATGTACGACGCCGAGCCTATTCCGGAACCTCACCAGCAACAGCAACAACACTCTGCTCCAGCGGACACCACCATGGGTGAACAGAAGCACCGCGAAGCCAAAGAGGAAGAAGCCCTGCGCGAGCGAGAAAGAGACAACCGCTCCGAGACCGTCGACTTCGAGACCCCGGCCCCAAACAACGAAACCACAGAGACACTCCCGAGATATGAGGCCGAGGACAGCAAGGCTCAGGACCACCACCATCACCACCAGCGCGCAGGCGTCGACAACGACCAGGACAATATGAGTGACTGGGAGAAATACGGCTCCGAGGATGAGGGCGAGTACGTCAAGATCAACGTCGACTAAACACCAGGCACTAAACCAATCCACTGGGGGTTTGCAAGGGGCATCTTCTCCAGCTCTTCTTGTTATAAGCATAGGATGGAGTCAGGGCAATGGATAATTCATACCTAGGTAGTTAGTTTCGAAAAACAAAAAAAAAGGGGCGAAGGGGATATGAATTTAGATCCCTCTCATGTCTCGTCTTTAATGTTTCATCATCCAATTGATTCAATGCCCAAATACCAGGTACCTACCTACCTACCTACCTACCTATGTTTCGTCGTAATTTTCTCTCTCAGCTGGTTTCATCCCCCCCTCTTCCATCTGCGTTGTGTCCAATCTGACAACCTGGACCCTGACCCTAACCCTATATAACGGGGGGCAACTGACAGGACACGGGGACTCACGACTTTTTAATTCTTGATTCTTGATCCTTGGGGCTCCCGCACTGCTTCGGTATCACGCCCGCTTTGCCTCTCAAAGTCGCTCGCTGGCGAAATGGAAATTAAGAGGATCGGACTTCGTAGTTCTCAAGGCAGAGGTGTGCGTTCATAGGTAGTACAGGTTTAACTCATTCTTCCCTCCAAAAAAAGCAAGGGGCTCAGGGCCCCCCTTTTGTCTGCAATTCTCCTCGTGGGTCTGGTTCCTAGTTCTAGTTCGTGTTCATAAATCTACTTCTCTATTATCCCTGGTTTCCTCCCTCTCTCCCTTCGTCCCTCCCTTCCTCACTGCGCCAAAACCTCCCTGACCACTTGCGCAAAAGTCACGTTCTGACTACCACCGTCGCCGTCAGGCACCTCCTGCGCGCTGACCTCCTGATACGCGCCATCCCAGAACATGGCGCCCGCTAGGTTCGGCAGACTCATGTTCTTAACCTGCTCGAGAATCGATTTGTAAGTCGCAACGTCGACATAGCCGCTCCCCGCCGCGGGAAATGCAGGCGTTCCGATCAGCAGCCGCGGGGACGTGATGCCGTTGTTAATGTTGTAGAATGTGTTGTCCGGGGAGGCCTCTTGTCGAATTCGCAGAACAGCGCCACCACGTGAAGATCTCTTGTTCCTGCGCGTGCTGCTCAGCGTATCATTCAGCGCCTGGAGGTCCGCGGACCAGGCCTGTAAGGAGTCAAAGAACCCTTGCCCCGAGCTGAGTTGGCAGGATGGGTTGTTGTAGAATTGCACGCTGAAAAAGTCAATGTAGTTGAGCAGACTCGCGACGGGGATGGAGGCGTCCGGCCGGGGGCACTGGGGCGCTGCCGAGAGGTAGTATGACTTGGAAGAGTCGGAGCCCATGAGTTGGCGGAGCGTCGACACTAATGTCGGGATATATGTCGCGGCAGAGGGGAGCTCGTTATCTACGAAAAGCGTAAGTTGAGATGTCTTACAGGAATTGGGGGAACGAGGAGGAGCCTCGTTGGCGGCAGGAGGCAAAAGAACTCACCAATATCAATACCATCCAGCACTATGTTTCCATAGGGTCTCAGAGGCGCCAGGGTAGCATTCGAACCCCCCAAGAATAAACTCCATAGAGTATTCGCGACCTCGACCGCTTGGTCCTGGCTCGACATCGTGAGAGTTCCCACAGACCCGCCGAGACTGAGCAGCACTTTCTTGCCTTGTTGCTGGCACGTAGCTATCATGCTTGAGAAGCCGTCACCGACGCAGTCCAGAAGCCCCGTGGCTCCAGCAGCCTGTTGAGCCGCGTGGGGCGCCCAACAATTCGAGGCCATGTTCATGGCTGGATATCCGCCATTAGAGATCAGACTTGTAACAAAGGCGAGGATCACGACGTCCACGGCAGGGTCGTTGCAGATCTGGGCGAGTGAGATGACAGGCGTCAGGTCCGTTTGCGAGTAGTAGACCACATTGAGGTCCGGGGCTTGTGGGTTGAATGTGGACGTTGCAGTCGGCGAAGGAATCGATGAGGTGAACGGTGCGGTATTGATGGGGCTGGAAGTTGCATAGCTTGTCAGAATCGTCGAGCCCGAAGGAGTAGTGTTAATATCCGTGATGGGGAATATAGTTGTCTGTGGCGGCGTGGGAAGTGTAGTTGACAACGTTCCAAAGTTGAACTCCGATGCAAGCAACTCGATAAGCTGTTCAACTGCACTTCCAATTTCGCCTACAAGCTGGTCCAGCTGCTCCGAGAAGTCTTCCGAGGAGTTTGGCCGCTGGCTGGGAGCCAAAGGTCTCCAATAGCCTGAAGGACCTGCTCGAAATATCGCGTCTCTCCGTGAACGTGATCCTCCAGATCGGGGGAGATGTTGCGCGTGAGATAGCTCGATGGCATCCAAGGTGCTGCGCAGGCTGGCGGCGATGCCTTTCCAGTCACCTGTTGGGGTTGATGCAAGAACGGAATAGGTGCATAAAGTCAAACAGAGGAAGAGAACGAATCTGTCATAAAAAGCCATGACGACGAATGGCGACACCAAATGAAGGACGGGATGGCCTGAAAATGAACGACTTGGACTTATACCTTGGAGACAAACATGGGCTGGGGACTCCGACACACTACCATACCACAAAAGAGCTGGAGAGAGCTGGAGCGCGGCATGCCAGACTCAAGAATGGTGTTTAGCATGCGAGGGAAGGAATGTGTCGCCCTGGATGCTGCTGGCCTTGCTGTCTGTGCTCAATGGCATTCCAGACAATCGCGTCGGCATCATCACGCCCAGGTTTCAAGACTGGACACTTGGCCGCAGAATATATTTGGAGGGTATTAGGGCATGGACAACAAAATTTCAAAAGATCAAGTCCCAACCTTCTGAAAGAGACGGGAGAAGGTGCTGTCATCTCTGTGAGCCAGATCTCAACGAGCGGCTGGTATCGACGATCCCCACAAAAAGCGCGATCGTCAGCAGGCAGCCTCGATTCAATATTGCGAGCATTGCGAGGTATCGGTGTTCGCACGCAAGGAAGAAATGATGGCATGGCCAACACATCTTGCCAATTCGGATTCAATCTCTCTCGCGTAGATGTCAATTGACATAAGAGTCCGGGGGAAGGAGGCAGCGAGTTCCCTCGCAGTTGTTACCAGACAGTACACAATTTGCTCCTTTCTGGCGGCGTTTTGAGACAGGTCCTTCCAGGTAAGGGGGATCGATGTCGGTCTCCCTTTGTGAAGCCAACTGCCCGCGATGTGGATGCTCAATCTGCCGCAGATGAGACATCGCGTGTTCGTCCACTTCTCACTGCTCTTTGCCAATGCCCGCCCCTTATTTGTGCTGAAGCAATGCAGAAGTCATATGCCGTGCCATCTGCAGCCTCCGAAGAGGGCGACTGCATCGATCGATCGGGTTGCTGCAGCGGCAGCTGCTCTTGGTGACTCGTATTCGCCGAGGAAGTCACCTTTGGCACTTGAACCATCTGTCTTTCTAGTCAGTGGCGCTAGACCATCTTGACATCGACCTTCTCCGCCGCTCAGTGTCCGACTTATCCCGGTCAAAAGCTTCATCGACTGATCAGACGCATGTGCGATGACCTGGAACCATTTGAGCCCGTTGCTGCATCTTAAGCTTTCCGGCACTCTCCGTCCCTGTAACTGTGGAGTCAGCGCAGGTAGACGAGGTACTCCGTGCCGCATTCCTGTTGTACTCCTTGAGTCTCCTTTCGGCCCCTGCTAACAAACAAAGTCATGAACCATATGTTCGTGCTAACACCGCATTGGGCATCGGGTAATCCACCGGACACCCGGGGCATGTCCTGTAAGCCGCTTGAATGCAACAAACAACGATGGTAGAGCCCTAGGTATAAGCTGAGAAGAGACAATAGCTGCTGTCTCTGCATTTCGTCGCCACACTTATGCCGGATAGGCCATCACCTCCGACTGCTCCCCAAATCATTTAGTCTTGAATCATGCCTCAAGACTTGCAGGGCTTTGATGCAGGTGCAAATCCTTCTCGAAGCAGGTACCCATCATCTGTCGCATGTCTGCATGATCATGAAAGGTGCTGATTATTGTCCAGGCTGTCTGCCTCCGTTGAGGCACGAGACAAACAGAATTGAGGTCAATCGCTGGGGAGGCTAGTTCTCGGATGACGTTCCTCCCGATCTCAATCACTCAGACTTTCTTTCCCCTGTGTTCTTTGCAAGTTAAACAAGTATACTGCGCGAAGCATCCCGTCACCAGTCAGCCTCGCACGTGATGGTCTCCCTGTGTGACAGCCTCGTTGCTTCAGGTAGTGTTCTCCTGGATCATGCGTGGCCACGACAGTGGCAGGGGAGAGTCCCTGATTCCTCGCAAGCCAAATGGGACCCCCTACTGGGCACCAGCAAGTAAGGGTAAAGGGCCAATTGCGTTCCAAGGTTAGCCCGAGAGTTCTAGGGCAGACTCAGGTTACACAATCGGGGATGCCAAGTTGGCACCCGGTTTTGCGAAGTGCCGAGAAACCTCTTTTCGACGGGGTGTCAGAAAGAAGCAGGGACATCGAGACAGGCCGACGCAGCTCAGGCGCCATGGTGATGCTAGACATGGGTGCGAAGAAGGCAGCAGCCCCGAGCCGTGCCGAGTTCTACTGCGAGGCGGGGAGGCCGACACAGCCAGTCGACACTCATAGGCTGAGGAACCACCGACGCGAAGAAACTGGCGAACTGGGGCAGGACAAGTCAGAGAGCGAGGAAGCATGGTTCGGTACGAAGAGCGGCAGAATGTGAAATACCTGTCCCTAGGTACCTAGGTACATAGGTGGGATCAGATGTACTCGTGAGTGGGAGTCGAGACCATGGACATGCATCAATGGGTGGCGGACGCAATCCCAGCATCGACGACATTCCCTGTAGCGTTGCGCAGGCCGATAGGTTTGCGTGGTTGGAAGATGGTGGTTCGATTGGGTGGCAGCGGCTGCATTGGAACTCCTACTCGTTCTTGAATGGCCTTCCCATCCTTGCCATCCTTGCCCACCACAAGGGGTGGCCCCATTTCCAGCAACTCGCAGATGCTGTTATCGCTACGACTGCCGCCCAGAAAAGTCTGTTGCGATCACCGCGTCGGCGCAGGGGAGTTCTCTGGCTGTCTCGCTCCCCTTTGAAACGCCACTTTTGCATGGTCTAGATCCCTCGACGGCCATAGGTCCAGAGTGGTATGTCCTGGTGAATCTTCGGACCTCACGACAGGGGTTTAGAAGCACTGGTTCTTTGATGCCCCGGGTATCCACTGACAGGAAGCGCAGGCACCTTTACAGGTGCATCCCTCTCTATGCAAGCCACGTCTCTAGTCATCACATCGGAGCACGCTTCTACACTGAGCCAATCAATACTTTCCAAGTGTTTCCCCTCCGAGAGTCTACTCTGTGGTTGATTCACCAATGGCGACCTTACGACGTGCGCGCAGACGATAGGTCGCTCAGGGTACCGATATCCTCGTGTGGGCAAGAAAAGATGGGCGTGTGGTCTGCAGGACAGCGCATGAACGAAACCGCCGCTACAGGCCTCAAGGAGGGAAAGAGAAGCTAGAATAGGCGTTGGATGGCGAGAGGAGACGAAAAACAAGCAGAATGAGATTGTGGGAAACTTGCATTATGCATTCCTCATCCGGCTGGCATAACACGAGCTCGAGTATGTGGTCGGTAACTCGACCACCCATCCCTCACCGCTATCCGAAAGTCACAATTAACGAGACCATAGACTTGCCACGTTTCCGTGACACAGCAGCCAAGCGACCCGTACCCTGGCGTGGTTGGGAAGATGAACATCACTGAACAGCACTGAACCAGAACGTTACACAGCATGAACAACGCCCTCTAGCTTCGATGCTGTGCGACAGTACAAAGGCTATCGACGCCTCTGTCACACAGCAGCTGCAGCTCCTGCATGAACGCACGAGAACACGAGTCTGGAGGATGCAACCACTGGAAAAAGTTTCCATGTGAAAAAGGATCGGCAGACAACAATGACGGCGTCTTCATGGAATGATGGGCATGAATACATGGTTTCTGCTGCTCCTACATCTGACCTTGACGCGCGATGCTGAAAGAGATGTGTGCTGTCATTGCGCCGCCACAACAATAGGAGCTGAGCAGGAACAAACTGTGATCGCCCATCTGAAGAGGGCCTCGCCAAGTCAGACTCCAATGGTATCTGTGCTTGATCCATGAGAAGAAGCTGCCTCAATCAGGCTACCACACTGAGGACTTTGCTGGAAAAGTCACAGGAGTACTTGGGACGGCGGTCAAGCGATTATACTTGGCGCAGAGCGATTTACTCCAGAGAGCGTCCATCTCATCGACGGTATTGTCCCCAGTCCGCTCATTCATGGCTAATTGTCGCCGCCACCGTCGTCGGTTCGGATCGCCGGTGCGAGGAACCCGCCGGCAGATGGTCGTCGCAACGGAGTATCCTGGAAGAGGAAATGCCCCACATTGAGCGACAGACGGCGGGAAAAACCCGGTACGAGACCAGAAACAAAACTTGAAACACGAGATGAGATGGGATGACAAGAAACATCCCGGGCTGGACGGGAGCCAACAAGTTTCTCCCAGCCGAATCCCAAATGACAACTCGAAGAACATGAGGAGTGGCGGCGGGCGGCGCGGTATTGCCGTCTGGATAGACTTTCGGGGGTCCCTGGGGGCTGGGTTCCGAAGCCTACGGGATCGTTTGGGGGATTGAGCCGTGGACGGCGTGTGGGACTTTTGAAGCCGGGCCACCAGAGAAGACCAGACACGACAGCAATGGCCGTCCACGCGCCCGTGACCGCGAAAATCGTCGTCGTCGGCATGTTTGCTGCCATCTGTGATCCTTTTGAGCGAAGCGAAACAAGTATAGTAGTGGCAAAAATGTGTGATGGTAACGGAATTCAGATGGGACAGGAAAAGGAAAAGCAAAGGGACGGGAGGGGGAAAGGATTGGCGGGGGGTGTGTTGGTGACACGAAACGCATTCAATTTCAGTATTAGCCGCCCAGTTGTGAGAGAAACTCGCGAGAAGTACTGTCTGTCATTCATCATACTGTCCGTCATGGTCATGTCCGTCGCTCAACCCAGTAATGTCCAGCTCGCTGTGCGCAATAAAACGGGAAAAGAAACGAGTGAGTGATAAGAAGAAGCCGCTTCCATGCCTGCCACAATCCCAGTCCCTTCCAGTGCATTTCCGTCCCGTCATTCCAGGCCACAACCTGAAGGCGGGGTCACAGCGAAAAAAAAAATCGAGTCAATCCGCCCATCCATTTGTTCGAGTTCATGCGCTCGCTGCCAGGCCCATGCTTCATTTCCCATGCCCATCATGTCCCATCGTGTCCCATCAAGCAAGAAGCAAAACCCGCTATTTACAGTGTCAAGTCATGAAGCAAGCTCCAAGCTCCTCTCAGTAATGCATGTGCACGATGGAAGAAGCTTAGGAAACCGCCTTCCAAGTCCTTGATGATCGAACTGAACATGAAAGTGAATCAAGTAAGTGTCTCGTCCCCAGTAAAAGAGCGTGCGAATCCCTTGTTCTTTTGTTTTTGACATGAAATCCGGCTCCTGTTCCGAGGTATTACAAGACACATGGTGTGAATATTGCTGAGCTTTTGTGGATCGAAGAGAAAGCCTCCCACCTTTCCATCTGCCGTCCTTTTTGTTCTCAATTTTGATAGTCTCCCGTTTGTAACTTTTCGAAAGAATGTGCTCGTTTTAGAAAGAAATGGAAAATCAATTCGGCCAACCGTGAAATCTGGGGTTCGCATGAATATTTATTGCCTCGTTTGACATCCTGCCAAGGGTAGGCTCGGTCACGAAGTGATTCATTTGGAATTAGAGGAGTGGAGAATTATGCGGAGGGAGGTTGGTAGTGTTTCTGGTCGTTGGCGTAGGTCATCATCTCGTCGTTAGGTAGAAGCTTTTCTTGCAACTTTTCGTCTCCAATTTCATAGAAAGGTGGTTTCTTTTGGCGGATCATTCTTCCAGCGTCGCTGGCGTCAGCGTTGGGTCGACTGCCCCAAGTGGTCTGTTGCAAAGCGTTAGCTACATTCGATATGTCCAGAATCTGCTCATCAGAACTCACCACGCCCAATGTGACTACAGCGTAGACCTTGATGGCTCCATGAAACCATCCGAAGAGGATAGACACTGGCCACAGGAAGATGTCGACAGGGTAGCGCACGAAGTGAGTCACCAGCTTGATGAACTTGGAGAATGTCATCCAAGCGGCAAAGGCATAGATGGCAGTCCTGGCTTGGTCGACAGGCCAGTCACGAATGCCTTTGCACAAACAGAGCCAGAGAAGTCCATCCCCGATGATGGCAGGCGGCATCAAAGTCGTGACGTGGACTGCGTACGTGCTGTACGGTTGTTGACTAGCAAAGGGGCCAAAGATGGTCAGTTGCCAAGATCTTTTCAGAGAACCGAGGGAGAATCTCCCATCAGAGGAGCTCCGGGTGAAGATCCAACTTACAGCCAAATACGACGTTCAGCGAACATGCTGGTGAGATTGCTGCGCCAATTACTGCGAGCCCACCTCAAACATTGTTTGAGGAATTTTGGGTTGTCTTCGAGTGTGGTAAGCACTTCACATTCGGGATGGTATTGCATGTAGGTTTCGTGCCGATGATTGACCATCCAGCGCGTAAGGAAATTATCGTCATCAGCGTTGAGCTGGAATTGGCCAAACCACCACTTCTCATTTGTGAATCCGTTGGTGAAATTTACGTCCTGGAGGATGGATGTCCGATAGGCACAGGTACGCCCAGACAAGCATGGAACCCCCCCGTCCATGTGAGTGGTGGACGCACAGTCGAAATTTCGGCGCTCCAGGTAGAGTGCTCCTAGGAAACCATAGATACGCTGAGAGAAGGTGGGATTCTCGGCCCGCCGCAGCCGCTGACAGGTGACCACTCCTCCATATTTCTTGTCCTCGAACGGGGCCAGCATCCACTGGAGAGTCCGACGGGGCCACGTGACGTCGTCGTCGGCAAAGACAATGATCTCGGTGGTGACTTCGGGGATGGCTCGAGCCATTTGCCGTCTCTTGTTGGCATGTTTGACCGACATGCAACGGATGCGGTGGTACTTAGCCGCCGGCATCTTCCCCATGGTCCGCTCTGCCTTGGCCAAGTTCTCGTCGATCGTAACCAGAATCAACTCCTTGGGCTCGTTCTCCATGATCGAGGCAATGGTTCTCTCCAGCTCCTCTCCTTCGCCGTCCAGGGTAGGCAAGATGACCGTGACATCTGAAGGCCAAAGAGTGGGATTTTCTGGGATGGGGATCGGCTTGAAAGTCCAGAACGCCCACAGGTTGACAATGAGTCGGACATAGCGCCAGAGGCTACATTCGGTTAGCTAGACTGGTTTTGCGGTCGATCCTTGGCTGGTGTGCCGTCCACCCCCTCCAAGGGTGCCACGAGGATTGCACGTCGGGGGAGGCAGTCAGGGTCAGGCAGTCACTCACAAGTAGATGATGAAGAGATTGAACCACGTCGTTGAGTCCATGGCTAGTGACGAGGTATCTTGGTCTCGTGTCACTTGGACAAGTTAATGACAAGTGGACAATAACGACAGTAAGAGTGGTGGAACCACTCAAGGATGGGCCCCGGAAGAAACAGGACAAGCAAGCAAAGACGAGAGCAGATTATTGCAAGGACATGAAGGATGGGAAGGTAATGAGAGACAGAAGAGAGAGATCAGAGCAAAGTGATCGAGGCAGGTGAACGATTGAAATAAAAAAAATATGGGGAAGGTCACGGAGCCTAAGATTTCAGGTTGACAAGTCGAAGGCAATGGCAGATGCAGCAACGCATCAAGTCCTGTCTGGCTAGTGACTGTGGGAGAGTGAAGGCAAAGTGAATGGAAAGCGAGAGTGAAGGAGCCCTGGCAGTTGGCAGTTGGCTGATGGCTGTTTACACTTGACGCCCTGCAATTCCGCCAGCCTGCACCCTCAACCACAAACGTGAGCTTGCAGACGAGTTCGCAGTTCGCATGAGGTGAGGATTTGTTTTCGGCTTAAACACCCCAGAATAAGAAGGGCAGCTTGTGATGAGCGTCAATTGTTAGCTCGTTAGCCGCATAAGTGGGAGTGGATGTCTACGGCCAGGGTGGTGATTGGGTCTCAACCATGGCGGCTGCAGGCTTGCGTGGTTTGAGCCTTGAGGCCTGCACCTGCACCTGCACCTGCAGCAACGATGAGATGGGGGGTTGGTGGGAAGAGAGGGGGGGCGAAGAGGGGGGGGTTGTTTTCGATGTCGATGATGGAGGGGAGGGGCAGTCAAGCGACGACTCCGACGAGGGGGTTGTCAATGGTTTAGCCTGGCCGAGGATTTCGATGGGGTGGTGGAGGGCATGGGAATGGATGGGGTGCTGGGGTGGCTTGACCAGGGTGTGGGTACTAGGTGCCTAGGTACGAACAAGGGTTCATTTGAGAAGATCAAAAAAGGACTCCGGGCAGGACATTTGAAGACAACAGAAGCACGAGCACGAGCATCAGACATACCTAAGGTACGAGTGGCATGGGTGCTGGGTCGCTGGATGGTGCTGCTTGTGGTGGGTGGGTTGCCCCCCTGCAGGTCAACCTTGGCCGCTCACAGGCGATGTAGGCTGTAGGCCCTAGGTAGCTCGCAATAGTAATGGTAGTAGTACCTCGTAGTAGTAGCAGTGTTAATCGATTTGGGGTAGTCGGTTGGCACCAAACAACCACCAAGTTCACTGAAGCAAAGCAGCAACCCGCCATCGTCCACGACGTACGAGGTACCCTGCCTAGGTAGGTCAAAGTCTCGACTCTCTAGCCTCCTAGACAGCCGGTACAGCTGGCATGTTCCAACCCCAGTGTCCTGCTCTTCGAGTTGGTCCGTCGACGTCCTGTCTCTGGAGTCTGTACCCGCTTTGCCGTGCCTGATCTGACCCCAGAAACCTAAAATCTTCATTTCCCACCAAAAACTCACCGGTCACTTACCCAGGCGTCCAGAGCACCAAAAAAGCACTTCAGGTAATCTCTCTCAGCTCCAGTGACCAGGGTGCCTAACAAGACGCGGGAAGGCCTAGCAGTATTTTGCCTTCCTGGCTACAAGAATCCAAGTCGATGGTGGCCACTGCCTCTAGTCAGACCGTGGTCATCTGCAGCCCCCGGGCGCCTGCTCGCCTAGGCATCATTTAACCAGAGCGGCTACTATCAAGCAATGAGCTTCTCCAAGACCTCTGCCGCCGATGACGGCGGGCTCTGCGTGGGCGCATACCATTTCCAGCTGCCCTCATCATCTCGTCCTCATTATCCTCGCCCATCTATTTCCTTACACCCCATGTCGCAAGCGAGAGCATGCAAGCACATGCTGGTGGACCAGAATGTCTGGATCACCTCCCGATGAGACTCCGGCCCAGCCAGTGATCGGAGCTTGACCACCTGTCCAGAACGTCAGAAAGCGAGGCAGAGGGAAAATTTGAAAAAAAAATCATGCAGCGTTACTGGCAGATTGGTTACGGAGGCGAAGCGAACAAGTTCCTCATCAACGGCGGGCGTTCATGCAGGCGGTACAAGGGCCTGATGCCCGAACAAGTCCTTTTGAGGGAAAAAAGCCTCTTGACGCAGGTGCTCCCGTCTTTAGAATTCCCGAACGAGGCCCCAAATTGTCCTTCGACTTTTACCAAGTACAGATCTCGACAAGCAACAGAGTTTGTGTCTTGTGTCAAGTGCTCAGCACCAGCCTCAGAATCTGAGTCAAATCTTTCAGGTAAGATGACCATGCAATCCGGCCACCTGACCGGCCAGCACGTAGATGGAGGGGGTGGGCAGTGTTGAACATCCTCTACAGCACCCCATAACATACCCTTTTTTACAGTCAGATGTCTCTCTTACACGAACACGATCTCCTCATGGTCATTTTCCAGCGGCAGTTTCCATCTCGTTGCCGCCCTCACGAAAAACGGCAGACTCCACCTTCATATCCACCATGTCTGTTCAGATGTTCGATTCGTTGCTAGCTCCGCTTTCCCACTGACAAGCCCGCCACCAAGTCTCCCCGAATCCTCAGACCAATTTGATCAGAAGCAGCAATCAGAGGTCGCTGCAAGGTGCACAGGTTGCTAGACTGGAACTGCCATAGAGGAGGCTACAAGTGGCTTCAATGGACCAACAGCAAAACTACCTAGGTACTCTGCAGTCCACACATTGGGAACACTGCCTCCAGGTCAGAGCGCCATGCATTTAATCGAACCGACTACGATAGTCAATAATGCTGTCATCTGCAATGCGGCACTCGGACCTCGACATACCCTTTGGCCATGCGTTGCCCCACATCATCGCCAGTTCTCCTCGTTTTTTCTCATCGTCCTTCGCCCACCAGCAGTAGCCACTCCACGGCTGCAATTCCACCAATAAATGGCCGTGACTCGGACTGTCACTCTCCAAGCTCCGAAGTTCAACTCGTGCACGTTGGCTCTAAGAAATTGGTAGCGGGGTTATTACAACACGTTGAAGCAGTAAATCTACGATGATGAGCAACGGAAAACCTGCTTGACTTTCACCATTTTTCTTAGGGCGTCTTCCGTGTCTGGCCCTCGCCCCAAAACGGCATCGCCAGATCAGATCGGCGACAGCAACGTAGCCTGGAGGGTTCGAGGTACTTATCTCAAAACCCAATCAGCATGGCGTGCGGGCTCCCATGGGTCCCTCGTCCATGCTCGTCTTTTTCGCTCTTGTGCTCACAGTTGCATTCATCAGCAAGGGTCCAGACAAGAATGGAGCTTTGCATTGACAGGACGCCAGAAGGTCTGTGCTCTCTTTGTAGCCCACTGCCCCCAGATGGCGCAATGCGTGATGCGACTCAGCACGGAATCACCCGCAGGCCTATCTGGGCCTTCCTCCTAACCCAAGTAGTAAATCCGTTACCCTCCCCTGTGTGAATCGCCCGGCCGTCGCCTCTGGCTGCAGCCGCAGAGATAGTCTTCTCCCTGTGCGAGGAACGGAAGAGGTTTGTTTTGCTCGAGTATCTCGGTTCAGCTAGGAGGACGAACCCAGCCAATTCGAGACTCTAGAGTGTACCCTGAGGCCTCGATGGAACGCACCCGTACGCGAAGTACCTCCCTCCCTCTCCAGCCGACCCGTCTCTAGGCCGAGATGGGCCATCCCATTTCCTGGTCTGACTTCATCAGACCATCACATCCCGATCCTTCGAATTCAAAAACACAGGTCTCACGCGACGCAATTTTGGTTGATCGGCACTAGGGTCCTGTTGGATTCGAATGCCGCATGGATGGGCCCCCATGGTCTCTTAGAGCATCCTGGGGCAGATGCACTAATACAACAAACGGCCTCGTTGGAATCACATTATCATCTACAGAGTTTTTTTCCTTCTAAGTTCAACGTGCCGTCCCAAAAACAGCAGTGGAGAACGGAGACTCCTTTCAAAGGCCCTGTCTCAACGCCACACTCGCGTCGAAAGCCGACCCAACACTCCAATTGCCGCCCACACGGCCAGTTGGCGAAAACTGGATAAAACCTTGGGTTGCTGCTGCATGGTCCTAGCCCATCCAGAGTCGGCAGACCTCGATCGAAGATCACACCACCAATTGTGTCAAAGATGGAAGTTTGGTCTGTGCGAGCTTGGCCAGATGACAGTCGACCCGACCTTGGAGCTCCGTGAGAAGCTTGACAACAGGGAAGCTTGAAAAAAATGTGACTCTTCTCGCATTGGTCCATGAGCTAACTGGGCTCATCCTTGTTGAGCAAGGGAAAAAGATGGAGGGACAGGCTGCATAAGTGCTTCGGTGGCGTCTGCATTAGGCTGCCCTTGGCATCATCCAACCCCACAGCGAGCATTGTCCGTCGCGCAAATGGTCGACCAGCCAGACGCTGATGCATCGTCCATTTTCGCAGCATATTCCCCAGTGGCAGCTTATCGCGCAGATTCTCCCAGCTTCCTATTCTTGCCATGACATTGAGCACATGCGTCCTCGGCTCCCGAATCCTTTTCCAACCGGGTGGCCCTACTAGCCAGATATGCAAACGAGCGGGGGAAGGTGCTGTTACTCGGCTTTCGCGAGAACAGGCTGTCTTCATACGTGGGCACCTCGCAGAGGCAGCTGGAATTTGTCTCAGAGCCAGTCCTGATCATGATTCATTAAGCAGCCATCCTGCAGGTCCGGAAATAGTAGAGCCGGGTGAATGTGCTTTTGTTGGGTAGTGAGGATGAACTGGTTCGCATATTAGGCATTTCGTCCAAACAATTTGCCAGCGCCCCAGCTTATGGCACATACGGCGGTTCAACGGAAGTGGGTTAGCATGTCAGAACTGGCGGAGATATTGCTCCGTGTCTAGTTCTTCCATGGCTTTTCATGGAAGTAACTCTGCACGATGCACAATCCGGAGGAACTGGACGGCGACTCGTACTTTTGGTGGGATGGTTTGGAGCTTTGCCTTCGGAGCACGCCATTCGCTGGCGATATTGTCCAACGGAAAACAACTCGCATACGAGCATCAGAAGGTATAAACCCTGTCCATGGAAGCTGACGCTATATGTATTCGCTTAACGGGCGCATTCCTTTCACGTCAACCTGCTGTAATGGTGTCAGCAGCAGGACAAAGCGTTCTGGTGCCATGATAGCGTGCATCGAGATACGCAGGAGTCTGAATCATATCCGGGCATGTTTTCCCAGTGGTAATCTGACAAGTCATCGGTAGGGCGGGCACTGGCGGGGCCACCGAAAGAGTTGCAAAGAGTTGCAAAGAGTCTTGTCCAACCTGCGTTTCCAACATATGCCTGCAAAGAGGAATAATCCGTGTCGCCAGTGACACAGATATACTTGACCTTGGCGGCCATCGCCCGCGCCAATTGCACGAGGAAAGACAATTCAATCGATCGGTGACTTTTCGATCACTTGTGATGCTTTCTTGCGCGAATGCGCGGCCCCCTTTGGTTCCGTCCGATCTACTGGTTGGATAACTACTTTGAGACCGGAGACAAGTACCTAAAGAGCACAGCGTAGCGTCTTCTTTCCTGATGCAGTGGCAGCAATCCTGCGCCCTCCGGTGGGGACCGAGGGATTTTCTCATCGGCAGCTCGTAACTGGACTTACCAAGTATCCTCACGAATTATGACAATACAAGGTGGTGTATTTGGAGATGTAGCAGTGTGTCCCTCCAGATGCTCCAGCGACGTTCAGGTCTCAAGACGTCGGGAGGCTGCGAATAGCAATTCAGAGATATTATGTTGACCGGAAGCCAGGGCTGTACTTCCCCCCGAAGCCAGCGCGGTTCAAGTGCATAGGGATGCAGATTGCTACCCAACCACCCTAAACAAGTCGGAGCGCGGGGCTTGTACTTCGTTTCTGGGCGATCTTCGACGCTGACAAAGGAGAGTGTTCGTGCCCTGAGGACCCGGTTGTCTCTAGGCGGCGACGACGGGAGTGGAAGACGGCAGCGACAAGGTCCTGGACACTTGGGACCCCGGCGACGACATTGTCTTGGCAATGACGTTGACAGGCTGCGCCCACTTTGCAAGGAATGCGCCTTTTCCCGTCTCACTTTGATCCTTTCTCTCCCCTACCTCTCCCTTCCCAGGCCTCTTCCCGTGAGGGCATCCCCATCCTACTAGGTCCTGTACCGAGTAATTAATTGGTCATCCCTCTCGAGGCTGTCACCACACACCTGTCTGTTCTCACCACTGGTTCTGGCATTGCCCAGCCTCGTCCTTGCCGCAACCCCGGATGATCTGCAATCTCCTGTTCGTGCCACACCAACGGCATTCGTGCGAAGCCTTTTCCGGAACCACTCAAAAACTGAATTTACACCGCTTGTTGCGGCTCCCAACGGCGCTCCCTCGTGGTCTGACGCAAGAATGGCGGTGAAGAATACACCCGCAAACGCTCTGATCTTGAAGAAAAGGGGGGCTGCTAAAAAGATCGATTACGTGCATTTTCTCACGGGCCGAAGCGGGCTCGCCTGTCACCGAACGTCAAATATCCCGGAGGCTTGATTGTGCCCAGAGTTGTCACCGCTATTTGATATCCATCAATTTTTAATCCAACCTTCTGCTCAAACCTGTTCTGATAAGACTCTTTCAATCCAGCGCGATCAATTACCGGTCCCTGAGTATCGATGCATCCCTCCTCTGGGCAATGGGCCCGAAGTCGCCCTACTTTATGCTGGCGATGGCTCGTGAAACGCTGTAGGCGCAAACCGTACGCATGACCTTACACATCTGCACCCCGCCATTCAGCAATGGCGAATACGAGATTCACGTTGCACAACGGACATTCTGGAGACTACGCAAAGATTGGCAATTCTGACCGACTTCGCCCTTCGATTTTCCGAGTTTGGCGCTTCGACCAAATCCAGGCACGCCGCCCACAACCCCCACTGATTTCCATGGTCACATGGACATTTCCGTGTGGGCGGGTGTGACCTGACGCCATCTTTGGGACCGGACAACTTCTTGTTCCTGCATCATGCTGTGCGTCGTCGCACGGATCGCCTCAGCTGCAAGAATCATGCCATGCAAGTCATTTGGCAAAGTTTGGTGATGACGGAGTCTGGACCATCCCGGTGGGATGGTTGCAGCAGCGTTAGACTCTGTCAAGGAAGTTCTCTTCCCATCGGGAATCCGACTGGTCAGCCCCAAACTACATGCTTCTGATCTGTCAACAAATGGTAACCCTGAATTCTGTGGCGGCGATGGGCATCGTCGACCCTTGCCTACTGTCCTGCTGCTGAAGGGCCACCCCCAAATGGCCTTTTCGCCACCCAACCTCATCCAGCTTTGATCTTCAGCAGCGGCTCCTGACAAGTCGAAATTTTCCTCTAGTGCGATTGAATTTGTTGGCCGTTTATCCTGCAGGGGGTTCAAACTGGTGGGGGGTACCAACAAGACGCGACTCACCAGAACCTAGATTCTAGTCAACAACCCAGCAGTAGCGGACCACATGGTCTGTACCGGCGGTGCTGGGGGTCTGCCCCCCCTTGTACCGAGTACTGCTTGTGTGAGTCCTGTCCGAGCCCAGATCGCGCGGGGCTGTTACGTGGTGTTGTTGTATTCTCCTTGTGGTGGCTTGTCCCACACCTGTCCGGGGCCTTCCTTTCACGGCACGGTCAAACGGGCGCCATCGCTTAAATCGTTGTTCTCCTTGCTCAGAACATTGAATGAGGCTGCCCCGACGATTGTTCAGGGCTCTAATTTTAGTCTGGCTGTCGTACTAACGTACCACAGTTGCTTTACGTGTCATCCCATCTTGTACCCAGAGCGCTCGACGCCTTTCCTCAAAACCGAGTGAAGGCAGGACCCGATACTCCAGAGGCGTTTTGAGATCTCTTTGCCAGGCGAAGGTACACAGTTACACTTGCTCGGTTTCGTCTACACCCTATGGAGAGTGGAGAGACGTTTTCTTGCGCAAGGGTACTCTCCCAGAATGCCTGGCAATTGGGCTCAACTTCTTCCTCGAGTCGAGAACTCGATGGGATTGTACTTACTTCTGTTTCAGTGATGACAAAGAGAGTATCACTATATAGGCTGCATTACTGACGTTTTTCACAGCTAACCCATCTCATATTACCCTGCAACACGAGCTCTACACGCCCATCCTGCTTTCTTCGCTCATTAGTCGACCACAGTCTGATTCCTCCACTTCAACTCGACGTTATCTCTCAGCTTCATTGGAGACAACTGAATGGAACCACCTTTTGGTCCACTATAAGCCGCAGACTATAAAAGTTCATCGCTGGCTACCTGATGGGACGACGTTGGAATCAGGAAAGAGAAGGAACACATCGAGCTGTTGCACATAACGGGCCTTTGTTGAAAGCGCGCAAGGTTCATACCATGCGTTATTCCTCTATTCATTCTCAAAACTCTCTCTACAACTACCAGTCGTCTCAAGTTGTCCATCTCTAGCTGTGACCGCACCACAAGGGCACGTTTCCTCTGGATTGGCAGGTGTCACCATGCTCTTTAGCTTGTCATCCCCATCGGCCCTGGCTCTCTACTACTTCAGAGTCGGCAAGGTGCGAAGTTGAGGTCATTGAACACGCTCCATTTACGGATAGCAGTACATGGGGCTCAATTGGCCCACAGATGCCCCTTCAAGCACGAGGAGATTAAGATCTCTATGACTGAGCTGTCCAGCCTGGCTAAAACTGCCATCTAGGTTACTCCCGCTACCACGCCGTGCCGCCGCTATTCGGATCGCAAGCGCGCCCTTTTGAAGCTAGAGAACTCTATAGGAGTGTCCTCGTACTCGGAGCAAATTCAGCGACTGTAAAGAGCGTGGAACTTATGGGAGGCTAAATCTGAAGAACAGTTACACAAACCAATTGGCAGTGCTCAGTGGTCGAACCAAGCCTGACAACTGTGAAGGATGGTTACCAGCCGACAACACCTGGAACCATTTTTGCCATCCAACCTTCTTTTGAGTCCCCTCCCCCTGTTGATGGCCAGCTGTTGGACCTACACTGTGAGAGACATTGTGCAGAGGATTGTCGATTCCATCTTCCTCTCATTGCGTGGGGTGACGGGTTCTGCGGTTCGAGCGGCTTCTCTGGAAACGAGGTCTCGACGTGGTGATGCCTCTTGGGACCATTTCTCAAGACCCCAAGATTACCTGTTAAGATTACCTGTTGGCGCGTCACCGTCCGCCGACGGCGATCACACTTTAACGCCTTAAAGCAAGCCATTGGCCACAACGAGCCGCAGGTGAGATGTAGACGCGCAACAATGTCAAACTGTCGTCGCGGGCGTCGACCTTGGGATCCCCAGTTGCCAGGCTCAAGGACAGGTCTGCTTCGACGGGGGGGACAGCAAACCGAGCCCCCAATCTGCCGTCACGGTCTCAATCAGAGGACATGTGTGTTTTGTGTCTATGTATGGTCGGTCAAGTGGGCCAGGTCGACCAAGTACAATACCTACCTATACAAGGATTCAGGGATTTTCTCGTCATGCGCCCACGCCGCAAGGGATCACGGCTATAATACAATATTATATTACTCTATGTGCTACAGCGTCAGCTCCTCCATTGATGAATATTACGTTTATGTATCAAGATCAAGTGACGAGAATAGGAAGGCCCAACATGCCAGAGCACGGGATTTTGCCTCATCATCTCTCAGACCCTACCTGCCCTTCCAACTCACGCTCTCCCCAAACCTGACGTCGAACTCGACGCCCCCAAACACACCGATGGCGGGATACAAGTCTCCCTCGCCCATGAGGCCATCGACGCCTTCGTCGCGCAGGTCGCGTTCTTCGTCAATATCCCAGCCCCAGCGCTGGTCGTCCGCCCTGCCGTCTCTGGTGACGAAGGCTCGCGTCTTTACCCTGCCCGTTTCTGCGCTTCCTCTTCCTCCTCCTCCTCCTCCTCCCCCGTCCTGGCGACGAGGAGGCCCCTCCTGCTGCGTGGAGAAATGCATGCCCACACCCACGACCTGGCCTTCCGTGAACGCCGGGACGAAATCCCGCCCGCCCCAGGGATCGTTGACGAATCTCCGGCCGTCGTCGCCGTGCACGCCGACGCTGGCACGGTGCCACCCGGGCAAGCGCCACGGCGGGTATGGTTTGGCGGCGAAGCCGATTGCGATGCCCGAGTTGGCGTTGAGGATGCGGCGGATGGCCAGCTCAAAGTATATCGTCTTGGGTTCCGCTGTGCGTAGCGGGTTGTCCACACGGGCGAAATACAAGGGGATCGAGGCCAGGATGATGGCGTCCTGTTGGTGTTTGCTCGTCGCGACGTGCCATGTCGTGGGACTCGTCTGCCGGAACGTCGTCATGTGCTTTCTCAGCGGCAAGGGCGGGGGTTCCAGCGTGATGTGGCCCGCGTTGGCCAGGAGGTGGATCTCGTGGCTCGGCGTGCTGGGCGTGTACACGGGGTGTTTTGCACACCACTCGTGCGCGCGCGCCGCCGAGTCGTACGACGCGTTGTTCGTCGGCGAGTAGTCCTGCGGTAGTGGCGGAGGGGGCGGGAGGAGTGCTGTGTCGGGAATCACGGTCCAATCGTGATAAGGGGGCGGGTTATCGGGCTTTGGATCTGGGAGGTGGGAAGGCGGCGGACCAGGCGGTGGGGGGAACTCTTCATTACTGTGTGAGCTTGCAGGGACACGACGGTGCGATGGCGGCGGGCCGGAAGGGGGCTCAAAGGTCTCTTCTGTCCCTTGGCCCTGTTGGTGATGCGATGGGGGTGGCCCTGGCGGAGGAGCATAGTGTTCTTCCCCTCGGCGTTGCGTTTGGCGAGATCCTCCTTCGTTATGGAGGTCGTTGGTCCCGGAAGGATTCTCCGTCCCGACGTCGATTTTGCCCTTCAGAGACTTGAAGAGGCCCATGGCGGGCCCGCGGCGCGGAAGTAGCTGGCGATGGTCGTTGACACGTAAATGTCGAAACCGGTAATAGGATTGAGGAATTAGCGAGGAGTCCACAACACTCCTGTATAGGATCTTGTCGTCGCTCTTTTTGCCTGTCGCGAGACACAGCCACTCACACTCAGGTCCTGTACCAAATATCAGGCCAGGGAACAATCTGACCACCTAATACCCCTTCCTCATACGAAAAAAAGGACACTAGGGCTGTGGTAGAGTGCGAAGTCGCGGGACGACAACACTGTTTGATGGCAGATGCGGTATCTAGTCTGGTCCTTTTTGCTTTGTCTTTGGTGTTTGTAACACACCATGCAATACAAGGCTGCTAGAGATGTAGTCGGATCCAATCCACTGTAGTTCCGATAATGGTCACCCAACCTACCTTGTCGGTCGGATTGAGACTCGCGAGCTGGTACAAGCCCACACGCAAATCAGGACCGGTGGTCGAACGAACCAATGACGGTTCAAGCCCTTGTGCCGGTCTTCTGCCACCACCCTCCTCTGCAAGGAAGGGCGGCGTCCAAAGAGTTCGGCTGGCTCTGAGAGAGAGGAAGGAGGGGGCCTTCGGAGACTGAACAGAGACAAAGTGATTGGGTGGCGAGTGATGATAGAAGTAGGTTTTGAGAGACAAGAAACTTTGATTAGTTTGGTCGCTTTGTTTGGCAATTGGGAAGTGGTTGGAATAGGTAGGTCGCTTAGGCACGGTTCCAGAGCCTCGCTTGGCGTGAAATGTGAGAGATAGGAGGAGACTCCGGTTCGCAATGGACCCGGTACTTTGACGCCGGAAGGGGAGTTGATGGACAAGGCGAAGGGAGGGCCGTCGTGGCTGCAGGAACTGGCTAGAGTGAAGTGAGTGACTTGAGTGGACTCGTTGTTCTTCTGGTCGTGGAATCCTGTAATCCTGTGGTTTGGTGTCGGTTGCCCCGCTTCGAACTCGGGGTTCGGAGCCTATGGAACAAACGAGGAAAAGGACAGAGGAAAGGATGACAAGACTGATCCAAGTGGTCGACACTGCAAAGGTTGCGGTTGATGGAGGGCTAAATGACTCGGTCGAGTTCTTGACGGTGGTGGAGGAAGTCGTGATGCTGGATGTGGTACAGTGCCAGGTTTACCACAGACGCGGGGTAAGACAGCGCATTGGCATGTGATGATGCTCCCAACCTTGGAACTGTAGCTTACTCGCGAATACGGTGCCCCTAGCCTGCTTGTAGTTACCTAGTTACGAGTCAAGGAGTATCCCTGGTTAGGCCCTTGAAGCACTCAGGCCCCTAGATGCCGGTAGCCTACATACCAGTTACGACTCAATGTACCTAGGTACCCTGGCAATCTGGATACCTACCTATGTACAAGGTAGGTATTGAGGTTGACAGTACTCGATGGCCCCTCCTTCTAGTTAGCTACCTCGTCAGTAGTCAAGACCAAAACATCCTTCAGTGCCCTCAAGCATGTGCAATCCAACGCACGCACCTAGGTAGGCATCATCGATCTATCGCGGATATGCAGCTTCCAGTCTCCCTCGTTCCGTCCTTTCCGGCATCCTTTTCATCCCTCACCCACTGGCCGGCCTCTGTGGCCATTGATCAAGTGTCACTGGACTGCCGGTCAAGGTGAAGTTCACCGTCGCCTGGGTCGGCACATCCACCAGCAATCCATAGTCGCCAGGATACAGGATCTGGTTTCCATTTTGATCTCGCCGCGCAAGACTGCCTAGCGTCAAATTCAGCGCTGCCGTCTGCGATGAGCCCCCAGTGATGTTGAACAGTCTCTGGTATGCAACCAGTTCCTTGATGGGATGTGGCGCGGGCCCATTCTGGCTGCTGATGAAGCCTAATGTGACAAAGTCTGACACCACTTTGCCCGTGTTGGTGACGTTGACCTCGAATGTGCTGAAGGGACACAGGTCGAGGTATTTGTATGTCGAGCGGTTGCAACTAGACACCAGCTTGGAGATATTAAAACTTGATTGCTGAGGTTCAGCCGCCGATAGACTGAAGTTGGTGTAATGCAGCCCATACCCGAACGGAAGAACAGCATTGTCGTACCACTTGTACGTCCGTCCAGGATTGCCCGACGATGCGTTGGGCCTCAGGTTCATGTCCGTCATCGCAACCTGTTCAACGTAGTTGGCAGGGTATTGCGTGACTGGAAGTCTTCCTGCCGGCGCTACCTTGCCCGTGAGGATGTTGACGACGGCATCACCTCCAGCCATGCCTGGATACCCGCCCCACATAATGGCCGAGATGTTGGGGTTATTCAGGAATGGAGTGTCGTCGAGCTGATCACCAAACTGGAGCAGAATGACAGGCTTGCCCATGGCCGTGACCTGGTTTATCAAATCGATCTTTCCCGGGGCCCAGCTGATCTCGTACCGGTCCAAGCTCTCGCTCTCGTCGCTATCATTGATGCCGTCTGCGATGACCACGATGTCGCCCTCTTCAGCAGCCGAGATCAGGTCATCCCAGTTGTCTGTGGTAGGGAAGTTGATGCTGCTTTGGCTGCTGGTGTAAAGAACGTTGACGTGAGGCAATTGCTGCAAAGAATAGAGTGGCGCATGAAGGAATGGTGCTTGGCCGTAGTAGTTCCCTTGGAGCTGCGTCGTCACATTTGCCCATTCGCCGAACAGAGCAATGGTGGTGTTCTTGTTTGTTGGCAAAGACAACGGCAGTATGCCGTCATTCTTCAGGAGTACAATGCCTTCCTCAGCCGCCTTCAATGCCAGGGCTTCGGAGGCCGGGGTCGACACATTCTGCCAGCCAAGGGAGCGATACGGAGTGGCAGATGCCGGATCAAAATACCCCAGGCGTATCAAGGAAGAGTAAAGACGGGTCAGGGTCTGGTCGAGAAGGCTTTCATTGAACAGCCCCATTTCATACGCCACAGGAAGGTGCGTCTGGTAGTATGTACCCTAGGACAACGTCAGCACTATTCCGCGTGTTATGTTGGGACGAGTGACCTACGCAGTTGAGATCAGTTCCTGCTTTCAAGGCGTCGGCGACAGCTTGCTCTCGGGATGTTGTATAGTCGTGCGGCATGTAGATATTCTGGATCGCATCGCAATCCGAGGTCACATACTGGCCCTCTCCCGTCCAATTCCAGTGTTCTCTTAAGATGGTTTGAAGAATGTACGGATCGGCGCAGGTAGGCACGCCGTTCAAGGCGTTATAAGAGCACATGATGGAGCTATGGTATGTAAGTTGGTTGGCTGCCAAAGGTTGAGCATGGTATATCTCACTCACCCAACGTTGGCGTCTCTTGCACAGGTTTGGAAGGGCTGCATGTAATACTCGGCCAGGTCTTGGGTGTTAACTTGAGCGTCGAAGTTATATCGGTCTGATGTTTCCCAGTTCTCCAGGTCGTATGCCACGAAATGCTTGCAAGTGGCTACCACCTTTTTGATCGCTGGATCATGACCGCCCTGAAGACCATTGATCAGGGAAGCAACGTAGGACTTGAGATGGAAAGGATCTTCTCCAGGAGTCTCCTGGCCCCGGCCCCAACGCGGATCCCTAACACATCATAGGTCAGAACAGAGCTCCGGGCACTTGGGGATGTATAGACTTGGACAGCAATCCTACTCACTTGTATGGGTTGATATTGGGTGTCCAGTAGTCCAGTCCACTTCTGTTGGCATTGTTGAAGGCGCGTGCTTCGGTGCTGACAACGGTCGCAACAGCATGAATCAACGCATCATCAAACGCAGCCGACATCAGGATAGGTTGTGGGAAGGAGGTCGCATAAGACCACTCTCCATTTTGGCTGAAGGTCACACCAGGAGAACTTGCCACGCCGTGTAATGCTTCCTCTGATTCTTAATGAGTACGATGAGCAAAACTCCAAGCCTCTGGGTAAACTCACGCCACCATTGATAGCTGTGAAGTCCCAAACGCGGCACCCCTGGGGAAGTGTTGCCTGTCAGGTTGAACTTCTCGTCCAGAGTCATGGCTCCAATGAGCGCCCGAGCTCTGTCTGCCACTGAGGCAGATGTATCACAGACAGTGTTGTTTGCAAGAGGTCCATGGACACAATCCGGGAACAAATCTGCTGCCGCCGGGACAGCCAGCAGCGCAAACAGACCAAGCATAGTAGCTGCCATGATTTCAATACCCTTTGCGCTGAGAAGTTGCAAAGAACGCTGTCACAGCGGATAAAAAGAAAAGGACATTCACGGTCTCCCTCCTGAACTATAAGGCCATTTGTTTTCACCCACCTTGTACCTCCTGAGCCCCTCCCATTCTCCGCAAGATCTGTCAAGAAGTCAATGAGGAATTAGCCATCATGGAGAATTCATCCTTGAGCAACACAGGTCGTGCAGCGACGATCATGCCAGTATTCAATTACCGGCAGGGAGCGACCAAGGGACGCATGTCGTTGCCGATGCCTATGACTGCACAGACAAAGTATCTCTGCCATTCCTTCTGGTGCCTTCGCGCTCCGTGAACCAGAGAACTTCACACCGCTAAGCATTTTGTGGCGTATTTTGAGCTAGAAAGGGCTGAAGGCCGGTGGCGGGTGTATGACGGGCATCACGGCAGTATCCCCTAGCTCCAGCACCGACGGGTATATCGTCACCACTCTGCACCTCGGTGTTTTCCTGGAGCCGTTCTTCTCTCAGTTGCTTTCGAGCTGGATTGGTTTTGGATAAAAGGGCAAAGGCACACAAAGCAGAAGAGAGGGGAAAGGGCATGTTTGCCTGCCCGTCAAACCACCGGGCCATTCAGCTGCAGCAATTTCATAATTGCGGTTAATTAGGCTAAATGCCAGCTGCGACTGTGGAGGTGGAGGGCGTACAATCTGTGGAGGGCTGGGGACTCTCGGCCTCTCGTGATCAAACCCGCCTTCGTGGGGCCAGGCAGAGTGCCGTCTTCTCAAGGTTTGACCTCATCATTCCATGGAACATTCGACGGCTGGGGGATCGTTTTTATCCAGACATCCATACGAGCGTCCCGCCAATGGCAACAGACCAGAACCTTTCTGTCCAGGACGCGGGATAGAAAATGGTGGTCTGACATTGAGTCTAGGAGCCATGTTCCGTTGCCCAGTGACACCCGAAGCATTGTGTTCGTCGGGTCGAGATCGCAGACCGACGCAGATCAACCTCGTCAGACAGATGCGGAGCCTGGTGGTTGCGATGGCGTTTTTGAAACGGATGTTAGCTGCCGATCCTCAAGGGATATTCCTTGATCTGGCCTTGTTGGTGCTTAGCCCAGCCGTGCAATGCTTCGCTGGGCTTTCTGCCGATTGCAGTTCCACTAGCCAGGATATCCCGCCCTCTTCCAATGAAAACGCCATCAGTGCGCATGATCGAAGTGAACGTTACATAGTCCATGACCGCCATGTGTGTTCTCCAGGATTTGATTTAGCCTGAAGACGGAAGACGGCACACGAGGTGATCAGCTGTCGATGATATACAAGACGAAACGACACGCCTATCTTGTAGTCTGTCTCCAGTCTCCAGTCCTCAATCGCACCTACTCCAAGATATCTCCTGCTGCCGTCGTTGTACAGTCGCAAACATGGTTCACGCAGGAAAGACCTCTCAATTCACTGATGCTGCTCTCCAGCAACGTATGGCGCTGGCCGGCAAGGCTGGCCCGCAGGCACTGATCAGGAACTTCCGTGTCTTTCTGATCGCCTGCTTTGCTTGCATTGGTGGTCTCCTTTACGGTTACAATCAGGGTGTTTTCAGCGGTGTCCTGTAAGTCACCACAAACTCCTTTTTGAGATTGTTTTTCCACACAAGACGAGGCCCAGAACTTGTCTCTTTCTTCGGCTATGATGTCCGGTGCTTGGGTGCAAATGGCTGACCGAATAACAGGACCATGAACTCCTTCAATAGACACATGGGAGACTACACCACCAACCAGTCCAAGAAAGGATGGCTCACCTCAATCCTCGAACTGGGCGCCTGGACAGGCACTTTGTACTCCGGGTTCCTCGCCGAGATCATCTCCAGGAAATATGCCATCGTGGTGAACACTTGCGTTTTCATCGTTGGTGTTGTGGTGCAATGCACAGCTGTCCAGGCTGGACATTCAGCGATCCTTGGAGGCCGATTTGTCGTCGGTATGGGTGTCGGCTCGTTGTCCATGATCGTGCCCATGTATGTTGCTGAATGCGCGCCTCCTGAGCTTCGAGGTCTGCTCATTGGAGTGCAACAATTCGCCATCGAATTCGGCATCATGGTCAGCTTCTGGATTGTAAGTGAATCTCCATGAGAACAATCCTGCTTCAACTGACTCTTTTTCAGGACTATGGCACCAACTATATTGGAGGAACAGGCAACAGCCAATCTGAGGCGGCATGGCTCGTGCCTTTGGCCCTTCAACTCTTCCCTGCCCTGATCCTACTTGTCGGAATGATCTGGATGCCGTTTACACCCAGATGGTTGGTCCACCACGGACGCGAAGAGGAAGCACGTCGGACATTGGCAACTTTGCGATCTCTGCCCATCGATCATCAACTCATTGACTTGGAGTTCCTCGAGATCAAAGCCCAGTCCATGTTCGAGAAACGGACAGTCGAGGCAAACTTCCCTCATCTAGCAGAGATGACATGGACCAACACTATCAAGCTGCAATTCGTCGCCATTGCGTCTCTGTTCAAGACAATGCCTATGTTCCGCCGAGTGATTGTCGCGACGGTGACCATGTTCTTCCAGCAATGGACCGGAATCAATGCCGTGCTTTACTATGCTCCTCAGGTGCGTGACACTGGCGCTGAATTAATTGTCCGCAAGATACTGACAAGCACCTTAGATTTTCGGCTCTCTCGGGCTGTCATCCAACACTACTTCACTTCTCGCAACAGGTGTGGTTGGTATTGCCATGTTTTTGGCAACCATCCCAGCCATTCTCTACATCGATAGAATTGGAAGAAGACCTGCCTTGGCTCTTGGTGCCCTTGGAATGGGCCTTTGCCACTTCATCATCGCAATCATCTTCGCGAAGAATCAGCATCAATGGCCCACTCATCATGCTGCTGGTTGGGCTGCTATCGTCATGGTGTGGCTCTTCGTCATCCACTTCGGTTGGTCCTGGGGTCCATGGTAAGTCTGACCAGAAATACTGTTTCTTTTACACAAGTTGACGAGTATTGCAGTGCTTGGATCGTCGTCGCTGAGGTCTGGCCTCTTTCTGCACGCCCGTACGGCATCGCGCTTGGAGCTTCATCTAACTGGATGAACAACTTCATTGTCGGTCAAGTCACCCCAGACATGATTACCGGCATTAAATATGGGACTTTCATCCTCTTTGGCTTGCTGATCACCATCGGCGCTGGCTTTATCTGGTTCTTCGGTAAAGAAAATCCATAAGCTACCCTCTTCAAACTAGTTACTGACGCATTTGGCAGTTCCCGAGACCAAGCAGCTCAGTCTTGAGGAGATGGATCTCGTTTTCGGATCTAGCGGTGTTGCCGTTGCTGATCAGGAGCGCATGGCTCAGATCAACGCTGAGATTGGTCTCACTCGTCGCCTCAGTGCACTCCAAGGAATCGACCATAGCAGTGACGAGAAGGTTTCCGAGGTCAAGGAGTCGACAGCCGAGACAAAGGTTGTGTAAGCACCCACATTTGGGGGTCAGTAGTTACATCTGCTGTTGAGAGAGTCGAGGGGGTTTCCAGACCTTTGGTTGACAGACTTTGTGAATGCCGGTAAACGAGTCTGCTAGGTTGACAACGTAGTTGAATATCCTTCCGACATAATCTACAGGGAAGAACCTGCGTAAGGACATGATTCTTGTGCATGCGATCCGCGAACTTCCGAGTATTTTATCCGCCGCAGATGGCCAGTGGTTTGTTTGCGCAAAGCCACTCCGGAAGCTGGTCTTGTAATCATATGGCGTCAAGATCTCGTGGTCGATGTTGTAAGACTGGGATTCTGACCGTCTCCGGGATTTGTGTGGATGAGTGAAGCTTGATTTGGCTTTTGTCATCGCTATGCACACCTTGCATTTGTGTTCGAGCCCTCTCCTCTTCTTCCGTAACGAACTTTTCCGCAAAGGCCGCCAACGTGTCACTGTCACAAATCCCTTCCCGCCTCTTGATAATCTTCAGCAGATACAAAGACTTCTGTCGAATATCTGGTTCTCGGCATCTTGTTGCTGCCATGTAGAGATGTGGGACGATTCCAAGGTTCATGGAAATGACAGGCTCTGTACGATAAACTGATGTTGAGGTAGAAGCGGCGCGGGTGCCATCTTGGCAAGTGGTTCCAAGATGTTTAGATGTTTTTCTCGGTCTGGTGTCTTGTAGCATCGCATGCACTATCTCCTCTGAAACCATGAGCAGCTCCCTAAACTTGTGCGTCAATAGGTCGAAGACCATCTCGTTGTGCTCCATGCATGAGCTTAGAATGATATCTAGGGCAATGCTCGACGCCCTGAGGGTAAGGCCCGCGATGTCGTAGCTTCGTTTCCTTTGTAACATGCGTTGAAAAGCCATTACCCACTCGTTGAAGTGCTGTCGAAGTACTTGGTATCGACCATCGAGATCCTGGAGATATGCGCTGGGCGAATCACACTTCTTTTTCGCAGCTTGGACATCGCGCGCAAAGTGCAATATCTGGTAGCGACACATTTCGAAGGATGCCCGAGCCTCGTCAGTATCACCGAAAGTGGTAGGGATGGGAGTGACTGAGGTTATCGCAAAAGCCGGAGGCGCTTGGAATCCATCCTTCCCAAACTCCATGACCTGAGTGTCTAGCCTCAAGTACATCTGGACTAGTAGATGTCTCGGCAGGTAGTGTTCTGGGGTGTTCTCAGAGCGACGAGCCAGCTCTGCTAATATTCTCATGCCAGAGTATATGTGGCTCAGTGAAGAGGCAAAATGTTTTCGGAGGATCTCAATGCAGGCGAAAAGGACTGACACGGTCAACGCAACGTCGACCGCCCGAGCTGATTTGCTTGTATCGAGCCTAACCACATGGTGCATGGCTCTACCGTAGTGCTGCATGGCAAATGCAAGTAGAGAAGGATCTGCGGAGGGCGAAGGACATAAGAAGAGTTCGTGTAGCCCGCCAATGGCTATCACTGCGTGCTTGATAGCGTCTTCATGATGGGCCGTGTTCAGCACGAACCGAGACCACAGCTCAGGACGGAAATGACCAGCTAATTCACCGGCTGTTCGATTCCGGAAGAAGTTGAAAGACCGCTTTTCTCTCCAATCCATGTCTGGAAGAGATGTCATTGTGTAGAGGGGTTCCGGGACATAGACAACGAAAGCCTGGCCCTTTCTGCTCGGCTTTGCGCTCTTGACCAGATCGACATAGCCCTTGCATTCTCTTTTGCTTCGTATGCATCTCTGGCAACTGGGCTTCCCTTCGTCGCACTTTAGGTGACGCCTTTTGCAAGTAATACAACCGCTGCGGACCTTGCTGCCTCCAATCCGAGCCAACTTTGGCGTAGCCATGGCGGAGCGCTGATTCAATGCTCCTGAAAACGCCGAGGTTCAAGCGCGAGGCTGACTGAACATGATGACGGAGGAGGACGTGGTGGTTCTGCACGCCAGATATGAGGACGGGAAACCCCATGCTTGAGATTTCCACCGGAACAATGATATCCTTCTTATACTGTCAGATGATAGCGACCTGCCCCGTGTCTCGAGCATCCATTCCCTCCGAGACAAGCGGTAATCCCAAGGCCTGTCTTGTCCTCTGGTTGTATACCAACCGTTCTCAGCCTCACCGGTGACTTCTCGGCGTACCGGTCCGATGCTCCACGTGTTGTGATGTAGATCAAATGTCCATACTATGGCGGAGAGCGGAATTAATGGAGGAGGATGTGTAATGGGCGGGTTGCTCGTGTTAGCTTGATTCGGTTGGTATGTTACGAGTCAACCTTCAGCTTTGGGACGGCTTGGTGGATGGTGGAGTCCGTGGTCACGAATCGACCACACGCCCAAGCAGTGACAAAGGCCATTGCTTGTTAGCAGATCTCCCAGAAAGGGAATATTTGCTCGAGGTCTCACACATGTTCCACTCAACATACGCGTCCCGCTTCATAACTCGCTTCGCTGAACTCCACGATGCCGCCATTGTGAAGGTGGGTGAGTCCGTGCTCCGGCCAGCCTTGCCGTTGGAGGTGTAATTAGCGAGCGCGACACGGCGATAGGGCCGAAAGGATGTCTCCTGAAGGGGCCAACGGGCGAGTCAGTTGGGTTAGACGGGCCTGTAGCAGATGGTTGAAAGATAAGGCCAGCCTCTTAAGGCGAATGTGGGGGACGAAATCTGTCCACAAAAGGCCCGAAGCTGATGACAAGTTGAACAACTAAGCCACCATGTTAGGATCAGTGGGGCCTGTCGAGTTCGTATATCTGCATCGTATTTTACATTTGGCCACTGTTCTTATGGAGCTCGCTCTCGATTGACTTTCTTGGACTCTCTCCCGACACAATAGCTTAAAAGCTCTTTCGTACGAAGGCGGATGAAAGTTCAGTCAGAGGTATACCAAGGTATCAGATACTGCCGGAACGAAATGGGGGCTGGCACAATTTTCTCATCCATCTTTGACGTGAATGTACCTTGACCGCTGTACCACAGGCAAGGAAAGCACGTCCTTGCGGCCGGTAGGATTACTCAGTCATTATAATGGGAAGACATTGTTTTGATCCTCAAGCCTTCAGCCTGTCAACATCGAGGTCGGACTGGCACAAGAGAGTCTTCTTGCTAATCTTCCTCAGGTCGAAGCTGACAGACCATCGAGATCGATAAGTCAGTCCTTGAATGACCCTTAATTGAACACTTGCGATTCCATTTGTCTCGTCATCGCACATGATATTCGCAATAACTTGTTCCAAAATGGCGGCTCATCTCAGTCGCTACTTTTGGACGGGGCGAGTTATGAAGATGCTGTCCCTGAATAGCGAGATGGCGACCTCCTTTTTGTCCTAGGGTAATCCCTTTCAAAAGACCACCAGAACCTATGAAGCCTGTCTCGGGCCTGAGCACCTCAGTTCAAAGACCAAGAGGGATGACTTCGTCTTGAGGAAGGTCCCTAGCCCACCGCCCTCGGAAGAGTCTCACAAAGACGATCCGGCGCTATCTGAGGGGATGCCAATCGACCCTGCCCTATTCGATCTTGACGGAGATACTCTCATTCTTTCCACAGCCGATGAATTGAATGAGGTGGACCCTGATATCGACTCGAAAGCCGCCCTCTTCAGCTCCCGTCATGAGTGTCTTCAATGGTCGCGGAGGACAACATGATGCGCGTTGGGGAGGCGAGCAGGCAATGCCGTCGAAATCAATTTCCGAGTTCCACGGTTGACGCCCCAAAGCGCCTTTTGAATCCTCGTCATAAGAACGGATTGGATTTATCACTCGCTTTAACTGGGTCCTGGATGTGAACACGAAGGTCAGGCATCCCTTGCACCCTTTGGCGCCACCAGGAAACTTCGAAGGGAAGACAACAACATTGATAGCCAGCTGAATTCCTCGGCGTCAGCGAGACCGATGAAAAAGTCAAGAATGCGTCTCGCCTAGCACACGTTCATTTCCGAGCGGACGAGGAGGCACACAGACCATCGATCCAAGGCAGTGGTAAGGAATCCGTGCACTTCGCGCAGTCCAAACAAAGGAAAAGACTCGGATGGTCTAGAGTCGCGATGCCCTGTGCGCGGACTCGATCTCGCCAATGTGGCCAGACTTCCGACCCTTTCGACACCGGACTGCCATTTTCTCAGCGTCGCGCAATGCCATAATGACCACAGTTGTCTCCATCATCTGAGAAAAGCAACACATCCACTCTGGAAGGGACGCAGCTCAGGCCGTGCGGGCAACATTCTCTGCTTGAATGCGCGGCCGTTGCGACAGACAACGAACGACTTGTTCTCCACCCGTCGACCTTCGCAATGACTCGGATTCCAAGAATTGCATGCTGAAAGGCAGTGCCACTATTCACGAAGATTGAGGAAGGAAGGACACGGCCTCACTCCCAAGCAAGAACCACAGGACAACATCTATGCTCCCGGCCTTGACCAGGCGACGATGGCCGAGACAAATCGACAGCAGGTAACACAGAGGGTCACAGCGGTGGTGTCGTTCGTGTTCTTGTAGAGTGGAAAATTGTGTGAGCCTCGCGGGTGTACGACGTCAATGCGCGGTCAAGGCTCATGAGAGAGGATGGAATCGCAATGACAGTGGCAGTCATATTGTGAACTCAATGCAAGAGATAGTGATGGCATAGGTGAGGGCATTTATCATGGCAAAACGCGACATCGAGAGCTTGCTGACAGAATCAGGGAGGGAAACCAAGCTAGAGGTAGAGACAGAGTCAGAAGATAGTGCAGTTGATCCATTCTACACTCGAAAATATGCCAACGCCACGGCTGAACGGGAGCCTCTCGCCTCGACCAGAGGTAGCGTCATGCCACCAACGTCCCATTCTTTCGCCCCTTTGCTGCCTGAGGGACTATAACAATGCTGAGCGACTGAATCGCCCAGACTGATCCGGTCCAATTACCTCCTCACTTCCTACCAGCGTTGGTAGGATAAACGAGTGAACTCCACAAAGCCTTGCGCCAATGAACGCCGTAAAGCGTAGCCTGTAGAACTTGTTGTACAAGAATGGGAGGGCACCTGCTAATGATCAAAATGCATGGGGGATTCTCTTCTGGCCTCCCCTGCTGCTGCTGCTGCTGCTGCTGCTGCTGCTGATAATGATGATAATGGTGATGATAATCAATTCTACTTTTTCTGCGTTTGGTGCTTCGCCAGCTTGGTAAAATGGGCGTGGGTATCATAAAAGACATGTGGAGTGATTGACACAACAAGAACTCGTCCACCCGTAAGTCTCTCCATATCTCTTGCGTGTACTGAGAATGTCGAGGCCTAATGATTCTTCCGTTGCTTTTTCTTCCATTCGATTGCCATGCTTGCAATGAAAAGACCAGACATGCTTCGTTTCGTTGGCCAACAACGTCAAGGAGAAATAAACAGATAAGGGTGTCGTAACGGTCGTTGTTCATCGTTTGCCCTTCTTCTTGCTGCTGGTGCTTGTACTTCGGCCGAGATTATCTCTCGACATGGTTCTCGTCAAGCCGCCGATGTAGTCCTGCAGGAAGCGGTTCTCAGTCTCGAGCTTGTCGTGGTCGTTCTTGACCTCATCGATTTTTTCCGCCAGAGCGGCCAGCGAAGATTGCAAGTTTCGCGCTTGCCTACAATCTCAGTTAGTACTTGAAGCACTGCTTGGGAGCGTTGTCTCCTACTCTTTCAGAGTCTCGCGTAACCCACGCTCTATTCGCTCAATGTCTTCACTGTTGCGTCGTGGACTCATTGCTCTTGCGTCGTCCGGGGGATACTGGGGCCTCTCCCGTTGAACGACGTCTCGACCTTTTGGTACGATGATTGTATTGGATCTCTGCCTATCTCCCAGTCGAGGTCTTTCCATCCGCGTCCTTCGAGAGACTGGCCGAGGCGAGGAGGGTTGCGGGAAGTCTGATTCAGAGGAAGATGAAGAAGCACTGGAAAGCGGAGGAGATATAGAAGGGCGGCGTGCTATATCTGCTGGTTCGTGCCCAGTCATAGAGACTGGATAAGGGAACGGCGCCGTAGCCGTGGACGATGATGATGGGGAGCTTTGCATCTGGCGCCGGCCAGTCTTGAAGTATTTGTTGTCGACTCTCTAGTCGTCCCGCTTGTTTTCCCAATCTTGCTTGACCGACGTTCTGGATTTGCCGAATGACGCATTGGCCTTGTGTGCAATTCAAGACGAGCGCACTGACCTAGGTCCAGCGCCAGTCCTAAGGTGTTTTGAGCATCCAGAGCCGTAGCACCCGCTCAGGTGGTATGATCCAGAGATACAGTGGTTTGGGCTGGAAGGGGAAGGCTGTGTAGAGGGTTTTGGGCCAGCAGGTCAACCCCAAGGCTGCACGGGTGGGTTGACAAGTATTTGGGACCTTGGGGGAGAGGGAGGGCACGGGTTGCCGCAGAGGGAGGGGACGATTGCAGGTTTACCGGGTCGCAGCCAGGGTCGGCGAAGTGAGCTCGGCGGAAGTAGGCTGGAGTGGACGATGATTGTCGTGGATGGTTGGAGGGTGGATAGGATGATCGTCAGAGGGCAAAGCTAGGGAGCGAAATGGCCTCCCTGTTGCCCAAGAGCGGAACCTGAAAAGTCAAACGTGTAGGAGCTGAGCGGGCGAGTGTCGTGTCAAGCTGGGTAGAGAGCTGCAGTCAGTCCTGAGGCGGTAGGAATCTCTTTCCTACGAGCAAAGCGGCTGAGTGGTGAGGATCTTACGGTTTGTGGATCTGGGTAAGTTGTCCCACGGATCGCTGGGCAAGTTACGTCGTGACCTTGGGTCTTTGGTGGACCGTGGCGGGTTGATCAACAGCAGCGTTGCCTCCTGGGAGTCAGAGATTGCCAGCCTTCGAGTGGGTTGTTTGGGATTGGATGAGACGCTGGGTGCTTGGATTGCTTTTTGTCCGGCAGAGGGGTTTCACAAAGGAAGGCGAGGATGAGACTTGCTGTGTGTTTCACTCGCTCCTCAGTGGTGGCAGGAGTGTGCTTTTTTCTATATCACGAATCCATCGGCGAGGGTTCGGGGTAGGGGCAGTGTTACAGCAAGCGTCAAGATAGAAGCAAGCGATGGCGGCCACGAGGTGGTGGCGAGCAAAGGCGTCACGATCAAAGGCAAATAATGATGATGGGCGGATGGCAACCTTCGGCTTGCGGGAAATGAATGGCGCAAGGCTGTCTATCTAGGCAAGTACCTAATAGGCACCCAGGGGCCCTGGCACCACCGACAGGGACTCGTTCCAGTTAAAGAAGAGAGACCCTTTGGGGGTCGGAGGCAACGAAAAATGGCGAACGGATAGTCGGGAATCGTGCCGTCTAAGGCAAGCGAAAGATGGAGAACAGCCAAGAGGAATGGGACGGAAGGCGGGCCCAGGCAGCCGCTTGGGTGTCGCTTGTGTAAGGGGAAGCCTCTTAAATGATTGTTACTAAGGGTGGCTAAGGGTGGCTAAGGATGGACCGCTAGGTAGGTGTGCCTCCCTGCAGTTTCACTGGGGTTAACTGGGGGTCCACTGGGCCACTTACAGAGTAGCAGCTGCACCGGCGTGCAAAAAGTCCTGCAGCTTGACGTCGCTGATCACTCATTCTCACTTCTCGATCGACATCATATCTCCCAACCGAAGTCGCCATCGGTCGATATCGTGCCGACATTCAAGTTTCACTTACTCCATTGCAACAGCCAGCAGGCCATCTTCCTTATCGCAGTCGACCCTCGAGACGCTTTCAAGAGGCAGCACATGAGGAGCAAACCCAAACAATTCAGAGTCTCTCTTAGGCTTCGAAACCATGGCAGTCCCAGGGCCTAGCCTTGACGACTAATCCTGAAAGACGAGTTGACCTGCAACCACCTGGCTCTGCCAGTTCCTCGACGCGTTGAATCTCAGACTTCCGGCGAGTCACCGAGTGGGTCAGGTGGTGGGTTGGAATGGTAGCATATCAATATACGTGAAAGATCGACGTCCTCACTCTGCTCTTGCCGGTTGAATCACCGCTGGAGATTCGGACATTTTCAAGCCTGGCCTGAACTCGGCCTATGGCGTTGCCCCAGAGTCGCCTGAAGAACGGATGTCAAGCACATTCCATGCATAACAACCAATGTTCGTGCGAGTCTAATGACCCGCAAGACCTCCGTCGTGTCAGTCCGCCAATTACTTTTTGAGAGTTCTCATGACACCTTGAGAGAAGCAGGGAATGGGCGCGTCGTGTGGCTTGGTACAAGGATATCAAAAATCATTACAGACGAGATGGCGAGCGCTAACGACCCGGAAATCTTTTGCGACCCATAATAGGTACTCGACGCACGATAGGCCTTCTCGCACGGTCTCGGGTGCACTCTGTCAACACGAGCCTCCCTCCGATGCAGGGTCCGCGTTGACTATGGGGGACAGAGTCCCTGCATCGACCAGAGATATAAGAAGGGTCCTTCCCCGGCGTTCACATGTGGTGGTCACAAAAACGACGGTCGGCCATGATGCTGTAGACCAACTACCTAGGTACAATCGAGTGACAGATGGTTCTGGTGGCATCACCCTGGGTGACACGGACCTGTTTGCTAGGCTTGCCCCAGGCAGCGAAGGACCCAACTATCTGTTCGTTATGACGAATTCTCTTGCAGGGCAAAAGCCACCAAGCCTGAGGGAGCACAACGACGTCATCCATCACGGGGGGCGCATTGCTTTTTCGGACCAGGGATCAACCCCTAATAGTCCGCGGTGTTTCACCAGGGTCACCGAGCCTCATTCCTGATTGATCCCCCATATGCGAAAAGACCACATCTCACGGCTTCATTTGGCAAGATCATCGACCTCAGGGATTGAGGATGCTCCCGCGCGGCAGCATCTTTCAGCTCTCCGCGTTCCCAACGGTATTGTGCGACAGCAAGGGGCTCCTTTACGGAGACGGCGCTCTGGCATGGCAATGGCATGCACTCTACTCGGTTCTTTAATGGATGGGTCTGAAAGGTCCACTATGTAGGTACACGTCGGTGATGCACCGGCGGTCTTGCAAATCCTCAGCCTTTGCTATTTGCGGGTTTTCCCAGGAGGAGGAAGATCATCTCCTAAACTACAGGCGACATCCATTTGTTCCGGAAAACTTCCATCCACACATCCAACGTCCTGTTGGTAGTCACCGGCATATTTACTGTGTTGTCACTCTGAAAAGTTACACCCATCCCTGTCCAACCCTTCAGGATGCTTCTTTTGGTCTTTTATGCCCAGTACCCCACAAATCGGCACACGGTATGGAGCAAGAGCAGTGCTAAGCCTGCGAACGACATCCTGTTTATCATAAGCTAGAGCAGGTAAGGTCTGAGCTCTTGCCACAGCAAAGGCACTTGACTCGAGCCCAAATGGTGGTCAGCGTGTCAATCTCAGTTTCGGAGTGAGGCTGGGGATTCCCACCTGTTCGCTGAAGGTTGGCGGGCCGCGTCGAAAAACTATGTTCGCTGTCAAATCCGCAAGTTTTTGACATTAATCATGGAGAATTCCATTGTCGCCATCGTCACCTCGATCCAACAGACGAGCACCTAGGGTCATGTTCGCTGCCATGCCTCTTAAGGCACTGGCACATCGACGTAATGTCTCAGTCGTAAAGAGGAAAATTCGCCAATGGTGTCGCCAATGGTACTGTATTGCCCTGAGCATCGAGTTGGCAATGTGACTATACCGGTTTCCTCGCATGCTCCACTTCTGCCCAGATATTCTCAAGCTCACCGTCATGCGGACGAGAAAGTGTCGAATGAGGTACTGGTCAACCCATGATTGGTATGGCACCTGCCTGCGAGGAGGAGCGGTCAGTGTGCAGGAATAACCTCCACTTCTAAGTCGCCTATAAGAAGTCGAGATGAAACTGCCCCCTTCTGTTGTGGCCTTGTGGCCCTGTAGCTCACAATCAAGATCTCACGATCGTCTCTCTCGACTTGGAGTAAAAGGTTATCATTCGGCACTATTGGGGGCCTGCCAGATACTGCGTGAATGGCTTTGAAGCGATTTTACCATTTCCTTTCAGCAACTTTCCGGCCGTCGTTATGGCGTTGGGATCTCAAATTCTTAGGAGTGCGATAGAAAACCATGCCAGGAAGGCCAGGATTATCTCCGAGCACTTAGTACTCACCGTGGTTGGGGCGGACGTGACCCAAAGTTCCTTTTATGCTTGAGGAGGTAAGTGTCAGTTGCGGTTGGGAAAATAGGTTGTGATTTTGTGTGTAAGTGTATTCGAGCCTGTTGACGTCGTGGTGCATCACCCCAGGCACCCAGTGCCAGGGTGCCTTCGAACTCCTTTGACTAAGAATTGTATCAAGCCCGGAATCAGTGCCAACAAGGTCACAGCCTGTGCGCTACCCATAGAAACCCATGGGAAGGCTGAGGCGGGAGAAGAGCAGGTTCCAATTGTGGCTGCCAGTCCCAATGGACAGTCATGATGGTTTCGAGAACTCAGCAAAGCGAGTGATAGTGCATCGTGCACCTAGAAACCTACAGCCCCTCGATGCTGGACTCTCCGAGATGCAGTTGATGGCGTGATTGGTAGAGACTTCGAGGTGTTTAGCTTCGTTTAAGCGAAGTTCTTGTGTCGGCCCGATCAAGAAAGAATCTTATTGTCTGACGAGGTGGGATTTTCTGACACGGTGGAAGAGATTGTCGCAAAGACGTGGATTCTGGGTCGGTCCGATATCCTGTCAGACAAAATCTCACTTGCTCATGGCAGAGACCGGAGCAAACACCGACAGTCAGCGCCCCCTCCTTCGGTGGCTTTTGCCGCCTTCAATTCCATCGTCAGGCCAAAGACCTTCCTCAATCCATCAACTTGGAAAGCGAGCCCGAGCCAAGAAATCAGAGAAGGAAAAGCAAAAGAGACAATAGAACAAGGGAGGTCGGGCTGAACATCACCGTCCTGTTTTCTCTTTCACGCATTCATCGGTCGTGTGAAGCCAGCAAGCATGGGATCTCTCGACTCATCCTCCTCACTCATAACGGGGCTCGCCCACGTCAATCTCACCGTCCCAGCCGGCACGCTCGAGCAAGCCAACGAATTCTATGGCACAACTATGGGTCTCACGCCCCGTGCGGTCCCGCACTTGCAAAAGGGCACTTTAGCATGGTTCGACATTGGTTCTTCGGGACAGCAAGTGCACGTCGCTTTCGGAGCACCCTCGGATTTTGAAAAGAAGTCATCGAGACATCCGTGCTTCAAGTTGTCGTCTCCAGAAGCGCTGTTGCAGTTGAGGCAGAGGATCTGGGAGCATTTCGTGAGGGGCGGCGAGGCAGCGCCGACCGAGGCGGATAAGCCCGGAGATGTCAATTCAGGTATTTACTGTTTCTCGACCACTCTTGTGATTGTGCTACCTGGCGTCATCTGGCGCAATGTCAAGCTACTGTACGGGAAATGCTACTGAACTAATGCCGGGGGTCTGTGCACAGGAGCTCAAGGCGTGGAATATCCATCACGATTCTTCGCGAGAGACTACGCTGGGAATAGGCTGGAGTTCAGCCTTTAGGACCTTTTGAGGTTGATCATTCCAGGAATTTGCACAAGCAGAGCACGCGCGGCGGACCGATTCGAGACGGAAAATATCACCTTCTGGCGACAAAAGGCCTCGAGAGGTATCAAGCTCTGAAGTGCTGGGTGTGGTATCGCCCTGCGTGATTGATGAACTGTAGGTCTGGAGAAGGACACTGGAATGGTACGACGATGTCTCATTTGTATGATGTTTCTCAACACCCTTGGAGGTATGATGTTGGATGAATGAATGTGACGACGGCGGGAAGAATGGGGATCGTGTGGATTCTGGAAGGTTATATCGAACTGCATTCAATCCACGCACTCACTCTCTTATGAGCACCTGCAGTGCTTGAATCATCTCATCGCCCGGCTCTTGATCGATGTGACTTAGTTACTATAGGTGCCTTGTTCGTTCCGGTCTTGAAGCCAAGACTGTCAGTTCCACGTTTGTTTTCGTGAAGCATATTAGTCCAGATGGATGCTCGTCCCCATCAAAAAGCTAATTTACCCGCTTTTCCTGGAAACGAGCCCGTCCCGTGCCCAGAAAAGAAGGTTCGCTCAATAATGAAGATCTCCGGCGGTCAGGCGACTCCAAGCAAAGAGCGGTGGCGTACCGCGACGACGCGCTGGATTGTCCCCCCCTGGGCACATGCCACTAGTAGATAAAAACACGCTCTTGCCTCGGCGAAATGGAACTGGGTTTTGGTTTATTATTGACATTGAACGATAATCATGTCAAGCTCCTTCTGAGTGTTTTGTTGTTACGCCTCGTGATGATCGTATCCTCCTCGACTCCTGTGATGGCTGGATGGATGGATGTGTATCCTTGTCACCTGCTGTTGGAACCAATGCGTTTATTGCACATTGCTGCACAATGTTACTGATTCCTCGCTCGGCAGCTCTCTAGCACGCAGGCCTGGGGCAAGCACATATGTCTGGATAAAACCACTCGATCTCTGGCCCCATCTGAGCCCTGGTGACATCTTTATCACTTTGATGAAAAAAGCAACTCCAGCCCACAGCCTCCCCTATCCTGCACTCTGAGTATGAAGAAGTACTGCTGCCATCACACCGAATCCCGTTGCCACGGACAGACCGCGTCCACCCGGCCATCGCTTGCGCCACACGTGGTCCTCACGCCCGCCACGTCCTCGTCGTGGGCGTATTCGTCAATGCCGTCTCCACGTTGGTACCGGTAGTGGTCAGAGAAGAGGACGGATCCGGCCCGTCGCCGACGCCAGGCCACTTGCGATGCCACAGGTCGCAATTTGGGTCAAGCCAGTTGCCCGAGCAATTTGCGACCTGGACGCTGTACATGGCGCAGGCGGTCATCCAGAAGTTGACGCCTCCGAAATAGTGGCTGTTCCATTGGCACTGGTCGATGACATGCCGGAAGCCCGCATGGCACTGGTCTTGTTGGATGTCCGCGTCGCACTGCGCCGGAGACCCGGATATGTACGTGATGTTTTCGACGACGGTGGGTTGCCGGCGAACCAGGCGCAGCGCCAGGATGATCCCCGACAGTTCGGTGAGGGTGTAGTTTGGCGTCACCTCCACAAAGGCCGTGGTGAGGTTGGCCAATGTGAGCGTGCCGGCCGTGTCGGTGTCGGTGTCGGGTGTCGTGTCATTGGCAGTGAGCGGGATGAGGTCGGTTGGGTATTCGTTCAAATCGAATTCTTCACCTGTTCACAGATCCAGAGTCAGGAGGAGATGCAAACCCGGAAATACAAGATGCAGCCAAGTGAAGTCATGCTGACAAGAAGGTAGTGCAACCGCCCAACATCAGGAGAGGCGATCGTGAGGGATAGTGATGCCGAAGTGAGGAATGCTCAAGGTCAAGCCGATGAAGACCACAAGAACAGAAAACACTTTACCTTGTTGGGGTAGGCTCCCTGGTTGGTATGCTGAATCACAGAACAAATCCGTCAGCCGGGTCGCTGTGGGCGGGTCGATATACCAGTCGCCTCCTCCTGTGGCGCAGATCGCATAAGGTGTGTATACCTCCGTTGTCGTGGATGTTCCTGAAGGTGTAGCCGGTGAATCGATGGATGTCGATGTTGCTAGCAAACCGGGTACCGATGATGCAGCCACAAAGGTCAAGGTCGTGGAGACTGCCGTCTGAGCCTGGACGGATGAAAAGAATACGACGAAGAGGATGAGAAAGATGGACGTTAGAACGTGGTGTGTGGCCATCGTGCTGTGCGAAGTTGTAAGGTTATGGTGAAGTGGTATTGAAGGTAAACGTGTGAGGAGTTTGAGAAGGGCACGAGGGTTTGATACAGATTGGATGTGACTTGAGATGGGGGCTCGCAAGTCAATATATGGATTCGAAAGACAAATCAAGAAGACTGGATTGATTGAGAGGAAAGTGTGATCAGACCATATCACAATCCGCAAGTTCTCTGTGGTTCAGGTATGTGCTTTAAACTCTCAGCCAAGGAAGGCCTCAGCAGGCTTTTTGGGCAAAACCTGAAGGTCAAGAACTCGGACTGAGATGTAACGGGCGCTTTTGGACGGGTACAATGCATCTACCAAGGTAATTGTCAATGGTACCTAGATAGGTTGTCTTTTTCCCCTTCTTGAGGTGGTTTGATGTGGGCGTGTTGAAATGTCGTGAGACAGGGGGCTCGATGGTGACACAGTCAAGGACGTCGGTAGCCAATTCAAAAAGGAAGCAAACAGTTTTCTTGCATGTCGAAAGGGTGGAAGATACGGGGGTATTGAACAACCCTGATGCGAACGTCCGAAGACACGGTTCGAAGACACATCATCTGGTCATCTCTGCCGTAGTGGATGGGTCTAACGAAGTGCGGCCCTAAGCTCCCTCGCGAAATGTGGCATTCGGAGAAAGACGACATCCAAGGTGAACAGCAGCTTCTGTTCCCCCGGGTCCCAAATGGCTGCGATTGTCCTACAGCCTCGCAGGCGAAAGGGCAAACAAATCGCCCCCCATTCCGGTTGCACCAAAAATCCCTGGTCGTGGACCGGTGTATGTATGTATGTAAGTATGGCCCGCGCTGCGCCCGAACAGAAAAGAACAGACGGGACATGCTTTTCAGAGTCTGGAGGAGAGAGGAGCAGCATCCCGCGTCTTCTGGCTCAGCAGCCACTCGACGCCGTTGACCAGATCGTGAACCCACTTCTTGTTGATCGACAGTTGCGGGTACATGGACCACCAGAGATGCGGGACGCCGGGATAGATTTCCACCTTGACCTGGCCGCCTGCCTCTTTGATCTTGTCGCAGTAGAAGACCGCGCTGTCCCTCCAGATGTCCATCTCGGCGACTTGGTAGAACACCGGGCCTAGTTTGGAGAAGTCTGTCTGGGTCAAGGGGGTAACATTGGGACTGTGTGCGTCGAAATTGGATATTTCTATGTCCTTGGTTAGTCGTGAGTTAGAAAAAGCGTGGGACTTTGCGTGCTTACGGCCATAGAGGATGTTCATCTCCCGAGTCGCCACCGGCCCATTCTTATACCTTTCCCAACTCCCTCTTGATAACTTCTCCGGAAAGAGGACCACGTTGTGGCCTTTGCGGTCTGTGAAGTCATGCGGCATGCCGGTGCAGATGAGGAGATGGCCGCTCAGAGAAGGCTGGAGCTTGTCGTCTCTCGCCATAATGGTGGCCATGCAGGTCAGATTCCCGCCCCCTGACGCACCGCCGGTCAGAAAGCCTCTGGACAGATCTCCCCCGATCGTCTCTGCGTTGACTGACACCTATCACGGTTCAGTTTATGCCGGAAGAGATATATACTTACCCAGGTAGTGGTTGGCGTACCCATTTGATCACGTCGTAAACATCGTAGACGCACGTAGGATACGACCATTCCGGGGCGAGGCGGTAATCGACACTGACGACGATGATGCCCAGCCTCACGGCCAGGAGCTGACAAAGGAACTCCTCCGTGTCCAGTCCACCCATGCACCACCCTCCGCTGTGTGCATACACCATGACCGGTTGTCGTCGGGCAGAAGCCCCGGATCGATGTGGATGTGATGGTTTGGGGCGATAGATCCGAATCGTGACCGAGTGCCCGTCGCGGACGACGACCGACCTGTCTTCTTCGGTCCAAAGGACCTGCTCGCCCAAGGCCTGTTTGACGAACGCGCTCTTCATGAAACGCACGTTGCCCTGGGCGAGGATCCGACGCGTCTCAGGCATCCTGTCGATCCGCGGGAGGAAGAATTTCGGCATCCCTTTTTCTCGCCATATCTATATTCCATAACACCAAAGTCCGCATTAGACAGACATATCGCAGTGTGGGGGGCTCATTAGGGTCGGTGACGGCTGTAACGCACCGCAGCAAGTTCGGGGTCTGTCTCTGGGAATAACGTGGTGATGTTATCGGCCATTTTTGCGGTTGGTCCTATGTAATTCAACCTGTTTCGCTTTCCGGGAAAGGGAGGAATTTCTGGTGGTGGTGATGGCCATGTTCCTCAAGGGGGGAAACTATATTATGAAAAGAAAAAAAAGGCTGGGATGGATCGTTGATGGACCTACCTGTCTGCGGCCTTGATAAGCTGACAAAGTGGGCACGATGCATGATCTCGAGAAGAAGCCAAAAGAACAAGTACTGGTGGCTCTCTGGAGGGCCTATATCGGCCGCAGATCTTGCGGCAATCTTGATCTCTGCCCATAAGCGGCCGCAGCGCCTGAAGTATAGTAGTGGTTGAAACCTCATTGTGCCTCGTAGGTAGGTACTTGAACCTTGAGGGAAGTGACCATGTTCAACAGTGCTAGTATGTAAGACGTCGCTTCCGCCCGCCTTGGGGTCATCATAAAGCCGGTGAGACAATAGTGTCGTTGATGGATACGGTGGATGGAGACGAGCAGGCCACGATGAAACATAAAAATGGACTGATCCCAGCGGATGTACGGGGATATACACATGATGCGCAGGTACCTTGGTATATACCTAGGTATATACTCCCGGAAGTATATATTCCTACTCAAAGTTGGCCAGTATCTACCTAGGTAGCGAGGTAGGTACCCAGCTTCCTCGCTACCTACCAGTGCCTAGGTAGTAGACTAGTCCCTTTTAGGCTTCCAGATCTTGGCATGTCACGGGTCTGTCTTTTCAACATCTTTCACCTTGCCTCTCATTCTCTTGCTTGACCATCACACTAGATCGGTAAAGTTTGAGCCCACGAACCTCAGATACAGACTTGTCTCCTTTTGAAAACGCCTTCTCATGCCTGGTTCTTTTCAGCATTGATGAAAAGTTGATAAAAGATGATAAAAATCGTCGCCGTCCATTCTCCGCCGAAACTCAAGCTCCAGATGCTTCGAGCCTCGGCTGTTTCAACGGCGTTGGTCCCAATCCGTGCCAGTGCCTGATCCACCGGAACTGCGCATCTTCTAATCAGTAGGTTTTTGGATGACAGCATCTCGTCAATAGCTCGGCTATTGGATATTTTCTCGTCTGTATAATATTCCCCGGACAGAGACTGACTGCCCCGATTTCTGCGCTCTGAAAACGGGCTTGGATTTGCGGGAAGACGGCTAAAGAGACAAGCACACCGGATCGAACGACGACAACAACCAACAGGCAAAGATGGGTAGTGCTCAGCAAGATGTCGAGCTCCAAGACTTCGGGAGCATCTTCAGTCTCGAGGGTAAAGTCGCTGTCGTGACTGGCGGGTCACGAGGACTAGGCCTGAACGTCGCCTCTGGGTAAGCTATACAGTACACTCCACGGTCATCGTCTTCATGCGCTGATACTCTGGTCAATAGGTTCCTGCAGGCCGGCTGCTCCAAGGTCTACATCACCTCCCGCAAGGCCAAAGCATGCGAAGAAGCCGTCGCCGCCCTCAACGCCCTCCCTAATAAACGACCCGGCGCCGTCGCCATCTCCGTCCCCGCCGACGCGTCCAAGATCTCCGAGATTGAACGTCTGGCCGCCGAGGTCGCAAAGACCACCGACCACGTCGACATCCTGTTCGCAAACGCCGGCGCGACGTGGGGGGCTCCCTTCGATACACACCCGGAGAATGCGTTCAGCAAGGTCATGGATCTGAACGTCAAGAGCGTCTTCTACACTGTCCAAAAGTTCGCCCCACTTCTACAGAAGCGGGCCAGCACAGAGAACCCCAGCAGAGTGATCGTGACGGCAAGCGTCGCTGGCATCGGCGTGGGCTCGCTTGGGGAGAATGCGACGTTCGCCTATTCGGCGTCCAAAGCAGCTGCGATCCATCTGGCCAAGAACTTGGCCGTCGAGCTCGGTCCCAGAGGAATCATCACCAACGCCGTGGCGCCGGGCTTTTACCCTACAAAGATGGCTTCTGGGTTGATGGAGTTGCAAGGTGGGCAGGCGGCGTTGGCTGCCGAAGTGCCAAACAAGAGGCTGGGACGTCCTGAGGATATTGCGGGATTGGTCGTCTTTTTGAGCAGCAGGGCAGCTTCACACATCAACGGTGCCGTCATCACGACCGATGGTGGCTCTGTGCTCTCACGGGGCAAGCTATAGAAAGGAAAAGTTTCACGCGTGCTAAGAACAGACGCTCTCTTTGCGCATTTCGTTCTGACAATTCCTTTTTGAGCGCGAATGTACTTGTCAGGTTCACACATTCATCGCTCAACGGGAGTCAATCTGATCTTGAGCGGCTGAAGCATCCAAAGAACCTGATCTTAGGCGTCAGCAGAAACAGCACTGATTCGTGACGAGAACACGCACGTAGAACCTGGCATCCTCGACCCACGTAGGATGATCCCCATCAAGCTCCATATCAAAGTGCCACAGCAACTTCGCTGTGACGAGCCGTGCTTCAGTGAGAGCCACTCTGGTCGAAAAGTCAGCAATGGACTCTTTTAATTGGTCCCGGGGGTGGGGAGAGGAAACAGGGAAACTTGCTGTTTGCCAATGCAGTTTCGAGGCCCGAGGCTGAAGGGCTTGAGGATCTCATCAGCCTGAAGGCCGGATGGCCCCTTGGTTCCCATTTCCTCAAGCCACCTCTCTGGCCGGAACTCCTTGGGGTTGTCGAAGAATCGCCCCGAGCGGCCCATGTGCCACTGGCCCATCGACACGTAGGTCTAGGATACCCAGCCTATCGTCAGCGACGGTGGTGCAGAAAGTGGCACGGCAGGTCTAGAGATCGGACTCTAATACGACTTACTCCTTCTGGGACAATCTCCCCAGCGATCAGATGTCCTCCCCTGGGCGTGGTTCGGGGCGTGATGTAGCTGGCGACGGGAAAGATCCTTAACGACTCGTCCACGGTTGCCCTGAGGTAGGGCAAGTTGGAGGTTGCTCTGATGGTGATATCGTGGCTGCTCGAGAAGGACCGTCGAATCTCCTGCTGGAGCTTTTTCATGACGCGCGGCGTCTTGCAGAGGTGATAGAAGGTCGCGCTCAGGCATGTGCTCGTCGTCTCGGCGCCTCCACCGACGATGAGCACCGAGTTCGCGGTGACTTCGTCGTTGGTCAGGCGGTTGCCGTCCTTCATCTCGCGCAGCATCAAGCCTACAATGTCGGGTCTCTTCTTCTTTTTCATCTCCTCGGCGCCGTCACCCGCCTTTTCTTCTTCCTCCCGATCAAGCCGTTGCTTGACCGCCGTGGTGGCTGCGTTGAAGAAATTGTCCCTCTCCTCCAGCTGCTTCTTGGTCAGTAGCGGCAGCAGCATGTCCTGAGTAATCCCAAAGCGGCGGAACTGGTTGAAGATGGTGGCATTCTTGAGCCCCTGCAACAGGAAGCGTGGCCATTGATGCATGCGCCGATTCTTCAGACAGTCGAACTCCTGGTCCAAGGCCAGCTGGCCGATTACGTCGTTGAGCGTCCAGAGGAACCACTCGACCATGTTCTGCGAACCCTCCTGGTATACCTGCGCCAGTTGCGTGCAGAGCAAGTCGACATAGTGCTGCATGACGGGCTCGACTTCCAGGATCCCCGTGGTCATGAAAGCCGGGTTGGCCAGGCGGCGCACCCGGGTGTGGTCCGCGTCGCTAGCCATGATCATGCTCTCGGGCATCTTACGCCCCTCAGCGGGGGGGAAGTGGAAACGCGTCTTCTGCAGCTGAGGTCGCGTGTTGTAGATCTGCGCCCAGGCCTCCGGGTTCGTGAACGAAAGCTCGTCGGGCGCGATGCGGACCGTCGGCCCATACTGGTCGTGGATAGCGTCGATGCATTTGTACAGATCGCCGCGAGCCTGGTGCCAGGAAGCTGGAATCCGCGAGGCCCGCCACAGGAGCGGTCCTGGGTATTTGGCTAACGGATGGAAAGGTGAAACATTGTAGACGAGCCGCAGCAGTGAGAAGCCGATTAGCTACCAAAAGGTGTGAAAAGATCAGCCCCGACTTTTTCAATCCTATCTTTTTGGACATCTTTCTTTGCGAAGGTGCGGCCTTACTCCGGAGACACCATATATACAACACCATAAACCGAGCAGCGCATAGTACTGGATAGCATCGGCGTTGATTGCCATGGCCACCTATTGATCCGAGTCAGGCAAGAAATCAATAAAAGCTTTCCAACGCGGTCGAGGATATGAACATCGTCCACTTGTTACGAGGACATATACCAAGTACGAGGTACTCCCTATGGGTATCTCAGCAGGTCGCCAACTTCTCGTTACTTCCTAGTGCTTATTGATATGTTGCTCGGCATAGCGGGATGCCTCGCGACAAGCGGCACGTTCTTTGGGGCGAAGTAGAATGTGTTCAACGTACCTACTAGGTAGGTGAGCGATGGGGATATTCCTTCAAGCCTCATACGAGGGTCGCTTTGGGTATTAAATTGTTAACTCGGCGATATCGATCTCGTAAGGATCCCTTTCATACAATGCCAGACGTTATCCTGTTGCCTTTCGCACTCACCTCGGATGCTGTGTGCTTCTCACTTTGACGATTGCGTTCCTCCGTTCAATCTCAGACGGCAGAATTCAAAGAAGGACAATTTAGTCATCACCGGCGATCGAGAGACTAAGGATGAGAGTTGTGCGCATAGTTTTGATGGTTTAAACGGCCACGAGAGCCCCAACTTCACACACATTCATGTATGAGATTGACGGGAGTGGTGAGAGTGGAGGCACGGCACCACCAAAAGTATTCTCTGTCTGACCGGTGGCAGCTTAGGCGCTACGATAGATTATGGCCCGACAAGGAGCCGCTGAGTGAATAAATAAGCCGTCAGACAGTCACATTTATTGTTGCCCTGTGCAACAAATCAATAAAAACATCAAAATGTCCGTGCAGCGCACACACTCCGCAGCGATCAATGTGAACTCAATCAACCTGAACGTCGCCGTCATATGATGGCGAGACCTTTGTCTCCAACAACGTCTTCTCTTGATGAGCCAGCAGAAGTTTGCGCTTTCCAACAGTCCTCTCCGCTTTCTCTGCGCCGGCAGCCGTCCTCGTCTTCTTCTCCTTCTCCACCTGCTCCACCGCTGACAGACATCTCGCAAACTCACGACTACAATTTCTCCGGCGCAGTTTACGATGAAAGCACTTCGAACTCAGAGTCAGAAAGCATTTCGCAACCAGATCACGGATACGAAGACGGTATCGAGGATGCCGACCAACGCGTCTTCTCGGGATGCTCATCCATCTCCTCCATCCCCACGACAGTATCACAGCCCCTGTATTCAAGGCAAGAACAGTATGCCCCCCGAACACCTTCAAAACGCGACTCGCACGGGTTCTATTCCTCTGAAAGATCTGGCGGACCTCGGCCTGCTACCACCTCCCCTGGAAACCTCCGCGAATACCACTCAGCGTTCCGCCATGCCAGCAGTGTCAAGGCTCTACAGATGAAAGACGAAGCAATGAGTGAAACACACAGTGTTATAAGGCACCACAGACGGACTGGCTCACAAATGTCGTCATACAGTCAGAGAAGTCTCTTTTCAGTTCGGACGTCTCCAACCAAAAGATCAAGCCGGTCTCACACCACATCTCCACTGAAAGATGGCGCCAATCTCAAGAAGGAATTCCCTCTTATACTCTTGCATTGTACATTACTGCCACCCAATCAGCGGTTCCAGCCGTCGTCCCAAGATAGTGCAGACCTCAGCGAACTATTGCCAGAGGAATACAAACAGCGTTGGCTAGCTCTGCGGAACAGACTGGCAGATGTCGAGATCAGCAGCCGGGGGGTACTGATCCCCCATCCTAGGGATGACTATGGATTGCTCGAAGAACGACTTTTAGAGAGCTTGGAACTCGAGAAACCCCGGATCAGGCACAATCACTACTTCAACGCCGGTGGCAGCAGCGTAGACAGTGGCTTTGAGAGTGGCAGCCTTACCGAAGAGGAGACCGAACTTGATGGTCTGGGCTATTGCAGATGCCCAGACTGTGGAGGACATCTACATTCAGACCAGACGAGTCGCAGATGGGATGTCAAAATTTTTGCCGCCAATGGCTTGATGCGAGCTGGGGCATGGGCTGCAGCATGGCAAGAGATGGAGAAGGTCGACGTGGAAATCAACGTTTGCCTGCCAGAAGGAATCTGCCAGGAACTCGAGGCCAAACTTGCATTCGCCGACGAGGTGCAGGCAGAAATAGGCCACCTCGACTCCAAAAACAGCCCTGCGGATTGTGAAATGGCAAATTCTCGCGAACAAGAAGTATACGGTGACTTTGGAAGACTTCAAAGCGAGACCGATACGAGCAACTTCGGACAGCAACCACTTATGGAATCGAAGCAGGTGCATCCACCGCCTAGCCCACGTCCTTTTGAGCAAGATGCACAAGCCCCGCCTGCTGTTTGGAGTGGACGGTTCAGCAAGGAGAGTAGAAATCTCCTGGTGGGGGTGCTGAGCTTCTTGGTATTGTTGTTTGCATTGGCAGGCAGGCAAGGAGGGTCTCAGAAAGAGCCCCCTGTGCGGACGTTACAGTTGACCACGGAATTGACAGAAATCGTCACCAGCACAGTCACGACGACCAGTATTGCAATCTCAACAGCAACTGTGACGGCCTCTGTGGATACACTGCCTCCATATGCGTGTTCTCTACCAGAAAGGGCGGATGATCCGGTAGTGGAAACAATCGAAAACTTGGCTGACCAACCCGCCTCCGCAACGGATTTGTCCAAGCCACCGCTGGACCCTACGCAGGGGGCCAAAAGCGATACGAGTACTGTCGCGCAGCAAAGCGCTGAGCTAGAAGACAGCGAGAGAGGTTCCACCTTGGCATCCGAAGAAGAGGGTCCCGATCCGAGCCTTTTGCAAGGTCTAGACTCCGCTGATATGCTTAGATAGGGAGGCAGGCTATGTTACTGTGTAGGGGACCTACGTTTTGGGGTGGGAGTCAACTGAGAGCGTCGTGTTGGTAAAGGCTCTTATTGGCCTAGGTACCGATTTCCATGTGTGCACAGAATTCGATACGGCCGGGGATAGCGAAGGGCGTTGAAGATGACTACGGATTATTACTCGTACGTACGGTTCAAGCAGCGATGCAATGCGGCTGACCATGATGATGCCTATGAAGGGTGGAAAGCGTTTGAAGCGTGGGCTACTAGGTATTAGATTTGGTGACAGGCTGAGTTGGCGAAAACATGTGGCATTTCTTTTCTGGGCGTGCGGCATCTCTCTCTTGGTACCTATCTTCTTCCATGGTCTACAGTGGGCCCGTTCTCACCCGAGGGCTGGCTTGTCGCACTCACGCGCCCAAGATCTCCCTATGTCCCTTATAGCCAGGGCTATATGGCATGAGTGACGACTGCAGGCAAGTTCTGTCGCAGATTACCTCGTAGATACAGAAATACTAAGTCATCATATCATCCCGCCAGCAGCCCCCTAACCGTGTCCCCCGGGTCGGCTCCCGGCGATAAAAGTCGCTGCCGCGGAAAGCGAAAGAGTTTTGACTCATTGTCCGTTGGACACACACACCCATCCACTCTACCATCCATACCGGATGGAGAACCACAAGCCCGTAGTAATCAATCCTGAATGGGGGGACTGAATTTGCATAGGTACACGCAGATACTCGTACGAGTATCCTAGACAGCTCAATTTGCCCCTTGTAGAGGAAGTAGGGAATTGCCAGAACAAGGACAGTGAGTGTCCCAGCTCCGGCCGGGTAGGGGTTCAGCTGAAAAAATGGACAAGGGGGACAAGAAAAAAGGACAAGCCTTTAGCCCTCCCTTCTCGGCCGTGTTCTCTCAGCTCGCGCAGGTCGGCCTACCAGCCGCTTATTTTCATTGTTATCAATTATCGCCTCTTTTCAGACGACGTAAGGCTGAGCAACGAGCACGCACGGGTGCCGCGCCCCATGACAACAAATTGGCGCAATCTTCCGGGTAAGGGTAATCTCGACGCTTGCCGAATGGGTCCGGAATGCAACTTTGTGGGCCAGCGCGGAAAAGAAGAGCCACGCCCCCTGAATAATAACCCAACTGTCGAGACGTTGGCTGAAAAATGAAATAAATATATCGTTGGTGTCTTGCAAACTCGCCTCCATCTCTCCAAACATACAGGTTTTCCTCAAGTCGCCTCTCTCGTGTCGGCGCATCAATTCGCCAAGATATACCCCCTACACCCCATTGACAGCCAGCACGACATCTCGACTCACTGGTTGTCAACCGTCCGAGCCATAGCTTCTGGGCGGGTCAATCGACCACATGGCGGCGCCGGGGCTTTTTGACCTTCCCGCGGAAATTCGGCTCCAGATCTACGGGTTGGTATTCGGCCATGGAAAGGCAGTTATTGAGGCCAAGAACGAGGATGATAGTGGCTCTCTAATGCCCCAGCTGGCAAAGTTCGAGAACCACTCGCAAAGGTCGTCTCAGCTGCTGAGAGCCAACAAGACGATTTTGCTGGAAGCCCGGCCTGTCCTCTACTCCAACACAGTATTCCATGTCATCAACCACGCTTTTGCAGGAAAACTGCCGACTCGCATAACCGACGGTCACCCATGTGCGCCGCATATCAAACACCTGGTCTGGCAGCTGGATTGTGACATGCTGAAGCATTTCTACCCTGAAGATCTTCGACTTGACCTTGGCGAGGTGGCCCGATGGAGCAGTCTTGAAATCCGATGCCGAGCCGAGACGTGGCGGAACTCGTTTCTGGGCGAATGGTGTGATCGTGAGGCTTTTGTGAGAGGCAGAGCTCAGATCCTGGAGTATGCCCAAGTATTTCACCATGCCATGAGCCGGCGCAATGGAGGGAGAATTACCTTTGCTGAGGACCGGAGTCAATTGGGGAGGGGACGGATCATCCTGAGACTGAACAGCGGCTGGGTGACTTCAAAGCAGCAGCGGTCTTTGGAGGAGCTGTTGATCATCGGCGGCCCCCTAACAATCGAAGGCAACAACGTCAAGACTGGTGTACAGTGATTCGGAATGCTTGGCAAAGCGACAACAAAGTCAATGGCTTTTGCTCAAGCAGGGCTATCCCTTTCTTGCGACACTCGGGTCCTCTGCCGAAGCGAGACTGCAACATGCAGGAAAAAGGCCGAACGGGTACACACCGAGGCGGGGCTGAATTGAGCCCGTCATATTTTTGACCCGCTTCATCCAAGGACTTTATATCCGGTCGCCCCCGTCCTTCGCATCTACCTTTCGGTTCGACGCCTGAAAACTTTCACGATTGAGTGGTTTAATTGCTTAAAAGGGCAGAGAGCCTAGTCAAGAAAGGATAGGCGATCGATGCGGCGATCCGGAACTCCTGGGACCAAGGAAGAATTGAACATTTGGAAGGATTTTTCCCGCTTGAGGTCTGCAGATTGGCTTGAAGCATCGAAGCGAGGGCAGAGATCTGAGATGCTCGGTCTGAGCGCAGTCTCTGCCGGACGCTGGTTTTGAGATTGTGGACCCATCCATTCGAAGAGCAGGAAGGTTCCTGGAGTATTAGGTACCACCAGTACCTTTGTGGATGTATCTTGACTTGACTTGACAGACGGCAGGAGACAGGGACAGAGAGGGTAACGGAGAGTCTGACGTGATGCGGGAGCCGCGGAAGACGCAGACACAGGAATTGGCAGGAATTGGCAGGAACTGGCAGGAAATGGTGGAAACTAGAGGGTTGGCATTAATGGTAGCAGTACCCAAAGTACCTAGTAGTGGTGAGAAGGTGCAGGTGAGAAGGATTGAGTGGTGACGCAAAAGAGAATTGCGTCGGTCAGAGGCACCAGAGGGTGTCTCCGGCCCAGTCACTAAGTACCTACTAGGTAGGTAGGTAGTAAGTACGGAGTACCTATCTCGTACTGTACTGTAGGTCGTAGGTCCACCTCCACGTTTCTCTCCATCACAACCTTGTATCCTCGCCCAACTGAACCGTCGGGCACCTTGCATTTTCCCCGCCATGCATTCTTCTATCGAAATCTCTACCTGTTCTCTTCTAGAGCTGCCCTTTCGGGCGGTTGGTAATGGGGAACGGCGCGCCTGTGGATGGAACTAAGCAGGCGGTCTGAGCTGCAGACGTGCCGTCATAGTTGCCCTTTTCCGTATGGTTGCTTATCAGAGTTTTTGCTTTGCTTGTTCCTTTAACCTCCATCAGCCCATGTCACTCTCCTCTCACTTTCGGCTCACTCCCTCTTGGAAAAATGACGAATCGACTGAACAAGGGCTGAGGGATAGGCTGTGATCTTGTTTTCGAAGCCCAATGGTTAGGTAGGGTGCGAGGATGTCAATCATAGTACCACCTGTGTAGAGGACAGTACTCAATCCCTCATGCCGACCTAGGTAATGGAGTAGCGGCTCTCTCCTCCGAGTGACTTTGTTGCTAGTACAACATGGGTGTGTCTGCATGTACCGACAGTGGTAGTGGTAATTTCAGCCTTGGTGGTGGTGTTGGCGTTGGCGTTCAAGTTGGTCATGACGATGATGCTGGTGCTGGCAACTGCGGAGGGTGGAGGTGCAGTGCCAGTGAGTACCGAGTAAGTCCATCCTTAGCTCGTGGACCAAGCACCACCGAGTTGATTTCTAACCCCGTTGAAGCATCTGAACATCAGAACATCGTGACCTTTCCCCCTCTCGATTTCCTTTGGCTCTCTTGCGTTTGGTCTGATGGTGTTTGCGTCCCCTTTGCTCCTCCGGCAGACTATCCCTGTCCGCTCCTCACGGCTTCGGTCAATGGTGCATTGCATACCCTCCATTTTAAAGGGCTTGCATTGCTCGCGCTGCCACAGATCAGCTAAACTGTTGTCGGTTACTCGGTGGAACATGCCATCCAATCCCTCTCGTCCCTTGAGTTCTCCGGGGTCACTTTGGTCACTGTGGTCACTTTTTGGTTCAACTTCTGGTCAGCTCGTCCTAGTTCTACCCCGCAATAACGGCCATGTCTTCGTCATGCCAGAGCTTCTCTTCCCGCCAGCGGTGACCGTTACTTCGGTCCAAAGTCTTGTAAAGTACCTCGTCTCTTCCATTCCCCTCCTTTCCCATGCCCATCGTCACCCGCGGCAGTACATGGTCACCAGGTATCGTGTCGTCGCGTCCTCCCTGCCCTGGTCACCACTCACCGAAACCTCTCCAAGTCCTGCTTCGTACTTTCCTTCGTTGCTAGGACTATTGGGAAGAGACCCCATGCACACCAATAGTGACGTGGAGAGTTCTCCCTCCTCTGCCCTCTACCAACTTGTTCACCATCATCTGACCCACTGCAGCTTGGATGCACCCAGTCAGCCTCATCGACGCAATGTCGCTAAGTATCTCGACTGTCTTTGTTTGCACTCATGCAACCTGTAACCCCGTATCGCGCCCCGGCGGCGTTCTTTGATTCCCTCCCTCGTACCTCGCCACCCCTCCCTTCCCTCTGCTTTTCCTCTTTGGTCTCTCTTGGTCTCCTCCGCTCGCTGATCCCGGCACATCGAACAAGCCTCGTGTCTCCACCTCCACCTCGTTCACCACCTCGACCAACCCCCGGTCATGCAAGCGCTGCCACTACGGTCATGCCATGTGCCTTGACACGCCCTCATTTGATGCTTCCCAACGCCTCACGAGACCATTGACAACATTGAGTACTCTACAGACGCTCATTTGATCGAGAAGCCCAGACCTAACGTCGACGTAAAAACAAAAAAGTGACTGGTTTACTTTTCTTCTGGTCCATCCATTGCCTCCTCCCTGGTTCTCCCTTGCAGAACCCCCCGCTCTTCCTTAACCTCTTCCGCTCTAATGAACTTGTACTGCTTGTGCAGTTCATGTCAACCCTGTTTTCCTGCTTCCCTCTGTGTCGTCGGTTTTGCTGTCCCATGTACATAAACGATTCCCTGCTATTTCCGGTTGTTGCAGCCACTGTCTACCCCATCCCTGATCCATCCCCTCCTCCAGGCTGTGAAATCTAGAGAAGTCTTGTTACCACTCCTCTAGCGGCGGAGCTACCAAGCATCTGGAGGACAGTGGTACATACGATCGACGCTCCTTCCAATTCTTCTTCCCCTTGGTCACTGTGCTCAAGCTTGGTGCAAGCAAAACTGGAACTAGGAAGAAAAAGTCGACTCTCAACGACGAGCAAAGGGGAGACAAATCAGATAAAGAAGAGGTAATCCTTTCTCAAAACCTGCACCGCTGTCGTACCGCCTCTTTGCGACTGTCCCGCTCTTTCTTCCCTCCTGCGTTGGATTTTGCCGACCTGATTGGCCTCAGTTTGCCTTGTTGCACTTCCCCCCCGATCAGTGGTCACACCTCCTTCCCGCCCTTTCACTCTGTTCCCAGTCTCAACCACGCTGGCGCCTGTCTAAAAGCACCGTGTAAGCTTAGCTCCTGCATCCTCGCAGCTTCCGCTACTGTGTGACGTTTGTTGTCTTTGATCCAAATACGACTTGCCTACCTCTCCTAGCAGCTGGTGCCTCGCGTGGCGGGCCTTGACTTCAAGGGACCTTCCTGGCCCAGAACAAGACTCGATGATGCCGACAGCAACTTCGATTGAAATTCGTTTCTACTAAGCAGATACACTTTCGTCACCATGTCGTAAGTTCTCTTGTCCCGAGTGGTACATTGGAAATTGCACTAAAGGGCTTTGCTCCAGCCTGGACGGCTACTGTTTCGGACTTCATTTCTGTGCCTTGACCTCGTCGGTTCGAGTCTGACCTCCCCATCGTATCAGATCGCCTCCTCCAGCTAAAAAGCAAAAGCAATTCGCCTCCACCACGTCTCCTCACACCAATAGAGAGGTACCAGCGCCTCAGGCGCCGCTGGCACCCAAACCCAATGCCGAACTGCTTCACCCACCGGCTTCGCCGCCAAATCCACGCAAGCGACGGGCATCACACAGTCCCAAGCTGAATACGCTTCCTCCAGGCACGGCTTTGCCCTCAGATTCCGCACCGCCAAATGCTCAAATGGCGGCTTCACCGGCGGACGAGACGGGCAAAAAGCGCGGGCGGACCAACACGCCGTGGACTCCCCAGGAAGAACAGCGATTGAAGCAAATGCGTGATGCCGGGCACAGCTGGAATGAGATCGCAAAGGTATCCCTCCGATTGACCTCCACCTGGGATTCTCTTTTGCTGACCCACAGTAGGCTTTCCCTGCACGAACCGAAGGCAGCGTGAAGAAGCACTGGTACAAGGTAAAGCGTGGGTCAAGACTGGTTGACTCGTTGCTGACAGAATGCTTCAGGATATGCACTATGCCGAGTTTGCTGAAGACGAGGTACTTATACGTGAAAGCGATTCGACTTCCTTGATCTAATTTGAATGCCTACAGTCGGCAGCACTTCGCGAAGCTATCAAAGAATACGAAGCCAATAAGTGGAAAGCAATCGGGCAGAAGCTCGGCAAGCCAGCCAAAGTTAGTATCTGATCATGGTCCAACTCATCCCCCAGCTCATGATAATCTATTCTAGGCATGCGAACAATACGCAAAGGAGCATTTCAAGAATGGTTGATGCACATCTCTACTGTATACATCGAGCTGAAGCGCTGGCGTTGGAAGGTATTCGGACGATCTGAGTCCTACTGCGTTTGCTGGGTTGCCAGGGCTGCCTTGGGTCGAAGGTGTTAATGGGAAGGCTTGTCGCGGCCGGAAGAACAGACACAGACTGTATGGCCACATCGGTGGCAAAATCGCGGTGGCGCTGGGATAGAGCCTCGAGGGACAGAGACGACTGGGTCAGGGTACCACTTCGTCAATGAAAGCTAAAAGAAACGTCAACCGTGATGTGCCGTGCTTCCGCCCGAGGATTGCGACCTAAAAGTGGCTTCGAGGGTTGGGGTTTCTCATGCGTCCTGGAGAATCTGTCAACCATGCAGATGCCAATCACGAGGCCGTTTCCGAGCTTTGTGTCGCGTGGGGTCTCTAACCACCCTGACCGCCAGAGAAACATGGACGAGAGACAGAAATTCGCTATTCCATATCTACAGAGGATTAAGGATAGATTAGAGGGGCTGAGGGCAGGGCGTTGCTCACAAGGAGCTCAAGGACGGCATAACAAATGGTCAAATGAAGTCGGACGTGCGCGGAGACCTGGAAGAATATTTCTCCGGTGCCGGCCCTCCCAACACCTTGAAGTCTCATGCGCTTCAAAATCAGAGTTGTTTCTGCTTCCCCCTTGCTACTTGCTTCACCCTCAGTTCCTTTACCAAAGAATCTGAGTTCTGGCTCGCCTTACCTCCGTAGTGATGAAACTCTGGTTTCTCCAGTGGACCCGAAGTTCTACCTCCCACTGCTGTGCTGCTCATTTACGGCCTCCCGTCACAACTCTCTGTTGCACAGCAGGACGGCTGTCGTTTGGACAAGGACTGAACTGGCCGGCTCCACCGCCTGTTCTCGCCATCTGCCCCGGGCGCAATAGGCATTTCCACATCCTCCGGTCTCATTTATGACCTTTCCCGACTCTGAGTTGCCAATGAGGGCCGGCATGGCCCGTGGCTGGGCTCCCTCCCGAAGAGGGACCGCCCCCAGTGCATGAACACCTGTTCGTCCGCCTTCCCCATCAGCCCCACGGGCGAGGTTGGGCATTTGCATCATTCCTGCATCCAATCTTACCGAATCACGACCCTCGGCATCAGTGGATGTAACCCGTCTTGGCTTTCGTCCTTACTCGCGAAATCCGGTTTCCTGCATCCCGCTGTTTGTCGACTGTGGATGTCGGGCTTTCTGTCTCTGCGGCTCTCTCCCACTCTTCCCTGTGGACTCCTGATGAGTGCAGCACCTGCAACACAGCGCTGACTGCCTCGACGTTGAAAAGTCACGAGCCCGACATGCCGTCTCTGCGAGTGTGTTCTCCCACGCTGACCACGACAGGAAACCCTCATTGTTGACTCCTTCACCGCTCGTGACTCCCCCCAAGCGCCTTCTCCGACTTCGTCGGCTCTTGTTCGGCATTGCTGAAGTACAGCATCCAGACCCAAGCCATACGAGGACTGGAGGACTGGAGGACTGGAGGACTGTCAAGAGCACCGGCGCGACTAGGGTATGCAGGTCTTCAGACGGTCTGTTCTGAAGGTCTCGGCTAGTCTACCCCATGACATCTAGTATCCTGCCCTATCTGTAAGCCGAATATTGGGTGCCTCGGTCCCTCTCATTGCTGGAATGGTCATTGGCGGTTCCAAATAGCCTGAAGCTCGATCTGCACTCACGCTCGGCCTTGTCGACAAGGTTCAGGGCATGGTGCGTGACTTTGGTGATCTCGGCAAGATCCTGATGATCCCGCTGAACCTCGTCGTCCAGTCAAATTGGTCTCGGGGCTCCGTCGACAGAAAATGCAGGTCCAAAGGCTTCCGAGTCATCCTGGTTCGTACTCCAGTGCACCCAATCAATCAGATCCAGTGCGGGCCGACCGGAAGCCAGCAACTTCGGAACCTTTTTCCTCTTCATCTTGTGGGAAATTAGGGAAGCTTCGAATCTGGGTGCATTCTGTGCTGTGTATCACAGCCTCATTTTCAAGGCGCTGCAGCCACTCTCCTTCCTTGGGTCGGTCTAGATCGCAGCAGCGCGCTTTGCTGAACCCCTTTATCTGTGCCCCTGAATCTTATCGCTTCGAGAGGAATCGGGAAAAAGAATTCTCCTGGAAACAAAGACCACAGCTGTTTACGGACTGGATACCCCGTGGACCGCGCAGAGGTAAGTTTCAATGCCTCATCACCAAACTCTAAGGCTTTTCGTTTGTCGCATCGGAAAGTTGGCTAGAAACGACACCAGGCTGCTTTCAGTATCTCCTCCCCTACTGCGGCGTCCATGTCAAGACCTCTTTGTACTGCAAGAAGTACAAGTCCGAGGCTCAGATAAATTTGTCTATTACTTAAGGTCTCGTTATCCTTCCATATTCGTCTCAAAGCGGGTCCTAATTACATGCACCAGACCCGCTTTACGTACACGCTTCCCATGATGACTGATCAGGATAACGAAAGATCGTACTAACATCTTCGAACCACTCCCCCATCGGTTTGAAGAGCATTCGAGTACAATGCTATCTTGTGTATGCTACGGGGAATACCAGGTGTCCTCTCACAAAGAGGTTTTACAGCGGCGTCCTCTATGCTGACCTATTCAAACAGATGACGGGTGCTGGCCTATGAAGCCACCAAAGGTGGAAGATTTCTACACCGAACGGGTCCTCTTCCTAATGGTCTCAAGCGAGCAACTACCGCAGCGATGGCACCGACCGGCTCATAATTTACTTCCCAGGCTTTTCTTATTGAGGCGGCGATGATAAGCATCTCTCATCTCTCTTCGCAACATCTTCCCAGACGGTGTCCTAGGGATCTAGAGGGTTGTCGGTCAGCAACAACACAAGGATAGCGCAATTTTCGACTTACTGAGTCGACTATTTCGGTTCCTCCTGCGAGATGTTTGTGCTTACTCAAGCGGTGCCCAACATGCTCGTTCAACTTCTTGATCACTGTTGCCACACTCTGTTTCTTGCCTTCGGCGCTTAGCACCACCCACGCTCTCGGAAACAAGCTTCCGTCGCCTCGACCGTTATTGACTCCAGCAACACATGCATCCGTCACAAGCTTCTCTGGATGATCAAGCAGGGTATCTTCCACTTCGGTTGCAGCTACCTGTAAACCTTTTACCTTGATCATCTCCTTCAGACGATCTAGGTAATGAATTCGATCTTCAGCGTCACGCATGACAAGGTCTCCCGTCCTCAACCAGCCGGGCTCCGCGAACAGGTCGGCAGTGGCTTTCGGGTCCCGAAAGTACCCCATGCAGACGACATTCCCTCTTGCCCACAGTTCGCCCTTGGTACCCTTCGGCACATCTTCGAGAGTGTCCGGGTCAACAACTCGGCCTTCCATGCCTGGGAGGAGGTACCCGATTGTACCGGGCTCGGATGCCTTCAAGCCGAAGATGCCTGCTACAGGGGGTGATGCAATGGACGCGGCTTCGGACAGGCCATACCCCGAGGGAATGGGCGTTTTAACAGGCAATTTTTGAGCAAGCTGATATGCGACGTCCGGCGGGAGATACGCTGCGCCACTGGTGCAGCTGACAATCGACGACAGGTCGTATTTTTCAGTCAGGGGAGACTGAGCAAGCTGCCTCACAATCGGCGGGACTAGAGGCAGGACTGTGATCCTGTACTTCTCAATGGATTTCAGGGCGAGTTCGATGTTCCATTTCGACATAATGACGTTGGTAGCCGGAGCAAGATTAACCCGCAAAATCCACATGATCATGCCGTAAGAATGGTATGCCGGCACAATTCCAAGGAGTGTTTGGTGTGTGAGTGGTTCGACCCGGTTGAACAATGCAGTCAGCGTCCCCGCTGTGATCCCTTGTAAGCCGCTGTGGACCGCATTCTTGTGAGAGATCATCATGGCCTTTGGCAGACCGGATGTGCCCGACGACTGAAACAGATAACACAATTTATCGCCGCCAACGAGTTTTCTTTTGCGCTCTTGCATCTGCAGGCCACGTCGCACGAAAGACTCTACGGTTGGATAACCCTCGACGAAATCCAAGGAATCATCATCTGCCAGCACCACAATCTTCCCTGGATCAAGCACAAGTCGGAGCTTGTCGTTGTCTGGACCAGCACCCAGCTTGATAGCTTCACGCAACACCGGTAGAAGCGTCTCATGGCACACAATAGATGTGATCTGCATCTTTCTCAAGACATGCCACAATTCGTACGGCGTGGATGCAGGGCTTATTCCGCCAAACACCAGCTCGGCACGAAAGCAAGCGTGAGCCAGCATCGAGTAGTGGATGTGGTTGCGGGAAAACAGACCCAAGATCTCTCCGTTATCTCTGTCGTCCACTGGCGATCTCGTCAATCCCAATGGGTTGGGACCATCATAACGAAATGCCCGTGCTAATGCGCATACTCTATCGTAAAATTGATGGAGCGTGACCCTCCGATCAGTTGCAGCATCGATGAAGAGATCATAGTCTGCAGGTAAAGGCCGACCAGGCGGGAAGCACAGCTCGTGGACATTCAAGTCCTTCGGGGTAGGGGGAAATGGACCGAATGGAGATCTGAAGACCTTGTCGTTGGTGGGTTGGTATTTGCCATGTACATCAGGTGCTTCCGGATGGACGAACCTGGCCCAATGTGGCTCCATTTCCCAGGCAACAACTTCTCCTGGTCAGTCGATTTGCACGGACATGGAAGTATCGACACAAGACTGGCCTCTCTTATCCTCTACTACTGTCCGTCACAAATGAGGGGAGCCGTCGGTTACCATTTTGGAAATACCGGGACTACCTCGGTTGCTCCTTGACGCCCTCGTTGACTGCCCGTCAAACAGACCGAAACTCAGTCTCCAAGACTTTCCAGTTGCTGGGGGCAACGTTCTGGATAACTGAACATGGTGAACAACACTGCGGATGCAAAAGGCAGAAATGAGCAACGTTTACTAAGTATGGCTTGTGAATATGGCCACAGTGTCCACCATAATGAAGGTCTCATTGCGACATGCTCTCTGACGCCTCGAGCCATACGCCAAGCCCATTTGCGCAAACGTTAGTGTGAGTTGGGAACAGAAGGCTGGATTGATATGTCGATCAAGCCTATCTAAACCCTCTGAAGTTGGACCACTTTCCTGATTAGCATCACGGAGTGCTCGGAAGGTGACAAGTCGAGGTCCCATGCGGGAATGTTCTTGTCGCCGCCCTAGATAAGGGCTTTTATTGGAGACTATTTGATGTGTACGCTTCCCCCCTTCTCCAATCAATTGCGATTGGAGCGAAGAATCGGGGGTACTTCGAGCCTTCGTGCCTGTGCGCCCTGGAGCAGAAACAGATATAACCCCAGATTTCGGATGATTACGCTCCCCTGCGCACGAGACGAGTTCCAGCCCAATCTTCCCGACGGTTGGAAATGCCTAGGATTTGGTGAGGTCAAGGACGGCGCTGTTGTTCGAGCCCAAGGGCCAAAATTTCATGAGTACGACCAAGTTTCGTCAATACCATCTAATACACTTTCTTTGATACGTCGCTGAGAGATGAAGTCATTCAACACTAGAGCCAGCGCCTCCGCGGGCATTCGCCAGTAAATTCGGGTGCCTGATATGAGTGGCTGGTTTTTACCAACGATTACTGATCTCGTACACCGCAATACCGAGTTTCAAGCCTACTTCGCATTATCCTGCGGAGCCCGCCTCTAATTGAGCAGAAGCGCATTTCAATGGCAGGGCGTCTTCCAGCTTTGAAGGGCCCAAAGGAGAGTAGCTTGGTGATTTAATTGCGGCTGTTTTAGATGACAGCTCAAACAGCGATCGATATACCTGTACGAGGTAAGCCTGGCCACACCAATCAGCAGCCATGTCCGACAGACGTCTGCGTTCACAGAATCAAAGGGTCACCAAGTCTCTCTAGCCACTTTTGCAGACAGCAATACCGTCAGCAGATTTCTACCTGTTTCCAGAGACCTTGAAAGATATGGTTGATTCGAAGAATCCTCTGCTCGTCAGCATCTTCCTATATCAACCTGAGTCGACATAGTAACCCTTCTGTCGAGACTGCCAAAGAAAAGATCATGTCAATACCAAAGCAGAGCCCGACACAGTCTTCAAGGCATTCACAGCCCTCGACGACGACCGCTCCTGGGCTTGTCCCAAGCTCTCCTCAGGATCATGGTGCTCTGAGTCAAGAGGACATAGACAGTCTCTTCAGCTTTGATGTCTTTTCCCAGCAGGACAATCTGGAGGAATGGTTTCGTCAGGTCTCGACGGAGGAAATGTGGCAGCACGATCACGAAGCATTCGATGAATTCTGGGGCGACTCGGGCGCAGGGACTGATCAACCTCAAGGTGCCTCCTCTCCTATATCGATCTTTTAGTCATATCAGCTATTAACCTCCGAGGAAAGGGTCAACTACAACAACCTACCAGACCACCCACGAGCTGCTATACGGTTCGCGGCTTGAAGAAGATGACGGCAACGATGATGGGACCCCTGTCGGCGGTCGAGAAGAAGGGGTCACTCACTGCAGTCAGAAAGACCGCCAGCGAGACGAAGCGTCAGCCGACAACAAGGACAATATCACTACGACTGGTGCCCATTCGTCGACAAAGACAGACTCCCCTTCCCCGAGCGACGCCGAACAGAAACGCAAAATGCAGAACCGACAGGCCCAACGCGCCTTCCGGGAACGTAGAGTCAAATACGTGCATGACCTGGAGAACAAAGTCAAGGACCTGTTGCTGTATGCCGAGTCGTTGAAACATGAAAACCAGATGTTGAGGGCCCGGGGGCAGTGGCTGAGCGGCCAGCTGAAGAGCTTCTACCGGCAACGGCAAGCTTCTTCAAGGCGCAGTCCGTCCTGAGAAGCGGGGGTTTGGATTTCTTTGGTGTTTGAGTTTGTACGGGGCCATCTCGAGACAGCATGTGCGTGTGTGTGAGCGTTGTGGGTTTTCTTTTCTTTTGTTTTTTGGGGGTCAAGGCGGAGCTTTACTATATAGATCAACGTCGGGGGACAATCGCAATCGTTTATAGAGCCTTTTGTACGTATCTGGAACTATTCAGATTATACTTTTGTCATTGTTTGAAAACAAGGCCAAGGTCCGCAGAGCTCTGCTACTACTACTCTACTACTCGGTAAAGCTAGTAGGGATCCGCCTGCACGTAACTGTACTATTTTTCCAATGAGCCAGCGAGCTAGCTATTGGTCACCCATGCTTTGCAACGACGAAGAAGAGCGAGAGAGAGAGAAAGAGAGAGAGAGTGTGTGTGTGTGCGTGTGTGTTTGTGTGTGTATGGGCAAAGGCAATTACATTTTCTTACTCAAATTTCCCCCCATCGGGCTTTTGGACAGGGAGATCATCCTCCTCCTCCTCCTCCCTAGGTACCTAGCTAGGCAGGTAGACTGGGCTCGGGTGCTAGTAGTGGCTTGAAACCCACCCGTGGTGCAATCTTCCCTTGGGAAGGATTTGACAAACCATGACACACACACACTCGCTCTGTCTCAATTCATCTGCTCTATCAGGCATTCTTTGGGGAAGCATCCACCATATCTCGCGGGGAAACGGAACTGCAAATGATCTGTTTCTCTCAGGGGGTGATTAGACAGTCTTTATCAGCTGAGCGGGCGTGGGCTTGTCTCGAGGACATTGTCTTTTTCAGCTCCCGATTGAGTAACGTCCACTTCCCTCCCAAGCATCCGTTTACTGCTGTTGAGTCATGATTATTTGGGTTGAACTCCTCTAGACCTAGTCAGTAGTCAGCATTTACTTTTCTCCTCTGTCTTCCCACTCTGACAAAATCTGCTATTGTGCGCCCTAGTATGTTTTCTAGGCGAAAACGAACCTGACTGACTAAAACGTCCCTCCCCTGCACGCCTGATACCTCTTTTTCCATCTCCTTCCCCCCTTTTTTATTCGACATGGCACCCTTTTCCAGCCTTAGTCATTTTCACAATAGCATCAAGAACTGTGATTCGTCGACGGAGCCGGCAGGCCGGGGAATACCCCCTGAGGCCCGGTGTGAAGCGCCGTTCAGATAGTGACCCACGGTCCTGAATTTTTGAAAACCTCCTCTCGTGAAGTACAGCAAGCCGGTATCCTTACTTATTCTGGCCTGCTCCATACAAAGTCAGCAAAACAAGCAAGTGCTCTCGGCTTTGTTTTCCACTTATGACCCCCCAGGATCCTGAGCCCGAAAAGAAAGGATTTTGAGCGCGTCATCTCGCTACTGGGACGAGCAGTTGCCATTCAGCAGCAGCCATGGCAACTTTGCATGCCCCAACCCCGACGTCCCAGGGTTGACATTGATGGTAGCGGCATCCGGGGAAAAAATTAGTCGATTCGATCAAAAGAGTGAAAGAGCTGAATGCCCGCTCTTTTGAAAACGAGGAAACTCACTTGACCTAGCAATCTTTAGGGACACTGCAAATTAAACAAGTTAGGGTTCTGATTCGTTCGAAAGAGTCAAGAACACATCCTGATTGGTTGGGGCAAGGCTGCTGTTGGTGGTGGTGGCGGAAGCCATATCTCGCGCCTGATTGCTTCCTTTTGGCTCACATAGTCGGGAAATAGGTCGAATATAGGAGAAATAGATTTGCGCGCTGTATCACGACTCACCTGCGAATGCTGGGCAAGATATGTCAGGAACAGAAAGAAAATGGTCACAAGACACCAAGCCTCTGGGAGGAGCCTCACGATATGGCGGTCCAAAGAGCTTTCTCCCTCGAACGCGCAATTGAGAAAAAGGGTTTCAAGTATTCTGCTCCTCTCTGGTCATTGAGGCAGGGCAAGGCTGCCAGAGTTCAGGGGTTGCTGGGGAACAGGCAGTGCGTGAGAAACCATAGTACTAACGCCGGGCAGATTCTCGGGAATCTTACCCACCGGCCTCAGTTGATTTGGTCCTCATGTTGATATTATTATGAGTTGGTGGTCCCCAGCTTGGATCCAATCATCCTGCTTTTGACAATGGCCGTTGACCTGGTTCTTTCCCGCCGCTTTTTGATTCCCCACTCAGAGACCACCTCGGTACCTACTGTGCTTCGGCATCCACCAATACCCACCGGTTGCCGCTTTTCATCCATTTCCGCCTTAACCTGAGTAGTAAAGAGCCCAGCCTCGCCGGCCACTGATTGGCCTTTAAGGTCCTCACTTTGACATCTGCGTGACAACGGCTGAGGAGCAGCCAAACATGTATCGACTACAGGGTGTCGGCATGGACGCCGCAGAGAACAGTAGCCCAGGTTGGCTGTTTGCTGCATACCTTGGAGTATTAGTAGTAGTACTTGGAGCTTCTGGGAGTCCTTCTTTCCCACGTATATGTGGTTAGGTGGCTTTGGTACCCTCCCTCAGAAAAGGGCAGCAGCTCAATCAAAGCAAACTGCAAAGGCGACTCTGAGCGCGAAGTATCCTGGCGATGCGGCATTCTACACCATCGCCTTCAGCATTGAAGTGCCCAGCGATGTCAAAGGAGAACCTTCTGTGGCCGGGATCACCTTTGGAAATTTGAAACCGGTGTTATGGAGGTGCCATTGAGTCAACAGGGCCAAAGACTGAGAGCGACGTAGTCTTCAACCACGCTCGATCCAATTGTCCGATATACCGTATCTTTTGATCGTGGTCGTCGTAAAAGCTTGGACTGTGCTGTTTTCACTGAGCCTTTCACGCAGTTTGGATAGCCGGGATAGTCCACGTTGGCGAACGCCAAAATCTGTCCTGTGAGATAATGACACACGCACTGGCAACATGCCCATCTCCTGCACGGTAATATCACGTCCTAGATTGAAAATGGTCGGTGTGGACCACTACGCGCTGGCGTGCGCGTCAGGGTAGTCGATTGCTGGTCAGTACCGGGGTATCCTTAAGGTCCTCACTTTTTGATCCCCTGCCGCTTTCCTTTGCAGGAATACTTGCAGCTATATGTACAAATGATGCTGCACCTGGGTGCTTTTGTTGTCGTTTGTTTCTTTCTCTCTCTCTTTTTCTCGCTTGTTATGTTTCGACTTCCGCTTCTTTTTCCTCCTGGGTGACACGGTAGTGAGATCTGTCATAATGTCTCGGGCTCTGGGAGTCAATGCACTCAACATCTCTGTGAAGACGCCTCCGTGAATGAGCTCAAGCAGCATTGGAACATCAAAGGGCATGATTACACCGAGTCCCTCTTCCTCTTGCATCCTTTGGCAGGCGGGCCTACTCCTCTTACCAACCTCCAATGTACCTGCCTCATTCAGGACAGATGAGCCGCTCTACCAAAGGGCCTAACATCGGCACCTTCGGGGCGTTGTTGTTTGTGTTGCCCCCGCGCCTATGACCAGGAGATAAGGACAGCCCAGAGGCACCTCAGCACTGAATACCGACCTCGTTAGCTCGGGATCAAAGTACGGGACAAGGTCATCCACGAATGCACAGACGTACCTGCTGCAACATGCCAGACTCACTATACCTACTCGAAGCGAGACGGACATTGCCCTCAACGAAGCCTTTGACACAGAGAAGAAAATACATCCCGCTGCTCCATACGTCTGAAGGTTGGGCATGAATGTCTCCCGTGCTCACCTCAACGAGTGTCTTGAATGGTGTGGTCGATTCTACTCAAAGCTTGATCAAAGAGAAGGAGAGGCTTCCGAAAAAGTCTGCACTGCTATGCAATCGGATGGCATGGATACCCAAGCAAAGATCCTCTCGATTCACTTGTATCATCTGGGGTGTTCAGCGCCGTGGCATCGTGCGACTGGCCAGGGATGCTGTGTGTGACCGCCTCACCACGTGTTGCGGCCTGATGGAGTGGTGACACAACAGACTTCACACCAAGAACTTGTCTCGTATGTCGACCGCGTGGGCTCTACTGGCTCCTACAACAGCCCCAGCTGTAAGGCCTTTGCATCACAGCGGTGTACCCCGAAGAACGTGGGATATCAACACAGTGTTGTGGGACTGCATCTACTGCTGCAGCAAAGCTTCAAAGGTGTCAAGAGGGGGACAGTTACCATGGACACATCATCGTTGGAGAGCACCAAAGGGCCGAGCGGGAGGAAGGCGCAGGCACTGGGCACCCACTGGGCATGGTTGTCCGAAGCTTATGGTGCAACAAAACAAGTGGACCACCAGCAGGTGAGCAAGAGAGTTGTTGACGAGGTAAGGAAGAAGCATGGAGCCGATGAAGAGGGCTGTGTTGCGGATCTCATGACCATGAGGGAATCTCCGTCATCAAAGGGCTCTTGTCTAAAAGGTACGCGGGATGCAAGTTTAAAACCCTAGACCGTGCATTTCTGATGGTTGCTATCTAGGGCTGCTATTTCCATAACGAGAGGTGACATCCCCAGAATCCTTCGACGTTGCGCTGATCTCTGCCCACCGCTCGAGAGATGACCTTGACAATGCAGCGACTCGAATCCTTCTCCAGCCCGCCCGTGACATCAAGGGCTATGAAAGCATCGGATAAAAAGATTTAATGCTTGACAGCAACATCAGTACCCAAGTGGTTTGAAGAGAAGAAAGAGACATACGGTGCAGCAAGTGCAGCCCTTGCATTCGCCGGAGCCGTGTCCGCAAGTACCGCAGTGTGGTTCCATTGTGAGTGATGGTTCGAAAGTCTTTTGACTTGCTGTGATTTGATGAGGTGTTTGTTGTGTTGTTGTCTTTCGATCGAAGTATGGTTGAGGAGCTGTGGTAAGAAAAGAAAAGATCAAGAGCCCAGAGGTAAGCGAAAAGAGTGCTGCTCTTTATACCTTTCAGCTGCCTATGTTTTCCCGAGCCAGAGTTCGAACAAGGAGATTCCCACCGTAGACCAACCACCATATCCCACGCAAAAAGCAAAGTAACACAGACGACAGCTCAAGAGCATGTCCAAAGTTTTGGATGTCTGATTGGTGCCCTCTGCTTATCGGTTACGTACTTTCATGGTGTGAAAGGGGGCCGCAGCCGTCCTGCCGCCTGGCGAGTTCCGTGTGACCAAATAAACGATCATCTGCATGGGCACGAGTCTCTGCTGAATTGGAGTGGCCCCTCTCGTTTGGATCACGCGGGATGGTACGCAGATTGGTGGCAGAGAGGGGGCGGTCAAGAAAGATCTCCACGGCTCGGACCCTCGTCTTGACAAGAGAGTGGTTAGAAACTGGACCACTTGGCTGCTGCACGGCCCTGCAGCTCAACGTAGTGAAAAAACAGGATGATCAGAATCAAGGCTTCAAGCGGAGTACTTTCGTGTGCGTGGGATGAGAGGCCGGGGGCCTCGCCTGGCTAGAAGAGGCGCGTGGGAGTGAGAGTTTTGCCAACAAATTCTCAGCCCACTCTGCAAGTGGCTCTGGCTCGGTGACCACCTGCATACTCACCTGCTCGGAAGCAAACATGCATCCAACGTGACCAGAGCAACGCAGGCCATCTTTTCGTGGAAATTCTGTCCGATCATCCGGCCCAGATGGCTGGCTGGTTGAAGACTCAGGAGTGAGACGTACAATCTCGTGCCGTTCTGCAAGAAGGACAATTGCGAGAAATCGTAGGCTGCAGAGTTGAACAATAATTAACAAAGCCGATTAAGTGGGGTTGGTGCTTTAAAGCCCCCTTCACTGCAAGAGCTCAATACTTTCGATCTATGTAGGAGGAATATTGATGGAAGGGACGTTTCAATAAAAGCAGCGTCACTTACCCACCCTTTCATAGCCTCGGACCTTTATGTAAAAGGAAAACCGTCTAGCCATCCTGGGCATAGATGAAGACTTGTCTCAAAGCGGCGGTAATTGCTTGCGCTATTGGGCACCGGAATTTCCATGGCAAATGGTTCATTGAAACTGTGATGTAGACAAAAGTTGTCTCGGCATTGCTCTGACTGCGTCGCATATGAGATGTGGTCCTTAGTTCTCGAGGCCATCGTTAGGCACTCTCCAATACCTGCTGATACTTGAGTAAGTCCCGACCCATCCCGAATACCCAATTGCCCAAGTCTATCTTGTCCTCCACCGGCAAGTCTGATCTGATGCCAATCAACGCTTCAGCGGATTAGGTGGCTTCAGGAGCAGAGCCATTGTAGTGCCAAGGTCAACAGATGCCGCTGCTGCTCGCCATCAGCGTGTTCGGCCTTTTTATAAAGATGACCAGGCATCGAATCATCGTATCAGATGTGTACCGACCTCGTAAGGGAATTATCCCTTGCTCATATCTCTTTCATACTGGCCATTTCACTGTAGTGCCGTTTATGTAGACATTCTGCAATCGGAGCAGCATTCATTTCAAGAACATCCCATCAGCTCGCTCAACGCGAGGCGACTCGCGCGATGTAATCATACCTCCGTCTGTGGTTCTGTAAAATAGTTCAATACATCCTGTGGTAGATATTCCAACCACGGTATCATATCAGCGCCGGGGAAATCAAAATTGAACTGCTGGCCTGCACTCATGTCGATATCTTGAGATTCAATCAGCATGTTGTTGAAGGTTTGGTTTTGGACGTCAGGAAATGGCTGCTGAGGACTTAGAGAAACGTTATAGCGTTGGCCTGGCTCTATATATCCAAAGGCATTTGAAGGTTGACTGAGTTGTGTGGGTCTAGGGGCAACACCGGACGGCGGAGCTGAGCCAGCAGTGTACGGAGAGTGAAGGCCGAGCAAAAGATCCGCATCAGCTGTTGACACGGGATCGTAAGGCACCGTTGGCACTCTGTCAGTTGAAGTTGAGATTTCACCCTGATAGGCTTGTCCCAATCGATCGGTCATGGTCGAATCCGCCTGGAGAGCGGACATGTTAGGGTTTTGCCACCGCGCTAGAAACTTTCTCGTAGCTGGTGGGCTTTGGGTTGTTTCATCTTGCTCCTTCGCTGGAGGAGCCACCTGTGGTGTCTTTGCAGTTTCGCCACCAGTGGGATACAGAAAGCTAAGGTTGGGGGCCAGAGAGTTGGCTGTCCCTGTCAAGGACCACCCAATAGCATTACTGAGATCCATCGAAGGTGATATCGGTCCGCTTCCTGACAATGCTTTGAGCGAGCGCAGTCTGCTGTATGCTCCTAGTGAAGCAGCGAGCGAGGTGCTTCGTCGCCAACCGGGAGTAGTAAAAGAGGGTTCAGTTGATGGCATTTCTCCATCAACGTCATCTGCAGTGAATAGCAAGGGATCCATCAAGCCTTTCGACTTTTGGTCCAGAGCGGTCAAGATATAACGGCAACCGGCCCAATAAGAATCTAAAGTCTTGAGCGCTTTGTAACACCGCTGATAATTTTGGTTTGCAGCAGTAGCAAGAAGGGTATGGCGCGCGGAGGCTGCTTTTTGTGTTCTTTCCGCCACCACGTCTTGTTTCGGCCGAGGTGTATGTCCATTTGATGGTGGAGATGTCGCTCGAGACGACGGCTGAGAGCTATGAGCGGTAGCTTCTGCCAAAAAGGCACACGCCGCAACATACATGGGTTGGCTTGTGAAGGGGTTGCCAATGAAGCTCTTGACATCGATCAGCTCAGCAAACGCCAGGATATCCGCAATTGTCTTTGCCGATGACATGGACAGTTCTCTACTGTCGGGGAACAGCTGTTGGATTCGTCCTTCGAATGAGTGCAGCAAAGTCGGCTGATGAAGCAGGACAATCAAGGTATGAAACCAGAAATGTAGTAAAATGAAGTTTGTGCCATGGCCCGCTTTGACGTAATGCTGGAAATTGGTAGCATTGAAATGAAGTCTAGGCGACAAGCGTTGATATATGCCTATCGCGGTCAGTTTACAAGGTCACTAGGCTAACAGGAGACTGGATTTCTTACCTGTCAGATCTCTCTCCATGCTTGCCAACCGCTTCAACACATCGGGCGTCACCTGACTGACTTCCTTTATGTTGTTGAGCACATCCGCAACTCGCCCATACATGTGCACAATCTTAATCATGGCAGGAAACGGATCAGGGTATCCATTAATCATTTTCTCATCGGCTCGATACGGGAAGGAGATTTCGATGTCCTTGTCTCGCAGAGTAACGGGACGACCAACGCCCGAAGAAACTGCTCTGTCCAGAAAAAAGATGGCCCAGAAGGTATCAATACGTTCCTGTTCACTGGCCCTTCTGTCGTCCAGCTGAGAACTACCCTGTTCGCGAAGATTGCGGTACAGCTTTTGTTGCTGTTCAGCTCTCCTCTGCTCCTCGGCCTTACCGTCTTGAACATGTTTGGCGGTCTTCGGGGTTGGCCCAATCCGCCCTTCGAGTTGTAAGCCCTCGAGCTTTTGAATCCCCAGGTCCTGTGCCATGCGAATGGCCGTGCCAAGGTACATCCATAAACCGCTGTCGTGATCTACACCAAACTCCTCATAAGCAAGTAGGAGACAGGCTTGAGCAACAGCCATCGTTGGGCAAGAAAATGTGTCAATCACTGCTGACATAGCCCTTTGAGCGAACGGTTGGCCCCGAAAGGCTCTCCTGACATTTCCTTCTGTGTCCAATGGAATAGAGGGGTCGTTGGATGTGGAAAGAAGCGGGTTTGCTGAGAACCGCGCCGCAACTGCGCAAACAGCATCGACCAGGATCGCATCCACTTTCTTCTCTTCCAGATCTCTCAGAAATCTGTCACGTTGAAGAAAAGGATAGTTGCAGCCAAGATGGATGAAGAATGTCTCGCAAAGATGAGTGATCAGAGGAGCGTTTTGGTCCGCATCCGTTGCGTCGTAGAAGGGTATCTCAACGGGCACTCGATCCTGGCCAACAGCAGAGTTCCCATCTAGCTGTTGTCCTGCAGCTGGAGACTCTCCCGAGGCCGAAGGCAAGCTGGATCTGTTGTCCTTGACTTGCACCACCATCTGTTTGAATCCAGGTACGATCGCAGTCGGTCCAAAATACCGAAAGTAGGGAACTCGATTTCTCGAAGATGTCACGCTGCTCGTAGTGTGGTTGCTCGAAGGACTTATCATTTCTCCAGCGTCTTCCCTAAGCATATTTTCTGTATCCTTTTCTGGCCCAGCTCGTATTTTCATCGCGACTTCGGCATCTCTGCTTTGCTTTTGAGGCGTTGAAGACCCAGAGTCGGCCTCCTCTTCGCCATCCTCCTCGAGTCTCTCGCCGTCTCTGCGGATTGGACGGTCGGTATAGCCCGAACATACATGGTTGTTGTCCGTGCAGGTTTTACACTCAGGCCGCTCACCGGAGCAACGCGTCTTCCTTTTGCGACAAGTCAGACAAGCAGCATTTATCCGCCGCCTCTTCGTGTGCGGCTGGCCGTCGGTCGAGACGAAGCGAATTTGACGAGGCGGGGGAAGAAAACCCGTAGGGGCATTTGGGGACGCAGACTGGCCAGGGTGAGCACCACTCTGGTTCATGCTTTCAAGGGAAGACACTCGCGCTCGTGGGCCAGGACGATGGCATTTTAAACGAACCGTGTCAATGGGCAAGATTCCTGGTCATTCGAGCATAAGACAGAGAGCAACGCAGCTGAGCCCAAGCACATATTCTGGCCACTGCAGTGAAAGCCTGCGACTCGGTTCCCAAAGACAAGTCGAGTGCTGGAAAATGGGCCTTGAAAAAAATGAGAGCGAGATAGTTCAAGAGGGGTTCCTCTGAGAAGCAGTGCAGGTAGTTTGGCCCACACAGTGAAGGAGTTGCATTCAGCCTTTCGCACCTGCAGGCCGGCTTGCGACAATCGTCCAGGCCTCGACCATCGGCGGTCCATCGCACTATCCGCTCGCCTAGCAAGCTCTTCTGGTACTAATAACTGTGGGAAGTTGCGGGGGACCATCTCCACTGTTTAAGCTGATCTCCCTTAGACACCTTAGGCGTGCTAGGTACTTAGTACGTATCCCATACCTAGCACTAAGTAGGTACCTAGTACGTGGTACACGGTACATGTAATACTGTCCTTTGTCCCTTGATCAGCTTCCGATCCTACTACACGACTGCAGACGACGCTCACAATCATCCCTAGTCAGCATTTACTCCAATGGATGAGGGTGCTACTGGGTTCGTAAATATACAAGGTAACTCGTCCGCTATTCATAACTTCATATTGGGCACTCCCTGCCAACCTCACTTCTTGGTTTTGATGAAAACATCCCGCATTTTTCTAAGCAGAATGCTTCATTCAACCTCGTGTCGGCGACCCCGGCCTCTCCACCCTCCTCCTACTCCATAGCAGCACACGCCGTTCTGTTCGCACCACATTCTGACCTCCGTCGGGCTTACTTCACGATCTTCACCTATCGCCTTGAAGCCCTCCGTATTCAACCATACCGTCAGCTCCTCCAGTACGATCGGATCGTACATGAGAATTTTTTCGTGCCAGGTTGGGGACACTTGATGGTTTCGGGGTATCCCATCCACAGACTGTGTGTCTGGAAGGCGATAGATGGCAGCACGAATCTGCGATAGGATGTCCGGCATGGGAGTCTGCTCAGGCGTAAGGCCTGGACCTCCACCTACAGGACCGTCCAGTCTCGATGTCAGGCTCGCGCTCTGGGCACGGGAAGATTCGTGTGCTTGCGAGGGTGTGCATCTCGATTGCGGTACTGTTGATGGAGGTGTAACGAGTCTCTGAGCTGCATGTCCAGACCGGTGCTTTAGAGGTTTCTCGTTGTTTACAACCGTTGGAGTGTCCAAGCTGTGGCCCTCTTCAATATTTGGATTAGCAGAATAATCCAGATCATCAACATCCACAATTTTCGCGTCTGAGAGCACCTTGGACACTCGTTTCCGCGAGCCCTTCCCTCCTTGTTGTGCAGAGTCATTCGATTTGGTCGCTGCCTTTTTCCTCTTCTTCGGCTCCTTGGCAGCGTTCGTGTCTCCGGTTTCGGATTTTCGTTTGGCACGAGATTTCTTGAGTTTCGGAGCTGGTCTCGTAGAGACATCATGAATTTTGCTCAGTAAGTCGGCGTGTGTCATTACATCATTCGAGGCATTTTCATCGTCATGCCTTTGTTGTATACCGTGTTTGCTTTCCCAACATCGCTCGAGAAGCTCGATCATCGCCTCCCGCTTCTTAACGGCCTTAAAGCCGTATGCAGATATCTGTTTCTTAAGCTCGTGGTCGGAAAAGCCAACATAGGACGGCATAGTTGGCTTTGCATCTGCCGCCACGCTCTTTGCTCCCGTCTGCAGATCGTCGTCCTGGCGGTGGACATCTGCTCCTTGCTGCGGCTGTTTAAGCGTGCGAGACGTATGATATAGCCTGGCTCGTGCCTGTGTAGGTGTATTGATAGATTTTGGAAGTCGAGGTTTGGCAATGTCATCGATATCGACCAGCGATTGGGCTTCTTGTGCTCTGGAAAGTGGCACTTGAAGAGGCCTTGATGGACCATTGTCCAAAGCGATTATGTCTTGTCCATTCCGACCAATAGGCTGCACAAGGACATCTTTTCCCGTAAGAGCCAGACGTACAGCAGGTGAATCAGTAAGGTCAACCGTGTCGACCTGCAGCAATGCATTATCTTCGTCTCGGCCAGCCGCACTCCACAAATTCCTTCTTTTGACGAACCGACTCGTGCCACGACAGAATTTGGGTGACACAGACTCGATCGAAACTGGCTGGGTCAATTGTGGTGAAATAGGATCAGAAGAAAAGCACTCCGAGCGTCTCAGAGCTTCCAGGGTATCCCGCGTCAACGAAGGGGATTCATCGCGAGCTAATTGACTTGCTGGACCAAAAAGAAAAGGTTGCTCTAGAGTGGTTTTCATGGCAGACGTAGGAGATTTCAATCGACTCTTGGCCGGAGCTTTCTTGGCTGGCCGTGCTTTCTTGCCTGAAGTCTTTGATTTCGTGACCTTTGAACTCCCATCAACGGCCAAGTCTGCTTCGGTGCCTGCACCCACTTGTGTTGCTGTAAGATATTCCAGGATAGGCGGTATCTTTGTTTCTTTCAGTCGGCTATCACCGTAATTCGAAGTTGCCAATCCCGTGATCGTGAGAGGCTTCTTTGTTGCAGACTTTGCCTTTACGTTCTTTCCACCTTTCCCAAGTATTTTGCAAGGTTGCGCTTTGCACGAGGAGGGTGAAGGTCTTGCCTCGGTCGTCATGACAAGGTCAATCCTTCTTCTACTCAGCCGCGTTTCGTTTGTGTCAGATGTCGCAGTTGTCTCAATGCCCGTCGTAGCAGAGGGGTTAAAGGCATAAAAGTCCATAAGATCATTTGTGAATCCAACGGCTCGATCTTCAGAATGCGGACTCTCTAAGGCGTGTGTGCTCTGCTTGACAGGTGTCCAATCCAATCGTCTCGGTATGGCTTTCTCTAATGAGATGGGGCTTGAATACCTGCTATTGCTGATACCCTGTTCATCTCCCGTGTGCTTCAACTCTGTCCCTGAAGTTTCCAGTTCCTGCGATTTGTTATGAGAGTCCCTGTGCTGTGGATTTGCCATTGGGGGAGGCGACTCGAAGTGTTTAGATCGCTCCTCCGCTAGGGTTTCTTCCTTCTTCTTCCCAAGCTCTTCGGATCGCTTTAAGGATTTCGTTCTGGATCCATCTTTTCGAGGAGACAGTAAAGGGATATTTTCTGCGCCGACCTTTGTGGCGAGCAAGGCACGTGCGCTGCCGAAGCCGCTGGTGAACCCATCTCTAATCCGTCTGCAGTCTTCAAATTGTCCGGGGTCAGCGGCTTTCGTATTCGACAAGGCGCATAGTGACCGCAACGGAGACAGAGTGTCAGCGGGAGTGGGAGAACGGGCAAATGTTCGTGGAGGGGACGAGGAAAGAATTACGACGGCGCCGGACATGGTGGGAAGGCGCTCGACGGCCCATTGGCGCAGATTAGTGACTGCCAATGCGATTCTAGAATGTGATTGAGAAGACAAAGTCAAGATATCGCTGGAGGAGACGCCAATTGTCAAGGCACCGGCATGTGTTTATTGAGGTTGAAGCTGGTGGGAAATGTCTGTCTTTGCCAAAACAAAGTGGAGGCTGATTGGGAGCTGGAGGGGCGCAATAACGGGCCCTGTCATTCGAGTTATTAGCGGTGGGTAACGCGACCGGTTCACGGTTCCACGTGAGCAAGTCCATGGGCCCATTGCCCTTCGTTACATTACTGGGGTTATTCAATTATTGGTTCGGATTGTTCGCACTTCTGGTGAATATCAACTGCGAGCACATAGCTTTGGCTAGATACAGTATGGCAAGCACTTTTGGCGGAGAGAAAAGACCCAATTTAACTCCACTGGAACGTCAACAAACTACACCGAACTCCCACTTTTGCAGGGTATCCTTGACAGCCCTATCCTGTTCAAAGTTCCCTCCCAAGACCCATTGCAGAAGGGCCCCAAGAACCCATTCCTTGAAAGTCTTGCTCGTCCGGGCCAACTGGTGGTGGTGGTGGTTCAGGAAGGGAAGTGTTCGGTGGGCTTCCTTCGGACAGATTGACGGTCAGGCTCGACCCCGACGATGCAGACGGTGGGCATTGGCCTTCAATCACAGGCAGCTCGTGCTCGGATCCATGTTGCTCGGTGACTAGCCCTGTCAGTTCCCACAGCCTCCTCCCCTTCCTCCTTCAAGAGCCCCGTGTTATACTCACAGCTTGGGATTGACTTCAGCAACCACTTGAGGATAGTACCACCAATCTGCCAGGTCAAGGACACAGCATACCTCCAAGTGGCAGTGAGGAGACAGCCAATGGCCTTGAAGATCGCCATGAATGTCATATATAATCTTGTCGGCGAAAGCCGGACCCACGAAAAAGGCATTGCTTGGTTCAAGCCCCTGGAGAGACATGCTGCTGGCGGTGGCGAGAAATTTATAGAGAGAATGATAGCCAGACGGTCGCAAGCATCATTGAACCGTTGCGGCCAAATCACCCTGATAAATCACTCACTCTGTCTTAGATAGCCTGCGTTCTGTTCACGGTCGGCAGATGCCCAAAGATGGGGCCAGGTCATCGAGCAGGGATAATGCGGATTTGGGCAGGTCAAACAAGGTCCAATTCAGAGGATATATGCAGAATTGACAAGCCCAGCCGAAGACTGCCAGCGCCTTGGTCGGTGCTCGGACGTCATGGGAGGAAATGGAGTGTGACTCGACGAATCTGTCAGGCAAACACTGCCTTATTGGTTTCTCACTGAACAGAGGTTGGATAGACAGACGGTACTAAGGATGGTAGGGGTAATGGCGCGGGTTTTGTTCATTGGCAGGGGTTGAGACTGCTCAATGCTTCAACGTACTAGGTAGCAATTGCCGCAGCAACACACGGAGAACCACAAGACCATCAAGCGCAATAGATCGATCGAGATCCGAGGCTCACCAGCCACATCCACCGAACCACCGTCCACCCCACCGCAGGCTGAATCGGCGTCCCTCTTCTACCACCGCCGTCACCCACGGGCCACCATCACCACCCCTTCTGAGTGAGGTCAGCAGTGCCCGCTAGGTACCCGTTAGGTGCCCACCGCCCCAGGGTTTGGTTGGTCAGGCGCAATCCAAGGCCTGGCTCGTGCCGGTGACTTTGAACCAACACCAAAACATTTCAGCCGCAGGGCGCCCCTAGTCCGGGGGGCCAAAGCAACCAGCAGTGACGACCAGCGGGCGCTCAACGGTTCCTCCGAGACAAAGCCCTAAGCCCTTGGCCCTGGCTACCGACAAGCATCAGCTGCTACTCGGCGCTTTTCTTCCGTCCAACATCAAAGGGAACGTCGTCGCTATGTCGCGCAGGATATCTAGGATCTACTTCCCAGCTTCAGTAAAACAATCATCTACTTCGTGAAACGGTGTTTGCTGCGATTGTCAGGCTCAGTGGAAGGAAACCCTTCGGTGGCAGGCGCCGCGCAATCAGGCTGAGCAGCGCTCTTATCAGCGTCGACACACCCTCCACTGTGTTCTCTCACGCGTTGCAACCATGGCCTCTGATGACGATTCGCAGGCTCTGGACACCCACCATGACGAAAAGGATTGGGAATCGCAGAAGGAAAACTTCCGCATCTGTTACATTGACAACGGCATGACTCGCAAAGAAGCCGCCGAGTACATGAAAGAACACTTCAACTTCAGCGCCACCCCCCGCCAATGGGAGCGCAAAATCAAGCAGTGGGGGTTTTCAAAGTACACGAATCGAGAGGAAAGACTTCATCAGATTGCGCAAACCGGCAAAACAGTCCTCGACGTCAGTCGTCCCGGCCGAAGACCTCGTTCTCATGTGGACGAGCATGGTAATCTTCAACCCCATGAGGATCGCAATCTCCGTCGCTTCGCCCGTCGCGAACTCAGTCGTTCGAGATCGAGGTCACGGTCTGCTTCATTCACCGACATGCCGCGCCCACAGTTCAAACAAGAATTCTCGGATCCCTCCGCAGATGCGTCAATGGATTCCCCATTTGACTTCAACCAGCTCGACTCGGAAATGCGACGGAGCTCCAGTAATGACGGATTCCATCTGCCTCCAACGCAAGCCGGCAGTCGCCCGTTACAGACGTTTCAGCCGCAAATCTTTCAGGAGCACGAATCCGGCGCGTACGGGACAAGCGTCAACCCAAGCCTTCCTCTGTCTCTCGGTCAAAATCAGTGGGGTCAGACACAAGCTGATGAAACACAGCAATTCAACGCTGCCTCTGCTCAAAATCAATACGCAGTCTTTCCGAACGATCCGACATCATCACATGTCCCACAAGCAAGCGGCGTCCCAAATGGTAATCAACGCTTCTCGGTGGATGCAAACGACCCGTCCTTTGGTTTCCCCATTGCCGACCCCTCGATGTCGTCATTACCAGCAGACTTCAACCAGTTCGTTATGGCGGGTGCAAATATGGGCATGACTCCAGGAATGTTGCCAGAGGACATCATGACAGAGCAGTCTATGTTCGGCAACACTATACCACTACCGCTTGGCTCCGAGACGTTAAACCAGGCAGGCTTCGAGAACAACCCCGGGATCAAATTTGCTGTTGTGGATGTCGACTCAACGCCTTTGCTTCCTGCTACTACTGGTGCTGCTGCTTTACACCCTTCGATGGGCATGGACGTTATGTTTCCAGAGCCGGGCTTAGGGAATGATGGGCCTCTCCAAAACGATGTGTTGCCGCTGGTTGAAGAGTACACGCGGGCAGTTCAAGCTGCTGCCCTTGGATTTGTAAACAGATCTTCACACGCCAATGGTATTGCCGGCGACCTGGCTGCGGATCTTGTTCAACCAAGTAAGTGCTGCGGGCGACCCTTTCCTTTTTCTTGCATTCTGGCTAACCCGCGACTCCGTTAGGCAGGGCATTCATGGCTAGCATGGCCGTCATCCTTGACAACTTTGCTAAATCACAGCAGAGGTCTCTCCAGAGCATTAAGGACACCTGCAGGAACCTCCGACAAAAGAATACGCGACTGATGCAGATCCTCAACAGCAGTAAGTGCGGATCGCGATTCCAGAGTCCAGTCCCCTGCAAAAGAGCTGCGCTAACTGCTGGTAGACAATGATATGCAACCAATTCCTTCTATAGAGCCTCATCAGAACCGAGCATCTATACCTCCACAAGCAGCGGTGTATGGCAATATGTATACACAGAACTTTTGAGAAACCTGGGCATATGTCCTGATGCAGGTCACGTGTGCGGCCTCGGCAGATGTCGTTTTGACCGAAGCGCGTTAGTGACGGCAAGGCCCATCCATTATCACCCGCACAATCATCAACCTAAAATCTCAGACTCAGCTTATCTCGACGACTTCACATATTGCGCTCGAGGCAGTGACAAGTTCATATTTCGACTAGACTGTCGGCGGAACACTTTCGATATTTGCCATGCGTTGCAGCAGAAAACAAATAGCGGACATCGTTCAAGATGTTGGTGATCCTGTGGGACCCTGACACGCTCCTCCACAAAACCGTCGAATTGTTAGGCTCAAACCTCATTCCTGCACTGGAATCACCGGAACGTCTTGAAGCAATCCTCAAGGCTCTCCACAATTCTGAATATAGGGCTGGCACAAGGCAACTTAGCTCGTTGCGGGAAGGCCCGAATCCACGACTTCTGGAACTCACCTCGGAAACCCATGGACACGAATATTTGCAACACCTACGAAATGTGTACGAGGAGTGGCTGTCGGCCGGCCTGATCGAGAAAAACGGGCATGTGCTGCCGGAGTGTTTTGTGTTCCCCACCTCAACGAGAAAGCCACTACGTCCACCTAAGGACCCTTTCGCACGAGCAGGGTATTACGCCTTTGATATGAGCAGTGGCATCATGTCAGAAAGTTATCGAGCCATAGTTGCTTCCGCGAACCTGGCATGTGAGGGGACAGACATGCTTTCAGGCTTTGATAATGGCCAGCCCAACGACATCGACACCGTCTTGGCTCTATGTCGGCCACCAGGGCACCACTGCGACGGTCAACGAGCAGGCGGCTACTGTTACATCAACAACGCTGCTTTAGCTGTGAGTGCATGGCGTTCACATCAGCCTGATGCGCAAATCGGAATCTTGGACATCGACTTCCACCACGGCAACGGCACACAGGAGATTTTCTACGCCGATGGTAAAGTTCTGTACGTAAGCATTCACGGCAAAGACGAGTTCCCATATTACACCGGCGACGAAGACGAGACAGGCATCGGCGAGGGACAGGATATGAACATTAACCTTCCGCTCAAGGTCGGCAGTTCGATCGAAGATTATCTCGAAAAAGTCGGCTTCGGGCTGAAGAAACTCGAGCAGTTCAAGACCGAGTTCCTGATTGTGAGTCTGGGGTTCGACACTTTTCATGCGGATCCATTAGGACATTTCCAGATTCACACAGAGGACTATGAGACCATTGCAAGGACAACAAGAAAGACGCTCAAAGCGGTACCGGCCCTTATCCTCCTTGAAGGGGGATATGTCATTGAGCACCTTGGTGCGAACATGTTGTCATTTCTCAAAGGATGGAAATCTGCTTAGTATCCCGCCGACATACCCCCCCCAATGCCTCAACACCATACATAACCGTCCGGCTTCCAACATGATGATGGATTGCCTTGACCCATGGTATCCGTGTATCCAGCTTTGCAGAGTTGCAGTGACGGGGAGGGCGGCATGGTCAGACCTGGTCTGAGGCGTCGGTCTGCCGTCTAGGAAGTGCGATGGCAGATTCTGTGCATCTTGTTAGCGGCCATGGGCGGGTGGAACATGAAGCGTCGGGGGTGGCTACCTGGATGTTGACTATTTGCTCGGTGGGTCTGCCAAACAGCGTACAGGGCGATGAAGAACATGACCACACCAAAGATGATGTTACTCAGAAGCTCGGGGGAGATGCGTGGGATCGGGGCAGGCATTGTGTGTATGTGTATGCAATACACTTGGCTCTCAGCAAGGCTGAGAATGAATGAATGCTTTCTATGGCTCTTTGTATGAGTGTGTTGACTCAAGAGTTGGTCAGCGCAGTTTGGAGACAGAGGGAAGTCGAGCATGATCAAGATTGAAAGATCAACCATCAGACTTGGATATATAGGTCTGTCTAACTCTTAAATCGTGATAGTGTTCCTTCGACGCGGACCCGTGTCGAACATGGCGCTAGGAGTGAATTGGCCCAGGGTCAGCCCCGTGGTGGCCCGTGCGAGTGTTTTCCCAAGCCCAATGCGTTTACGACGTCAAAAAACCTGGATTCCGCGTCAAGCCCCATCCAGCCTGGCGAAAGAGGGGCAATCTGCTCGTCTCCAGCCAGCGTGCGTCCGCCAGCGGCATAAATGGGGCGTCGTCAGGCTCAAGAGACGCACCACTTGGCCCATGATCTTAAGAGTCGAGCGACCGAATAGGAAATGAAAAGGAGGCGACGGGGCGTGCGAGGGCTAGGACAAGATGTATCCGAGTAGGTGTTGTAAGTGACTAGGTAGCTGCAAGGGTTGGTCAGTTGACGGGCCTGGCATGTTCTTTTCTTCTCTTGAATGAATAGACTTACCTAGGTAGGTACCTATAAGGCTGAGTGGGTCCGAACAGCAAGTGGGATGGAGGCAATTGTGGGAAGGATGGAGGCACGAGCCCATGCGCGCCACCCGAGTCTGCCTCTCCTGCTCATCCCCAGCCCGGCCATTGATGGGTTGACTGAACCAGAGCCCGCCTTCCCCGTCCCAGTAGCCATGATCTGACCATTTCTATTCCACTCACATCACCGATACCTCCGATCCATCTTTCCAGTTCCTTCCCCCGATTCTGGCCTCTACCTATACCTCTCGAACCGAGACTATGCGTCATGGTTACTATGAAAGGAATGTAGAACACCTCGTGCGGTACATGGGTATCTACCTACCTACCTAGTACCTACCCACCCAGGTATGTAAGAGACCTATCGTAAGTGCCTTCGCAGACCTCTTCGGTATTGCAGCGATTGCGATACACTGCCCCCCTCCCCTTTCTTTCCGGTACTAAATACCACCCCATACAGTCAAACTACCTGCCTGCCCTCTCTACATGGATGGCCAAGGCAAGAGCTTGTCTGGGTTGGTGGGCACGGCGTAAGCCACTTCCGAACAGAAAGGTAGCTTGTACATCAGAGCGCAATCGTCTTCAGTTTTGGTCTCGGATTCTCGACGCAGGACGGCTGGTAACGCTACCTCGTACTACTGGCAGTGTCGTGGTACGTCCATTGGCCCGTTTCTTTTGCTCCCTTGCTTGCAGCTTGTATGAGTCTTCCATCGTCGGCTTCAGGTGGAACACGAGCCGGTACCTATTCAGCCAGTCCAGACCGTTACGAGTAATGACTGTTACGCTTGTGTACTGTCACAATGCTCGATGCGGCTTGCTATTGATCGGACTTAGAACTCCACGGCTTGCCAGATTCCACTGCTTCGTTTCTCGGTGGTTGTTGGTCTAGCGCGTGGCATTCACTCCACCCTCTACCCAGGTACGTGTTGATTGGTAGAGACACAATGCAGCCCAATCCGGATCTGACGACAGCCATCGTACGAACAGAAGTGTAGATGGGTTCTCCAGCTGGGCCCGAGGGACACATTTTCGCTTGATTCCATGGTGCGTGGGGGATGTCATATGGTTTCCTAGTTCGAGTGGGTACCACAGAACACTCCCTCATGCCCCCCTCAAGATGCCAGCCTTATGTGCGGGAGTGTCCTGGCTGGCAATGGTCCACTAATTACCACTTGGAGTAGAATATGTGGTACAAGAACAAGAATAAAAGTAAATGGTATGCCAAGCTACAGATGGGAGAGGAGAAGTTTATATGCATTTTCTGTTGTTTTCCCCCTTTCCCTCAGCCTCTTCAGCCTTGTCCTGTGAGGAGTGATAGAATGTACGATTCAAATGTTCCGCGATTCAGAATTACGCCATTCTGCAAGTCAACGCCTGTCGTGACTCCTCCTCTCAATCACGCATGCTCGATGCTGGGCGAAACTGAACCTCTGGATACTTGTCTGTGCAAGTACTTTGGTCCAGAGTCTCGCCTCCTCCAATGCCACTACTTCCCCCTTCCACAATCATCTCCGGTTATTTTGTCTCATACTCAGAATCTGCGCCATCCGAATAAAGATGTTTAAGAAGTCCAACTCAAGCGAAATGCTCTCGTTGACCACGTCCTTCCTCACCAATCCCCGCTCGCTCATCCTAGCATGATGCAAAATCTTCTGCACATCATAGAGCGTAAATCCACCAAATACGGCAAGGCCACCATATAGCCAAATGTTCTCAGTCCAGGCGAGTGTGCGAACAGCCGTAGCGGGGAGAACTAACGGCGCGAACCCGGAGATGGCGACGATGGCGACACCTGCCAGCAAGGGACCTCCCAAATACAAGTACTTCTCTTGCTTGGCCGTGGCTCCGATGAAAGCAATGGAACCCATCATGCCAACAGTGTAGAGGCCGGCGCGAGCGAGGATGGCGGGAGACAGGAACATCAGCGGGGAGAGAATGGCAGCCTGGGTGACATTGAAAGCTGTCCAGAGGGCGTACTTTTGAACGTAGCTGTTCATCTTGTTAGCAACCTGTCCTTGGACCTGCTAGAGCGGGGCAATAGACAACTTACTTATCTGGGTGGGTGTACATCGTGCCGTACATGGTGCCAATACTAGCCGCAAGACCCAACCCGACTACCAACCACGGGTTCGTGGCCATCAGTCTGTAACTCCAACCGCTCGTATGTAGTGTCCGGGCCGCAAGTGCGATAATTCCGATGCCCAGGCCGGTGTGCATAAATGTCTGGTTCAGGTACTCCCGCTCAAAAGGCGGCATGCCACCATCTTCGCGTGTTTCGCGGTTGAAGATGAGATTGGTGGCGACAATGGTTCCGCCCACCAGCGCAGCGCCATAGAGAAGTCGTTGCGTGAGGTTTCCGCTGGCGGTTGGGTTGGCGGGCTGGTACGAGGGTGTCTGGTAGCCGCGCTTGAAGCCATTCCGTAGAGCTGAGGATTTCAAGAGTGACTGTGCATTCGAGGTCGAGGCAAACGGCCGGGGGTTGGAGAAGGTGTGAGCCGATTTGGGACTGGAGGAGTGGAATGCTCGGGCAAGCGTTGAAGGTTTGCTGAGTGGTCTGAGGACGTTCGAGGAGCCCGCAAAGGGTCTCCTGAGGATGAAGGACATGATGAATGTGCTGTTCAGAATCGAAAGGGAGATGGGTGAGAAGTGAGAAAGAAAAAGGTCGTTGACGAGAAGGTCAAGTTGATGGGAAGCGCAGGCATAAAGAGCTTTCGCATACAAATAGACACCAACGACCACCCGCGGATGGCGCCACAGTCTCCAATGACGCACCTGGCGATATCCGGCCACTAATTGGTCAGCCTGCCAAGCTTCTGCATCACGTGGACTCGGATATTCTTATCCGACGCCTCTTTCTAATTTCTCGATGTTTCCAGCAAGGCTTCAACTCTCAACTACTTGTACCTCATACATGTGCTTGCTTCATGTCCTGCGCCCTTGGTACCGCACGCAATACCATGCACATGATTGATGCCCCTGCCACAAACCTGGCATCCCAACCTCATGGAATATACCTGAAGTCAGGATGCTTGTGCCCGAGGTCCCGCTTCTTAGCCTCATTCAACCCCTCAAGTCGATGCGTCCTCTTCCCTTGTTCCCGTAGTCGATTCTCACGCATGTTATATCCAATCCCAAAGCTAGCCACAAAGAGGACCATGATCTGAGCGGACAGATTGATGGTGTGGCCAATGGGGTATCGAGGTGCGTCGCGCACAAGGTAAGTCCATCTAAACAAGGTCAGTCGAGTCATATTTCACGATCCTTTCAAACCGATGATTCCTTACGTGGCAAGGACACCTCCTAAAGTCCCAATCGAAACAATCCAGGCAGTCGCGATGGCACGCACTGCTGGTCCAGCAGAGTCTGTCTGGCGTTAGCAATGATTCTATCAGTATCAAAGCACTCAGCATACTGTTGATTCCCCAAGATAGGAACCCAGGTCCTCCTGGAAACGCCCCAGTGGTGATGAAATACACGGCCATGTAACGGATCGAGGCATTTGTGCTCCATCGGAGGATAGAAAACCCGGCGATGGGGAAGACAGTGGCCACCGCAAGATAAATGCCACGCCTGCGAGTTTTGTCGCTAATGTACGCGATCAAAATCGCCACGAGACACGCAGCCACGTAAGGGGGAACTGAGTACAGCTGTGCCTTGGTTGCGGTCCAGCCGAGATCCGCCAGGATAGTGGGCATGAAAATGGAAAGACCTTGGACCGTGATGTTGATCAGGAAGAAACCAGTCGCGCACAAGTTGTTGTTGATGTTGAAGATGGCCGCTCGAATGTGATGCCATTGGACCTTCTCCATCGGATCCTGTTTCCATTAGCGCTCGCTTCCAAACTCATCCTGATGTGCTCACAGCGCGATGCTCTCGGATCAGCCGTTCATGAGCGATATGACGTTCCCGTTCTGTAAGGAACCGACAAGTCTGTGGATTGGATGGCATTAACGCTGGAGCAGCCGCTGCCACGATGATGGTGATCTAGAAGTCATTAATCCAGGTTGCAATAGGAGATGAATTCAACGCACCAAGCCCTCGAAGAAGAAGATATTTCTCCAGCTGCGAAAAGTCTGTCAGAGCTTTTGTCGAACGCGTTCTTCTGGCAGCAGCAGCACTCACGTATGAATCGGAGTGGTTTCTGTTCCCCAGCGAGGGATGCGACTGAGATGCTTCAGCAGTGCGATACAATGTCTGCGAACAGCGGTACTCACGACAGAGCCGTGGCGAACAAGCCTCCAAAAGCCCCCGCAATGGACGCAGCCGAGATGAATATCCCAATCCGGAAATACAGCTCTCGCCGCTTGTAGAAGGTGCTGAGGAAGAATGAGATGCCAGGCATGGTGCCGCCCTCAAAGACACCCAGAAAAGCACGCGCGACGCACAACTCGTCGAAGTTCTGGACAAAGGCGGTGCAGAGAGACACCAACCCGAAGCCACAGACCAGGCCCGGAATATAGAATCGAGGGCCGACATGCTTCAGCAGGATGTTGCTCGGGACTTCCACCAAGAGATACACAATGTAGAAGACGCTCAGGGCCCAGTTGAAGCGATACCCGACAAGATCGAGATCTTTGGCCATTCCTTGAATCCGAGCATTTCCAATATTGGCACGGTCCAGGAAGCAAAAGAGGTACAGCAAGGTAACGAGGGGCACGATTCGCCGGTCAATCTTGCGCCTGACGGCCGTCTCTTCCTGCTCTGTCCAATCTACGTCCTCGGTCGACGTCTCACTTTTTGTGGGATCAAGCTCAAGGTGGTCGAAAGCCGTAGCCTTCAGAGTCCCTCCTGGAACCACAGCCATGTTTTGCGTGAAGCCTTGGTTCGAATATCAACCTAAGTTATCGAGACAGTGAGGGACAAGGAGAAACCAGGTACGGGACTGGCAGAGAGAGCTTGCAAAGCTGAGAATTTAAGTGAAGAGCTCGAGGCCACCTCAGACCTCACGACCCGCCCCACATACGAATAGAAGATTGCGGGTGGCCATCAGAGAAGACCTCCACGTCGCTGCTCATGAATGCGGCATATATGGTGTCCCATCCGGCGGGGAGGAGGTGGTCCTGTGCCTTGAACATATCGGTTGTCGTCACCGGGTGTCATGATACGCCCCTCGCTACCACACTGTCTAGGATACAGCACATGGCCAAGGCAGGTGCAAACGCAGATGCAACATCTCCGGCTAATTGATAGGTCTTTGCAAGGTGGAGGGAAGGAAGCCAAGGAACAAGTCAGTCTTGGGAGTCTGGGGCGGGCGGGGGGAAAAGCTGGGCCTTTTAACAGAGAATCGAAATGTGGAATATGAACAGCCTTGGAAGCGATCTGTTTCTTGGCCGGCCAGGGTCGAGTGTCGGTGGGCGGAGTGGTGGTCTGGGCGGAGGATGATGCGAAAGACGACGGACGCCCTGCTGTTCTCTGTTCTCGCTAACAGAAATATTCTCATTGTCCCCTTGGCAAAGGCGCCTAGACTTCGGCAGTTGAGTTGAAAGACACAACCTCTATACGAAGTATCCGATCCGGCTCCGCTTCAAAAAAGGACTTGGATGAGCAGGAAAGGGGGCGTTGCAGATGCGGGTAGTACTGTAGGCATATTTATTCCGTCGTGGTGAGGTGAAGAAGAGCCGTACTCGTCAGCAACCCATGTTACTTCCCACTGCACTTTTAGTAGATACTGTATGTCCGTTGGCGAAGAGCGTTGTTTGGTTCTGTTTTAGGGAAAATGAAGAGACAGACAGACAGACAGACAGACAGACAGACAGACAGACAGACAGACAGACACAGCCACAGCCACAACGAACCATCCTAGTTGGAAGAATCTAGCTCTCAATTACTCGTAAGCCCTTGTATTACAGGTACCTTCCCTCAAGCTACCGAGCACGGTAGGAGTCCATCGATTCCCTGAAGAACGGCACAGCACGACTATCCCCCTCCTCCTGTCCAATCCTGCCCACAACGTCCCCGCCATAGGTAAAGTATCCCGCCAAATTCCCTTGGACAGGCATGGAGTTCTGGATGATTTCCTCGGGCGTCCCAAACACCCACACCGTCTGCTGGCCCATGACGACATGCTGCAGGATGTGGCAATGCATCATCCAGACACCCACGTTCCGCTCCGTGACGCGGATGCGCCATACGCGCCAGCCATTCACCTCTCCCGGGTCGGGGGTCTGCAGCGTGTATTTGTACAAGATGGTCGTGTCGCGGCGCGAGCCTGGGTAGGGGACGTTATTGTCACTGGAGTAAGATTGGAGTAGTGCCGCGTGTGCTTCAGGCGAATATTCTCCCGAGCCTGATCCCAGGTCCCAGTACGGCCCGCCGTGAGCGTGCATGGGATGCGGTCCGTAGATTCCCGCAGGGTAAGAAGCCGCGTTCTGCCATACAATCTCAAGAACCTCTCCGATTTGTGCTGGGTAGGTTTGTGAGAGGGGGTCGAAGCCTCCATTGGCAATGGCACGGCCGTAGTCTGGGGTCACACCATTGACGCTCGCATTCTGCAGGATCTCGACGAGGTATGGCGTATCTGTTGTTGGCCCCAGAGGAGCACTGTCACTCCAGTATTCATTGTTGGAGATCATCACCGTGTTGCCCGAGGAGTTGTTGAGGAACTGCGAGGTAGAAATAATGATGCGGCGAGTCACTTCTGTCGCGTTGGGAGGGGATTCGTAGCCTGCCAACGGGGGGTTCTGAAAAGTATATTCCATCCAGTCTGTGACGTTGGTTGGTAAGTCAAGGACTGGTGCCGTAGGGAGCGAATCCGGACATGATGAGTTCGAGGTCGGATAACAACAGCTCTGGGTCTGGTTATCCACCTGTCCTTGCGAAGTTGAAACCCCAAGGGCTGTGTAATTGAGAATGGCCCATGCGAAAACCGTACTTTGGCCCTGTCGAGTCTCGAACTGAATCCAGAACTTTGTCTGCCCGTCTAGACCCTGCAACTCGCTTAACGGTTTCGTCTGCAACAGGAAACTGAATCTTTGACCTGTGTCGACCTGCATATATGGTGTCTGTACAGGATAGACGTAAGAGTTATCCGTTTCGATGATGGTCAGATTGTCGTGATGCTCGAGGCCAAACAGCACCAGAGACAATGCAGTGCTACCAATGACGCGTACTCGATACGTCTTGCCCGCCTCGACATTCATAACCCAGGGCTGACATGACTGGTCCGACGGTGCTGGAACAGAAAAGTTGAGAGCCGTTCCACTTTGTCCGTTGATCAGCAATGACGTCGGATCCCCTGTCCATATCCAAGGCACGCCAGTCAATTGTGTCTCGATCGTATGATCGTCTTGAGGGTAGAAGTCTCCAATCTTTAGAATGATTTCTTCGTCGTAAGCATATGGCGGAGGCACAGCATCCTTTACGATCAAGGCCCCGGAAGCCGTGATGGCTTGGAAGCCCACGTGCGAATGATAGAAGGATGTTCCAGCTTCACTGGCACTAGGATGGAGCTCGTAATCGTAGAAACACCCAGGAGGGATCGGCCACTGTGAAGCCTGAGGGGCTCCGTCAGCATAGGGCGCCGCAGAAAGCGCAAGACCATGCCAGTGCTGCACATTTAAACGATTAGCAAGCAAAGCCTCGAGTGAAATTTTGGGTGATGGGACAACCCACCATTGTCGTATTCACGTTTGCGTCGTTGTACACCCGAATCCATGTTGTCCGCTCGGGTTCGAGGTAGATCGGAGGTGCCGGATACGTGCCGTTGATTAGTGTCGAAAGACGAGGCTGACAGTTGAGCTGGACAGTGTCGACGCTAACTCGCAAGACGATGTCTGGAGTGAAGCTGGCATTTTGCGTCGCAAGCTTCGTCGCTGTCCCGAGAGGGAGAGCAAGCGGGTATAGGCAAATGCATGCATGTAGCCAGTAAAGAAAAGTAGGAAGCATTTCAAAGACGCTGACTTTGCAATGGTGAAGAGGATCACAGGACCACGAGATGAAACCCACCAAAGACTTCACCTTGGAAACATTGAATGAAGGTCAAAGCTCGGGGAGCGAGCCATATTCGATGGCATTTGAACCTCGCGACAGAGCTCCTCTGTCCAGACCATGCGGCGTAGCTACGTCAGCTTTGGTCGAGAATTTGAATTGGGCTGGTCTTGTAATTGATAAAATCTGTCGGCATCCGGCATGGTGAACAGGTGAACGCACTGCGTTCAGGAGCTCAACCGCTTGAATCGACATAGGCTGCGTAACGTTGTCAAAGACATAGCGGACGTCCGTAGCACGTATGGCACGGCAACCGTGGCACACAGATGCTTGTGGCACCTCAGTTCTCGTAGTACGAGGTTTGTTGAGAGATCTGAAGGAGGACAATATTGGGGAGTAGACTTGGTGATTGAGAAACGAGGTAGGCAATTTAGGATGCTTGTCTGACAATGTGATTCTCTCCACTTTTCTCAGTCTGATCTCCAGTTTGGTGCTACGGAGTTTTCTGTCAGACAAAATACTTGAGTCCGGATCAGGCTGTCCTTTGCACGACAATATGACAAGGAGCCTTGCCAATACAATGTGATAACTACCTCGACTCTAATGCGTTTCTAGCATTCTATATCTATAAGATCTCCATCACTAGTCCAGCCGTCTTGGCTTACAGCTTTGGAAACCTCACTCTCAGGAATTGGTTGGGCCAGGCAACATCAACTCCCAACTTCCAACCTACTTTCAACACCCACTCCGGCTCCCTCATGAATTGCCTCGCCACGAGAATGACATCTGCCATCGGTTCCTTGCCACCTTTAGCATCTGTCATCACCTTTGCGGCGTTGGCTTCCTCCCCGATGCTCTTATCCGATGACCTGTCGTCAACAATATCCCGCGCCTGCTCGGCTTCTGTGATGAGGCCCACAGCACCAATGAGCAACTTCAGGTTGTCCGCCTTCATTGTTTGCCGGATCTGGTTGGCAATCTTGGTCTGGTAGTCCTTGGAGGCAAACATGTTGATGCGCTGCTGGGGATGATTCCCGCCGCTGCTGACATCGAGAAGATCCACTCCCAGCCCGGGCAGCAGACGAGCCAGCTTGATCGTGCTTTCCACATCCCAGCTTCCAAGCTGCTTGCCCAGGTCCGTCTCCTCCATCCACTCGGTCGAGCTGACACGCAGAAACAGGGGCATGTCCTGTGGTATCTGTGCGCGGACTGCTTGGATGACTTCAACCAGGATACGTGCGCGATTCTCAAAGCTGCCGCCGTACTGGTCGGTGCGCCTGTTCGTGATGGGGCTGAGGAATTGATGCATCAGGTAGCCGTGCGCAGCGTGGATTTCAATCACGTCGATGCCGGCTTCCACAGCTCTTCGAGCGCTGTCTGCAAATGCCTTGACCACGTCTTGGATCTCCTCCACAGTCAGCTGCCTCGGGGGCCAGAAGCCGCCGTCTTCCGCCAATCCTTTGCCATCCCAGCTCTCCTCTGGTCCGCCCATCGGCCCTACCACATCGTCCGGCCATCCATCCGCATTCTTGTCCGCACGGAGTGACGGTCTCTTGAGAGATGACGCCACCCACGGCGGCAGAGTACTCGACTTCCGTCCGGCGTGAGCGAGCTGAATCCCGGAAAGAGCACCCTGGGACTTGATAAAGTCCGAAACGCGCTTGAGGCCTTCGGTCTGCGCGTCAGTCCATAGTCCAGGACACCACGGGCTAATTCGTCCATTGGGTTGCACGCCTGTCGCTTCAACGAAGACTAATGCTGCCCCTTTTAGAGCGTAATGGCCTAGTGTTGCGATGTGGTAGTCGGTGAGTTTACCAATGTCAGGACCCGAAGAAGCGGTGGAGTATTGGCACATTGGTGCCACAATGATGCGGTTGCGCAGGGTTTTGGAGCGGATCTTGAGAGGAGTGAACAGCGTTGGAGTATCGGGAGATGGGGTAAACGGTGCACCAGGATCTGAGGCATGTGCCGGGGTGAAATATGGTAGGTTTGGCACCCCTTTGTTGGTGAGGATTGGAGAGCTTAACGAACCCATGGTGGAAGACTCCGAGCCACAGCAATTCGCCGTATCGTGGTATTTGGTTTGTCCGCTTGGGCTTTTGCTTGGTTGCCGTCAAATAAGACGATAGAAGCTGAAACGCTGGAGGTCAATGGTGAGTCCAGAAAGGCGAAGCTGACAACCAAATCTACACGGAGATCTTAGACTTTATACTTGGAAAAACATCGAGTCGGCAATGATACCTAATGGGTGAAGAGATACTGAGATAGGCGGCTGTTGATTTCTAAGACAGCTCGAAGATGTTGGAGAATACTTGGGTATGGGGGTGACTTTCGTTAGCAGCCGTCGGTATGAGGTACCGCAATGGAACCCAGCCCTTGGTCGTCATGTCAAAAGATATTTCCTCGTTGGAGAGAGCTTTTATGTGTTTCGATCGAATGACATTCAAAATACGTTGGCAAGTTGGTGAGATTCCACGCGGTACTAACGATATTTCGCCCTGTAGATGGGAGATAGTGTATGATCCGCCGGTGCAAATACCGACTTAACCGAGGCAGTATGAGGCCTCCATCATCCCAAATTGCCACTTACCTGAAAATGGGTCCCCCACTCCTCCCTATGGAAGATTTACTGTTTAATAATCAGAGGTCGGTGGTATATACTGAGTAACAGCAAGACGGAAGGCGCTGTATTCGTCCAGAGAGAAGGGCGCAAAGGGTTATGAGATAGGGCAGATCGTCTAGAGTTTCGCTATTGGTAAGGTATTGCTTGTCAACGACAGCAGTATCCAATGCACTACTTTTGATTGCCCTCGACGATGAAAATCGCTCATCTTGGGCTGACTGGTTAGACGAAACGAGGGCATCCGGGGTGCACACATTGGTCAGATATTCCAAAATGCATCATCACCATGGCAGCTCGAATCCCTCACGATGCCAGAACTTGCCCGTGTCCTGGATTGTCTTCTGGCTGACAATATTCTCCCACAGCTTTCTCGCCGCCTCGTCTGGCTCGACTGTCTCGGGGGGCATCTTTGCGTTGGGCAATAGGTTGGTCCTGACGTAGCCCGGATGTAGGAGCATGACCGTGACGCCCTTGTCCTTCAAGTCCATGGCCATGCTTTTACCAATTGAGTTGACGGCAGCCTTGGAAGAGCGATAGGCGTAGTGTCCTCCAGAGCTGTTGTCGCCCATGGAGCCTACACGACTCGAAACAATGCCGATTTTGGGCTTGGAGGCTTTCAGGACGTTGGGCAACAGCGCCTGGGTCAGAAGGAAAACCCCAAAGGTGTTGACAGCAAACGTCCGTTGGAAGACTTGCAGATTGCTCGTCGTGAGGCTGTCGTCTTCATTGGAAGCGGCAACACCTGGTCGAAGCTGTCGGTTAGTCCGCTGTCTTATGTCTTGATACGCACAATAACAAGGAAGGTATGTCAAACCGGCAATGTTGAGCAACAGGTCAATTGTCGTGTCGCCGAGGGAGTCCTTGAACTTTTGGATTGACTCGGGAGAAGTCACATCAACTTCAGCAATGTGAGCCCTCTTGGCTTTCAAAGCCTCAAGTCCGTCCCCCGCCTGCCGGTCGACTGCGTAAACCGTGTAGCCCTACCTGGAGCGTTATCTCGATTATTGGATTCTGCACGGTGACCCCGAGCTAACCTCATCACAGAGTATGTTGGCAAACGCGTGGGCAATGCCGGAGTTTGCCCCTGTCACGATTGCGGTAGGCATCTTGGTAACTGTTTGAGGTTTATCGATGGAGGATGCCTAACCGACAAGTAGATGGAGTTCAGGATGAAGCATCGACTCCTGTGTGCCTGTGCCCTCGATCTGTCTCCGTCTCTGTTCTCCCAGGCCAGGGGTTGCAAATTGGGATTTTGCGAATAGTTTGTAATTCTGTCGAATAATGACGTGATTGTCAACTTCAGTCAATGATGCTTCCCAGTGCCAGAAAAGGGAAATTGAGGTAATGGAAGGGCAGCGATGGGTACCGAGTACACGTCGCCAGAGGAGCTGAGACCCCATCTGAGGACGTGGCAGGAGTGGCTAGCACCCTCTGGGCTCCCTCCGCCAAGACGCTAAAGGAGCTTACGAGCTCAGCGAGCGGGCTTTCTCCCCTCGTCCCCTCCCGGACAACCTCCAATGGCCCAGTCCCAGGCCCGGAGAGAGCTCTTGGCCTTCATTTAGGCGTGGTAAGCTTCGTAAAAACCCCGTTATAGGCGAAGCATGGCACCCTTAGCAGTTCTTGGGGTTGCGTATCGTCGCCGCTCAGAGCCTGCCCTGGAGGCGAGTTTTTTTGGCTGCCATCCGCTAGCAGATAAAGATGCAGTAGATCGCGGACGATGGGCTGGACGGCCCTTTTATCTTGTGCGATTCACGTCCATCGTCCTCTTTCTCATCCCCGGACTGGTTTTAAATATCGCATTGTACAGCTGGCTTCGAGTATCTCTTAAATGTCGTGCAGGTTTACGCCCGCATCTCGACATCGCCTACAGGCTGACCAATAGGTAATGCATTGCTCCCCACCGCCCGGGATCGGAGTCAGCAATAGGCGAGACCGCCGCCCACGTCCGTCAGACGTTGGGCCTGGTGGCCTCTGGGAGCCTCTGGTGGCATGATTGACCTGCTGCCCAAGTCGCTATCGAACAAATTCAACGACTCGACTGCTGCCATTTCAATCCACAAGCGCGACTGGAGCTCCGATTCCTCTGGCAGCAGCAGTCTGCTTAGCCCCGGCGCATCACCAAGACCACGACGCAGCCGACGACGGCAATGGAAGCTCTCGAGATGTCCTCCCAGCAAGACAATATGCTACGCCGCGGCACTTGCTGTCTTGACCGTCATTGCGCTCTGGTGGTTCTTACGCCCTACACCTACCGATGATCTCCTTGAAATCCCGGAACCCGACGTCGATGAGGAGCTTGAAGAAGATGGTCCTATTCCATTCGGCAAGTCCGTGGATCGAGGTGGGAGAGAAGTCTTCTGGTGGGAGGAATTTCCCAGGTGAGAAACAGCTCACAGCGCCTGCTATTTTTGACCGCAGTGTTAACCTTCTTCGCAGACTCCACGGCTTTTATCGAGGACGCAAGAATATCGTTCCTTTTTCCGACTATGTCCCCGAACAACAGGCCACCGCTTTCGACCCCTTCGATCCTGGCCAGCACGATGACGCCGAGTTGATTCCGCTCTCGCCGGCTGTCCCGACAGACATCCAACAATGCTATGTGGACGAAGAGAAGGGGATCCTGCCACCTACAATATCCGCATACAAGGGGTTACCACAGGGCATGTCTGCACCCTTACTTGGGTCTCAAAATGTCCTTGGCATCAACGAACAAGTCTGCTATGATCGCGTAAATCGACTGGCGCCGTACGGCTCGGGCTTTGCGGAAGAAGAAGGCGGACTCGGCAAACACGCAGAAGGCGGTGGCGGTGACAACGAAGGACTCGAGCAGGTGGCTGCGGTCGACTGGAGGGGCGTCAGATGGCACGACGCCCAGCAGAGCTGTCTCTTGAAGAATTCCCACCTGCATGACCGATCTCGAAAGACTGCTTTTGTGTTCCGCACATGGAGCACCTTCCACTACACTGATTACCACATCGCCATGCTCCGCGCGATCATCAGCGAACTCGCGCTTGCCTCCGGGGGGCAATACACGGTGCATTTCCTGATCCACGTGCAGGACGACACCATCCCCATCTGGGCATCGAGAGAACTGTACAACCAGGTGCTGAGGGACAGCTTGCCCGAAGAGTTCCGCAGCATGGGCACGCTCTGGTCCGTAGCGCAAATGAAGTTGATTTACCCTCCACCGTTCCCCGACAGCATTGTCAACTTCTCAGGCGGCGAGATCTACGAAGCGTATCGATCTTTGCATTTTCCGCTACAGTACTTTGCGTCTCAAAACCCCAAATACGATTACTTCTGGCAGTGGGAAATGGACATCAGGGTCACGGGCCACTACTACGAATTGTTGCATCGGATCGAGTCCTGGGCCGAGAACCAGCCGCGAGACTATGCTTGGGAGCGATCTTCAACGTTCTACATTCCAGCCTTGCACGACTTTTCCTTTGAGAAATACGCCCAGTCTACCATTGAAGAAGTTCAGGCTCGCAACGAGACACCCATTTCCGGCCCGCAAATACCCCGAGAGCGATTGCTTAATATCCCAGAACAGAAAATCCCAGATGGTAACGACGAAATCACAGATCTAATCACGTTGAACCCTCTCTTTGATCCCGAACACACTCGCTGGGCCTTTCACGACGATATAACCGGCTACAACTTGACCCGTGACGGACGACCGCCTACGCGCGCCGCCCTGATCACCGCGTCTCGAATGTCACGTCGCTTACTTCTGCTCATGCACGAGGAAACTTACCGGAACAAGCACACCATGTTCCCAGAGATGTTCCCCGCCTCGATTGCTCTCCACTACGGTCTCAAGGCGATCTATGCGCCTCTTCCGATTTACTTCGACCGCGACTGGCCCAGCGCGCACGCCAACGAAGTCTTCAACAACGCCCCCATCAGCTTGGCGCAGCAGGAGGCAGGCATGGACCACGGACACGGGGATTTCCACGGTGAAGGAGGCAGCGTGTTCGGACCCGGCGAGCACGTCTTCCGGGGTGCGACATATTACTCGAATGCAGGGTTTGCCGGCTACCTCTGGAGGAGATGGCTTGGGAGAGAAAATGGAAATGACGAGTTGGCCTGGGAGTCGGAAGGAGGCCTAGGAGGCGGGCGAATGTGTTTGCCCATGATGGTTCTGCATCCGATCAAGTATGAGTGACGACATAAGATTTCATGAGCTCTGACGGGTATCTTTTGAGTGTTGAGTCCTTGGCAATTTCACATTTTGCTAGGTTCCGGGCTGGATGCATTCAATGTGATGGGGAGGCGAAACGCATTCTGCTGCATGGACCGTGTCAACGCTCTAATCTGTGATGGGTTATGTGGCATCAATTCTCAGAAGGTGTTCGGCGCAAAGGGCGCTGGTTTATGGGTCTCTGTGGATATAACCAAGACACTTTGTTGACGAGTGACGGGCGCATAAGAGTCCGAGATAATGCCAATGTTGATTTTGAAAAGCGCCAGGTGTGATCGTCGATGTTCTGGACGGGCTCCTGGGCTCTGTCATCCTACGTACGGCCTGAATACTCGTATCCACAAGCCCATTTCGTACTCGGGGAGTTCGCTTGCAGTCTTCTAGACCGCATTCGGCAGGTTTTGATTGACCAGCAATTGGTGAGGGGGAACGGCATTGATGCTGCAACCTCGTGTTTCCACGCACCGCGACTCTTTTTCTGTCGCATGGATGTGTGCGCAAGCCATCGAGCTTTTCCATTTGGCTGTCGTCGAAGGGTCCAGATGACGAGTTCCAACGCGTTCGTAAGGACTTTCATCAACTCGTGCCCGGCCTTTCCGAGCAATGTAGTACAGGAGCGCGGTCGCATTGAGATATATAGTCGACCTCTTCTGCTGCTGGAAGGTTGAGGTCTGGGAGTTCCAACAGCCTGATTCTGAAAGTTCTTTTTGGGGCGAATATCTCCGCTCTGTTCTCCTGTCAACACGCCTCCCATCAAATCAATCACAGCACTCGGTGCCCGAATTTAATCATTCCAAATGCCTCTACCACGGCGAGCCGTCATTGCCGTGACGTCCGCAACGGCTCCTCTCCACAACGGACAACCTACCGGGATGTTCATCAGTGAGGCTCTCCACCCGTTCCAGGTCTTCAAGCAGCATGGCTTTGAAGTCGACCTCGTGTCGGAAAAGGGCACCTACGTGCCTGATTGGTTGAGCCTGCAAGAGAGTTTCCTGAGCGGTGAGGTTAAGAAGGAGTGGGAAGACGTGAACAGTGAGTTTAGGCAGAAGTTGGACCACATGCCGAGTGTGGAGACGGTGGAGGGGAAGAAGGCAAGTTTCAACGACGGTTCTCGAGGTTGTAACCGATGTGTTTAGGTGGATATGCATGCTGACTGATTCATGGGGGGGGGGTCGATAGTATGGCATATTCTTCGCTAGTGCCGGACATGCAGCCCTGATCGACTACCCTCACGCGAAAGGCCTGCAAAAGATCGCAACGGATGTTTGGGCGCAGGGAGGCGTTGTTTCGGCTGTGTATGTTCCTCTTCCCTTTGCCCCTCCCCCACCCAGTACCTGCTCTTTTCATGACCTTCCACCAAGGAAACCTGGAGCTCGATTGGCTGATTTGCCTCGTTCCAGTTGTCACGGAGAGGCCATATTCCCCGGGGTCATTGATCCGGCCACCGGCGAGTCCATCATCAAGGGCAAAACCATCACAGGCTTCACCACTCAGGCCGAGTACGACATGCATCTCATGGATCCCATCCGGAGCTGGGGCGAGCCCTTGATTGACGAATGGGCAGCCAAGCTCGGTGCCAAATGTATGTTCCCTCTATCTCCACGATTCGCAGATGAGTAAACATGAGCCATTCTCGAGCTCAAGGAATGGATCTGCTGACGAGTTTTGCGGCCTCAGACGTGAGGGCGGATGGAGTCTGGGACGATTTTCACGTTACCGATGGGAGGGTGGTGACAGGCATGAACCCTCAAAGCGCAAAGTCGACAGCAGAGGCAACGGTTGCTGTGTTCGAGAAGCTCTGAGCGCCCAAGCAATGCTATTTTTTTTTTGCCACATTCCCCATCCTGACTCAGGGTGCGATCTAGTGACCAGGATTCGTGCTATGGGCCTCAGGATTTGAAGTGGTCATGACCCAGACTGCCTTGACTCGTCCCCCTACTGGCAGAAGTGCAGAAATAACTTGCTCATGCTGCGCCTAGGAATTTGTTTCAATTTGCTTTGTTCGGCATATGCCATTCGCTGCTTTGTATGTCGCTTTGACTCGGGGAGCATCGTGCAGCAGGTTCTGGATTGGCATAGACCCGCCACGAGTAAATTCGAGCGGACATTAATTAGGACTCGGAGTAGACTTCGACTCGGGTAGTATTTGCCATCGACAGTACAGTAGACTGTGAATACTATACTCTGAGTGTGAGAATGAACGAGAATGAACGTTGCTCAAATGGCTATGGTTAAAGTGTTCAACTAAGTACGTCATAGTTCTGGGCGCGTCTACGTTCGCGTCTTACCGAGTCCCTAGAGAGTTCAACCGAACTCTCTTATCACTATCAGCTCATTCACCTTAGTCCCTATGAGTACCTAGATATGTCCTTTCGTCACAGGCACGCGCCGCTTCGGCCAGAACCTCGAGTCGCCGAACATGTCATGATCCTTCGGCGCACAGTTCACGACCTTTGACTTAGTCTGGGCTGGTGGTTGCTCTAAAAGAACAGGGAGAGAGTAGGAAGAGCCAAAACCCTCCCAGTATCAATGGTTAGGGAGGAATCGGCCTCATCGGGAAACCGGCTCAACCAATGCAATCCCACAGACCCGAGATGGTGAGAGGCGCCTCTGCTGCTCGACTGGTGCACAGCCTAACGCCTCACCGAGCAAATCCCCTCGGCTAACAGTGCTCTGGAGCTCACGAGTCCAGAGGGCGGCGCTTTGTCACCCAGATGGTTAGCTGCAGGACCACCCATACCGCCTTTGCGATGCCAAATCTCTTTGGCCTGCTGAGGTGAGTTGCAGGCTCACAGATTAGGGTGTGACGGCGCCGATCGCAGGCCAGGCCAGCATCTGAATTCATACACTGTACAATCATTATTGAAAACCTACTTGAATCTTACCATCTCCAGTCGGCTTTGCGAGGGCCTGCCCTTGGTCGGCCACGACGCGATGCTTATTCCTCAAGAATCTGGATCGCACAGCTCCACCCAAGTGCCCAGCAATACAGTGTTGAGGTTCCGAATTGGGGCCTATTCGCGGAAGCCGAGGGTTGTTTCTCATCGGGGGCCAGTCCGTGCTCAGCTGAACCTGCCGCAACATGTCAGACCTCATATCAACGCTCATCATCCCAATCGTAATCTTATACACAACAATAGCCGAAAACCTACTCAGGACCAGCAGAATGAGCACAACCCTGTGACATTTGGTGAGCCGAAGATCCTATATGAGCCATTCTGGATCTTTCCCACGAAGGACAATGCGAATACGAGATCGGGGGTGCAGTTCTGTAAGTCCGACTCGGTCCGATCCAGAGCTACGCGTTGACCAAGCTGGAGATATCTACAGTTGGGCACCTTTTTCTGCATACCGTCGAGGTAACAGAACACTCAAGAAGGAGATTTTTGAGACGATTTTCAAAAACATCTTCCAAGATGATATGCTTTTTGAGGCAACAGTCGCAAACGCTCGTGCGATCCAATTGGCCACAACCCCGTACAAGCCCGAGCATGCGCACATTATAACCCAGTCTATGAACATGCTCATTTCGAAGCTTCGCTCAAGATTGTCCACGAAGCACGCCACATCCGATTATACTCTGTTGAGTATCCTGTGTCTAATCACTATATATGTGCGAAATCCTCGGCCATCGGTTGCACCGCACTTTGACTGACAGGCTGCTAGGTCTTTTCCACCCGCCATTCGGAATGGCAAGCTGAAATGGAACTTCACCTCACAGCAATAAGGCGGTTAATGGAGAAGAGAGCGCATGACGGCGAAGTCTCAGATGTAGATGGCTACATCAACTTTCGGGTGATGATGCAAGTCCAATCGCATAAAAAGCTGCGTATCGCAATGGACTGACCGAACTCCATGAACAGGTGTGAAGAATTGCTACAGCAGTGGAAACGGGGCGATAGGCTCGACCATCCTATTGATCCCCAATCTTTCCAACCAGTCTTGTACAACCCTTGTTCTTACCCGGGGAGCATGATTAACTGCTTGGCCCGAATGCCTCGAGGGTTCGCCGCGCTGGCAATGAGCAGACCGATTTCTAGACAGTTATCGTCGCTGATAGGGGAGTTAGCTGAAGTCAGCAAAGGTACGCCAGACCAACAGCCTGTGCCAAACTATACTCACCCAAACATAGATGTACACACCCTTGAGCACACACTTGTTTGTCCCAAGAAAGCCGCAAGAGATACAACTTTCCATTGTGCAGACCTTTTCATGCATCGGCAATATCTAAGCCCACTCGACGAAATACTTCTTGTTGGTCTTTTCACATACTCGGAGCACGTATGCAAAGTGCTTTGCGTACCTGTTGCTATGATGGCCGACGCTCTCCACCGCACCAGCTGTCTGGCGCTCGCTTGTCGGGGCGATTTGATTCATATTCTTTTCCCTCAGTCCACATCCACCCCTTGTTCAGTCGTACAGCAGGTCCTGATGTGGGTGGCAGCAATTGTGACCGCCACACGCCTATCAGATTCACCAGCGGGTGGCCTTGCTGAACGATTATGGAGACTATCGAACAATGAAGTGAAGGATACGAATCGGGCAGTATACATTAGCCGGCACTTGTTCTTTTGGGACGATCACTTGACAAGACGATTGGCGGAAAATATGGCACTCAACGACTGGAGCCCAGAAACTAGCACGGTACCCAGTGATGGCTAGTCTTGCCGTCATCCAGAGTTCATGGCTTTACGGTTAAACGTGTCGCCTTTTCTCCAGCAGGCTCAACAAGCGTCCGCCAGGTAAGGATGCCTATGGAGAAGTGGAACGTTTCTAATCTCAACAAAGCTCGTCACAGATCTCGAAGGAGGGGAATATGGGCGCTTTTCATTCAGGCCTTTTCTAGATACATTCTCAACCAGGGTCCTCGCGACCGGCTCTGCGAATGCCCGAACCGACGGGTACTGCGCTGATGTGAGGGACGAAAGTCGCGATTAAAAGGGCAAGAGGGATAGTCGCGGCCAAGGGTTTGATGATCATCGACCCAACCCAGCTCCCTCTCGACAACGCTATATTACAAGGTTTCTGAGCACGATTTAGGGAAAAATCGGACTCGATCTTCTCCAGGTCAAGGGGATACTGCCATTTGCTCCATCGGTTCGTGCTTGAAAGAAGGCCATGACCGGGGTGGTGTTTTTGCAGAACAGCGGTACTAGGAGACGGTAGGAAAGAAAGGAATCTTTACCTTGGTTCTGAAATTTAGCGCGTTGGCCTCTAGCAATTCGTAGTAGAGTCAGCATGAAGCTGAACAGATTATGACGACCGATTTGACGGCGTGGTGTCTTTCTCGGTGGGAACCATGTCCAGTGGTTAGCAGTAGATGCAGCCGGCGTCATTTGCAGGCTGTTTTGGAAAGCGCATGAAGCCAAAGTGAGGTCATTTGCAAAAATCAAACGCAAATATTACATATATATATTGTAATTGTACACATACTTCCGCAATCGACCACAGGAAGTGGAGAACAGGGCTTCCCGTTCGCTCAGCCGTACTTAAGCCACTTGCCGATTAGTTAGTACCACCGTGGGTGACCAGGTGGGAATCCTGATTGTTGATTGTTTTTGTTTTCTGGGCTTTTTGATATATCTCTAAGATCGATTTTGATTATTTTCACCTGAAATTGTGCCTTAGGGTCGATGGATGTAATTTTTGAGGTCGTTTGTGGGAAGTTTCTCGGTTGTGGGGAAGGTGTGGGGCTGTAGCGGCAAGGCTGAATTTGCTTATGTCAGCGCCAAGAGAAAATATAGGATTGATTTGACTTCAATTCGGACTCATTCTTTGCTCGAAGTTTTTAAACGTTCAACAGACCTGGAGATAAATCCTTGAGGTCGTGCGCAAACATGGTTGAAATTATCAAGCTGGCTCACATGCCACCGGAATTGGCCCTCTATGTTGCCATGTACACGGATGTCCAAAATGCCCCTTTCCTCAAGGAACAGTTGCTGGCAGGCAACTCCGATTTCGAATACGCCTTTGTTGATGCGAGAATGGTAGGGCGCAAACATCTCCATCGATTTTCAGGTGTTGACCTCGTTCTTTTCACCACAGATCGTCTCTGTCAACCATGTGCTTGCTGCCGCCTTTCGCGCCATGAACGACTATCTACATGATAGACTAAAGTCACGGAACATCCACTCGGAGATTGTGTTTTCTCTCAGTCCGAATAATAACGCAAGCGCAGAATCCAGACCATCGGAGCTAAAATGACACTAACAGCAAATGCAGATTGGCGAAGCCTTCCGCAGGTTCGGAGTCAGCGAATCGACTAGAGATTTACTCGTGTTGAAGGTGGCCACAACGCCGGAAGTGATTCTGGAAAGTGTTGCTGAACATCTATCCACGCACATCCAGGGCCAAGCCAGTGCCTTTGACGACGCAATCTTTTGCAAGGTCGCGGACGTGGACAGGATCAGAAAGGTCTATAAACTCAACTCTGCAACCTCTGGGGGCCGCTCGGGTAAGGCCGTTAATGGCATCTCCGGTGCGAGCAGCAGCGCGTCCATGGATGAGACGAAAACTCTCGAGGTCCAGATTCTTGGACTCATGGCTCTTCGGGGGGCAACGTGATCATCTAGAGCTTTCTGGGTATTTGGTTCACAACGCAAATATTGGGTCCATGGCTCCGTGGAATGTTCTTTGCCTCCTACGGTTCGTCCGGACCTCGGATGGGCAGACAACATCGATCTCAACGTCGCAGCTTTGCAGTGTCTTCACCTGGCTCGAATCCGAGCAGCATCGCCGCCACTACGCAACAACGACGCCACCATCTTCCCCGTCTTCCTCTGGCATCCATAATCGAATCTTCCAAATAACTTCCCAGGTCTCAGATGCCGCGCACTACGATAACTCGTCGGTCGGGGTTTCTGCCTCAAGCTGCGAAGTTGTTTGATGTTTACCAAAGGGTCTCCGGCATCTTTTGATTGCTTTGACCATCTCTGGAGCTGTTGGCTCGTCAAAACCTTACTGACGACACTGTCGAGAGTCACCTGTGCCATCTCGTCATGGTTTCCTGATTGCCATCCAACAAGATCACCGCAATTCTATTCCTTCATCGCGCTGCAGCTGACTGGTGCGCGGCTCGGTTCTCCATACGGAGCAGGTACTCCCCACATTCTCAAGTGGCTGAAAGGAGTCTACGCGGACACCCCTCTCTTCCACTCATCACACAATCAAAGATGCGACACATTGATCTTGCTATAACCTGGTCCCTCTCTGCGAAGGCGCGCTAAGGTATACCTGAAGATGGCCAAGCTTGCGATTTCAAAAGCTGCAACCACAATCGAAGCATAGAAGGTGTATTTCTGGACAACACCAAATGCGTCAGCACCCTTCCATCCACCCCACCAATTGGATACTTTCGAACCAGTTAGGAGTTTCGCAGGCTTACCATTTCAAAACACATAGTCTCAAAGGACATCTTTCCATTCTTGAGGGATTTGTGTGTGCACGACCAGGACCACAAGTCCCAGCTCTTTTTGCCCTCACTGTCCTGCCATTTGAAGTAGACAGCGGCAGCAACCCAGGCCGCGATTCCAAGCAAGGACGTGAAGAAGACGGCCCAAGTGTGCAAGTGGGTCTCGCGCAGTCGACGTACCTAAAGCGGTTTATTTGGTCAACAACTGTGCGCGGTTTGGGTTATGGTGTGCAAAAAGATGATATCAAGAGTAACTCACTCCTCCACAGAACGTGAGCAGCGAAAGGATCTGCACAATGACAGCGATGACAGCAGCACCGAGCATCACCCAGGTTGGCCAGACGTCGATATGATTCGGCCACGCACGCTGGCGAATGCCGCTCGGCTGCTGCTGCACCACATTTCGCGTTGTGAACCATACCGCCGCGGCATGGGCCAGCACGGCGATAATGGACGCCGCGACTGCCAGCGCAATGATCCTGACAAGCACTCGACAGAGATTTGGGACAGCCCTTGCCTGGCGATGAGCCTTGCGGACCTGTTCGTGGATCGGCGCCTGTTCTGCGAAAGCGTGCGGTCCTGCACTGTGTTGGCTTGGTAGGACTAGGTGCCGGAGCGGTTCCATGATAATGTTGGGGACAGTGATATCCTGTCGATGCTGCTGGTTAAAATATCCTGGAGATCGAGGGCAGATCGAGGGCAAATCGAGGGCAAGATATGGCCCTGTGGATTTATCCTTGCCAGGAAAAGACGGAAAGGAAGAGTGCCGGATGAAGTGGGAGGCGTGGGACAAGAACAACAAAAAGACTGGCGGGGTCGTCGATGTCTTCAATGCAAAGCCTGTTACCGAAAGACTGTGGTCGCCTCCTGAGTGTAAAATTATGACTATCCGAAACTTGCTGGTAGCGGTATCTTCAGGAAAGGTTAAAGGGGTTGGCCTCTCAGCCGGACCGAGGCAGAATTATTTTCCACGTCCAGCGACCTCACAAACCTAGGATTTCTAAAGGGAGGAGGGGTCAGAGAGGGAGAAGAGCAAGAATAGATATGCTGCTGTAAGCATGGACTCATGAAGCCACCCGGGCGCCACCTAACCAAAGGGGAGCAATGCTAAGTTCCGGCAGGAGACCCACCGTAGGGATAAGTACCTAGCAGTTGTGATACCGAGTAATACCTATGCAGAAACAAAACTGCTCCGATCCAATATAATAAATCTACCCGAACAGGATACACCCACTCAGAAGGCGAGGCTTAAGCTGAGATCAAGGCATTGCTAAGCACTATTAAGGCCCCCAGGGCAAGCTCTTCAGCTTTGGGCTTTGTCGCCCCCCACACTGGATTAGCGAAATGCAGGAAGTATAGGTAGAACGATGTAACAGAGTCAGCAGTGAGCAGCATTCGAAGGCGTGAGGGGAGTGCTAGTATCGAGTCCGTTTCGTGTAAGATCTTTTCGGGCTTCAAGATATACTCGATAGGAGCAAGAGACAAAACTGGGAGACTTTTGTTACTGGCAATCCCTACATGAGTAACTCATTCGAGCAGATCAAATTGGCCGAAGTAATATATGCGCTCGCGATCAGAGGAAGAGACAGCCACGGGTCAGCACTAGCAGCCTCGCTTGTGCCTTGCCTACCATGTTATGTAAGGACTCCACCGGCCCCCCCTTTTTATACAATTTGTTCGCAACATGGCGCTTGCAAGTTCACTAATAGCTTTGTGAGGCTGAGAGATTTGAGGGGGGCAAACACTAATCATGTGGTGGTGGATACTGCATCAGATGCCAAGGGAGGAGTCGCCGTTGCCAAGGTAAGAGACCTTGCGGAAGAGGGAGGGAGGGAGGAAGAGGGAGAGAAGGGAGAGAAGAGAAAAAGAGGATGGAGAATAGATGATTAGAGGACCCAGGCCAGTACCGAGTTCATCTCATATACCTCGTACTCCTGAGCCCACCCCCCCGTGCCCGTCGTATCCCACCCCATCTTATCCTATATGGTGAGTTGCCCGGCCTTTGTTGACCATCTAGACAGCCCTGGGTGGTTGCATAACCTAAGGTCCAGCCATGCTCGGGTCCGTGGTGCTGGTCTCGCTGGCGGCCGTCGCCGTCACTGGCGCCGTTGACAACAATGGAACGGGTCGAGTGCTTCTGACCGAGCGACAAACCACCACGCCGTGCTTCATCTCGACGACGCCCGTCACGGCCTGCGGGCCGGGCGACCTGACCACGGCCAACTGGGACGCGTTCGGGATCGACAACTTCCTGGCGGGCACCATCAACCAGTTCGGCGCGTCGGACAACTTCCCCAAATTCTTCGTGTCGCAGAACACGCCGACGGCGAACCCGTTTGACGACTTTGACTGCTCGGCGTTTGGGAGCACGACGTGCACGGTGCCGACGCTCAACAACCCGGACGCGGCGACCGACTGCATCTTCGATGGGTTGCAAGGCACCTTTTGCGCCAACTTTGTCAGCCCGGAGGCCGGGTTCGTCGTGCAGAACTACATCAACCTGTGGCAAGGGTTGCAGAACCACCACGACGCGATCCAGGACGCCGCCGACGCCATCACCTCGGCCAACTTCATCAACACCATGGTCAGCGCGCTGGCGCCGCAGAAACAACCCATCGGCCCGGCCATCTTGTCGCGGCTGGTGGACCTGGTGACGGACATCCTGCCGATCGGCGGCGAGATCAAGGCCGCGACGACCTTCATCAAGAAGATCCGGCTGATCATCAAGGCGACCAAGTCGGACCTGGAGGACGACAGCAAGGACATTGTCAGCATCGAGCAGAACAACGCCGCCATCGACCAGGAAGTGTCGGCGACCGAGGACCAGCTCACGCAACAGCTGGCCAACATTGTGAGCGGCACGCAGAGCCGCCTGCAAAACATCCTGAACCAGATCTTCGGCGCGGACCAGGACCCGCAGCTGATCACGGACCCGTCGACCATCGGCACGACCTTCGCCTTCCTCAACGCCTACCACGGCGTCTTCCTCGACGACGTGCCCCAGCGGTCCGACCTGGCCGCGCAGATGCAGAAACAGCTCCAAAACTGGATCGTCAGCGCCGTGCTCTCCACCATGGGCTACGACGTGACCATCGACACCACCCCGCTCGAAGACCCCCCCGGGCAGCCCGGGACAGTGTGCCACGCCGAGAACGGCTTCCCCGTCGCCGCCGGGTGTGCCTTGTTCCGCATCAACGGCATCGACCACAGTAACGGCGATGTCATCGACAGCGCCCAACAGGGCAACAACATCTTCGCCCTGCAGGACACCGCGGGCATGGACATTGGCGGCATCATCGCGAATGCCCAGGCCTGCAACGGCGGCAGTGGTGGTAGCACCGCGGATTTCGAGGACTTTCTGGATATGGACAATACCGATGCCCTGCCTAGTTGTATGTTCAACTTTAGAGTCGTCGTCACGGCGCTTTGACGGAGGATCTTTCCCTCAATTTTTTTTCCTCCCCTTCGAGGTCTTTTGCTGCGTTCTCCACAATGATCTTCGGTGTGCGTCTTCAAACATCGGGCATGGCTTTTTGGGATTTTCGGCGTAGGATGAGAAAGAGTTTCAGCCTCGTCAGCCTCGTCAGGTGTTTCAGTATCTTCGGTAACACGGAACGCTGCATATGAGCGGGGATGGAGGCGGAAAGGCAAATGAGTATTTGGGTAGCAATGTCCACATGAAAACTATAGATCCATACGCTTGGACGAATGAACTGTGAGAACACTCCCATTAACCATGGTCATGGTCATTGTTTCTGCCTCCAAGTTGCTTGTGCCTCAGGAGTAACATAGCGGAAAACACTCTGTTGCTCTCTCTCAAGCTCGGGTTTCAACCATGAGCATTGTTAACCTACATACATGACTGGCACGCGCTCTTTGGAACGTGCGGACTGTTGCAGCTGCATGCGTATCTCTCTGCGAGATTCAATCTCCCCTGCCGCCCCGTTGGCTGTCCGTCACCAAGCCTTCACCCTGCGAATAACATTCTATGTTTATCTTAGAGTACAATTGCGCAACTTTTCCCGATACCATCCAGTGATGGTTCAATCCCCTCTCGGCTGTCACGCCTGCCTCCCGTCAGGGTTCGAAGCATCGACAACGCTGTTCCTCCACCCCATCAATGATCAGTACCGAATCATACTAGCCCCTTCGCAAGTCATATTCTCTCCTAACCCATTCCGCCCCCTAAGCACATTCATCCTCGGAAGGAAAAGAGTTCCTGATCTTCACTCGTCGAAAGATGTGTCTAGCCATCCCATTTCATGTGTAAAGCAAATCAATTCGATAAAGAGACATTTGAAAAACCATCCAACGCCGTCGCTAATGTTCAAGTGTTTGTGTCTTGCGAAACACATTGTGGCCGCAGAGAATAATGCGGAGAGCACTCAGACAGTGAGCCTCCTCTTTTCCCGCAAGTGACAATTTAGTGGCCGTAAAAAAGTTGCATTAAAAAAATATCACCGCCGTATCAGAATGGGAGCCGAAGACAGAAGGTCAATTTAATGGATCCGTCATTCGCCTAATATCTGAAGTTTTCTTCGTTTTGGGATGACATCTGAGTCGTATGATGGTACAAAGAGGACTCAATCCTCTTTTGGAGAAGTTGGAGAATATTGTGGGCTATTCGGAGAGTATTGTGGACTGGTAGCGGACGTCGACCGAGTTGGTGGACTTCTTGGAGAAGCATTGTACATCGGACTCGTGGGAGAATACGATGGGCTTGTCGGGGACGTCGGGCTAGTCGGGCTGTAGGTAGGCGAAGTAGGAGAGTAGCTTGGGGACGTCGGGGACTGTTTGTTGCCACTACCGCCATACATGGGACTTGTCGGGCTGTACATCGGTGACGTAGGACTGTAGACAGGCGACGTCGGCGACGTCGGCGATGTGGGACTGAAAGCCGGAGAGGTTGGCGAGTAACTTGGAGAAGTTGGTGAACCATAAGCCGGAGATGTGGGCGAGTAATTCGGTGACGTCGGTGAGTAGCTCGGCGAAGTAGGCGACGCTTGGTAGCCAGGAGAGGTTGGCGAGTACGCAGGCGACGTTGGAGTAAAGGCAGGGCTTGCCGGAGAGAAGGACGGCGACGTTGGCCCGAAGCCAGGGCTGGTTGCGCCAAACATCGGAGATGTTGGTGAATAGCCGGCAGTGGGCGAGAAGCCAGGGGAGCTTGGGCTGGTACCACCGAACGGACTGGCAGGCGAGTAACCACCAGGGCTTCGCAAACCGTAGGGACTGAGCCCTCCAGCGCCACCAAATCCAGGTTGGTAATCTGTGAACCCTCCTGGAGTTTCCGAACCAGAAGCTGCAATGGGGGAGAAGGAAGCGCCGTAGTCTGGAGAGCCAAGATACCCGCTGTCTTGCATTGGCGAGCCGGAATCATAAGGAGTAGCAGCGCCATCGAGGAGTTGCTGCGAGCCTTTGACACCAATGGCACCACCGAGGCCAAGGTTGGCATTGTCCGTCACAACGGTAGACAGCATGCTCTGATCCAGAAGGATCTCCATCGTTCCAGTACCAACAGGTGCAGGTTGACCCAGAATCAGGTTTTCAGAGACACCTTTGCAATCATCCAATTCGCCGGCCGCTGCCGCCTCGAGCAAGATCTCGACAGTTTGTTCAAAGGAACATCTCATCAGTGCGCCAGTATCGGACTTGTTGATGCCGTGACGAGTGACGGCCATGACATATCCGCGTGCAGTCATCACATCGCACAGAATACCCAAATGGCGAGCGTTGACGTAAGAACCATCGAAGGACAACACCTGGGTCAACTCGCGCAGAATCGCAGCACGAGTAGCTTCGATTCCAAGGACTTCGAAGATTTCCGTGAAACGGTTGGTATAAGTGCGAGACGTGTCAACGCCTTCAATTGCGAGAACCTTTGCGAAAGAACTGCCAGTAGTTTCAAGCACGTATTCATTGCATCGAGGGTCGCTCTTTGCCATGTACACAGAACCGTCGTCGCTAATAATCGCACGACTCTTCTGGTCGATGAAGGCTCTTGAGACGCCGGGAACACCGTGGAAGGTCAAGTGGTCGAGCATTTCGTTCAAGAAGCGTCGGAGAACTTCATCATCCTCTTTGCGCTCGTCATCCTCATCCTTGCCATAATTCTGGACAAGGCGAATACGAATGATCTGCTCGTCGGCATTGATATCGCTGAAGATGACCGAGAGATCCTTGCCGTAGGTCGCTTTGATCCTCGACGCGACGTCTGTAATGTTAAGGCCCTTGTCCAGAAGTCTCGCACGGCTGAGGGTGACACGAAGCAGCCACTTGGAGTGTAGCGCAAGATCTTGATCTGTGTCCTCAGGAATGATGAAGTAGGATTCGACCATATCCAGATCCTCGGGAATAATAGTGCTCTGAATATCGGGATCGTACCACAGTTCACAAGTCTCCGCCACGGAGCGCAAGTTGGTATGCTGTACACGGCTTCGCAGAAGCTTGGCAGCTTCCTTGTCACCAGTATTTTCTGGAAGCTGATACACAGTCATTGAGGGAGTTCGAATGTTCTGGGAGACATTCAAGATTTCCTTGAGACGAGGCACACCCAGAGTAACGTTCTTCGCCGACACACCAGTGAAGTGGAAAGTATTCAGAGTCATCTGGGTCGCAGGTTCACCGATGGACTGGGCAGCTAGAACTCCAACCATCTCGCCCGGATTTGCATGTGCAGCAATGAACCGACTCTCAACGGCTCCGACAATATTGTCAAAAGCCAATCTGTTGACACCATGCTCAAGAACAAGCCGCTTGTACGCCAGCCGGGAGCGGAGTTGCGCCTTCAGCAGGAGCGTTGCGTTGTCTTGGGCTTCTTTCGAGATTGGGTCCTCTCCACGGACGACAACAAGTCTTTCCAGTAACTGCTTGACTGCATTAAGCGCATGACGGGGATCAAGGTCGGTTTTGTCGCCACGGCGAATCTTGAAATTCTTCTGAGCTTGGTCGATGATACGTCCGATGTTGAGAGGCAACTGCATTGAGTCTTCGGTGCCTTTGCCCATCTTTCGCAGGAAATCTTGAGACTTTCGCAGAGCTTCATACTCTTCGTCAAACATCTCTTGCAGTTCGGTATCACCTTGTAGCTCTCTTGCCTGAAGCAGTCTGCCCTTCCACATGGAGATATCCCCGCTCATAATGTCTACCAGATAGCGGTCGTTGAAGGCTTTGTCTGACATGGTGATGATATCGACCTTTTGGTTCTCAATATGAGCACCATCCAGGCCATCCTCACCGTAGATGAACTGAACCACGTTACCACGTGAATCACGGACAGTGGAATCATATTTGACAGTGACCTCCTCAAGAGCTTTGACGAGCCGACGTTGGATATAGCCCGTTTCGGCGGTCTTGACAGCAGTATCGATAAGACCCTCGCGACCAGCCATGGCGTGGAAGAAGAACTCTGTGGGAGTCAATCCACGAAGATAGGAGTTCTCAACGAAGCCTCTCGAAGGAGCAGAGTAATCGTCTTTCGCGAAATGAGGCAGAGTGCGGTATTTGAAACCGAAGGGGATACGTTTGCCTTCCACAGCCTGCTGACCAACAATAGCAGTCATCTGAGCAATGTTGATAGTAGAGCCTTTTGAACCCGCACGAGCCATGGTGATAGCGTTGTTGAGATCTTTCAAACTGTTTTCTGTCGCGGCACCGGCTTGATCACGAGCCTGATTCAGAGAGTTCATCACTTTACTCTCGAATGTCTGACGAACATTCATACCAGGGGAAGGCTCAAGCTCTTCGTTGTACGCCTTCTTTGTGATATCATCGACCTCTGCCTTCTTGGTATCGACAGCGTCTTGGATCTTTTGGACAGTGTCAGGGTCGGGTACTGTGTCACCAATACCGATACTGAAGCCGTTGTGTAGAAGCCAGTAGTTGACCACAGTTTGTGCGCCATTGAAGAAAGCCCGTGCAGTGTCATGCCCGAACTCGTTGACAATTGTGTGAATGATGCCGCCAGCACTAGTACCGACAAATTTCTTGCTGAACAAGCCGAACATAAGACTGCCCTCAAGAACCATGAGACCAGTGTCATTGGTTGGTACATACGGGTCTTCGCCCTTGGCATCGAGCCTCTCGAGGTTGAGAGCAGGTGGGAGCACCATGCTAATCATCTGTTTCCCCGTCCAGCGAGGCGTAGGCTTGATGATAGCTGGTTGAGGAATCACCCCATCCCAGTCAGGAACCCATAGCATGACGTTCATGACTTGATCTCGTGTCAAGAACACATCACGACGGCAAATCTTGTAGATACCGCAAAGGGTGTCTTGGATAATACCCATTAGAGGAGCATTGCGTTGTGGTGACACGATGTTGAGAGGTACCATGCAGAGATTGGCGAGCTCAGCGCGCGACTCTTCACTCTGAGGAACGTGCAAGTTCATCTCATCGCCGTCGAAATCGGCATTGTAAGGCGTAGTGACAGAAAGGTTGAGCCGGAAGGTGGAATAGGGCATGACTCGGACACGATGACCCATCATAGACTCCTTGTGAAGGGATGGTTGACGATTGAAGAGAATGACATCGCCATCCTGGATGTGGCGCTCGACAATCCAGCCATACTGAAGAGTCATCTCTCCAGCGCGCTTGTGGTGTCGCAGATCGATACGCTCTCCAGTGTCGCGAATGACATAACGCGCGCCTGGATGGTCATTGGGCCCATTCGCAACGAGGCGTCTCAGCCGGTCAATTGTGAAGGGCGTGACTCTTTCTGGGTAGGTCAGGGTGCGAGCAATGCTTCGTGGAACACCAACTTCGTCCAGAGAAAGGTTGGGGTCACCAGTGATGACAGTACGAGCAGAGAAGTCGACACGCTTTCCCATCAAGTTCTGGCGCAGTCTGCCTTCTTTCCCCTTGAGGCGAGCACGGATTGACTTGATGGGTCGACCACTCTTGTGCTGCGCTTTGTCGAGTCCAGCGATCTCGTTGTCCATGTATGTGGCAATGTGATACTGAAGGAGATCACAAAGATCAACCTTGATATGGTCGGGTGTGCCGTCAACTTCAGTTCGTAAAACTGCTTGATTGGCACGAATAATGTCACCGAGCTTGAACGTGAGGTCGTCTTCACCGCGTTGCCCTTGACCGCTACCGTCAACGCTGATACTGGGTCGGACCGGTGGAGGAGGCACGGGGAGCGCAGACAAGATCATCCACTCAGGGCGGGCATAATCAAGGCTGAGACCCATCATGTCCAAGGTCTCGTCAGTCAAGGTACGGAAGGTGTTGAGAGCATCCTGCGGAAAGATTCGTTTCTTGTCGGGGGTCACATCCTCATCGTCTTCGCCTTTTCGTGGCTTCCAGGTCGCCCACAACTGCAATCCAGTTCTTCTGATGTCAGGTTGGGCATTGCCACAACCGCCATGCTTTGGCTGAGGAGGTCCTTTCAGAGGCTGGTCGGGGTCTTCGATAGGATCGGCTTCGCAAACATTTCGGGGCTTGCTGAGTCGCCACACTGCATCAAAGCGACGCTTTCGGTCTCGAATCGAGATGGCATGTCGAAACTCTTCGGTCTGCATTGCATCGAGGTCAGCACTGGGAAATCGGGAAGGCGCGAGAGAAACTAACATCAAGCGCCTTGATCTTGCCACAGTTGTGGCAGACCGTCTCCAAGATCTTCTTGACTTTGTTCATAAAGCCATAGTGATAGACTGGAGTTGCAAGCTTGATGACACCAAAGTGACCAGGGCACTCGGCCATGTTCTCTTCACAAGTACTGCATTTGAAATTGCGATCGATTGTTCCGAGATGAGGATCGTTCGGACCTTTTTCGCGAGGTCTGAGGCGTTGCTCATCCCTGGTCAAGCACGGGTTAGATATCAATAATCAAAGGAAGTGATCTTTGTCTTTTATTTTCTACATACATCGTCTCAGGATATTCGATGTCGATGACCGCGAGGCGCTCGGTCTCCTTGGCGGAAAAGAGGCCAAATTGAATCTCCTCGACTGTGCGCAGAGGCGCGCTCGAGTAAGGGAAATTGAGGCTCGCCATGGTCGCTCGTGGTTATCCCCGATGAACTCGTGTATCCTTGTGAGACGATTGTTTACTCTTTTGTCACGATCTGGGATGACCGCAGTGCTTGCACGGGTGGCTGCGCGGTGCTGGTCAGGGATGACCTTCGCCCTGTCGGGCCGCCCAAAACAATGCCGTGTCCTTCTCCAGCTGCGCTCTTGTCCAGTTCTCTTTATTTTGATCCAAAACTTCCGGGAAAGTGATCGACTCGCCTGATAGAATGCGTGAATTCGTAGGCGCGATCGTTTAACGATGGTTGGGGTGGTGTTGTTGATGAGGAAGAGGATGAGGAAGGGATGAGAAGGCCAGCGCAAAATTTGAGAGATGAAAGGGCGAGCGGCTGCCTGCGCTGCGCCAAGAAAGTCAGCCCGGAGGCTAAGGCGGCTTTTAGCGGCAGAATTCGCCTCCTTTCAGCCTCACCCTTTTTCCGTCAGTGATTCATGCAGGAGTGACTCTGAGTGACTCCCTTCACAGGTTTGCGGGTGAATAGGTACAGCAAGTGATAAGTGAGTTTTTGTTCCAGGCTCGCTGGCCCACTTCTACAATGAGATTGTCGATGAGACAATGATATGCGATAGATTGTCTGCGGGAAAGTTGCAGTGAAGAACACCGTCTCTACTTTTGCTAGTCTTAGCTTTGGCAACGGCCTTTGTGAAGCGTAGAGTATTCACTCCACGGGCTCAGTGACAGATACGTAGAAACTGTCACTCACAAACCAAATATCTTCCTCCTCGTTGCCGCTTTTGATATTCCTGTCCTCGCTTAACCTTCTTCTTTCGCTCTCTACCCCCTTACACGTGAGAGCGCTAACGATGTCGCTAGTACCGGATGTGGAAACAGACGCATTTCGTCAAGAGGCTTTGAACCCTCCACGCTTTCGTGAGACTCCATTAGATCAACAGGAACATCATGAATTTGGCACTGATAGATCCGTTTCAATTAGCCCAGGATTCCCCGGATTCCCTCACCAATGATCTCAGTATGTTCAGCCCCAAGTTCGCTGGAAAAGTGGAAGAGGGGGGAATTTGGTCACATCAGTACTGATTCAAATCCAGGATCTGGCCATGCGACCACTCTGAGGTTTAGTCGCAAGGGCGACTACCTCGCGTCCGGCAGAGTGGATGGAAAGGTCATCATTTGGTCAGTGTGCCCTTATCAGAAGAAGCCGTTGGCGCAGACTCTCGACTCTTAGGTCGAGTACCGAAGTGATGACTGACTTTTTACTCAAGGGATATGGAGACATATGGTGTTGCCATGAAGCTGCATGGTCACTGGAAGCAAATCCAAAGTCTGAGGTACTACTTCTCCACTTCCGTTCATTGGTACGCTACTAAGATTCTTCAGCTGGTCGAGAGAAGGTCGCTACCTCTTGTCCGCGTCCCAAGACTGTAGAGCCTGTCTCTGGGACCTGCAAACTCAAGAACGTATCCGGACCGTCAAATTCGAGGCCCCTATCTACACGGCAGAACTTCACCCTTACAACCACAAGCTTTTCGTCGCATCTCTCTTCGAAGACCGACCGTATTTGGTTGACACCACCGAAGCCATTCCTGTCAAGCGTGTCCTTCCCACCACCCCCTTGAGCGACAGCATCCCCCGCTCTGAGAACAAACAAGCCACCACCTCGGCCATTTTCTCCGTTCTGGGCAACCACATCATCACTGGCACCTCAAAGGGGTACATCAACATTCTCGAGACCGAGTCGCGCAAAATCATCCACTCCACCAAGATCTCGACTGGTCTCATCTCACTTCTCCGCCTGACCACCAACGGCCGCCAACTCCTCGCGAATAGCACCGATCGCATCATTCGTACCATCAATCTGCCGGACCTCAGTCTGATTGTTCCCTCCACCGCACCGGCTACAGACCCTAGCAGCAGCGATGACCACCACGAGCGCGACCCAGCCACTCTGGCAGAGAACATTGTCCTCACCGTCGAACACAAATTCCAAGACCTGGTCAACCGCCTTCGCTGGAACCACTGCGCATTCAGCCACAGCTCCTCCACGGGCATCGCGGACTACGTGACGGCGTCCACATACATGAAGAAGGACATTTACATCTGGGAACTACGCACCAACTCTCTCCTTCGCATCCTCGAAAACCGCGAGGAGCCCGCGATCATCGAATGGCACCCTTCCCGTCCTCTCCTTGCGTGCACGAGTATTGAAACGGGTAGCATCCAGATCTGGGGCATCGAACCACAGCAGAAGTGGTCCGCTCTGGCGCCGGATTTCACCGAGGTGACGGAAAATGTCGAGTACATTGAGCGCGAGGACGAGTTCGACGAGTACCCGCAGGAAGAACACCAGAAGCGCCGCTTGGACAGAGAAGACGAGGACGTTGACATCTTGACCGTGGAGAGAAAGATGGGTGAAGAAGACAGCTTCGTCTTGCCGGTGCTGTACGACATTGAGGACTCGGATGGGGATGATCAGGAACTGGTGAGACACGGCGTCGGCACGCTTAGGAAGAAGGACGTCAACGAGGGGAAGGAGTACGAGAATGATGGAGACGAAGTGCCCAAGACGATCAGAAGACGGAAGTATTAAACGAACCTTGAAGTTTTCACGACGGAGCTACGACTTGGAATCCCGGCAGACGCGGATGGGTCTTCGGTCTATCAGCAAGGCGTTGGTTACGGAACGGGCCTGGCGCAGTTGGGACACGACTTTCAAGCATGTTTCAGGACAGGCATGGTGATTGATATGCTGGCAACTAGGGGGCCAATCTGTTGCTGCGGACAGCGAAATGGCACGGCGACGGATCTCGTGCTTAACGGCATCAATGTAGAACGTACTATCCACACACATCGAGGCGATTGGAGGCTCGACACGCACAAATGTCATACTGATGAATTCGAGTGAGAATCGCATGAGAAATCCCCCTATCTTCCTCAACAAGCCCTTTTCCAATCTTTAACGCTCGAGAAGGATTTCATACATTTCCCGACCGAGTGACTGACCAACTGACTGAGAGACACTAACGAATACGTAGTACCTACCAGGTAGGGAGGTATTTATCTCTCGGGCAACACATCCGCGAATGGTGTCATGGGTTGCCACCAGTCCAGATCATAGATCCTCCTTCACAATCAGACCCCCATATATATATCCTACCCGTTCGATCCGGCTTCTCAAATATGTGTTCCCCTAGAACCCTTGCACCTGCTGCTGTCACATCGGGAAAAGGTCATTTGACATGTGTTGGACTGGATGAAATACGACAGAATACGACCGATCCGTTCCGCCGTGCCATCATCCCCAAGGGCGCAGCTCCCCGTGCTCCTACTCTATTGGCCCTTCGGACAAGACTAGAATTGCTCAACAAGCAAGCTTCCTCGTTACGACGTGTGTCTCTTGGTCAGATTCCAGGGAAATGGTTGTCGTTTATGAGGCCTGATTCTTTTGCAGGAATATACGAAATACAACAACTGTGCATCAGAAATGGTCTTCGACCCGGACTTTGCATGTTGACATTGATCTCCAGGTGGGACGACGGCTGCATTGTAGGAAGAATCCTCCTTGAGGACATCTGAAGTTGCCACTTGGAGACGGCTCAGGACTCAGAGATACGCTCTAGGCCCCGAACCATGTCTCTTTCAATCCAGCTTCCTGCTAAGCTCGGTCCATATCACCCAGGCTCGCACGTCAACGGCACTATCAACCTCACATCGACCGAGTCCGTCCCTATTGGCTCTCTAGTGATCACTTTCACGGGCACATCTCGCGTCACGCTGACCCAGAACTACGGCGACCTCAACGTGTCGAACACCGACTACCACTCGCGCGAGGTCCTCTTTCGACGTGAGAAGGTGTTGTATACTGGCGGGAAATGGACGCACAGAGCCGGGGTGTATGGTTGGCCATTCGAGTTCAGAGTGCCTGAACACACCGATGATAGAGCGATATCGAAGTGCCCAGCAGTTCAACGGACTGTCCAAGGCATGCAAAGGCACGGCCTCCCGCCGACTATGCTGTATAGCTGCAGGGGTTTCGCTTGTCTGGTCGAATATGTCCTAGAAGCGACGTTGAAGCCACCGGAAAGCCCTCCAACTGCCACAGGGGGCAAAAGCATCACAGCAAAACATGCGATCAGAGTCCTGCCCCTGACCGTCACAAGGATGGCTGCGAGTCAAAATTCATCCAGCAGGGCAGACGATCAATCTTACGTCCGCCATCAGCAAGCTTTCAAGATCCCCCAGCAGAAGACCGCGGTCTCCCAACAAAACCCAATGTCCCGGATTCTGAAGTTTTCAAAGTTGCACCGTGACGGTCACAAAGAGGATTCGGCGGCTGCGGCATCCTCGCTTAGTATCTGTGTCCTCTTACCACGGAGAATCGAGGTCACAGAAGACTATTCGAGGATGAGCATATTGTTTTCCGGCCGATTTATGAGCAACTCGGGCACGTGTGCAACAACCAGTATACATAACCTGCCTCCGTCTGTTGCGACCGCACTCACAATAAAGAGTCTGAAAATCGCAATCATTCAACACACTCACGTTCAAGCCGGATGTCACCCGTCGACTTCCACCCGCAAGACGTATACGCGGAAGACAACATGCTCATTGCCACTCCCAGTCTCCCATAGTGAGACGCTACCCTCTAGCACCAGCAGGGCTCGTGCGGTGGACACAGCAGCACACAGAGAGGTCGATCTCGCCGAGATGACTCAACTGCGTATACCAAGGGAGAGTCTGGTCCTGGATTTCGCGACACATAACTCTGCCATTGAACATACTGTGACCTTGGAGATTGGGATCGAATACGAAGGTAGAAACTTCAGGTTTGCGTGCCAGGATGTGAAGATTGCAGTGGTACCCGCTAGTAGTACACCGGAGGAAACTCGTCTTCAGGTAGAGAATTCGGGAATCCAGAGGCAGGGTGAGTATGAGACCTCGAGGGGCGGAACCGAGAGCGTTATGGCCCCAGCTTTCAACCAGGAAGACCGCAACGTGGAAACAGAGGCCAGATGTCGCAGTCAAGGGACCGGTGACTGGGTCATCCCGCCACCGGAGGTGAGCACGACAGGCCTTCACTCCCGCAGCGAAAGGGATGCGTTCTTCTCGCAACCGCCGCCAAGGTATACGCCGCGGACTTGAGTCATATGGCCTTTCTCGAGAAGACTCTGGACTGAGCTGAGTTCCTTGATATTCCTCTCTTGACGTCCAAGTACTGGACTCATTTTGCAGGGAGCTCTAGGGGTGTAATCCTCTTTTCTCGAGAATCGACTTCAACGGGGTGCTGTACGGTATGGGGCCATTGATCATTACAGCTGCCAGTTGCTACTTGACGATGTCCTGCGGTCGGTGTTTGTTGACGGGTGACAAGTGGATAGCCGTCGTTGTTGGACAGAGACGCAAGAGTAGCACAGTGGCGTTTCTTCTCGCGAAAAAGGAGCACTGAAAGGACAGCGACAACTGCAAGAAGAGGAACGCCGACCCCGAGTCCGGCAGCCAGTCCGGTCGTCAAACCTGTGCCGGAATTTGTGACCTCCCCGATGGCCACTGGGCTGGGGTCACCGGTTGTTGTCGCCGTGATAGTGAGCAGTGAACCAGATATGTCCGTTGTGAAGGTTACAGTCTGCAGGCGCGTGGTGGATGGTAAAACTCCATTCGTGATGATGCTGGCAATGGGTGCAATGCTGTAGCCATGTAAAAAGGCTGAGCCATTTTCCACAGCTGCTTGCGCAAGGATTGGGAATAGCTTGACACCTTCGTCCTGGCAACAGGAGGTGGAATTGGAGGCGCCGTCCGAACAGCACCATTTACTGTGGCTGCAACGATAGAGCGAACTTGGGCCGTGGTTGCGCTGGGGTGTCAAGCAACGTGGGAAGCAGGCGTCATCCTGCCACGTACTGTCCGTACACAACCCTGTATTGAGGGTAGTGTCATTCTGGCAGCCAGACTGTAAGCAATCTCTGATGACCTGCGAAGTGTTCTCGCTACTCACCCTCATTAGACATAGGCCATTCTTCAGACAAGTTGAGTCAATTGGGCAGCAATGTGTCACGTTGGTATTGGGAAAACACGGAGAATAAGTATCTATCACCGTTTGAGTGCCGTCTGGGTTATAGCAGACATTGGTCGCGGCATGTCCTAAGGGAAAGAGGGAAACGAATAAGAGAATTGCTGGAAAATGGCACCGCATCGTCACTGAGAGGAAAGCAGAGAAACCCCAGAAGTTGCAGTAGGGAATCCTGTCCAAGATACAAATGGTCAAGAGCCTCAATAAAAATAACCACACTTAACTTAGAAGCCATTTAGGCTTGGACATTCAGCGACACATTTATTCCGTCAAGAGCCACATGTCGTACACGTGCCGATCAGAGGGGCCGAATTGTCTGGATCGACATCGTATGTTTCATCCAAGAACGACAAAAGGTTCTGAAGGTGACCTCGCAGCCTTGATGGACCTGAGCTGAAAAAGGGGCAACACGGCTTAATGCTGAGCGTTCTCTAGAACCGAAGCTGATTGGGTGGTGTTGGAGTCTGCCTGCCATGTAGTACCTAGGGAATGTCCGCGCAAGTCTGCCAATCATATCCATTAGGCGAGAAGGACAGATTAGTTTGTCTGCAGCGACCACCTGAAGGCATCCCAGTTGATGTAAAATAAGATCTTTCTGCTTGTCTTGTGCAAGGCAGGAGAGGAACTCATTGGGCAGCTTTGACGTCTCCATAGATGGCTCCAGAGGGCGGTTCGTCTCATCGCTGCCTCGTCCACCTGTTCTCGGTACTCTGTACGAGTATGGTCTCTTTGCCAAGTTTTATTCTGACTCGTAGTGGATCTGCTCTGCCATCAACCCAAGTGGGTTCTGGAATCGGGGTACGGAGAAACCGCAGATCAGAGTCGTTCCCGTAGGAGCGCATCTGGGAGGCTGGGTAGCAGGCCTCAATGGGCTGCCGAACTCGTGACGATATAATGATCGGAGAGCCATTGACCAGGGGATAAGTAAGAGAAACTTGGATGAACTTGCATGTGATGGTGATCGACGAGGCGAGCAATGAACACTGAAAAGAGAGGCGAAGCCAAGCGAGGCCGCAGAGGCCCAAGGCCTGCACTTCCTGCTCGGGAAAAATGACTGCTCGTTCAAGTTGCGGAAAAAAGTGGCAGCGGTTCAAAGGGAAACTTTGCCGGCCTCAATTTGCGGTTGTCCGGATTTCCCTGCCATGATGCCTTTCCTATGTTTTCCGGTGGTGCAGCATTTTTCTTTTTCGTTCTTCACAGGAAGTCAAAGATGATCCTGAGGTTCTGAATAGACCTGCCTATCGAGCAGTCATGACCTCGATTGATGACCTCTTCCGCAAACCCAATGCCGCATCAAAGCGAAAACTCGAGGACCCGACCAAATCATTCTCCAATGCCCTCTCCAACAAATCCGCTAAATTGGCCAACGGCTCCTCTCCACGCTCTTCCACGAATGGCTCCTCTCAAGACGATTCTACCTCCAACGGTTCAGGGAGCAAGGCTGCTTTTGTGCAGGATGAAGTCCTAGATGATCAAGATGACCTCGAGGCCGGACCCGCGCGGCCGCCAGAAGACGTGGAAGACGAAGATGGAGACGATGAGGAAGGACGCTTCTTCGGCGGTGGGGTCACGAAACAAGAAAGAGAAGTGATTGACTATATCGACAAACGTGAGGCTGGGGAGGTGGAGGAGAAGATTGATTCCACGTGGCTGCGCCGTACGGCCATCAACTTTGAACGGAAAATCAACAAGAACGCGGAACTGCGAGCCAAATACGAGAAGGAGCCTATGAAGTTTGTGAGCAGTGAGGCCGATCTGGATGCCGAAATCAAAGGCTTGAGTCTATTGAGCGAACATGGCGACCTGTACGCCGAATTCGTTAAAATGGGCTGCGTAGGCAGTTTGGTCGGATTGCTTGCGCATGAAAATACCGATATTGCCATTGCCGTTTGCGAATTGCTCGCAGAACTGACAGACGAGGACTCGACTACCACCGAAGAACAATGGAAGACCTTGGTCAAGGCCATGATCCAAGGCGACATCGTGGATCTTTTGACAAGCAACCTCAGTAGATTGGACGAGGACAACAATGAGAGTGATCGAGCTGGGGTCTATCACATCTTGAACGTTGTTGAGAACATCTTGTCCGACACTGGGAACGTCGAGGTCGTTGGGGCGAAAGATCCACTGATGGAATGGCTTCTCTCAAGAACAAAGAAAGTCGATCCCTATGCGAGGGGAAAGGTTGGCCAAAATCGCCAATACGCTGCGGAAATCCTGGCGATACTTCTCCAGAGCAACAAAAACAACCGAGATCGTCTAGCACGAAAAGACGGGGTTGACTCTCTTCTCCAACTTCTGAGCGCGTATCGCAAACGAGATCCCGAGAAGGACTCAGACGAGGAAGAATTTGCAGAAAATCTCTTCGATTGCTTAGCCTGCCTGGTGGAAGAACGTCTCGCCGGCGAGAAATTTGTGGAAGGCGAGGGTGTTGAATTGTGCCTCATTATGATCCGAGAAGGCCGACTGGCGAAAGCACGAGCTCTGCGAGTGCTCGACCATGCAATGAGTGGAGGCAATGCAACAGCCGTCTCGATGAGGGTAGTGGATGCTGCCGGGCTCAAGACGATCTTCGGCATGCTTATGAAGTCCCACAAAATGGAGCGAAGCCTTGTCGAGCATCTTATTGGAATCCTAGCGAGCATGTTGAGGTACCTGCCTGGAGGCTCCGCCGAAAGGATACGCACTCTTGCTAAGTTCGTGGAAAACGACTACGAAAAGATCACAAAGCTTGTCGAACTGCGGCGTGAATACAAAACGAGATTGAGTAAAGTGGATGCGCACATTCAAAGGGAACGACAAGACCTTAACGAAGCACAAGAGGAGGGACAGGCTGATGAGTGGTTCTCACGGCGACTGGACGCTGGTCTCTTCTCACTTCAGGCAATCGAGCTGATCCTCAGCTGGATGGTTGCTGAAGATAACGGAGCAAGACAGACCATCACTGTGCTCCTCGGTGAAGACGGCCTGAAGATTCTCGAGCGGAGTCTGCGGGACCAACTCAACGGGATGGATCCTGGTCAGAGTGATGAAGCAAAGGCTACGGAGGAGATGCTGGAGGCATTACTTTTGTGCGTGGAGCAATGAAGCTGGTGTTTTGTGAACGCGAGATCTAATCATGCCATTAGGGAGGACCGAATTGCTGATAGCTGAAATGCATAGCCTTATGCATAATTATGATACCCACTGCATTCACGAATCTCATTTCAGCATTCTCGCCATGTGTATATAGAAAGTCTGAGGCCACTCAGGAGGCGTTGCATGTGTATATATCCAAAAGTGGTTAGTGTGATTCACAACTTAAAATGGCAAGACTTGCCACGGCGCCCTAGTTTGATGCGCGCCAAAAAGATCCCCAGACATTCCTCTCCACACCGACCACGATTTACAAATCTCCATCCTTTGTGCAGTCTCTACTGTCTTTCTCTCGCTGCTCAGGTTTCTCGCTGTCGAGCGCTCTGTGAGTGGCTCTCTCGAGGAAATCTGAAGTCTTGACTGACAATTCAGTGCCCCTTGTCAGAGCGCATTCTGAAGACCTGAGTTGCGACCAAGAAAGGGAGGAAGACCCGACCTTGCCTCCCCTTCACTCTCCTCCTTCCCTTTCTTCACCTTTGCCTTGTTCCCTCATCACCGATCTATCTGCGAGCGCTGCCTTTCGTCCGTATTATCGACCGCCCATCATGGCGGAATCCGATGTGAAATATGAACCGAACGGGTATTATGGGGATGCCGGTGCCTACGAGGACCTGGAGACCGTGGAACAAGACATCACATCTGAAGACTGCTGGAAAGTCATCAGTTCGTTTTTCGATATCAAGAAACTGGCCTCTATGCAGATAGACTCCTTCAACCATTTCATGAAATCTGGTTTGCAAGATCTAGTCAACGAAAAGGGCGGCGTCACTTTGGACCATCAACAAAATGTCGATGAAAGTGACCCGAATCCAGTTGTCATCAAGAGGCATGAAGTCAAGTTTGGCAAGGTTACACTCAGCAAGCCCAACCAGGTCGAGCCGGACGGCACTACAACGGACTGCATGCCTCACGAAGCACGAATGCGGAGTTTGACATACGCAAGTCCAGTCTATGTTAAGATGACGCGAAGAACATACTACGCAAAAGAGCGTCCGTGGGACGAGGATGACAAAGACGCTGGCGTGCTGAGAGAGGACGGTACTGAGCTATACTGGAGAGAGGGCGATGATGAAGATGACTTCGACAATGAGAAAGAGGTATACATAGGAAAGATACCCATCATGGTCAGAAGCATGACCTGCCATTTGGTGAGCGAGAAATTTCAAAGCGACAGAGATCTCTTCGCATGGGGAGAATGCCCATACGACCAGGGAGGCTACTTTATCATCAACGGCAGCGAGAAAGTGCTCATTGCACAAGAACGAAGTGCAGGAAATATCGTCCAGGTCTTCCAGAAGGCATCACCCTCGCCATTCACCCATCTTGCAGAGATCAGATCCGTCATCGATCGCGGTGCCCGCATGATGTCGCAGTGCACCGTCAAGCTCTTCCGCAGAGTCGATGGTCCCGACGGCACCAAGATCGACAACCCGATCCGAGTTCAGCTGCCATATGTCAAGCAGGACATTCCTCTTGTTATTGTGTTCCGAGCCTTGGACATAGTCTCCGACGCCGATATCTTGGAGAAGATCTGCTTCGACCAGAGTGACAAAGAGATGATGGATATGCTGATGGGCTCACTCCAAGAAGGCCAGGCCATTCAGGGTGCAGATCTGGCCCGAGACTTCATTGCGCGCCGAGGTAACATTCCGACTCTGAAAAGCCACGAACGGCAGAAGCATGCCACAGACATCTTGCAGAAGGAGTTTTTACCCCATATCGGACAAAGCCCAGATGCTACCGCTAGAAAAGCATTCTTTCTCGGCTACATGGTTAATCGGTTGCTGAAGTGCGCCCTCGGTCGTGCTGAGCCGGACGATCGAGATCATCTAGGGAAAAAGCGACTGGATCTTGCTGGACCTTTGATGACCAACCTTTTCCGATTACAGTTCGACAAAGCCACTAAAGATTTCTACAGATATATGCAGAAGCGCGTGGAAGCAAATCAGCCCATCAATATCATGGCAGGCTTCAAACATCCAATTATCACAAGCGGATTGAAATATTCATTGGCTACCGGTAATTGGGGCGACCAGAAGAAACTGGACAAAGCGAAAGCTGGTGTCTCTCAAGTGCTCAGCCGATACACTTTCGCCTCTACTTTATCACATCTTCGTCGTACCAATGCCCCGATTGGTCGAGAAGGTAAAATCGCAAAACCTCGTCAACTCCACAACACTCATTGGGGTTATGTTTGTCCGGCCGAGACTCCTGAAGGTCAGGCTTGCGGTCTGGTCAAGAACTTGTCTCTCATGTCGATGGTCACCAATTCCTACGAGACTGCTCCGCTGGTGAACTATATCCTCACCAAACATGTCGAAGCACTGGAAGATTGGGAACCTCGGTTAAATCCTCAGGCGACCAAGGTCTTTGTCGACGGTGTATGGTTTGCGGTAGTATTGCGTGATCCAAAGCGCCTCGTTGATGACCTGCGCAAACTACGGAGAAAGGGCGTCTTTGACACTCAAGTGAGCTTGGTCTGGGATATTCGAGAAAAAGAATTCAAAGTCAACGGTGACTCGGGCAGAATTGTCCGTCCTCTATTTGTTGTTGAGACCGACCCGGCTTCCGAAAACCGTGGAAACTTAGTGCTGAATAAGGAGCACATCAACAAACTCGATCAGACTGCCTATTTGAAGGAAAGTGGTTTCCAGTGGACCGATGAAGTCAGACCATACGGCTGGAACGACCTCCTCGAAGCCGGCGTTGTCGAATACCTTGATGCCGAGGAAGAAGAAACCGCAATGATTATCATGACCCCCGAGGCTCTAGCCGACTCCAAAGCAAGATGGATGGGCATGGAGATAGAGGCCGAGGAGGACCCCTTGCGGAGGAATGATCCTCTGCTGAATCCGTTCTCCCACACCTTCACTCACTGCGAAATTCATCCAAGTATGATCTTGGGTGTCTGCGCAAGTATCATTCCTTTCCCTGATCACAACCAATCACCTCGTAACACCTACCAGTCTGCTATGGGTAAGCAGGCTATGGGCGTTTTCCTTACCAACTTCGACCAACGAATGGAGACTATGGCAAACATCCTCTACTACCCTCAAAAACCTCTTGCAAGAACGATGGCAATGGACTATTTGAAATTCCGCGAGCTTCCTGCTGGACAGAACGCCATTGTCGCCATCGCTTGTTATTCGGGCTACAACCAAGAAGATTCTGTCATCATGAATCAAAGCTCGATCGACCGTGGTCTCTTCCGGTCGCTGTTCTACCGTACCTACCAAGACTCGGAGAAGATAGTTGGCCACTCCGTGGTAGAGCAGTTCGAGAAGCCGACGAGAGCTGACACTCTCCGTCTCAAGCACGGCACGTATGACAAGATCGACGAAGACGGCATTGTCGCTCCTGGTGTCCGTGTGAGCGGTGAAGATATCATTATGGGTAAGACGGCTCCGATGGCACCGGATGCTGAAGAACTTGGTCAAAGACAGAAACAGCACATCAAGCGCGACGTGTCTACGCCTTTGAGGTCTACTGAATCTGGCATTGTTGACCAGGTTCTGCTGACGACCACCCATGAAGGTCATCGGTTTGCCAAGGTCAGAGTTAGGACAACGAAAGTGCCTCAGATTGGCGACAAATTCGCATCTCGTCATGGTCAGAAAGGTACAATTGGTATCACGTACCGTCACGAGGACATGCCTTTTACGCGAGAAGGCATTGTGCCTGATCTGATCATCAATCCGCACGCCATTCCCTCTCGCATGACCATTGCGCACTTGATCGAATGTCAACTCTCAAAGGTCGCGACCCTTCGCGGCGATGAAGGGGATGCCACGCCCTTTACGAAAGTCACGGTGACGCAGATCTCTGAATTGCTGAGAAGGATGGGTTACCAGTCCCGCGGCTTCGAAGTCATGTACAATGGGCATACTGGACGCAAACTGGTCGCACAAGTGTTCCTCGGCCCTACCTATTACCAACGCCTGAGACATATGGTCGATGACAAAATCCATTCCCGTGCTCGAGGCCCCACTCAAATCTTGACCCGACAACCCGTCGAAGGTCGTGCTCGCGATGGTGGTCTGCGCTTCGGCGAAATGGAGCGCGACTGCATGATCGCGCACGGTGCCTCGTCATTCCTCAAAGAACGCCTTTTCGACGTCTCCGATCCTTTCCGCGTGCACGTTTGTGATATCTGCGGATTAATGACCGTGATTGCGAAACTCAAGAAGAACACGTTTGAGTGCAAGAACTGCAACAATAAGAATCGCATTAGTCAGATTTACCTGCCGTATGCGGCGAAGTTGTTGTTCCAGGAGCTGTGGAGCATGAACATTGCGGCGAGGTTGTACACAAAGAAGGGATAGGGAGATAAGGAGTAGAATGGAGTCATAATGAGGGTAATGCTAGAAAGCGACACGAACGCAAAGGCATGTCTGAGAGCCAAAGGCTGAGGCTTTGAACTGTCCTCATGAACTTGGGAAGTTGGACCGCATTTTGAGCGACGATTTCTCCGTCTGAAACGACGACAATTCCGGCGCCTATTTCGAGAGACGCACGAGACATTATTTGCACCGAGGCAGGGCGATTCTCAGTGGTTGAACGGAGAGAATGTGTCCATGGTCGCCTGGAACGGCCAGGAAGCAGAAACCAGTGTATTCCAACCATTTTCCAGCGTCTGCGTGGGGTCTTCTACAAACTTGCTGTATTTTTGCTTTTTGTCCCATTCCAATCTCAATCCCTGGCTGGTGGCCGTTGCAGTCGGTTCCAATGTGGCGGATGAACCCGAGTCCCTTCGCACAACATGAAAGACAGCGGACGGGGAAGATGCAGAGAACAGGGTGGGTGAAGCTTGGGGGAGGAAATTGTACCATAACTATGCATACAAAAACATCGTCGATTCCCATGCCATGTCTTACACGAGACGCCAGGGATGATGACGGAATTGGAGAGTAGTCTTAGAGGAAAAGCAATATCAATTAGATGATGGGGTCTTTCTTGACAGAAATCCAGCCCATTGCCTACTTGAGTAGAGAATATGATTATTTGGATCAATATTAGATTCCACGCGATTTGGGTACTATTGTTTCATTTCGTCTTCGGGTTTCGATTAAGAGAGACTCTACGCATTAGACTACCTGGGTAGCGAGGCGTATTGGAGAGGAGCAGAAAAACAAAGACAACAAGGCCGTTTTCATTGAAGAGGGTCCAGAAAATCATGTTATAACAGAGCACATACACACCCCTGCTCCAGGTGGTCCACGTCCACAAGCTATTGCGCCGTCCCAGGCTGATGGGTGGCACTGCCTTGCGGTGCTTGGTGATGATACTGTTCGGCATGGCTTTGTAGCTCGTCCCTATCCGGTAACGGCTTCAACGAATCGATAATCCTCTTTCCCAATCCGGGTTTCTGTTCGCCGTCGGCGTAGGGATGAGACGCCGTCAGGCCGCCGATTTAACGAATGTTTCCCCCTTGGTCCGAAACAGGGTTCTGGCTCGAAGGGTCATGGGCCGGGTTATAGGGGACGTCTCGCTGGGTTGTGGTTGCAGGGTCGATGGCGGTGGGTTCGACGCTGCTCTGTCCGGGGTGAGTAGCAGCGGCTTCTGTTGCAGAGAGACCGCTGGTGGGCGCGGTGCTGCTGGATGCTGTGGGCTGCGCGTAGTGTGCTGGGTCGTCCTTGGAGAAGGGATTGTATGATGGCTTCTGAAGACCGCCACTTTGTGCCTCGTAGGAGGATCTTGCTGCTGGAGCTGGCTCGTGAGATGCGGCAGCAGCAGTCCCAGCCACGGCAGCACCTGTGCCTCCCGCCGCGACTCCAGCTTCGGCAAGATGATGATCCCCATGCTCGGCCTCAGGCTCTTGATTATTGTCGTGATCCTCGTATTCCTCTTCTTCGCCGGTATCCTTGTTCTTGCGGCGCTTGAAGATTCGTTTCAAAAGACTCGGCTTCTTCTCCTCCGGTGGATCCTTGTGAAGCTTCGTGTGACCTGATTCATCGGTCGCCGTTGTAGGAGGCGGATGTTTGTCCTTGTCGTGCACTTCATATGCACCGGCACCTACAGCGGCGGTGGCGGCCGCAGCTTTCTCGCGTTCCTTTTGCTCGTGTTCGAGTTCCTCGCGACGCTGTTTTTCGTCCTTCTCTGCAGCCTTTTCCTGGGCCTTCTCTTCCTTTGCAATCTCTTTCTGGTGTTGCTTCTCTTCCTTCTTGAGCTCCTTTTCATGTTGCTTCTCTTCCTTCTTGAGCTCCTTCTGATGTTGCTTCTCTTCCTTCTTGGCTTGCTTTTCGGCTGCCTTCTGGTCCTTTTCGAACTGCTTCTGGCGGGCTGCCTCTTGTTCCGCTAGATCCTTCTGTCTCTGAGCTTCTTCCTCGTGCCTGTCTTGCCGCTGGTTATATTCATGCAACCCAGCCGCTCCGGCTCCGGCACCTGCCACTCCAGCGAGCGCCGCTTCTTCTTCCTTATTACGTCGCCGCCGGTCCGTTTCCTCTGAGACCCTATTCTGCCGTTCGGTGTATTCGGGTGCGACAGATGCTCCGCCATCCATGCTTGTGGCCCCAGCACGGGTGGCCTCTTGTTTCGCTTTGTCTTTCTGAGCTTGAGTCTCTAGCTTGTCTTGACGCTGGCTATATTCAGGCACAACAGACGCTCCAGCTGCTGGTGCAGCTTCGTGCGCAAGGGGACGTTGCTCAGCAGGTTGGCTTGAGGGCGCAGTCCTGGCAGCGCTCTCTGAGGCGGGAACGGTCGCTGCGGCTGGTGTTGCAGCAGTGGCGTCGTCCCGAAGCGGCCAGTCGGACCTTGCCGTGTCTCTGTCTCTATCGTGCATGGCATAAGCCGCTGCGCCAGCCCCAACACCTGCGGCGCCTGCAGCCAGTCCTACATTTCGACCTGTATGATCTTCTCGGTCCTGGTCTACGAGGGCTGATGTACCACCGACTGGCGCATTGATCGGCGCAGGAGAATCTGCACCTGCTGGGTAAGCTGTAGTGGGAATACTTTCTTTCCTGTGATGGGTTGGAGCAGGCCCTGAGCGACTCGGTGCGGTGTAGGAATCGACACCAGTGGTGGTAGTGGGCTGATCAGGAGTGTCTGCGATGGCATGTGGTTGCTTCTCCTCTGCCCTCGAAGTAGCGGCGGCAGCACCACCAGCAGCAGTGCCTAGGCCCACCGCACCAAGGATCTTGCCGATTGTCCCAGATTTCCTGGGCTCTTCCGACACTGGATCTTGAGCTCCCGGGGCTGATTTTGTTGCGTACTGAGCTGCAGCAGCCGCGTCAGGTACCTTGGTCTTCTCAGCCTCACCATAGACCCCAGATCGTTGGGCTGGTGATGTTGTCGTAGTTAGGTCGGGAGGAGCGATTGTAGTGGCATCATGGGCTGATATGTCATTGGGGAATGCTCCTGGGATATGAGAAGCTGGAAAGGTTAGCATATGCAGTCTGTGGGCGAGTCTTTCCGGGGCCACATACTACTATAATCTTTGTCCTTGTGGAATGCCAAAGCTGCGGCGCGCAAAGGACCATCCTCTGGCACGCCCGTGCTTGACACGTATGAGTGTTCCGGAGCGCGATACGTGGTGGGGTCTTCGGACCTGGAGTCAACAATATTTGGAACAGGATCGCCTTTACGCAATGTTCGGGAGCTATAGGTCGAGGTTTCGCCAATGGCAGCGGTACCGGGATCAGGGCCTGTTGGCAGTGCTTCATGGGTCTGTCCTGCCCCTGTGCCTGTCGATGGGTTAGAAATGTCGATCGGTGCAATGTAGGGATGTATTTTGGGCCCAGATGGACGCACCCAGGGTATCTCCCGTCATGGTATTTTCCTGAGGGGCGGTCGTGGCACCCACAGGCTGTTCCTCGCCCTTGGGAAAATGAGAGCCTTGTCCTGTCACTCGACCAGATGGTCCGGTGCTCTCTTCGGCGTCTCCTTTGTCCCTGGATGGGCTTTAGACGTGTTAGGCGCAGAGTCAGTTTATGGGGACGACGATACATACATCATGGTCTTAAGCTTGTCCATTCCGTCTGGTAACTGCTCGAGTCTGTCGAAGTGGAAGACCGCCAACTACATAGAAAAGGAGATTATCGAGGAGAAAGAGACGTGACAGACGGGAAAGCTGGACGAGGAGATGGGAGCGTGGAGGTGAAACTTGTTGCGCTCGCTCGTGAAGGCTGTGTGAGCCATGGTACCTAGTATCCTTGTTTGCGTCATAACCCAAGAAACTTGAACCACACCGACTTACCGTGTCACCGCATGACACCAGATCGTCACCTGCAGGTATTCGAGGGCCCGTTCAAGCCACAGACGGCAGACATTGAGTTGCTTATTGGACGGTGGCCACACTAGCCACTGTAGCCACTGCCATCTACCCACAGACATTGGAAATTTGGGGGGTTGAAGCGGGGAGAGCGAAAGCAGGTGGTGAAGTTAGCTGTGGCCTGTCGCTGAGTTTGACCAGTTTCGACACCGATGAAGTCATACACTGCGACGGCCAACAAACCAAAAGGGCATCACCCAGTCACCCACAGTGGGTGCCAGGCATCTTCAGGCACTGCCATCTTTGGACAACCAAGATCTGGAGAGATCGACCAATCGTCCTGACGAGCTGAGGTACCTACCTAGGCAGGTTGCTAGGGACGCAATGCACACCGAGATGGCATTAATGCACATCATCGGCCATTTCCAGCGTGCCAGGGCGACCACCCGACACGACGCACAAACACTTCCTCCGCCTCCGAGGACCTGATGGACCAGAGTGAGTTTGACCACGAATTTCTCCCTGAAATGGCAGTGATGGTCACCCCGTTGGCTTGCGCCACGCGTCATTTATCCGGAATCTGCCCATGTGGGCAAAAAGGATAGAGGATCACGTGAGGGTGGCTTCGAGCGAGATATCGCCGCCGCGGTCCTTGGACACGTTCGTGGCGAGGACGACTCTAGACTCTGCCGAGTACGAGGGTACAAGTAGCCAGACACTCGAAGAACAAACGAGACACGGCTGGGCTGTGGAGTGATAGGAACGACAACTTATCTTCTGGTCCTGAGACAAGCCTTATCAGCAGAAAGAACTCGCTCATGCACGTCGGGACTTCGAGGAGCACGCTGTGCCAGGGAGCCACGCTACAGGTGCAACCAGCTGGAATTTGGGGGGCCACCCGGGGCCGCTTTGGGGGGTTGCAGAGGCTGGCGTGTACGTACGAGCAGGGCCTGGGGCGCCAAGGGTAGATTGATAGTGCAGCGATAGGGCTAATGAGACCCCGAGCGGCCTAGGTAGGTACCTAGGTACGTAGGCTGTCAGCGGCCAATGCAAGGGGCGGCCAGTCGCCACCCAACCACATGCTGTCAAAACCGCCCGCGCCAGAACAAGAGCCGGAACAAGAATGTTTCTAGAAGGTGGCATTGCCTTCTTGGATCGTCGCGCAGATGACAACCACGTTGTGCTTGGGATTTTGCTTATGCCGGGCAATTCGATCATGGCCCATTGTTGCCCAATATTGCCCAATGCCCATGGCCACTGCGAGAGACCAGCACGTTGCATTGCAGGGGGGCGGCAACTCCTGCAACTCCTGCCAGCTTTTATGGCTTTGCCCTGGTTCCAGTCCCTTAGAAAACAGGCAGTTTAGGGAGTAGTGAGGTAGGATTGGGGACCACTTCTCACCACGAGCAATGCCATCCAGCCTGCAGCATTTAACCTGGACGAAATGTCAGTGGTCAGAATGGGATCCATCCTGAACCCACACCGTGGAAGGCCTCTCGGCGGAATCGTCGGATTCTGTCACGCTTGCGCCGCTTGGGTGCCGCTCACCTTCCTCAATCTTGACCTACCACCTCGCCTCCTCCCGGCTTTCGCGATATGCTCCTCGTACACAGCACCCTTGTAGTCCTCGTCCTCTACGCTACGTTCCCGCTGCCCATGCTCAGAACTGCGATAGAGTCCGCCTCGATGGCGCAGAGTGGATACTTCTCCCGCTGCATTGGGAAAGACAGGGCACTGGGCACCATCTTATCCCAGCTTTCCACCATGGATGGACCAGTGCCCGCGGCTATCTCCATACTCCTCCGGGTCCTCTCCACCACCTTGTGCCAGATTTCAGCATAACAATTGTGCTCGCCGTCTTGCCATTGCTACCCACCGGCCCCATGGTCCCCCATGCTCTCCTGATTGCCTCTGATATGCCTCTGGCCACCGCAGTTTCCACTTCTCTCAAGTCCAGCCTGATGGCATTCATATGAAGTCTCCTTGTCCCTTCGCCCTCCGTCCCTCCTTCTATCCTCACCGTTACACCATCGACTACAGACTGGATTGCCGTTTCCTGAACAGGCCTTATCTGTCAGCCATCGACAGAGTATTAGTATCAGACGCACCCTCAGCAGCGCTTTCACCCACCTTCTTCCGTATCGCAGATGCACAATGGGTCTACGAGTAAAGCTGCGGAGGACTTTTACGTCCAAGAAGAATAGCACGGGAAGTGAGACGGGGCCCAATGGTGAAATATATTACACGGATCGGAAGGACATTGAATACTATAAGCCCCACGAGATCCCAAAGTCCAAGTACCGGGGAAAGGTCGATCCCGAACATCAAGCCTCTCTACAAGCTTTCTCCCTTGCCGACGCCTTCTCATCAGCCCGGAGACGAACCTCACTCGCCCTTTCTGGCACCTTCTCCCCTGGGGGTACCAAATCACAGAGTGCCGCGGCCAGTAGAGTTCACAGTAGAGCTGCCAGTCGGAGACCCTCGGTGCACGAACTTCCCGGGTCAACGCTGAGAAACGAGAGTGGTATGGACTCAGAGAGCAGTAGTAGTTCTTCGCACAGCATGAGCAGGCAGAAGAGCATTGCTGCCAGTACCGCGTTCGATCCGGAGACGGCGAGCAGTATGTTTCTCCTAGATCATCTCAATCATCCGTCAAATCTGTCAACGTTACTGATCGTTCAGCAGCATCCCTCTCAGACCAAGCTACGGCGGTTCCCTCTGCACCTGGCGAACCAAACAACAAACTCGCCCAGCATGACAGCGGTATTCACATGCCTGAGTTAGCAGCTCTGTCTAAGCAAACTACCGGCCACGATACACCGTTTACGGCGGAGGAGCTTGAGCAAGCTATGACGAGAGCAGCACTGAAACCGAGAGACTATTCCAGCGATGGAAGAATTGGAGTCGCTTTATGATAAAAACCAGGGACCATCTGGCGATGAGATGGACCAATTGATGAATTATGACGAGACTTGGCTTCACCCTTTGCTAGGAGGACACGAGACGAAGGGAACAAACCACATGGGTACGAACTCGAATGTACAATTATCACTTGATCCCGAATCCCTCCTGGCTTCTCGACAAACGTGGGAAATCCCAATCAAATGACGACAATGTTTGGTGCAGAGCAACTAGCATTGAAGGACTCCTGAACACCGGGCAGCACTATCTTCCTCACGTGAAATGGGATATAGACCTGGTCGTGGCATTTCTTGGTGTTTTGGACTAGGAATTCTGCATGGCACTGCGGGATGGGTTACTCCTTTCACACTTCTTTTCACCTTAGGGTCTGTTACTTTACTTGGAAACAACAATTTCCAACCGAAAAAAACTGGGTATAGATAGACTTGGTTGGGCAAAGACATACAGGGGGCTGGAGGTGTGGTCCTCTGATCAATGACGATCCCCTAAGGCTGGGCTGGTTATGAAGAGACAGCGACCGGATCGGGCGGAAAAGAAGTGATTGCAGACCCTTTCAGTTGCATCATGGGAAATGTACCAGGTATCTTTGGGTAACAGTAGCAGTGGGCTCCCGCGCCCGGAATATCACACCGTTATTGGCCCTTCCCATGCAAAACAGTGGCCACTTTACATACCTAGGTATGTCATTGTCTCCTTTCAGTATGTCTTTGGGTGCCTTTCTTTTCTATTTGTGATCATCCATGTAGTAACGACTATGTAATCCCTTGTGTGGTACTGGTCACCCACTGGTGACCCGAAGATGACCCTGACAAAAGGAAGGAGAGGCACGTGAGATGGGTTGGATCAGTGGCACTTTGGATGAAAACGGCCTGGATAAATGTCCGGATATTAAATACCCGGGGACTTCCAACGGCTGCACTCGGTACCGACTACGGGGTATTACCTGTAGGGTTGATCTTCTGGTTTCTCATGCCACCCAATCTCGTGACCCCTGTGTCGTGACAAGCCTTTTGCCCTTGGGTGAAACTCCCTATCAAAAGAGGCCGTACATTTTGTCCATCAGATGTTGTGTTTGAAGTGATGTGATGGGGGTCCGAGGTATTTAGCCCTCCCCTGTCTCTTGCTCTCTCCATTATCTGAGCGCTCGGACCGCCGCTTGTCTGTCTGTCTCCAGCCCGACGAGGCGGAATCCGTAGAATGGGCGACCGTGCCAGCATCCTGATCCTGGCTGCATGGGCCATGTGACGTATTTGATACCTCTCTGGCGCCTGTGGGTCCTGCTTGTAAGTTGCAGAGTCGAAAGGGAATGATACTCGGTAGAGTGATAGCATCGCTTGCCTCCGGCGAAAGAGGCAATGGGCATTCCGCACTTGGTGACACGTGAAGTAGTTGGTGAGTCGGCATCTCCATCTTGTGGTGGTACCTTACGGTGGTTAATCCCCAAAAATGGGTCCGTAGTCCACCATGAGACGGTTTCTTGAAGGTTGATGGTATTGACTGTCAAGGCGGTCTGGATCTGGATGTGATGGACACTTGATGGACAATCGGAAGCCGCGTCGAGGATGGATAGGGCTTAGGCGAAGCGCCAGGTACAAAATGTACCGTGACCTCTTCAAAGAGCGTTTTGACGAGGCGGAGTCGGGGGAACGACGACCTTCCAGTTGGACGCTGTTACCTTTCTGGCGTCGAGTGGTTGCGTTATTCGACGCCCATATTGATGTGGGATTCAGGACTGGCGCATCGAGTCAAGTCGTCGTGCTTCGATCTCTGTCCCTCTTGCGCATACGGAGTGGAACCTGGAAATAAAGCTCTCCATTCTGCAGTTCCCGTCTCGCCTTCTTTTCAATCATCCGTATGCGTGACAGCCATGTCCAGTACTTCTAGCCTCCCTCTTCCTTTCATCTCGGCGGCGATGAATTCCCCGAGGGCCTTGAACGCTCCGGGCTCCACGAACCCAACGACTTCCCACTCCTCACCCAGCACCTCCTGGCTCTCTACCTGCTCGACGAAGGAAAGAATGCGATCCTTGATAGTGCCTTTGCCTTGATCGGCGCCGGCGTCTTCGCTAGCATCTGCGCTGGAGACCTTGGATTTCGCGGCCTGCTTTGCAATGTTGGTGGGACAGGTGATTCGCAGTCTCATACGCGCACGCATGACGGGAATGGGTTGCCAGGCGATCAAGGCACGGATTGCTTCAAGAGCCTGCTGCTTAACGGACTTGTTGGTCACGACCCCAGTCCATGTTGGCATGTCGCTCTTCTTGCCCTTTGAGTTGCCTCCAGAGGCAGACTCATTATCGTCGTCCGTCATCGGCGTCGCTTGCCCGCTCGTCTCGCTTGATCCCTTTGGTGCGGCAGCGCCCTTCTTTACGCCTTCACCCAAGTTGAGCTTGCCGAGTTTATGACCCAACGAGTCCTGAGAGGGAACATGACCACCTTGTTTGGAGAGAACGTCTAGGCCTTTCTTGATCATGCCTGTGGTGTAGACCCTCTTTGTCTGGGGATCGACGAGTCTCTGGGCAACTTCTTCCACAATCTCTCTCTCCATTCTATCTAGTAGTTCCTTGCGCTCGTTGGCGTTGACTTGGATCTCGCCCCTTTTCAAGATTTCTTCAATGATGGCGTCTTTCCATGACTTCTCATCTTCCCCTTCATCCGTTGTAGATTTCCCCTTGCCCTTCTTCCCGCCCTTTCCACCACCGCCTTTTGATCCAGCTTCTTGTTTTTCATTCTGAGCGGGCATGGGCCATGCTTTGATGAGTTCAGCGTTGGGGGCAGTCTCGCCCTTCGAAGCGTTGAGGAAGATGGTCGGTACTTGCAGGACGTTGTCGAGGTCGGTCTCGGTTCCTGATCGGTATTCGAGCAGTTTGTTCTTGTAGCATGCAAGCTCGAAGCGTTTCTTGCCCTTCTTGTACCGCACCAGCGACACATTGGTCAGTTTGATCTGGTTCGCGGGCTGTTGGATCGGCATGTCAGCGGTAGTATGCCTGTCTGAATTGCTTCTCGACCAATGTATGAGAAAAAGAGATGCAGGGGAGCATTATTAAATGGGAAAGTGACCAGCGTTGAGTCACGAGCGACCTCTCGCTGGTTGGTCTGGTTGGTGGGCTGCAACAACGCGGAGTCGTCCACTTTTTTTGGAGAACGCGATTTCTCCGTGTCTTGATCCAGAAGTATTCAATTCTTCACTTCCAATCCCTTGCTATCCTACATCCAGGGAAAGTATGCTGGCATTGGGGAACCAAGTAGGCAATGTTACGAAGAAGCGACTACGTTATATCTGCCCAGAATGCCGGACATTCGCTTTGCTTTCAACCTTTCTCAGTCGCAGTCAAAGAAAGACATTGCCAGCATCTGAACGTACCCGTGGGCAGTTCAGACAGCATGGAAAGCCATTCAGCTCATCGAGCTCCTCCCTAGCATCACTAGAGACCTCTCAGACCCCTATAGACACCTTCCGAGACATCAGATTGGGCACTTCCAGCACCTCACGATCCCCTTCTTCATCGTCCACGGCTCCCGCAGTCACCTCTAACTCGGTAATCCGCAACCATTTAAGAGCATGGAGCGCCGAGAACAACAAGAAAAAGAGGAAAGAAGCAGATGAACACAGCGATCCCCACAAGCTCAAAAGGCTATCTGTGCTCCCCAATTCTCTTTTCATCGAAGAAGCAAGCCTCACCGACAATACTCTGGGTGAGGATGAAGAAGTGACCGCAGGCGATCTTCCCGAGGGATGGGAAGATGCTGTAGAAGGTGGCGATGTGTCCCATCTTGACCCAGGCGACCTGATATGGTGGCAGCCCAGCAAGTACACCTCTGGCGCTGCTCGCTTTGCCCGCTCACAGCTGGCCATCTTTTTGGGGACCCTGGGGTTTCAGCGTCAGTATTTGCTCTCCGACGGTCGCTGGGTCGTCGAACGATCACTTCGCCAGTCCAGTCCCAGGTTCGAACGGTTTGCTTCCCAGCAAGAAGTCGACCAGATTCGGAAACACTTGCCTGTCAAGCCACTTGAGATGCAGGCCACAGACTTCGAAGTCAGAATGGGTTATAGCTTTGCGGGCGACGTCCCTTCTGTCGACTCTGACATTCTAATAACCCGCCTTGCTCGGTTCATCGATGACATGTCTACATGGCGGCGAGAGAACCTTGAGCTTCTCGATTCGCTCCACGAACGCATCGCCGATGAAGAAAGGTACATCTCTCTCTCGTACGAACAAGTCGCGAGCAAATTGTTAGGTATCAAATACTCCGAAGTACCTCCTGCAGCACTCTTTGCTATCTACAGGACGCTGCGAAGGAAGTATATCGGTCAGATTACTGTCCTCAAGAAGACTCACCAACCCTCTGCAACTGTGGCTGTCATGCCTAAACGATTGGCAAGACGTTTTGATCAAGTCTGCACATGGGCTCGAGAATATCAGGAGGCCGCCGCCGCCGCAGCTATGGGAAAGGATGTGACTGGTGCTCTGGCACGCAATCCCCTCTCTTCCTTCGTTGCAAGGTCAAGGCGCTTGATCCTAAAGAGCCGCACTCTGCGGTCTCCCACCACCATTGGCAGTCTTGGACCGAGCTCCATACAACCTACAGACCTTGAAAACGGCAAGATTCCCGTCCAGGAGAATGATGAAACGTTCACGGAAGAGGACAAGATGTTTCTAGAGTTCCTTTGGGACTGCTATGTTCGTTATCCTCCCCCGGATAACAATCGCAATCTTGCCATTGCTTCTTTGATCCTCCGAGCTATCGGTGCATACCCAAAGCTTCGTCTTGACCAAAACATGGGCTGTCTTTTGCTGCAAGAACTGGGAACCCTGCCACCTTGGTTTCTTCGCTCCGACCACAATGTAACCCTCGAGATCCCGGGCGGCAGAGGTAGCCACGAGCTGACCCGCATCTATAACGAGGCGGACAACTTCTGTCACAGATTAGGTCTGAGCCAGACACTCGATCATGGCTTGCTCGTGGACTCTATGGCATCTCTGCGCCACGATTTTGACCATCTGCCGGTTTACTGCATCGATGTCGGGGAGACAAATGTCAGAGAAGACGGCTTTTCGATCGAGCCTAGTAGCGAAATTCCTGGTGGATATTGGATTCATGGCCATATATCGCACCCTACTGCGTTCATTGATCCGAATCACATCATAGCACAGCGAGCTCTGAAACTCACCGGGACCGTCTTTCATAACACTCACGTTGCACGTATGGTCCCGGACAGCTTTGCTCGAACATTGTCCCTACGCTCTGGTTCGCCCGCCATCACCGTCAGCACGCTACTCACCGAGACTGGTGACGTGAAGGACATCAAGATTCGGCCGACTACGCTCCGAAATGTCATCTACCTCTCGAATGCTGCAGTCGAACATGTTCTGGGGAAACCCGAATACGAAGCCGCTACTCTCTCACTAGGGCCACAAGCTGGATTAGCCCCCAAGTCTTTGCAACAGGCGACGCCGGCGGAGATCGAAAAGGCTTCTGCCAATCTGAGCGATCTCCAAAGACTGGAGAAGCTTCTCCTCGCTCGAGAGGAAAGTCGTCGAAGAAGTGTTGCCGTGGCACCTGATTGGGAAGTGCAGGGCAGCCTTTCGACCCAAAGCTTCGTTCACATAACAGGCAGTCGCTTTGACGAAGATAGCCTGTTCCGGAGCCAACAATACCTGGGCGACCCTGCAATCAGAATCACCGTGTCCCGGTATATGCGACTGAATCGCGTGACAGAAATGCCGCAGCACGTTACATTGACAGCGTTATGTGGAGACCTGGTTGCAGAATCGGCCGGCAAGTGGTTCCAGGATCGCCAGTTACCTGCTGTTTTCTTTGGATCCTCGTATGCCCCAGACTTCCCCCCTTCCAAACTCAATAACCTGGGCCGCGGCGAACATGCAGAGTATCCGACTGGCAAGCTTTCCTCCACACCTATACCACATGTGCACAAGAGCCATCAAGTCCATTTGTGGTTCAGCAACCCTCTTCGACGTTATCCAGACATGATGGCCCACTGGCAGGTTGATGCCTACCTCCGCGCCGAAGCCAGCCGAGTCATCCAGCCGGGCGATCCGGACGACAAGCTGCAGTTGCCCATCTCAAAAGAAATGGTCGAACAGTTCATAGTGGAACATTCGCCTAGAATGTATGAATGGGCCCGTGAGATAGCGCGCACGGAGAAAAGGCATTGGATCACGCAAGCACTGTTCCGAGCGTTCCACTTCAAGGAGGCCGAACTCCCAGAGGTATGGGATGTGAATGTGACCTCGATCCTCACCACGCGAACTCGCCCGGATGACAGCGGACTCCGGGGTGTTCTTCTCCCTTTCAATGTCTACGCCGTCATTCTGGCATCCAACGAGGGTTGGGAAAAGGGAGTCAAGTACCGTTCGTTTTTGCCCGTGAAGCTGGAACTGGTCGACCTGGTCAAAAAATCCGTGGTGGTCCGTGCCGTCGGTCCACCTAGCGAGACCTATACTCAATCCGGCAGCATTCACATCACCCCCAAGACTCAGTCCAGGAGGTCAGATGACACCGAACAGTCCAGTGAGGATGCATCATCTTCTGAAGACGCGCGCACTCCAAAGGACGCCGAATCAGTCTAGGAAACCAAGCACCAGCAAAAGAGAAAGCCCGCCCCTGGTGTAAATACTGGAAGGGGAGGCTGTGGCTTGATCTAGATCGCATATGGCCAATCCATCTGCCAATGCTGCGGGCAAGCCTGGTACTGCAGGGAACTGCGTCTCGCCTGCTCCAGGATTGTGTCGCAAAAGTCGGCGTCCATGGTGTTGGGATGGCACCTCAACGCCCCCTCCAGCGTGCGTATTTAGTATTGATTAGGAATGACGGCTCTGATATCCCGTCTCATTGTACCAAGACAGGAATGCATGAGTTCATACATATGTGATATATATGGTGGTCTCGTCTCAGATACCCAAGATAGATATGTACTCCCTATATACATTGGCCTGCCTGCTGCAAGCGACCGTGAACGTGAACATGAACGTGAACATGAACATGGCAAGCCAGACTATTGTAACCCTAGCATGCTATCGGATCTCCCAGATGGATCCCTAATTCTTGCTTGACACCCTTGGTTCGGTGTGAAGTGACTGGCACATCATATGCATTGTTGACATTGCGGATCTTAATATCTTGTGTTGTCCAGTTCAGCCGCTTGCCAATCCTCTTCCTCTTCCCCATCCTCTCTCCTTCTCAACCACCTCTTTCATTTCCACGCGCTGATGGCCGCTCCCAGCTCACCACCTGCAGGATATACGGGTCTTACCAGATCTTCTTTGGATCCACGGGAATCTTCTTCCTGCTTGTTTGCTCCAGCTCATCAATCTCGGGGAGATCGTCGACGTCCAAGTGCTCATACACCACCCCACTATCTCTCAACGCATCCGTCACGATTGCCATGTACCCCAACACCTTCTCTTCCGTCAATCTCCGTCCGACGATTTGCACCGCGATCGGCAAACCCGCCATCTTCGCGCTGTCGTAGTACTTGTACGCGCCCCTTTCGACTCCGTTGGCCGGCCTGAACCCTTGGGGCAACGCATCCTTTTCCTTGTCCACCTTTGTAACGGGAATGATACCAGCTGTGTAATCCAAGAGATTCCACAAAAATGTGTACCCACAGCTACTCACCGCCTCCTTCATACACCCGTGCGGCAGGGCCGGGGTGGCATTCCCGGGACACAGGATGAAATCGAACTGCTGCGCGGGCTGGTTGAGCCAGTCGAACCACGTCGCCCGGAACGCTTCGCGTTTGGCAACCCACCGCCACTGCTCGAACGCGCTCAGGGGATGGAAGTAACGGAGAATGGACGCCCACACTGAGTCACGCCGGACATAGCGCGTGAAGAGGTACCACAGGTATTTGAGGGGTCGAGGCAGGGACATGTAGAAATTGATCTGCGCCGCGCCGGGGTCGTTGGACTCGCCCGTGCGGAAGAACGATCGGAAGGTCTTGCCCCCATCAGCGCAGAGGAGCACGCTGGCGATCTGTAAACCTTGAGCCGGGGTGGCGGTGGGGGGATAGGAAGAGACGGGGATTTCGACCACTTGGTGGCCGGCGGAGCGGAGCGCCGAGGCTGTGATGTCCAGTCCACGAGAGATGGCAGGAGAGGGAGCGCAGACGCCGTCCGTGGTCATCAGGCCGATGCGGAGCGGTTTCGTTTTTAGCGCTTCATCGTAGACATCCTGCCGCCATGGGATGGGGTGCACCGTGTAGTCCACTTCCCAGGGTTTCATGCCGATGAATGCTCGTGTGAAATAAGTCAAATCATCCAATGTCCTGGCCATGGGAGAGAAAACACTGGGAATACCTTCCTGGCCCGGCATGGAGGTATTCATCCCGACCTTGGGCCATCTGCCAGTCGAGCAGCGCAGGGAATTGATGCCGGACCAAACTGCAGGGGCACGCACCGAGCCCGCGACATCGGAACCGATGCCAATCCTCGATCCATTCAACGCCAACAGGGCCCCTTCGCCGCCTGTACTTCCACCAGGCGAGTACTTGGGATTGTGCGGGTTCTTGCACACGCCCCACAGGTCATTGGTGCTTTCGAAGCTCAGCAGGGTTATGGGCAGCGCCGTTTTGGCGTGAGGGATTGCTCCAGCTCTTTTCAGAAGCTTCACCATGACCCCGTCCTCGCTGTAGGGTTTGAAGACGTTGCGCGAATAGCCCACGCTGACGTCGAAGCCGCCCACGGCGATGGAGTCCTTGAGGGAGACGGGGATGCCGGCGAGCGGACCCTTGAGATTGACGTCCTGCTCATTCCGGGCCCACGACTCGGCCTCTGGCAAGAGGACCTCGGTGACGCAGTTGGTCCGCTGGTGTGCGACGGTGGTGGTCTTTCCGTAGGTGCGGAGGATGTCGATGGGCGAGAGGATGCCATTGTGCACGTCACGGACCAGCTGCGCGATGGGTGCATTGAGGATGGCGCGTTGATCGGAGGTGAGGGGCCCTTTGTAGGGATCGGGGAGACAGTCAAACCGAGCGTCGCGCTGGCGCTGCTTGATGACGCTGGAAAAGAGGTCAGTCTCGGAGAAATGGCATCCGATAGACAGGGCATTGTGCTGTGGGAGAAGGTGAAATTGGTAACTGACCAGGCCCGGCGGTGCTCGAAGTAATCAAATGGCGGATACATTGCGACGGTTCACATGGTGACACGGGGAGGGGCAGGGAAAAACGGTGCTGGGTATGGGGGAATATGTAGGTAGGTAGATGGTGATTAGTATGAGGAGATGAGCGGCTTTGGGCGTGCAGAGTGGAAGAAGATGAGGTGCAAAGGTGGTGCAGATGCTAAAGATGCTAAAGATGCGCTGTTAGTTGTTGGTGTCCCAAGCTCTGACTGGCCGCTGCGTGCAACTGCTGGTCCAGCCGCTTGAGCCTTCCTGATCGGGCCTGATCGGGCCTGACCGGGCCTGAAGCCCCCATCAACTAATAAAACGACATTTGGTATTAAAGGAGTCAACGGAGCATCCAAGCTGGTACAATATTCGAGTCCCGAACCTGGTACCTAGCTAAACTATCTGGAGTACATACACTACATACATGTCAATGCTGCCCATGTTCACATAATAACTTGCTTCACGCCAGCCTCGCCCTCCGCCATGTAACTGTGTGCCTGGCGCTTATTTATCTCCATCGCTCGACGACCATCAGCCGATACCGATCGAGCGAAGTCTACTTAGTATGTCCCGATATCCGTTGCTGGGGAAGGGTCATGCCATGCTCAAGGCCAGCACAAATCCCTGTGCAAGCCGAGTCACTACCGCTTCGCCCTCTGCCCGACTCAGCATATCCAGTTACACAGCCTGCGTACTGCATAGCGAGCGCACCATCGAGGTATTCATCACCATGGCCGCGTCATGATGAACTGACGGTTCTTGCTTTAGGTGCGGGAAGCCAGGATGCTCGCCGCCGCGCGGGGTGGATTCAAGATGACGGGTTTGGTCCATTGATAGTCCCAATGGTGACTCGAAGTACATTTGTCGACCATGGTCCGGGGTCATCCCCTCGTAAGGGGTAAACTGAGCTTGCCACCAGTCGTCGTACATCGGCGGATGGTACATCATGGGAGGATGCACCCAGTGATGAGCCGCCTGGAATTCGTGGAAGTGCTCAAGTTGACTCGACCCATATCCCACACTGGACATTGCTCTTTGATCACCAGCCGAGAAGGACGCCGACACAGCTGGCAGCGGACATTTGTCCGGCTGGAAGCTCGGCTGGTCAAGTCGATTCTGCCCAGATGGATCATGAAAAGCTGCCATGGCTTGAGCATAATGATTTTCGGTACCGGGATGCCAACTTGCACGTCGCTGCTCCAAGTTGCTCGGAGCTATGTCCTTGAACTCCAACATTTGTCGCTTGTGGGCACTGAACTTCCCCTCAAAGCTTGGTCTCCTGCGACGCTTGAGGCTGGCAACATTTCTCTTTAGCTTGGCCGTCAGATCAGTCAGGGGTGCGGCCGGCGGGGTCACATCTCCAGTAGGGGTTGTCGGACAAGTCACAGTCACCCCGGCAGTGAGACCTGTGGTGGTTGTGGGAGGGTGTTCAAGTTCTCGGATTCTTTCCACGACCAGATCTAGCGACTTTGTGGCCAGCTCCGTGATTCCGGAAGCCTGTCCAGCTTTCGCAAGATCTTTAAAGATCCCCAGAGTTCGCTCTACACGCTTCGAACCTATGCTCACACCCACCTCCTGCCGTATGGTAGCGATGCCTAACATAACAGCGGCGCAAAAGACTCCAAAACACCGTGGCCAGGACGAAGCCGTCTTGGTCGGGTCGAGGCCATGGATGGAGTCGAACATTTCCGTGATCATTCGAGAGCATTTCAGCAACTCTCGGTACTTGGCTCTTTTGGCCGACGTGTGTTGATTGCGCATCGACCGCAATATCTGGCAATGCAGCACCATCAACATCAGTTGGACATCAATGTGATGTTGGGTAATTGCAATGGACAGTGAAACGTCTGCCGAGCTGTTTTGAGGAATGGGCGGCAGCTTCGACTGCAGCTGGTATAGTTGAGTCAAGTCTGCCTCTAACATGGTCTCCCTCTCCTGGGAAGACATCATTTGCGGGTCATTCTTGCCACGGTTGAAGCGATCCAACACTTCAATCATGTACTGTGAGAAGTCATAGACGTTCTCCTGAAGGTCCTGTTCTTCCTGCCGCGATGCCGTTGGAGATGGCCTGGGAATGTTATGAAAAGGAGCAATAAAAGGACAGCGTCCCAAAAGAAAGCTAAGCTGAACATCGAGCTCAACGAGGAGCCAGCACAGGTAGCGGCCAGGTTGTGAAGTTTTATCGGCCTCAGCTGTGGCAAGGTTCACATCTAGGTCCACTGCAAAGATTAGCTCAATATGCCTTTCCAAGACTGAGACTTGCTCACACTTACAACCAAGAAGTTCGGCATCACGGACAAGACTCGGAAAAGCAGCCCAGGCTTGCGTTGCCCTTCCAGCAACGAGGAGATCTCGTACAGACCTGTATTTCATATACAGTGGCCGAAGACGAGGCGGAAGCTCAACGGTGGAGTCGTCTCCTGCTTGTCCTGTGCGGGCTTGGTCTGGCGCCGGTTCATCATCGGCAGCGTGAGCTTCTAGGTTGAAGACTTGGATTGGCTGGATCGAGTCCAAGATCTCCCGGAACCGTCCATTGGTAGGAAGAAGGGACTTGAACTGTACAGATAGTTAGCCTTCTGACACCGCAGGTTCGAGGGGTTTTCTAAATACTTCGTCTATGCTCCTAGAGAGCGAAAGGGTCCCGCAGAAGTTCTGCTGCGGAGTTACGAGCCCGCGGGCTCCTTCAACCGCACTCAACTTATCGGACCCTTGTTTGGCGCCACGGCAGGTGCCGAACGCCTCTCCATGGCTGTGTTCCGTCTCATGGACTTGCCTAGGCTAGCCTTTGCATCAGTATTGTTTGTGGCACCATGTGTTGGCTGTCTAATACTGACTTGGTTCCTAGGAAAAGAAGTAAGGTAGAAGCATTCGGGCTTGTCGCGCTTCTTTTGACAGGTTGTACAGGGCATGCCTCCAGAGCACTGTAGCGTAGATTAGCGGCAAGACTGTCACACTTCAAGGAGCTGCCTCGTACTCTTGACTTGCTGTCACGGCAGGGCTTGCAGGAGTTGGCCCGCCGTTTGCTGAATACCGATGGTTGAGGGAGGCCAAGGGCCTGTACAAACACAGTCGGGGTGTTAGGAATGCCGGTCAACATCATGATTTATACGAGCAATGCCTTGCCATCGACCGAATCAAACAACTGTGAGAGAGTGTATGACGCTGCCTTTGCTGCGTATCTGGCAGGCAGCGTGGTATAACAAGCACAAAGCGTGGCCTTTCAATATCAGGCGGTTCTCAATGACCCGCAAGAGGTGGGCACTTCTTCAGTGCTGGTCCTTTATGAAGATTCAAACGTTTGAGGGGTATATCATGGCATTGGCAACAACAATGCCAACGTACAGTATCCGAATGTCGAGGTGATAATCACAGATTCCCATCTCTTGCGAGATCCCAGGGTCCAGGAACGAGGTATAATATGGAAATCAGGGACCTCAGAGGGGACTGGAGATCCCGCTTCGAGCAACTTTGCAATAAACGCAAATGTAAAATGCCGAAGGAGGGTGGAATGGTGGAGAGTCTCAACCGGGGTTGGATGCTACAGTTCGGAGTTCCCAGGATGTTTGCTCCAGATTTGTGTACCAATCAGTAGTAGCATTCATCTGCAGGAACTCCCAGGGTGGATGGAAGCAAGCACTCGTGAGGAGTCGAGAGGGCGACGACATTGGACTTCAAGGTGTTGGAGGGTGTGTTAGGTTAACCATTTCCCAATAGCGTGCAGCCGTCCACTATGCCAAATGAAACCACTGCATGTATCAATTCCACCTGCAGCCATAGTCCACTCAGGGGTGCAGGCCTGGCGAGCTGCAAGTTGACGAAAGTCAAAAAAAGCTTGCATTGGGAAGACTTAGCGAGGCACAGAGACTGGTCGTCGTCGTCCTTTTCGCCAACGCTGCTAGGCTGAGGGTCTGTTCACTGTCTGCATGTGTTCGGCCCAGTGTCGCTTGCCAGCGGCGACAAACAAGGCAAGTGAGCAGTGGTTGGCCTGAGGGCCTCGGAAAGGTAGTCCCGAGGAGGCTACTGGCCAAGAAAGGACCTAGGTAATGCGCATAATGAGAACAATTTGGAAAGACTAGCTAGGCTAAGATCCCTGTATCTCGTGGGATGTTCGCCTACAAGTCTCGCGGCATTTCTTTCCGAGCTTCGAGCATGGACCATGTGACGATCGCACTGATGCTTTCTCGCCTTTCAAGGGGGAGAAAAAACAAGGCACATTTGCCATCACGAAGACGATCCGCCCCAGAGATTGAGACATTGCGAGGCCACAGTGGGCAAACTCTGAGTAATGCACTCGAAAGTCAACAGGATGAGGGCATGGATTCGGGCCGTGCATGGTTCCTGCACTACCAGACCGTGGGATGTTGTGGTAGTGGATGAGAGCCACAGTGGTCGCCTAGAGTAGACACGCAATGACAGCGGTTGGGGGTCCGATAGACGAGAGATGAGCAACCCAGATCTTGTCTCGCTGGAGCGAGAGTGTGGCGAGCTTGGGATCGATCCTTTCGAGTCGACGGGCCAGGATTAGGTGGTAGCTAATGGCCGTGGTCGCCGAACAGCTCAGATGTGTCGATTGATTGGCCCAAGGAGAGTTTGCCGTCACCATCGGCCAGCTCCGCTCCAGTGCATAAGGCTCTTTCGTAGCTGGAGGAGGAGAATTATATATCGGTGGACAGGCCCAAGGTGCCGTTTGCCGGCGGCTCGTGTGGCTTGCATAGGCTATACTAGCCATGGGAGATTTCGCCATCCTGGAGAATGAGACAAGATGAACCGATCAGGAGGCGAGCTTAGCTCGATCGAGCTGTGGCAATGTCTCCAAATTCCTCCGAGCCGTGCCGTGTGCCCAGCAACTCCGTGCTTGGTGCTTGGGGCATTGTACGAGCAGGGCAAGAGTTTATCTCAAAAGGTATCTGGAGTCCTTGATTTTGCTTTCGCCGCGCGACCCGCAACCCCCTTGCGGCCAGATGAGCTGAAGGAGTGTCCAGGAGAGGAGATGCTAGTGAGGCAGGGAGCAGAAGTAACTTTTTTCGAGTGCTCCATAGAGCCCGGAGTACCCCGCGTATGGAATAGTCAAGGAGGCCATGCTTGCCACTTTCTCGTCTAGATCGTTGTGAATGTTTCCTTTGGCATGTCGTCTAAGACGATTTCCGTGAGAAGAGCCTCAGGTGCATCTGGATGTGGACGGAGTAGACACCTGGTGACACAGCAGCGCAGATCTGGGGGATGGCTTGAAAAGACGAACATGAGCACGGGCCACCCGTGCCACCCACGCCACCGACTGTCACTGGATGGCGCCTCGCTCGTGTTAGGCGACGAAGATCCCCACGGCTGATCAATAGTCTCGAGGAGAGGGCCCTCCCTGGACCCTGGCAGTTTTGACACCGGCTTGTGGGCCCGCCTCCGCGTCCAGGGACTACTGTCGAGCAGGGCCAATAGCAAAATAGCTGGTCCCAAGTATTTGGTTGAAAGTACGTACGAATCATGCACGAAGCAATTGGTGGCGGTGGTTAGTGAAGACGAGGCTTACCCCCGGCCGCTCAGCCAAGAGACTCGAAAGTCTTATGACGCTCGACATGGGAATTTGAGAAATGCCCTGGACGGGGATCAAGTCCAAAGCGATTGTTGAGCAGCGCTTGTCATACGTGCGGATAGCCTGGTGGTGCTGGAGGTTCCTGTCCGTGTGTCGCTGGGAGGCGCCGACACCCAAACACCCGTCTGCTGTTGTCGTGCTGGGGAGAGACGTCGTTTTCCAGGTGAGCTCATGTGGTTTGGATCCCACACCCCGACGGCCAAGCCTCGGTCTCGTGCTCGTCGAATTCTGAGTTGAAGGAGTCGTCTTCTGCCGAGCCTGCACACTATCGTGATGGTTGCAAGCCATGTATGCGGCATGGTTTTCCGACCAATCTGGGTCAGTATTGACCATCCATCTTCCAGGACTGTTGCTGAATTGGGTTTGCTCGTTCGGCAGGTCTAGCTTCGAACCGGCGGGGAGTATCTGGTCCTTGAATCTAAGTCTCCTAACTTCGCCTCATATAGAAGCCAGACGTCCTTTTCTGGCTGCAGGCCCTGACCATCGAGGCAGGCGGCCCCGTTTTGGTGTCACGATTCACGAAAAGCCCACAGAAACATGCATGTCATTCGCAAGTCGATTAAACCTTGTCCGCGGCCCGTCCTGACTCCTAAGGAGGCCGTAGCTCCAGGGTGCCAGGGTGTGAGGGTAACAGGTTAGCTGATGAGCTCGTGAACTCCTCGGAGAGGGGGACTAGCTTTCTGCTGATCGGTCGTTATTTGTCAACCCCTCGTTCTGATCTCAGCACAAGGACAATGCAGCTGTAGGGGGGCGGACGAGATGATAGACCTTCAAAGCTACCAGGCACCCCCAGGGCCTCTCGTACCTAATCGTGCACACTTAAGGTTTTGCTTCACGGCCCATGCGCAGGACCAGGTTTCTGCGTTGCCCACATCTGCCCGTCGACCGTGTCAGGGACTGCCGACACCCAGCTCGCCGGTTGCCGTTCCTGAGCCATATTGACTCTGAGGTTGGCTTTAGTGTACGCCAACTCCACGATGATGCAGTCATGGCCCAAGGTGGCGTTCAGCAATGTGTCACAACTTGCTCCCCTCCCACATGCAGTTGGGGGACATGAACGATAATTGAACAGGGTTTGAGTTCGCTCAGGGCAATGTCTCGCTCGAAGGAAGGAAAGGACGGAGCTTGATTGTGGGGTTTTGTGACTTTTGGGGTCCGTTTTCTGTCATGTTGCAAGTCCAGGACAAAAAGCGTTAGAAACACGCAGTTTGAGAGTTGCTGCTAGGGATCGTAGGACAAGATGACTTCGAAGCTGCGCTTGGTACTGTCCCCGGCCACCTGGATGGCTCGGAGTACGTCGTGGAAATGTGGGTACAATCTGAGATGGAATCATGCAAAGGAAGAGCACCTGCAGCGTAAGCTGCTCGTAGAAAGGGCAAGATTGACGGCCAATTGTCAAGACACTCGGTGCTCATGTTTTATTTTTGTCTTGGGCGCACACACCCTGAATCCTGATTGCCGCTAGCATCTCAACTCCCAAGCTTCCAACTTCCACTGCCCGCACCGAGACCGCTGCGAAACAGTCACGTACGGACGACATTGAGGAGACTATTAATTACATACACGCCTCGAAGAATAGGCCTCATACATTATTTCCTTCGGCGCAAGACCGGACGCCGCGCTGATCAAACTGTCGAAAAGGAGCCAAAAGGTGCTTTTTCCCATAGAGTCCAACGCAAAGTTTTCGATTTGCCCTTGGTCGCTGCGCTTCTTCCAACACCCTCTCGGCAAAGAATGCAACAGGCTTGGAATATTCATATTCCCCTAGAATATACTGGTGACGGACGACGGTCTCCAATCACCTTGAATCCTCCATATAATATAATATGTATTCTGCAAAAAGGTCGTGAACTTCGTGATTTGCTTCCAGATCGTGGGCGACTAGTCGCTCAATACACCGGGTGCCCGTGGACTTCAGCCGTGCTCCCCTCGAACTCGGGCGAATCTGGACTATGGTGAATATGGTCGCTTGCCCTGTGTTGCTGCACGAATCCCACATTTGAGGGCCGGTCATTGCGCAGATCAGCTCCATGGGTCCCCAATGCGGATGTGGCCGACTGGCGCATCTGACTTGTATACGACGGGTGCACGGGTGCATTCTCGTCTCCGTCACGGACCACGCTTGACGTTGTTGATTCTGCCCCAGTCGAGTACCTTTTGTTGCGGGCTGGCGAGGGCTGTGTGTTCGCGAATGGTATGCGGCTAGCTCCTAGCGGCTGAGTAGGCGCCTTTCGGGATGTAAGGTTAGCTGGACGCGAGGCGGACAATGCAGACTCAGCCAGCCCTCTGTCACCCGAGTCGCCACCTGATTGTCTTCGTGAACTTTTACGAGGAATAGCAGGAACCGCTGGAATATCTGTGTCAGATGCCCGTGGGGGTTTGCCGCGGGACTTCCTCGAAGCCTCAGACCCGATGCGGCTGGGCAATTCAATGCCACCCACGGATTCGATCAGGGGCAAAGACGGCGGTCTTGCTGGGACAGGACTCTCTGCTGCTATCGATGCTCCTTCCCCCTCCTCCTCCTCGGAGTTTTCAACGGAGATATCGTCATAAACACTTTGGTTGCGGCTCTGTCTTTGAACCCTGGGTTGTGGAGGAGACGAAAGCGCTGCGCTGTTTCGATCGGTCTGGCTCTCTTCTATGCTTCGGACGTCGTCGTGGTAAGGTTCAGTGATGTGGGTTTCTCGAGCAGGAGTAGGTGGTGGAAGCAGCCCTGGAGGAGGGGCACGGGCACTCCTGACCACCTCAAACCCTTTGTTCTTTTCTTTTGTCTTGCCGCCCAGAAGATTTTTGAACCATCCAGTGGCAGTAGAGACGGGCCCTGTTGGATCGGCCGGTCCAGTTTTGAGCTTCCTCGTTCCACTTGAGAGAGCAGCACCGCGCACACCGTAGTAAAAGTCAACTTCTCTCACGGCATAGTCAGTCTTCGTCCTCGTCAGGTCATTGGTAATGTCTTCAAAATCGTCATTCTCCAATGGCATAGGAGTAGAGGGTCCTTCACCAGCATCATCCTCGACGGCTCCTTCAGTCGCCACAGCACCTTTTGACGACACTTGAGCTAGATCTGGACGACTGTCAACTCCGGCAAGAGCATCCATTGTATTTCTGCGTGGCGGTCGGTAGTATGGGTCTTTTTGTTCCACCTGCTTCTGAAGACCGACGATGCCCCCCAAGGATCCTGTGCCACTAAGTCGGGCCGTAAGTCGCCTTGATTCCCTGGGAGATCTGTCGGGCGTGGTGTGGCCGACGACGCGGCCATCGAGGTTCTGGCTGATCCTGTTGGAGTTTAAGCCGCTTTCCAATAGAACGCCGGATGTGGCCGAGACACTGCGCGACCTGGTCTTGGCCATCTGGAGCTTTTGTTGGTCGTTTTCGATGGCATTCAACATGGCCGCGTTCGATGACATACTATGGCGCGGGTCCTGAGTAGCCCTCCGCGGCATCCGTCGAGAGAGTTGCCGCATTCCAAACACCTTGTTCAATCCACCTCTAGTGGCGGCCCCTGTCGCCTCATCCCGTCCGCCCGCACCAGCCAGGCGAGCAATGACTTCAACCAAAGTCTGTACAGCATTCAAGAAGAACCCGAAAACCATGATGCAAGCATGAATGATGAGGATAGCATACCCAATCCAGCCTCTTGACGAATCTTCAACGCCCAGTGCAGGCACAAAAGCTATTGAAAGAAGGATGGTGATAAGTCGGATGACAGAGAAACAAGTGTGATAGATGTTCATAGAGGTGGCTGATGGAAATGGCCGGAAAGCGTTGATTGTAAGAATCAAAACAATCTCGCAGATTGCCAGAAGCACAATTTGTGCGATGCCTGATGGTTGGACGGCTCCAATTGCGATACCCCGGACAAGGTTCACCAGAAGAGGAATCAACGCAAAAGTGGCGGCATCGTCGCAGTAGGTGTTATATAGAGGTCCGTAGGTAAGGACCATAAGGAAATCGTCGAACAGGAAGGAACGTGGTCTCGTCCGAACGAATAATAGCAGCACCCAGATCAAAAATACGACGACAAGAACCAGCGCCACCGCTGCAAGGGCAACAGAGTACGCCGGGCCTTTCCCTGCAATGACCAGCTGGTAGAATGACAGCGATGCCAGAGGCAGCAGGAAGAAGTTCATGACCAGCCGGACGACATTCCCGGCGGTGAACGGCCCATTTTTAGAGCGGAGATCCTCTGGCGGCTCCCTGTTGATCTTTCGGTAAATCCAACGAACCGCAAAGCCTAGTTGAGTCAAAATTGAGACGGCAGCGACAATGACCACCAGCCAAACAATCATGTCTGCCCAGATGTCTTTGTCTGAGGTCATGCCGACCAGTTGGCTCATTCGATCAAGACCATATTTGGTGTTCGTGCGATATTCATAGATACCGTCGACCAGGCTCTGAGTGCCGTTTCCGCCAGTTACGAAACTCTCATTGAACATGAGCGAGGACCATGCGACGCGGCTGACTGCTGGCTGATAGAAGCCAGGATAATTCAAAGACAAACTGCCGGTCAGAACGACAAATTGAATGTATTGCAAACAGTCTCCAAATCCCGGGGTGACGAGACGCAGCAAGTCCTCGTCACGCCCGAAATTGCTGCTCCAATGAAACAGGTCCGCGGAGCCCCACGGACTCAGGATGGCGGCGGCGATGGTAGCCACGCCGACCACGATCAGTACCACCAGCGGTACATATCTGAGTATGGCCTTGAGAGACCCTCCCAGGTCGGGAGTAACCGTGGCGGTGATGCAGCTGTAGAATTGCCCGCTAGCATCGCCCGATTGAACTCTCAACGTGGCTTGAAGTGAGGCAAAAGAGTAACTGGAGAACAAGTCGTGCGCAACAGAAAAGGCAGGTAAATGAGCCAGGTCGCTTTCGTTGACGTAAAAGGCGGGAGCCAAGGGACATTCTCCATGGACCACGGACTCACAGAACCGCGTGGGGTCCGCATTCCACGGAGTGTATCCTAAGAAATTGACACGGGTAAAGAGGGTAGTGTACTTGTTATTGGACTCGCTCAAATCGGGGATCTTGCCAAACGTGTCGTTCGGATTGGCCCAGGACGGGTCGTCAGGAGGAGGATAAGGTTGTTCAGTCGCCTTTCCAGTAACGTTGCCAAAAACAGTGATATTGAGATGATGTCGATCGGAGCCGGAAGAGCTATTGAATGCGGCGGACACATTGAAGGGTTCAAATTGTAAGATGCGCGGATTCGAATTGACAATATTGCTGTCCAGACAATTGCGGAATTCGACATATGCGGCGCGGACAGAAGACACACATAAGACGAGCAGGAAAACGGTCACGGTGAGCGAGCTTGACCAATCCCGTCTCCGATGTAGGCGATGTCGATGTCGCTTCTCCTCAACTGCCACTGCATCGTCAACCCCTCTATATCCCTCTTGATCGGTCAACGCCATCTCTGCGCTATGGACCTTTGTGCCCTCCTCTTCCCAGGCAATAGTACTTCGTTTAGCCCAACATCTGGCCGAGATGCGCGGCGTACACGCTTCAGACAAAACTGGAGGTTCAAGTCGTACGGGAATGAGGGCGCAATCCAGGTCCGATTTCTCTTCCGAGCAATCAGCTGCAGGCGACTGGGACAAGAGGTGATGTAGTGGAAAGGCACATGTAGAGGCTCGTCAATGGCGACTGTCGAGAGCAAAGCGTTGAAAACGATCGTCACCTGCTTGGCGAGAGTGTCTCAGATTTGCGTGAGGTGTGAACTAGTGCGTGGCTATGGTGCCGCCGTAGATGCTCAACGAGAGAAACGACAAAATTGAAGAAAATAGCGAGGTGAATGGGGATGAAATGAGTTACAACAGCGAAAGAGAAGATAGATCCAAGTAATAACAGCTGTGGAAAACCTGAAGCGAACGTTGAGAAAGGTTGATGGAGTTGGTGAGAAGTGCAAAGCGCAGGCACCGCCGCCGCCGCAGGAGGCGAAAACCCACGAAGGGAAACCGTGGGGCCAATGAAAGGGAGCGACGGCTCGGATGAAGGCGTTTTTCTCTCTCCTTGTTGGAGAAAGTTGTTTGGGCAGGTCTCACCTAGGAAGGGGTGACTATTGAGCTCCCGGGTGCTCCCTGTGGCGTCCTCCTGCTTAACTGGGGGTGATTTTCGCGGTCTATTTCTGGGTGCACAGACACGACAAGTCTACCTACAGGCACGGGGCGCGGCACCCACAACGGCACCCCTACGGCTATTAGAATTTAGAGCGCAGGGCACTCATAGACTATTCCATTTTCGACGGCTAGTAACAACTTGGAAGCCAAACCCCATGACCTGGACTATGTACGAGGTACGAGGGTACTGCCAACCCGAACCCAACGATGTTAGGAAAGCACGTGCTCTCTTGCTAGATGCTTGCAAGAGGAGAGCTGCTTGTAAAGCACATTCCTGGATCACCACTTTCATCCTCGTCATATACGTGGGTTTCCAAGCGACCTACTTAGGTACTTACACCCAATCTTCCCTCCTCTACCCTCGCGATTAGCCCGGTCAATGTATCGTACCACCTACCATCGAGTACCGGTAGAGGACACCCAGAGGAGACGCGCCCTGTCCTTTCCTCTCGAATCCCATTTATCCCGCCCGTGCGCGTTTCAGTTGCCGTGATATGTCCGTATTCCGCCACCGTCATCAGCGTCACGGTCCTTGACACGTGCTTCCGCCTGCACTTACTCCAACTCTCCTTTTGATTTCCAAGATATCTAGATACAAGGTAACCCGGCTGCGTTACCATCTTTCTCGTTGCATCCCACCACTGAAAAAGGGCCATGTCTTCATCAGACTCGATCAATTCGCAGAGCAGCTACGAGGATTCTGACCGGGAAACTCCCCGCCATCATCATGCTCGGCATGACTCTCACCCTCCCAGACGCTCTGAGATAACCACAGACACAACTCAACGGCCACTGCCCGACCTGCCAGCCTCGCGGCCCTCGGCATCTCGCTCTGGCTCAGGACATGGCCACAATGGTCTTCTGCTGGCTGCTGTTCTGCGAGACCGTCTTCTGCCCCTGCCCCTCCCCTCCGCCGAACAGACTCCCGAAGAACGTAGGCGAAGCATTATCGCCCTTGACCGCAAGAGGAGGCTTACCAACCCAACAATGTATGAGGAAAGCAGGAGGAGGACAAACAGTAGTACTTTTCACGACTGGAGATTGAACTACGATGCTTCCCGCGGGGATGGGCCTTCCTCTCCTCCCACACCTCGGCGGCACGCCGCATCCGATACCAACATCAGCCGTCCCTTTCCTGAGGTTGTAGATTTGACAGGTTCATCTCCTCCTACCTCCCCTCCTCCACCGCCGGTGCCAGCGCCGTTGCCGCCACTGCCACAAACACCTCGAGACAATAGACTGAGCAGGTCCTCGTCAGACAGTTCACGACGATATATGGTGCCGAGGTGGCAGCCTGATTCAGAGGTCAACGAGTGTCCTATTTGCAAACGGCCTTTTACATGGATGTTCAGGCGTCACCATTGCCGAAAGTGCGGCAGGGTCGTCTGTAATGATTGCTCACCACATCGAATAACAATTCCCCGGCAGTTTATCGTCCACCCACCGGGCCCTGACGTGGCCACTTCGCCTGTGAATTCTGCCTCCCGCCGCTCGGAATCACTGGATTCCAATGCAGATGACATCGACGGCAACGGATCCCGGAGCGCTTTAAGCCCCTTTGCCTATAATGCTCATCCTCAAATGGAGGGTGGAGAGAAAGTGCGATTATGCAATCCTTGTGTGCCCGATCCTCAACCAGATCCCCTACCAAACTACCCTGTTGTCCCCGATTTGACCTCTCGTGATGTTCCCTGGAGTGCAGGAGGGCGACAAACAGCAACATTGAGCCATGCAGTGAATTCTGTTACCAGGCCGAGAGGTTACTCTTCGGGAATAGGAGATTATTCCAGGAATCCCGTGGCGGTGGTAAGCCTGTTGTTGTACATAACTGAGTGTTTTGCTGACTTTGGGGTTTTCCAGCACGATCCGCATCTCCTGCACCGCCATCGTGCCATCGAAGCAGGTTACGGCAATCCAGAAACCAGAACCGATGCTGTAGGATGGCTTGATCCGTATCGAGGGCAGCCATCACCTACGAGATATCGGTTTCGAGCATCGCCAATTTCAAGTTCTACAGGCACGAATCAGTTTCCGGGAACTTCTTCTGGGGTATGTATTCTACTGCCTGACATTATGCAAGTATTCTAAACAGGGCAGGACTATCCACCTCATGAAATACGGTTGACATCTCACCGCCCACGTCCAAGCTATCCTGAGAGCCGACACCCTCGTGATGAACTACTCGGCATCACGCCACAGCTGCGTCGACCTGTCCCTCGGCCCTTGCATGTCCTTACTGATAGCGCTGCTGTCCGACCACGGCTGAGCGAAAACGATATATGCCCTGTTTGTCGTCGTGCGTTACCCCCTCGCGGTCCGAATGGCGACGAAACAGCCCGTGAGACACATATAATGGACTGCATCTACTCTCGTGATCCGTCCTACCATACGGAATCTAGCAATACGGTAGTAGCGGGGGGCTCTGGAATACGAGTCCCAACATCACAGCCGCACTCCCAAGCACCACCTCACCGACTGCAAATGCTTACCTTCACAGCCACCGAGAAGGATTGCGTCTCGCAAGAAGACGGCCAGGTACAAGAGTGCTCCATCTGCATGGTTGAGTATGACGTTGGTGATGAATTGGTCAGGCTAGAGTGCTTGTGTAAATTCCACAAGAGTTGCATTCTGGAGTGGCTGGGACGGAAAGCGGAATGCCCGGTGCACAAGCTTATAGGATGATCCAAGGGCGCACTCTTTTCTCTTCGGGGTTCTTTGAGGTTTTGAATGATGCATGAATGACGATGGGAAATGAAAGATCCTAGACGGCGCATCTCATTTGTGAAGTGTTTATCTCATCTTGGGTTCCAGCAAGAGGGTTGCCGCTTTCCACTTGGCATGGCCAGGGTTCGAAGGACTCGCATATCAATCTGTACAATTCAAGCGCAGAACATTGTCATGAAGCACGTTTCCTACGAGTACTCTGAAGAGCAGGAAGTCTGCAATATACCGTTTCACATGGTCTGTAAAGTGCATCCATATTCCACAGCCTAGATGACAGCCTCCGTCGATCGTACCCGAGGCGAACTCGATATAGTGTCCCCTACGGAGCAGAAGAGGATCCTTCGAAAACGCTGGATCATTACAAGTGAGACTTGTGCTGAGCGGCGCCAGGAAGTTGGTTGATATTTGTCGCAAATGAAACCTAAATTTACCATTTGGGAGAGTGAGAGAGAGTAAGATTTTGCTATTATTGTTAAAGCTTGGGGTTGGGCTACCAGAAAAGTGATTATTATTGAGTGGCTGTGCACTAGCGATGAGAAGCTCGTGGACTCGTATTAATTACTCCGTAATAAAGGAACAGCTAGGCGAGGTTCACCAAGGTGGACAAACTCGTCGCGTCGGGTGCTGTTTACATACCTTGGGTACCTAGGTACCTTAGGTAATAATACCTAGGCAATGCATGTGCAGTTGTGTGCACCCAATGGGCAATGCCACGGCCCGGCAAGTCAACCCCATTCGCTTCCGTCCTAGGCAATGATGGTTAGGCCTTAGCTACTTGGGGCCTTTGTCGCTCCCGCCCACCTACCGAGCGAGGGTGGTCCACTGGTCCTCCGCCTCCTTCCCCCCCTGGGCCCTGTCCCCCCAAGAGCTCGTCATGTCTGACGGAGGTGCAGGAATCGCATCAGTCTCCCAACAGTGAACACCGGACCTGCCTGACCAGCGACCACTAGGTACCTTTCACCCCAGCCCACGAACCCGTGCAACAGAGCGCAGTCTCACATCCCATTTGTCAACTGAATGGCTCTCTTCTCAAACCACCACCTTCTCGACTGCTTGAGGGCGACACAAATGCCTGCAGGGTGCTCACTGTGCTCTGGGAAATAAAAAGTCGAAGTTGTTTCCATCGGCGCTCCGGATCCTCTCGACGGCGAGTCGCCATCAACCACCGCCGACCCGACTCGATCAACCACTGCATCACAGGCTGATCACAGGCTAGTCATTGCCGTGACTGCGGTATCAAGACTTCAAGACTCGATGGCCAGCATCGACACCTTCAATCACATTGATCCAGCCTTGCGAGGCTCCAACCTGAGCAGTCCTCCCAAACCTCGCGACTCTCAGCAACACTACCACAATCCTCCTCCTGGCGCCTACTCTCCTCTGCAACCCTCTCTCCAGCCATCCCCCAATAACTCGTACCAATCCATCCAGACTCCCAACTACTACCCCACCACTTCACACACGCAAGAGAGTCCCGACGACCAAAGTCCGTCCGGCAATCCCAACGACCCCAATGATATTAAACGGCCGCGCGCCTGTGAGGCGTGTCGACAGCTCAAGGTGAAATGCGAGCCCGACGACAACCATCCTACGGGATCGTGCAAGAGATGTGCAAAGGCAAATAGACAATGTATCGTCACCGCCCCTAGCCGGAAGAGGCAAAAGAAGACAGACAGCCGAGTCGCCGAGTTGGAAAAGAAGATCGACGCCCTCACCGCGACTTTGGCAGCAAGAGGAGGAGCTGAGCCTGATGTCGCCGTTGATCCAGCCATATCCGTCTCGCACCCTAACCCCCAGGAACGCGTGCAGGCATACGGAGGTCAATGGCATCAACCTCCTCCACCACCACCGCCGCCGCCGCCGCCGCCGCCATCATCAGGGAGCGCTCAGTCTCCGCAACAAGGTGTGAAGAGGAAAATCACGAGCGACTATGAATACTTCGGTGGAGAGCTGCAGAAATCTTCCGCTCTGTCGTACAAACCTCCCATACCTCCTCCCAATACCTATCAGCCTGTTCTGGAACATACGACCAAGACTGAAGAGCCGGCGACCGTGGATCCCATTGAACGTGGTCTCATCGATATCACCACGGCGAGGAAATGCTTCGATCGTTATATGGCGGAAATGTGCGAGCATCTCCCAATGGTCGTCTTCCCACCCGGCACTCATGCCGACGAGATTCGCAAAAACAAACCCATCTTGTTCCTTGCTGTGCTTGCGGTCGCTTCCGGTACCGTCCGACCGGATCTTCAACCGGGGCTGATTTTAGAAATCACCAGGGTACTGGCCGACAAGGTTATCATCCGAGGAGAGAAGTCGCTGGAGCTGGTTCAAACCATTCAAGTCACGACATGCTTCTACCAGCCTCCCGAGAAATACGAGGAGCTAAACTTTAACCAGTTGATTCACATTGCTGCTGTCATGGCTCTGGATCTAGGAATGGGTAAGAGATCGAGACGAGGTGGGGGAAGCATCTGGCGACCGTATCATGAGAACAAGAGACCGCTGTCAGATCCCAATAGTGTGGAAGTGCGACGATGCTGGCTGGGCTGCTATTACATGTGCTCCAAGTAAGTATGTCCCCGGGCTGACATAGTACTGGCTTCTGACCCTGCCCTCCAGTTCCTCCATGTCTCTTCGACGACCACTACTGATCCGCTGGAGCCCTTACGCCGACGAGTGCATTGAAATCCTTATTTCTTCGCCGGACGCTCATCCTTCAGACAAGTATCTATGTCATCTCGTGCGTGGACAACACATAGCTGAAAATATCGGGCTTCAATTCTCCATGGATGACCCGGCTTCGCCATTGTCATTGACCGACCCCCAAACTCAATACCATCTAAAGACATTCGAGCGCCAGCTTGTCGAGTGGCAACATGCCGCTACCAAGGAAATGATTAAGAAGCCAATCATCCAACACACTGAAGGGATTCTCAATCTTTATATGCACGAGATCGCCATGCACCACAACCATAATATTGACGACTTCCGACCTCCCTACATCTCCACTCCGATCGATGGCCCTCCAGACCCGGATAACGTCACGCCAGCTCATATAGAAGCCCTGACCACTTGCATCAACTCCGCTCATTCCGCGTTCGATGCTTTCTTGGCCATGGACATACCGGCCCTGAGGGCACTACCCACCCTTTTCTTTGTTAGGAACTCTTACGCCGCTGTCGCGTTAATCAAGATGTATTCGGCTGTGTCTGCCAAGGGATCTAAATTCAACATCATCTTCAAAAACAAAGATCTGAAGGTGGAATACTACCTCGACAGAATGATAGAGGCGCTCAGCAAGGCTTGCGAAGGCAGCATGTCCCGCGTGGCTCACAAGTTCACTCTAATTTTTAATATGCTCAAAAGCTGGCACATGAAGAGAATAGACTCGGTGAATAATGGAAGTGGACCGGTCTCCAGACAGCGGACACCGGCGAATGGCAATGTCAACGCCCGCGGCGGCAACAACATGTCGCAGCCGCAACAGGCGCCAAACACATACAAGGCTGTTCCACCGCAGCAGGACCCGTCGAATTTGGGTTGGAATTCGCAACATCGCGGGTCTGTGGACGGGAATGTTCCGCAGCCTCACCAACAAGCCCAGCCCCGGAGCGGCCTGCAGATGCTGTCCGAGGCAGCAATGGGTCCTGCGCCTGGACCAGGTCCTGTAATGCCTCAACCTCAGCCCACACCTCAACAGCAATGGTCTCACACCATCATGAACAACCCAGCTCAACCCAACATGCTACCTGGCATCAACCAAATGTCTGGTGGTTATGACCAAGCCGCACCGATGATGCCCTACATGATGCCCGGACCTGGAGGGGACATGATTCCCATGGATTTCACGAATGATGAGCTTATGGCGTTTGGCTTCGGGGACGAGTTCCTCGCGATGAACTTTGGGTTCGAGACGAGTGGGTGGCCCCTGTGAAAGGGGAAGAGAGGTCCGGAAAGAGAGGGAACGAGGCCACTGGCCACACCTTGGGATAGGACATGGCTCGACCACTGCTCCTTTGACTTGCCAGGGGAGATTGTGGACGGGTTGGCGTAGCTTGCTAATGGCACATGAAATACGATACGCACTGGATGGCTCATGGCACGAGAAAAAAATGATATAATCTCACGGGAAAGGGGGAACGTACACTGCTGCTCATGTTTCTGTTCTTTATGGCATTATGTTTTTGTACAAAATCTCGCTGGCCACGCCGTCTGTTTTGTCGCCGATGAGCTTTGCACGAACTTTTATCACTGTGAACAGAAGATATTTAGTATCTAGTTATTGACGCTCGCAATACCGCACCAGGCATAGGACAAGACTTCAAGGGTACACAACAACAGAGGAATCTGTTTAAATCACTCACTATTAATGGAGACAGCATCCTGAATCGCACTGTACCTCGTTCTTGCCTTTTCCCCCTGCGAGGACTTTATACCTATATAGCGAGCTAGGTACCTAGGTACTTATGGCGGTGGACTTGTTTTCGCACACGTACGGTACGGTATGTTAGTCCTCGGTATCGAGTACATGCAGATGATTGATATGATTGATGAGCCACACTGTGCGGGCCGTACGGAAGGGGTACCGAACCCTCGGTCCACTAGGTACTGGACGTGTACAAGAGTAGCTACATACCTAGGTAGGTACCTGGTACGTATATATACTCGGCACCTCGTGAGAGGAGTGAGCGATCGATCGGATCATTCGTTCGAAGCCTGGTCCGGTCCTGTTTCCATTTTGCATTCATAACATTGGATTACAAGTACTCGGTAGAATTGGCAAGTCCCTGTGTTCTCCTGACATCTTGGTGTGAAATGATCAAGTGCAAAGTGCAAGACAGGTGCTGCAGGTGGTCTTGCCGTGGTATGAGATAACTGGCTCTGTCTAGTCTGTCCAGCCGAGTCTCGCGCCCTCTCTCTATCTCTCTTCCTTCCCGTCCCATCCTCGGTACTCGTACAGTTCCCCCAAAGGCAGACACGCCAGTCTCGCTCGGGCGCGATAAGCTCCTTAGAATACAACACCCTCATCGAGCTCGGCCAGGCTCAACTCCTCCGCCAACCCCATCCGCAATACCTTGACGATATCCCCTCCACGCACGTCCTCGCCAGGAAATCTGTCTCTCCAATCCCATCCTCTCTCCTCCTGGGCACCCTTCTTCTCTTTGCCCTTCGCCTTTTGCCCCTGAGACCCTCCGACTAAAACTCCACTGCCACTAGCGCTCGTCATGTCGGTGGTCATACTCCTACCCAGCATCTCGCTTCCCATGAGCGAGTATGAGAAACCACTCCCGCTTCCGCTACTCATGGATTTTTTCAGCACCGCTCGTGGACTTGGCGGTCTTGATCCATGGTACTCTCTGAGCGATGCGGCCAGGCACTCCTCTGTCGCGGTGTAGACGCGCTCTGAGACGGTAGACAGATCCTCGATTGCGGCTAGTAAAGCATAGATCTGTTCGGTCGTGAATATCTTCGTTCTTTCCCCGCCTTGGCTTCGAGAAAGAAGAGCGGTAGCCTCACCCAGAAGCGTCAACAGCCCATCGACTTGGATCGCACTCTGTCTCTCTGGATCGTACAGCCCACCATAAATCGAATCTGCAGCAGAATTGATCGCCGCCACCAGTGCTCTTGCCGCTGCTCTCCTCCGCGCAAGTGGGCGAGAATTCGTTGTTGCTCCACCGCGGGATTCTTCGTCGCGCAGAGTATAAAACCTCCGTAGACAAGCGTATCCGACAAGGGAGAATTGCAGCATCTCAGCAGCCTCAGGGTCGACCTCTGCAATGTCAATGAGTGCTGTCTTGGGATTTCCCACCAGACTTCGTAATCCATCATCCATGTCATTCTCAGGCGGGTAAGCTCTTGACTGCACCAGTGCATAGCTGACCAACACATCAATTAATTGCCTGATCTTATGGCTTGCGTGACTCCTCGCATAGCACAACAAGGCAGTACCATACTCCTCGGTATTGTTCACGAGGTAGTCGCCGAATCTATCGGAGACCTTTCTCGCTTCGTCCTGTAATCCGAGATCGGAGCAGAGATTCGTGAGTTTCTCGGTTCGATCTTGAGTAGTGACTTGGAGTTGCTCGAGGAAATTGCTCACGGCGGTATGCATCGCCTCCCGGTCGTCAAGTCGGGTGACAACAGATATGGAGACCTCCCAGCCTTCTACCGAGGAGCCGTCAGGGAGATGGAGAGTAGCCTTCTCGAAAAGCCCTTTGGCATACGATAATAATAATTCATCCTTGGAAACGCCTTGCTTGGGAGCGCCATAGCTGAGGACCATGAGATCTTCTTCGTTCAGCCCTGTAGGTCGAGCCTGTATCTCTTCTTCCAACCAGCCGGCTTTAGCACCGATTTCCGCCACGGATGAAGCAATGCATTGAGACAACGTGCGCAGAACAGTCAAGGCGCCCTGAGTACTTCCCTGTAAGACACATCCTAGGCCAACCTCGACCGGCGACATTGCATTAATTTGGAAGGAATTTTTGTCATTGGGGTCCGTGACGCTGAGAAAAGCATCTCTTAGCCGTCCGAGGTAAGGATTGAAGTCTTCGTCTTGTTTGGTCAAGTTATTAGCTCGACTGACATCGAAGCTCCACTGCGCAACAGCAGCAGCGTCTGCAGTGCCGTCCCACCAGATCGTCAGAGATGTCGCAGCCTCGAGCCAGTCTTGTGACTGGGCTGCAATCTCTTCCGCACTGCCCAGAAGTATGCTGTAGAGTATTTTGAGGTTTTGGAAGATGGTCCAAGGAAGAGTTGATGCGGACTTTTGAGCCGTCCTCCCAAGAAGATTCATTTCGGGTCTACGCAAGCCAAAGTTCTCAGCCTCGAAGGTATACTCATCCTCATCCTGACCGGTGACCTCATCAGTCAGATTGTCCAGTGCCGCTTCGACAGCGGTGCGAAAAACGTCCCAATCTGGACCAGCGACATTCCAGTCGCCCGATTGAATGGCTGGGCAGGAATTGAGTAGAATTCGAGCTCGGTAGATGACGCTTTGTACTGTCTGGAGCTGAGCACCTTTGTAACCAACACCGTCTGCCCCGTCATCCACCGCCGAAGCCGCATATTTGAAATCCGCGTCTGCAAAAAGCTGCATCACCTGTTGCAATTTGCCTCGCAGTGTCAGACTCTGAACGGCGTCCCAGAAGAGATCATGTGAAGTACAGTTGGGTCGCGCAGAGGCGACTGCTCTGTACATTTGGTCATACGAGACGTGGTAGTTGTCGAGCCAATCAAGAAGGACTCGCGGCGTCGGAATGACTATATTGTCTGGAGAGGGTGGGGGATGGCGAAGGACGAGGAGAAGGGAAGCCAGATAGTTGGCCTTAGCGAAAGCGGGAGAAGTGGGTTGAGGACCAATGTCGTTGGTATCTAGCGAAGGTCGATCCGGCTCGACAAACCGTTGCCATTCCTTGATCAGACTGTAAGCGTATTCGGCGATCGTTTGGAGCATGTTTGCGCTGTCCTTGAGGTACTGACATTGTTCGTCTAGTTCCCGGAGGATTTGTTCTGTCTCGAGGATCACCTCATCTGCTTCGGTGAGGGAGGCCGGTCGCGCCCTGGCTCCCATGTCTCTGGCGAGGTCGAGCACCACTGTATCGTTCCCCTTGTGAGGGAGCGCAGAGAGCCTCGTTGAGTTGCGGAAAGATTTACGTGGTGCAGTCATCCTTGAGTCTCTTGTGCTCATGGTACTGAATTTCATAAGAGAGGCGGGTTGCCGTTGGTCGATGGATCGAAAACCACGGCTCTGCCGAAATTGGCTTGGCTCATCCTCATATTCGTCTTCATCCATGTCTTGATCCTCATCTTCTTCCTCATCGTTATATTCGGCCCGCCGGGCTCTTGACGAAATCTGAGGGGTGCCATTCTTCGTTCGTGGCGGATGCTGAAAGTTAGGGGACGACCGCAGAGGAGGAGACTTTGTGGGTTTAGAGAGCTGGAGTTTACTGACACCAGTGCCAAAGGCAGAGCTGCCAAAGATCTGAGAGGGAGGAGGAGCAATGGGGGTGGTACTGGCGAGTTGAGGAGGGTTGGAGGAGAGAAAATTCGAGCCTCGAGGAGCGGGAGTCCTGCCTGGCGTGGAATTGACGCTGGACGAATAGTCCGCAGAGAATTTGTTCATGTTGACTTGGGTGAGAATGTCATCATCTCATTAGTATGGGGGAGAAGTTGTAGGGAATGTAGCGATGGGTAGAACGGTGTTGGATTGAACGTTGGTTGATCGCGCCAGTCGACGCGCACACGGGGACAAGCCAGCTTAGTCATCCAACTATATACAAACTGCCAAAACAATCGAGCTGAATGTAAGGCGGGAAATACGTAGTGAGCAAACCTGACGAAGGTTGAGCTTAAGTTTATTATGAATTGATTCGCAGATGACCTGAAAGAAACTCCCTAATCATGTTCTCTTCGCTGGTTGTATCATTTAGTTGGTTCAGGTGCGTTTTCCATCGCCTCCTGCACGACTGCGTGGAGCGCCTCACAGCTCGATGCAAGATGCAAGATTCGAGTGAGGCGTGGAAGTCCTCCCAACAGTCATTCGGTAAATCATGGTGAGGCAAGAATTCCCACTGTCCTCTGTTGTCCCATGGAATCTCCCTGATCCTATTTCAAAAGTCGCATGATTTCACACTGTAAAGGTTCCTAACATTTGTTTGTCTTCGCCAACTTCAAACTCCTCCTGCGGCAAATCTCCCATTTCTGTATCCCATATTGTAACTAGGTATATTCACTAGGATCAATAGAGCTGGCTCCAGCTATTCCACCGTACCAGCCAATCCCCCGCAATCGCAAATACAATGAGTCCCCACAATCAACAAGAGCCAGAAGATCCAGAAAGACCAGAAAGACCAGACACGCCTCCAGCGCACGGTGGCTTTGTGGAAATCTGAGAATGACAACCTACCCATCCGGGGTCTGCCTGACGGAATGAAGTTCATCCAGATACGTAGGGGAAAAGAAAGTGATGGAAGAGTGGAGGGAACCAAGGACTCATCTGGCTATTCCATACATTCTCATGAGGGGTACACAGAGGCCACAGCGAAGGCAAATGAAGAGATAAATAGGCTTCTGCAACCTCCCCGCGAGTTCGTCAAGTACTTAAGATAGAGACTGTGCAATGAGATTCCTGATCTTTAGGCCTGTTACATCCTATAATAATAGTTCTAAAATTCCCTCTTCTGGAAGAGGGTTTAGCTTGAGTGGGTTTTGTACCTCGGTCGAAGGGCGGAGGAAGTAAACGTTGTTTGATAAATCCATGATGCAGTGCATAGCGAGGGATAGCGCTGGGCGCGAGCGATGGAAGCTTCCGAGACGGATATAAAGATAAAAACCTAGCTGTTGTCCTGGAAGTCAAGCCATTTTTCCCGCTACTTCTCCAGATTACTACAGTCAACTGAACTGCCACCTCTTTTCGCTCTTACAGAAATTAGTCTCAATCCACTACTAACGGCCGACAAGATGGCCAGCAACTACACTTTCCAAGGCTGGATGGGGCTCGGCAAGGACTCGGCAAAAGGCAACATGGTCTGGCAGAGTTACACCCCCAAGCCCTTTGAAGAAACCGACGTCGACATCAAAATCACCCACTGTGGTATCTGCGGGTTCGATCTCTGTTGAAAGCCCAGAAGGGGTGAAATTCTCAGTTGGTAATTAGAACTAACAGCTACGTAGATCCGATCTCCACACGCTTCGATCCGGATGGGGCCCGACTCTCTACCCAGTGTGCGTGGGCCACGAAATCGTCGGGATCGCCGTGCGCGTTGGCTCAAAGGCGGAAAACGGCATCAAAGTGGGCGACCGCGTGGGCGTGGGTGCTCAGAGCGGTTCTTGCCTTCGCCCGGACTGCGATGAATGCTCCCACGACGAGGAGAACTACTGCCAGACCAAGCAGACGGGAACCTACAACTCGAAATGGCCCGACGGATCCAAATCCTACGGCGGCTATGGCGATTACTGGCGCGGCCATTCCCATTTCGTCTTCAAGATCCCCGACGCATTGCCCAGCGATATCGCGGCACCAATGCTCTGTGGTGGCATCACTGCCTTCTCGCCATTGACACAGTACGGCGCTGGGCCGGGGAAACGGGTGGGTATCATTGGACTAGGTGGGCTGGGTCACTTTGGAGTCATGGGTGCCAAAGCACTGAATGTGGATAAACTCGTCGTGATATCCCGCACTTCCTCAAAGAAGGCCGATGCATTGAAGATGGGTGCCGACGCCTTCATCGCTACGGCCGAAGACAAGAACTGGTCCCGCACGCACCGCAGGTCTCTGGACCTCATCGTCTCCACCGTCTCGAGCGCAGACATGCCTTTCCCACAATACCTCCAACTCCTCCGCGTAGGCGGCACGTACGTCCAGATTGGCGCTCCCGAGGATAACATCCCTTCCTTCAACGCCTTCGCGCTGCTCTCCAGGAAGATCAAAATCACGGGCTCCGGCATAGGTTCTCCCAAGGAGATCAGGGAGATGTTGGATCTGTTTGCCCGGAAGAAGGTGTGGACGTGGAACAACAACTACCCGATGAAAGAGGCCAATCGAGCCATTGTGGATATGGATGCCGGCAAGGCACGGTATAGGATTGTGCTTGTGAACGAAGCGCATGCCAATGAAAGTCGACTCTGACTTTGAGTAGAGGGGTTGCGGGAGCGCGGGAATACGGGCGGCGATGACGGTTCGCATGCCTGACTCAGCCGAGATATCGGGTGTGGAGAACACATCGAGAGTCAAAGGATCCAGGAAACGACGGAGACCGAACTTTGGAATGTGTCCGATGATATGTCTGATAAGCTGATCAACGGTTTCCAGCGATAGGGACAACAGCTCAAGAGGCAGCCTGTAGAAAGATGGTGAGCCGTCAGTAACGTCAGACGGACTCCTTGCTGCTACTCAATCCCCATCAACTCAGCTAGCTCGTCCGGACTCAATGTGCTCCTTCTCCTTGATGCTTTTCTCGTCTTCGTGGCATGGACTCCATGTTTTCGTTTCCAGCTTTTAGTGCCACTAGCTGATTTCAGGTCTTGCTGTGTTGCCAGAGCTTCTGCCTCTACTGCGTCGAGCTTTTCATCTATGGTCAAGACGGGCTGTTGTCTTTTGATCTGTATCGGAATCAGTTCGACTTCTTCGAGTTCAAGATTCGATAGAAGCGGATGGTATGAAACTCACCTGCCGTGGAAGTCGAGATTCCAAGTCCATCATCCTTTTTCCGAGCTCTTGGCCATAGTCCTCGTCGTCAACCTCCGATTCAGGCCTGCCTTCCACTGCACAGTCTAAACTGCCAATGCCAGAGTCTGCACTTTCCCTCGATGCTGCCCATCTTTCGAACCCAGGCTTTGGTGAGGCATTGAGATTGTTCATGTCAATCGCCTGTAATGGTCGAATTGGCTTGCCTAGATTACCCGCCTTGCGCGCAATGGAAGCACGTCTTTTAGGCGACCGTTCCTGTGCCAACGGAATGTCAAGGTCTAGGTCGAGTTCTGTTGAATGTCTCTTGACGGGGCGCTTTCTGACCATGTCGCTTTGAGTTGGTATTCGACTTCCAATGTCTTCTTGTTCGGATTCTGGGAAAATTTCTCCGTGGTCTGGTTCTTCTTCTTCTTCCAACTTGCTGGCTTCGTACAGTATCGACGACAATTCCTCGTTTGTTCCAAAGACAGGTTGCCCGTCAGGTAGCAAAGCCACACTCTTTCCAAACTCCAGCCTCGACAGATCGTCCTTTGACAATCCTTCGCTATTCTCAGCCATACGTCTGCGCCAATTATCCATCATCGTTACCGCTTCCTTCCACCGGTTTGCCATCTTTTCCCATCCTGCTCTCAACTTGATGATTTCTTCGTCACGGATTTCGACTTCTTCGATCGGGACGAAGGAAGGATCTTTGAGTATTGATTGGCAGTGTCCCAGGATGGCAGTCATTTGTTCAGCTAGCTCGTCGCAAGATGTAAGGTCTTCAGCTTGTGGTTGCTGGGGAGTCGATCTCCGATTGGCTTCGCTGTAATGGTCTGGTGTGCCTATCCTTCCTTCCTGGTCTTCTTCATTCTCAGCACCCGCTCCGGTATCTTTCAGCCCAGTGATATCTCGTATTATCCGCATGGTGTCCGTAATTATGCGTCTAAGGGACACATTTTCTGTACTCGTCTCATTGACCAATGCAGCCAGGAACTCGTTGGTTTCCTTTTCTAGGCTCCACTCGGAGCTGTTCACATCCTGTCCGTTGCGCAGTTCCCTGCCCTTGACTTCTGGCTCCCAGTTGATTGTATTTATCTTCATTCCGCTCGAATCTTTCTTCCCCCGCTGCAATCCCGCCAAAAAGCCCTTCAGTTTGTCGAGTTCCGCATCCCTTTTGCGAACGTCGCTCAGACATTTGCTCCGCACCTGGTCCAGAGTAGATTTCATCTTCAACATCTGCTCTCTTAGCTCTTTCGCTTGGGTTTCGAGTTTGCGCACGTTTGTCTTCAACGCTCGCTCCTGCGCCTCGGCGGCAGCAGCTGCTCGCGAGAGTTCAGCATTCTTGGCCTGCAACTTTTGGAGATCGAGGACACGCTGGGCTTCGTCGGCGCGGGCTTGGCGGATATGGATGGCGAGGTTCTCTCGTTGTTCGGCATCCTGATCACGTCGAAGGACCAGGTCGTGGACGAGATTGATGATCCGGGCCATCGTTGGATTCGTGCTGGAGCCATGACGATCTGGTCGAGCAAAGTCGATGGGTTTGCCATTTGAGAGGAGTCCACGCGCGAGCAAGAGATTGTTTAGGTATTCGGATGCTCTTTCCAGGCTGTTTGATTCCATCTTGACTATGCTCAGATGGACCAAATGCTTGTTGCGCCCTGCTGCGGCAGTTTCTCGCTGGACTTGAGGCAGTTGTCAAAATGAGGCTAGTGGTAAACACAGCATCTCCGGGCCGGAAGTTTTTCCGGCGTTTCACGTGTAAACCCTGTTAACAATGGACGCGTCGGGGAAGAGCGCGACGAGGTACCCTCCTCTGTGCCTCCTGGGTGCCTCCTGGGTGCTTGCACTTCTAATCCTTCCTGGACTCCTCGATTCATTCCTCATTCCCTTCCCCAAGCTCACGTCAAGTCTCTCTCCTGCCACAATGGTTTCGGAAAATCCCAGGAAACAGATCAGGCACCTGCTTGAGGATTGCCTCAGCGCTGCCAAGAGACATGACTATGCTGTCGCCCTCACCGCTGTGAATGATGCGCTGAAAGCCCATGAGACTGACAAGAGCATACCTCTCGTGCAGATCCTGGAACACCGAGTCGCGGTCTATCTCCGAATGGATCTTCTGGACCAGGCTCTGAAAGACGGGAAAGCCATGATTCGACTTGATCCCAAGGACGCACGAGGCTACATCCGAAGTGGGATTGCCGAACGACGCAAGAACAACAAACCCGCTGCAACGAAATATTTTGAGCATGGCTTGAAGAGAGTTCCCCCCTCAGACCCGAATCACGCATTGCTTGTCAGAGAAATGGAGGAAACAGCCCAACAGATGAGAACGGAAATCGTCCTCTCGCGAGCAAAAGACCCCCTCAGTGTCCTGCCGATCGAGGTTATCGAAATAGTTATTTCATTTCTCGACTACCGGTCGAACATACGTCTACTCCGTGTCTCCAGGTCTTGGAACAAAATCGTGACCAGCTCGCACCCATTGATCGATACCCTGGCTTTTCCTAATTCCACAAAACCCATCACCCCGAAATGGCTTGTTGCTGCCCTCAAAAGGTGTTCGACACTCAAGACAGTCAAACTGTCCGTACTTACCAGCCCTGCAGCGACATACCTTGGCAGCGTTTTGCAGCAAGGCGGGCGCTTTCCAGCGCTGGAGTATTTCGAGTGGCTAGATATCGAGAGCTCCCAATCCCGATTGTGGCTGCCTGTGTGCCAATATGACCTGAGGGTCATCATTATTGACTGCCAAAAGTCATCGGTCCCTGTCGAACGCGTTGACACTGTTCTACGCCGATGCAGATCTCTAGAGACTGCCAAATTCCAGTATGTGACTGGACCGACCGGTGGGCGGGTATCTCTGCACAGTAACAGTCTCCGAGAGATAGAGCTTCATTTTAGCGACATGATCTCTTTGGATTCAGTACGTAAAGAACTTCTTGAACACGTCATCTCATTATTATTAGAGCTGATTCTGTTTCCCTAGGACGCCATCTCTTTTGTGTGTCCTGAGTTGAGGTCGCTGTCCTACAAGTTCGTCCGCTCTCCCATCATAGGTATTTTAGATCTCAGTCATATGAGGAAACTCCGAAGCCTCAGTGTGAGCAACATCAAATTGACCGCCATGAGCCTGCCTGCATCGCTTGTGCAGTTGCGGCTCGTCTCATGCATGTTCCTCGGCCACATATTCGACGCTGTTGACCATCACCCCACACTAAACGAGCTCGAGGACCTCCAAGTGCACGATTGTACCTTGTTCCCCGTATGCCTCCTCATCTCCATCCAAAAGACGAAACCGGGGAAGCTGTCGAAATGTTCGGTGACCGCCACCGAAGTAGCCGCGCGGGACTTGGTCATGATGATGAGCACGCCTTGGTTTCAAACCCTGAAATACCTCCGTATTGTCGATTTCGACTTCATCAGTCCCTACGCCTTTCAATACATCAAGGACTGTCTGGCTCTGGAAGAAGTATGTCTCGAAAAGGCTGCAAAGTTGGGGACGTTCGTGTCGGATTTGATCAGAGAAGCCGCCCACCTTCGCAAAGTTTCCCTCCTTGACTGCCCCAACGTGGGCCGAGACCTCATTCCATGGGCAAAAGAACGTGGAGTGGAGGTAGAGATCATCCAACGAGACAGACCTTTGGGCAGTGGACGCCGCGTCGTCGAGACTTATTGAACTGCTGGGGCAGCGACCAGTCCATCCTTCCACCACGGTCGGGAAATGATGTTCTCACATCCAATCAAATCTTCTCGACGGAACGTTGCGAGATACACGAGACAGCTATTTCGAGTACTAGCAAAAGAAGTGTACAGAAGCCCAGGGGTCAGCATGTCGCCCGCACCTCGGTAGCCGCATCAAACCGCAAGCCGAGCAACACCTGCAGAACAGGCAAGGCATGAGAACGCATTTGTTTGCCAGGTGGACAAGAGGAGGACAGGGCGCATGCTGGACGCTGTTTGTGGTCCTATTGTCTAATCAGCATAGAATCTTGATGTTGGACGAGACCAAGGTCGGAGGAGGGGTTCAAATTAATATAGGCCCCTTGTCGTCGAAGCATATCAAACTGAACCGATTCCAAGTCGAATCTTTGGTTCTCGTCCTAGTCTCGCTTGACCTATTGTCTCTCTTCCTTGTCATCAAAAGACCCCCGTTTTCTCCCTGTGCGTCCAAACCCGACCATTTCGCTCCCTTGAGCTTCCATTTCAATGATTTGGGAGTTCAGTGGATGGATGAAGTAAGTGATGGTCACCCCGGATTTGGTTGATACTCAAAACTTCTGTCGTTTACCGTCCGCATTAACATTCCAAAGCTGCTAGCGTCGACCGGGAGTATCAGTCCTTTGCTCATTAATCGCTCACCCGGACAGATAGATGGAAGTTATCTTGAGTCTTGAAAATGTGCTGATAGATTACGTTTCGTCAAATACAAGCCCTTCTGGTCTAGGGGCACGCCATCTCTATCCAGTCATGCTGTTGCTTCAGTGTCTTCCAGGTTGGATTCGAAACAACATCTTCCAGCCCATGCATCTGCCTGTATCTCTCCCTTGGAGAGATGACTCTTTTCTGGTTGCCCAGTCTGTTCAGCCTCTATCGCTGCAACGCCGACTCTTTCAGAGAACAGATAACAATGTGTGAAATGACCATCACGAAAAAATGTGCATCACTTTCGACACCAAACTTTGAAAGTCCTGGAATCAACCATTGTACCCCTGGTAGTCCTCTCGTGATATTTACAGAAGATCAAAAGCGCCCAGTCCGAACACTGAAGGTCTTCGTCGAGGGTGAAATCACTGCTCGCCCAAGGTTCTGGCCATCCCTCTGCTAATCTGGCTTGCCGCATGCTGCGTTCGGTTACCGTCGGTTTTCTAGGCTCAGGAAAGCCCTTAACTCGCGTCTCCGTTGTTGTCCTCTGTGACTAGTGCACTAGTATGCTGTCGGCACGATCATTCCCCTGTCGTGCCTGTCCCGTGTATCCTCGTCTCATTTCCTGTCCAATTGGCGCTCATCTGACCTCAAGCATTGCGACGCCAAGATCCGCAAAGTCGACGTCGCAGCTTTAGCCCAGCCCATAAACTCCGGGCGTTAGAATTGTTGGATATTGTGTGGATAGTCGCAATCTCAACCAGTCCATTTGTCCAACCTGAGCTGCAAATACAGCGCATCGGATCATAAAATGTCCAAATCCTCAAACTCTGCAACCAATCCATCTACAGTCTCCCAGTTGTGTCGGGGTTCGAACTCCATCGGCCTACTGGCATAACAGCCGACCCAGACGGTGACCTTCTGGTGTTCCAGCCCCCCACCAAAGAAGCCCATGATCTCACGCATCTTCCTCCAGTCGGATGCGACGTCTTCCGGGTTGCGTTCGCGTTGGTATCGTGGATCGAGGTCCGAATAAGGGTAATGTGGCTGTTCAATGGAAGCAATATGATCCGGTAGCTTGTACCAAATCCAAAGAGACTCCTCGACGCGCTCGAGTTTAATGCGGAGGGAGTGCGAAGTGAGTGAGTAAGAACCATACGGTGTCGGTGGTGATGGCAAGCGTGCTGAAGAAGCCCAGTCTGCGCCGCAAGGGGAAATTGCCACTACGGAGGCAGCATGGAGCTCCCCTTCTATCAATTGAAGGCCCGCCTTGGCCCATTTCCCTGTTGCCAACGTTTCGTTCCCCGGTCTTTGGCATCGCGACATACGACGAGCAGCAACTGTTGATGGCCTGGAAGGATCAGGAAGGGAGCCAGCGAAAATGACGATGCCGGCTTGGTCAAATTCCCTGGCGAAGTCGGCGGACACAGTTACTTCGGCTAGAATAAAGGACTGGCGTAATCGTTTTAGGATCATGGGGGCACTGGTGTCATCGGACGCTGAAGGTTTGCGCCAGATGCTTGTATTCGGCGGCGCTCTCAAAGAGAAGTACTCATGCAGATCTTCGGGCTGTTCAAAGTTGGCTGGGACGTTGACCGCCACAAAGTCCTCGCAGGCAAGCTCCATTACGTAGGACAAAGGCAGGCCTGAGCGCGTCTGCTGAACGTAGGGTTTGGAGATTTCTGACTAAAAATTGCTCGTTCAAGGTTGGTAGTCGGAGAGATGAAACGTCAACTGAGTTGTGGTCTGTTATCCGAGTCGAGATGCCAGCTCAGCGGTCGCACAGCAGAAGGTGGTTCACAGTCAGACTCACAATGACAGCTTCAGGCAAAACGTGGTGTATCTGTGTAGAAAGGAAAATTTCACCAACAGCCATAGACCATCTCACGAGAGAGGAAGAGTTGGCAACAAGATAAGGCACTGACAGTCGATCCAAGCATTTTCAGAAACGGGGGAGCAGCATGTCGTGTTTTAAACTTGAACAGCTGAATGGGAAGGCAACGGTGGAGGCCCAGTGGCATCAGGATGCGAGCATCTCTCTGTGAAAGGTCACTGCAAGTTTGTCAGTGGTGAAAGAGGGAACAAAGGTAGGAACGCTGGATGGATGTGGCCAAACTGCCAATATTGCTGGCAGCTGGGACTCGTGTGCTAGGCTCAGCAACCCTTGGACGAATCATGGGGCCCTTACGGATTTGACGGTCCAGTGGACCTGCAGAGGGGGGACGTGCCTCAGGGGAGAAGCCACGAGCTGAAGAAAATACCTTGCTTGCATGTTAGATGGAGGTTAGCCGGGTGCCGATACGTCGCCACGCCCCGGCCGGAATCATCCTCGCCAACCAATCAACAGCAGTATCACCATCTTCCAATATTAAGGGAACCGGGGAGTTGGGAAGCCCATGGACGCAACAAGGTTTCCGGGAACCACACACCGCCCCCGTCCAACAAGGTGGGAAGCCGAAAGCGGAACAATGATCATGGATCGTGGAGGGAGGCAAGGTGACTGCAGGGACTCCATCAAGAGAGCCTTAGGGTGTGTCCTCATGACCAAGACCGACCTTCATTTGAAAGTGTCCGCCGGTCAGTCAGCATCAGCAATTGGGGCACCTTCCGGGCAAACAAAGGGGCTTTGATAAGGCACGCGGCGTGCATTGGGCCTGGCTCAAGCCGTCATCCCACAATAATAAAGTGTGTGCCACAATTGGGGCCTAAAGCTCTTTAGTCTTGGTATTGGTGACACGGCAGCTGACGGGGAGGCCCGTCTGAAGCGATGGGCTAGCGGCGCAGGCTGCTTCGAGAAGGAAACGATGGCTTCAACTTCCAGGGGGGAAGTTGCCCGTCTGCGCACGAAAAGCAAATCGACAACTCGCAAAGCTAGACGGCGTTTGGGTACGGAGGAGAGAAGGTGACGCCGAGGACGTGAACGAGGAAGACGAAGATGAAGATGGAGGAGGTGGTGGTGGTGATGATAGTGACGATGCTGAACGATGATGATGATGATGATGGTGGTGGGAGGATGGAAGGTTTCATGGTTGACGGTGGACGGTGGATGGTGGATGGTGGATAGATGACGAGGGCAGCGCAGTTCCCACAGGCCATCACTTTTGGCAGCACCGGAGGCTTCCACTTCCCTTGTCCGCCTGAAGCAGATGATCTCGTTTTCCGCCACCGCCGCCGACACAGCCATCAACACCGTCACCCACTGTGAACACCCACCATCGCATGATTTAAACTCGCAAACTCCGTCTCTCTACAGCCAATGTTTGCCTCTTTTCCCTTCCTCTTTGGATGGGCCATTTGGTCAGAGATCGATGTATGGCTAAAGCCTAAGACAAGCTTTGTTGCACTGGTTAGATTTGCCCCAACTGGTCTTGAAGATGTCTCAGATTCTTTCACAGCTACCTACCTAGGTACCTAGTAGGTAGACTCTGCGCTGCGTACCGAGTACGAAGTATGCTGTAACCTTCCCCCTCCATCGCTCTTCCACCTGAAAGCCATGACGAGAGGGCATTTGAACCTTACCTAGCGAGTAGGTATCTACGGACCACGAGATCTACAAATGTCGAGAGTGGGGGCTCTGGAGCTGTCTTTCAAATAGAGGTGATCTGAAATCCAATCACCAAGCTCCTCAGATTGGAAAAGCAAGAAGACGTATGCTTGTTCACTTTGCTGGAACAACTATGCACATTCAGAGGCCGTGGTTTCTTCATTTCTTCCCTTTCCCCTTCTTCTTCTTGTTCCCACCACCTGTCGAGGCTGTAACAACTGCAGCGGCATTGGGCTTTGCGTCGACATTCAGGGATTCATCCACTGCTCCACCCTGCGTTCGATCATCACCACCACCACCACCTCCTCGCTTGCCTTTCTTCTTACCCTTAGGCGGGCGATAATAGCTTCTGTCTCTCATGGGAAGCCACCGCTCGGGATCCGGTTTCTTGCTTTCATCATAGTCCTTCGGCAATCTCGATTTGCGAATACGCTTTGGTTTGAGATTGCCACCCTCCGGAGCGCCCCGTTTTCTTGTCCGACCCAGTTGTGCTATTGTGAGAGCATTCGACGACTGTGAGATGCCCGTATTCTCTAACAAGTCGATGTCGATGTTGCGAATGAGCTCGGCCGTGGCAGTCAGCTTATCAGCATCCGCCCCAACCACAGCCTCCTCATCCCAGGCATGTGATGCCACGTAACCGGCAATTGTTGCTTTGTCGTTTGGTTGTTGCTGGCGAAGCCTAGTGAAAATGTCGGATGCTAGTTTCGCATCCTCTTCGCTTTGTGACTCCAACAATGACACCCCTGCAGCAGTGAGCAAGCTCGTTGATGCATTTGATTTGGTCCGCCAATATGATGCAGCCTTGGCAAGTTCGCGTTTGACATGGTCTCTCTGACCCCGTGTCCTGTACAAACAGATCATAAGACTCACAAGCATAGGGTTGAATCTGATGTCTTGCTCGCCTTCGATGACAGTGTCCTCCAGTCTTTTAAACAATGTTTCGACCAATTCAATCGCGGAGGTAGTGTCTCCGCTCATCACGTACAGTTGAACCAGGGTGACTATTAGACCAATGTCGTTTGGCCGTTTCTCGAGTACAGGCAATATCTTTCGGATGGCAGCTTTGCCCGTTTCGTTCTTGGCATAGGCAGCAGCATTGAAAAATGATGCCAGTAGAACATCCGACGAGAGGGAGGGGGAGGTGTGTTCCTTGATGATCTTTGATGTGGATGAGATAATGCCGTTGAATTTGAAGGTCTGCAGATCGATGGTAATTCTGTTGGATTCAAGAGGGACGCTCTGGTACGAGAAAGGTCTGTCGTGTGTGGGAATATTGGGAGTTGCGTGGAAAGTCTTGTGGGCGAGAAACGGGTTGAACACAGACGAAGTTGACAGAACGTTGTTCTGACCGATTTTGCGGGTTGAAAGGTCAGAGGCGTCCGCGGCGTTGATCTCGCCAGCGAGCTTCTCTGCTTCGGCTGTTTTGCCCAAACATAATAGCACGAACAACTGCTGGACAGAGATAGGGAGGAGCTCGTCGGCTTTTTGCTGGTCCGTCAGATCGTCCGAGTGCTTGCATAGCTCTTTTGCCCGCTTGAGGAGAACTTCGGCTTGAGCATATTCTCCTCTCGCAATGCTGCCACATGCGGCGTTATACGCGGTTTCAAAGGCTTCAAGATCTTCTCTCCCGACTTTTCGTATTGATAGAGGGTCGGCAAAACCAAGCCATTGCGCCTGTGCATCGATAGCACTCTGGTTTACTTTGAGATCGTATTGCTCTGAATCGACCTGCTGACTTCGTAGTCGCTTGTACAGTTCTGAGGGAATGCTCGAGTCTTCAAGACGGTATCGGGCTTGCGCTTCGATGTGTTGTGCCCCCCTCCCCTTTATCGTAGCTGCCAACTCTGCGGCCTCTTTTAGACGGCCGGTCTTGTACAAGGCATAGGCATATTCCAGCTCAACCTTCTTCTTCAATCCAGCAGTGTCTTCAATGAATTTCACGGCCTCCTCGTAACGGTCGAGTTTGAGGAGTGCGACCACTTTGACATGCTGGGTTTCCGAGTCAGAGCCCTTTGAGGCCTTCAACGATTTGTTGCATTCCGAGAGAATCTGCTCGTGGTCTTCGAGCGTCGACTTTTTGAGGAGGGATGACAGAGTGGAGGGAAGTGAGGCGGACATGCCGCCGTAGAAAAGCACTGATCTGGCCAAGTTACTGTCGCATGTCTCGCGGTGATCACAAAGAGAACGGCTGGTCAAGGAAAAGAACTATACGTCCTCCGTTCAAGGGGCGTCGCGGTAGTCGTATCTAACTAGAGATGTCGAGGACTCTTGAGGACTTGTCGTGGGGCAGATTGACAATATTGCACTGAATGGCGTAAAAAGCAACCGAATTTTCCCCCACACAATCTTTCGTCGAGTCTCCAATCGAGATTCGATGATGGCGATGCGGCGCCCTCCCGATAAGATGAGCACACGACTCTCTTGACAACATCGCGTTGGGTTAGTTTCGATGTACGGAGTACGTCTAAGAGACAGGGAGGTTATCATCGCCAACGAAGGAGGATGTTGCGATAGAGTACGCTGTGCACAGTGCGCCAGACGACCAAGTTGAAGTTGAACGCCTGTCTTCTCTATTTCGTCAGTTCATTCCTGTCTGCCTTTCTATGACTCCTACAAATTCACAAACCCTTCAACGGGAATCCTCTTTGTTTTCTCTTGTGCAAGCAAACAAGCAGCCATATCACCCGTATCACCCGCACGAGTTGATTCTCTGGTGAATGTCCACATTCTTCCGCAGCCTGTTTGGTCTCTACAGCAAGTTTTCATGTCTCCCGTTCACGCTGCCACGGACCACTGTCTTGCTGCCTGGTCCACTATCTCAAACCTTGCCGTGCGCCATGGATATCAATAGCGGTAACTTCTCAGAAGAAGTCATCAAAATAATCGAGCATATCGCCAGCAGCCGATTTATCGCTTTTGATCTGGAATTCTCAGGTGTCGCGGGGAGGAAGCCCGGAGGTCGTTCAGGCCAGCTTGATTTACACGAGTATTACCAAGACCTCAGATCGGCGGCGCAGATCTATCAGATCTTACAGGTCGGTTTGACTGTTGTCACTGAGGACATCGAGGAAGGTACGCGTTTGTTTGTTTGTGATCCAGCGTCCATATACCTGGCTTTCATCCCCGTGAGGGCAGATCTGCATGATACAAGGCGTGCGTGATGTACGGCTCACATATCTCTCTCTTCTACCACCCCACTTCCCGCAAGGATAGCATCAAGTACAATTTTTGCAGGTCTCTCGGACTGACTGACAGCTCCAGGACGATATGACACTCGTCCTTATAATTTCCACCTCAGTCCATTACCCGCAACCAAAGAATCAGTCTTCACTCGAGTATGGTCGTATAACAGTGGCGGTACGATGTCGAAACGCTCGCTAACGCTCGCCAATGGCTGATCTGACTAGCAATCTCTTTCCTACTACGCAATGGATTCAGCATTGATAAACCCATTACAGAGGGTATCCACTACCTGTCTCGGCAGGAGGAGGACCAAGTGCGCAAGAAAATGCTCGAAGACGAACAGCTGAGATCGAACATTCCGGATATGAAACTCAAAGAGGAAGACGCCTGTCTGGTAGAACATATCAAGCAGTCAATTGACGAGTGGCAGACCTTGCCCAAGGGCAAGCAGGAAGCCTATCTCAACATCCCCGCAGAGGATGCTAAAGAACCCATACCTTCCGAATTAAATCGCTATCAGGTTCGACTAACCCATCAAATCGTTAGAAACGAATATCCGAACCTCAAGACGCAAGGAATGGGTCATTTTGTCCAAATCACCAATCCTACCAGCAAGCAGCAAGCTAGCGAGAAAAAAGAGCGTGAGCAAAGACGCGAGACAGAGGTAGCGAACGCTATCGGTTTCCGCTGGATCTTGGAGGCCATTCTCGGCGGCGACATCTCTAAAATTCCACACTACTATGTGGTATCGGCATTTCCACCGGAAGATCAACCCAAGGACGTACAGGCCTTTCTCAACCAGCTCCAGAAAACATTGCAAAGCCAGTCCCGCGCCTTGGTCGGCCACAACTGCTTAACAGATGTCATGAATTTGTACCGGTGTTTTATTGGCGACCTTCCGGAGAACGTAGAAGACTTCAGCGCAAGTCTGCGGGACTTGTTCCCCATCATCATTGACACCAAGTATGTCGCTGGTCTGGGCAACAAGCGATGGGCCGACACGTCTCTAAGAGCTGTTGAGAGCGACTTGGCTTCTGTGGCATTGCCTGAGATACATTTGCCCCTCCATTTCGATCGATACGTTCATGTTGCCAACTATCACGAGGCTGGGTTTGATAGCTTTGTGACGGCCAAGATTGGACTGAAGCTGCCTGCCAAGTTGAGAAGAGAGCAAAAAGATGTCGCATCTTTGGTTGAGAGGTCTGCTCGCCTAGCGGAAGAGAAGACGCGTGCTACATCACCAAAACATGCCGGTCCAACAACAACCGAAGTCCAGGAAGGAGAAGATGGCCACAAGCAAGGCGTGACACGGTCACTTGTCGACATGATCAGGGCTCCAGTAAGCACGGTCAAGTCTATGCTAACAGGAGCACCAAGCGCAGTCGATCAAGTTTCCACCACGCCTGTGGCGGATGGATCATCATACATGGAAACGAATGAGAACGAGGTTAGCGACAGAGTTGTTGCGACGAAGGAGAAATCAAAGCCACCTCCAGTATCCACAGGCGAGCTCCAGAAGCTGAGAAATATGTCGAAGAAAGTCAACATATTCGACATGCTCGAAGACGACCCCACAGAAAGCTCAGAAGAGCAATTGAAGATCAATGAACAGGAGAGGATTGCAGACTTGGTGAAGCAAGGCCGGCTCTTGCCGAGATGGGAGGAGGATGCCGAGTTTTGGCAGCTGATCAGCAACAAGTTGCAGGCAAATGCCACCCAAGAAGGGATTTTGGATCTTACGAAGCATTGAATGCTATCGATGACTGCCCTGGGAGGCTGTTTTGTATTTGAGATTGATGCTGCTCTTCGGAGTTGCTATTAGTGAGGTTGAGGCCGAGGTTCAAGCGACCCGATCCTGCAACTCTACAGGTTCGTGACGAAACTCTGCGTCAATTATTTCTCCTCAACGCCGGCGGCCGACTTGACTTGCGTGACTTGCTCATTCTTTCAGAGATTGCCCATCGAGCGCTCTTTGTACATTCTGTAGCCTGCCTTTTCCTCTGTGTGTCCATAAAGCCATCATCATGTCGATAGGCACGGACTCTCAGTCAAGCTCCCGCGACCTCTCCTCGTCAATCTCGTCACTCAACCAGTCGAGCAAGCGGACGTCATCCGAGATCTCCAAAATCTACAAGCATGCGTCTCAACTATTCCTGACACGCCGGTTATTAGAGGCTTATGAAGCCCTACAGCCAGTTATCGCCCCTCCAAGCCAGAATAGACCGGACGACAGTCCAGCTCTCGCTCCCATTGCGACCGCAACCACGAGTCAGCGCATCAAGATCTGGAGCTTATACGTCACGCTCTTAAACTCCATTGTTGATCTCGGGTACGAAGAGGGGAAACAGCTCTTTGGGTCGAAAGAATACAAAGAGATTGTCCGGCGCGTACAGCATGGCGAGATCTGGGAGCAGGTCGTCAAGGATGGGTATCAGGGCCGAGAGGGCTCGGTTGACGCAGAGGTTGTCTACAACTTGTATGGCAGTTCCTTCTCCCTGGCCCCATGTTGCCCTGCAGCATTGCTAACACTACCAAAGGTCTAATCTCCTCCTCGGACAAGCTACAGACCAGAAGCTCAACCAGTCTCGCCTTGAAACCTACTTCTCGTCCTCTTCGCAACCAGACCTCGATCTCCCGGCCCATCTCGACCACGCCTTCAGCAATGGCCATCAACAATCAACAGGATTGAATGGCGCCAACACCCCCAAAGACCTCACCTCGCGCATAAAAGTCCTCGAAATCTTCACGCTGCACGTCCTGCCTAGAAACGGTGAGTGGGATTACGCAAAGAGTTTTATCTCCAACAGTGATATTTTGGACGAGGAGAGACGGGACGCGTTTATGCAGACACTTCAAGAACTGCAAGATATAACGGAAAAGGAATCGAGCCTTGAAGCTGCGGATGAGGACGTCTTTGAGGATTCAGAGGAAGTGTTCTCAAAGCCAGGAGGAACCGGAGACGCCGGCGATACTACCGGGGAAACGATTTCTCCCTCCCAAAGTGGCGCAGGATCCAAACACCAACGGACAAGTAGCGAAGTTGATTACGGGATCGAGCGGGCACATCCAAACGGCGGCGTCCCAGCTGCAAGCAAGGCCCAGACGTCAACAATGGCATCTTCTTCGCCTATGACCAGCCTTCCTCCTCAACCCGTCCCGACTGCACGGTCTCCTCCTCCACCACCCGCCGGTCCCCCGAGTTCTTCGGTACACGGCGGTCGCACCCACTTCTCACCTCCCGCACAAACACCCCGTCGTCCAGCCGGTACACGAAAGAATTCCAAATCCTCCTCCTCACAGAACGCAATAACGGCCCAAGCCCGTCAGCTCTTCCTCGCCCTCTCAAACCTAGTGCGCAATCTCGCCACGACCCTTCAAAAGAACCCCACGGCAATGTTACGATGGCTGCTTTTCGTTCTAGCGTTCGTAATGGCATTTTCCCAAAAGCACATTCGAGAAAAGACCCGAGCAGTGGCGAGGAAGGGATGGGAGAAGTTGCGGGGAACTCTTGGAATGGGGGTTAAGGTTAGTTACATCTGATTGATGGGTAAGCCCAAAAAAGGAAGAAGACTGCAAAGACTGAGGAAGGGATATACATAACGGGAAGGGGAACAAATGGAGAGAAGTGCTGCACGTCAACGCCATGAAAAACTTAAGCGGACGGTGGGCTTGGGATTTCGGGAGATGTTTGAAGGAGGGTTTCTACCGAGAGTGCATCGTCATCCTTTCGGTGAGGATATATCGCACACCGTCACCATCACCAGTAGCAGCAGAGGGTATACATGCATATAAGATGGGGGTGGTATTCCAAATGACTCGCCTGTTCAGGGCAGTGCGAGCCGTTTACCTAGAACGTTGAACCCTTTGACAAAGGAGGAAGTGGGACAAGGCTGAATCATATGCCCGTGATCCCTGTTCCTTCCTCTGCCGTGACGGACTGTTGTCTTTACTCTTATATTGAACGAGGATGCTTCTAAACTTACATGTTTTGACAAAAAGAAATTAGACCCCCGAAAAGCCAGCAACCAGATCCCAAACACGGGGGATACCCTCATCATCATGGACTTGACTCCTTTTGCATTCCACACACCATGTCCCGCCCGTATCAACAGGCCTCTTTCTCTTCTAGCGCAACCCATGGCTTTTCACCTTTCCGGTCACTGTAGCCAGCGTCCATGCTCGGCACAAATTAAAAACTTCAAGGCTTCAAAATGCGTCTGTGAAAACAAGCCACGGAACAGTAGTAGCCAGAGCGGTTATCCGGAATGGGTGTGCCCTTGCAGTCCCATCGACCAGGCCTAGCCTACTTGCTGCCCATATCTCCAATTTGCTGCACTCCCATCTTAACGCCCGCCTTCTCCAGCCGGTCCACATAATCATCACCCAAACAGCTTGGGGTCAAGAATCCCGGGCCATGGCTTTTCTTTATCTGTTCTTCCTTTGTCAAAATCACCATGGCGGCCTCACTCATCAACAGGGCGGTCAGAGCATAGATTCCGCCCTCATAACGGAAATGTGCCAGGGCCTTGCGGGGCTGCTTGGCAAGCTGTTCGGCGACGGCGACGGCGCGGATTTCCAGGGCATCGCCTTTGGTGGATTCTTTGGTCGGGCCAGAGCCAGGTTTGTAGTTGGCGAAGAGTTTCAGGATAGCCCGCGTTGGGGGAAATGCGAGCAACAAGACCAAGACGGTGACAGCGATGTGAATCAACACGCCCACGACAGGGCTCGCCACAGCCATATACTCCTCGTACGAAAAGTTGAAGCCGTAGAAGTAGGGCGTCAATCCCGCAGAGCGGTGGACTATTGCCTCGTTGGGCTTTGCGGTGATGGAAGTCGTCAAGTGGCCCAGGCGGGGATATTTCCAGACGCCCGTGAGTTTCTGGAGACCTGTGCGTTCGTATGTGTTTGGCTCGGGGTTGCGTGGGTAGATGGTGTCCTTGGTGAACGGCCGGAGGTTGGAGGGGGAAAGCACAAAGGGGTCGCTCATACACTGCTTCATCACCTTTGTTGAATAGAAGTCGGCCAGTCCCAACCCGGTGGCCAAGGTGCCGCCGCTGGGCCCCGAGGATTTCAACTCGTGCACTGCGGCGACCATGTCCATGACGCCGCAATCCCAGATTTTGCGGACTAGACGAGTGGCGATATAGGCGACAAGGTCGGAGGGGGCGGACTCTACGCCCACCTCGGGGATCATGATGGCTCCGGTTTTCTTGGCGGTGTCTTCATACTTGACAATGATATCACGAACCCATGGGGTTTCGCCGGTCACATCAAGGTAGTGCGTTCCCTGTTGAGCACAAGCCTCGACCACGGGAGTCGAGTAGAGATGGTAAGGGCCCACGGCGTTCAAGAGCACTTTGGTCTTCTTGACCACAGGGGTCAATTCAGGGGTAGTCAGACTGGCGACAGTGATGACATCGGGAGAGCTGCGTGTCGAGTTCAATGACTTCAGCTCACCGACCAAGGATTGAAGTTTGGATTGATTGCGTCCAGCCACGGCCCATTTGATGTTGGTGGGAAGGTTGGTCGTGATGTATTCAGCGGTGAGTTTGCCAGTGTAGCCAGTGGCTCCTAGTAGGATAATGTCGTATTGACGACTAGCAGTAGTAGCGGCCATTGTGAGGCAAGGCAAGGTGAGCTGTCAGAATTGAAGTAAAAAGGGGGTCGAAGACAGACACGGAGTCGTTGCTGCCAGGAGAAGGAAAAATAGTAGTAGAAGAAGAGCAGATACTCTAAGGAACGTGGAGAATAAGGAGACTACAAGAAGCAGATTGGAAAATAAAACAGAATCTCGAAACAGCGCCAGCAACGGTCAGCAATTGATGTCCCGCTGGATTGATACGGTGTAGAAATGAAGGCCAAGGTGTCGTCTTTTTTGGGGGGAAGTTTGACAATAATGGATCAGAACGCGGACCCACGAACGCAGACGCTAAAGACGCGAATGAGCTGAACCAACGTGCGAATAAAGACAAAACCACACAGGTCGTTAAACAAGAGAAAGAGCCACCAAGTGTTGGGCCCTGAGACGTGCAGGCGATAGTCGTCGGCGCCATTGGCTGCCCAGCCGAACACTAGCGGGATTGATTGAACGTGGCTGGAGCTGGGGGCGTTTGTGTCCGAGCGGCGAGTAGGCACTCCGAACCCTAATCGTCAGGGGTGAAGACAGAGGTGTCGAGGGTGTCTAGAGGCGCCCAGGCACTGCTGGGACCTACCTAGGTCCAAGTCCTCCGTGCCTATACCTGGAGTAGGTAACCTAGTACTCCGGGAAGGAGGGAGGGGGCCCGGTGCCGGGAGCCTCTCACTCCAGGCGGGAGCCATACGGAGCAGCGCCCCCAAAGTAGGGATATTTTTGGCACCTCCTCATAGGCTTGTCAGGAGGCAGAAAGTCCGCGACCAATGCACATGCTCAGACAGAAACTCGCTTGTCGGGCGTCCTGGGCGTCCACACCACGCACATTGTCAGGCACACGAAGCCCGCGCTGTCCACAGGAAAGTGGAATGATGCGTGGCATGAACATTTGTTCTAGATATGGGCCCTAAATCCCAGAGGCCCTTGCTCCCCCTTATGGGCGCATTGACCTATGGCTACCTAGCTCGCTAGGTAAGGAGCGGCCCCCGGCTGATTCAGCGGGGTTTAGTCACGTGACATAGCCCACGCCGCGCCAAGACGCTAAACCGCACTGTGAAATCCGCATCCAACTTTTGCAACTGTGCAAATTGTGAACCAGCACCGACGTTCTCCAGCACACTCTACTAAATCAACCCTTCGTCTACCACCGCCAACATGACGAAGCGCACAAAGAGTGAGTCCCTCATCACCCCAGAAATCTGACAGGGACGCGACTGACAACGTGCAGAGGTCGGCGTGACCGGTAAATACGGCACTCGCTATGGTGCTTCGCTCCGAAAACAGGTCAAGAAGATGGAAATCACCCAACACGCCCGATACATCTGCACCTTCTGTGGCAAGAACACCGTCAAGAGAGAGGCCGTCGGAATCTGGAAATGCAAGGGTTGCAAGAAGACAGTGGCTGGGGGCGCATGGACAGTTTCGTAAGTCGAAGAGGAGGGCGGGCATATCGAGACCATAGGTCGAAATCTTCTAACATTTTGCGCCCTTCCAGAACTCCCGCTGCGGCTGCCACCAGATCGACCATTCGACGACTGAGGGAAATTGCGGAGGTGTAAAGCAATGTTTAGCATGGGCTCGGAGTTCTCAATCCCACGGATACGGAATCTTTCCACAAATTCTCAAGTAGCACCTCAGGCTTCGCCTGAAGGAAAAAGAACGGCCTCGGTCGAGCAGGACACGCAGCTTCCGCATCGATGAAAGCAAAACGCTGCCTATTATGACCAAAGCCGAGTCGTTAGACCTCCAATCGAATGAACGAATGCAATGACCGACGGCTCCAAATCGTTGTCGGTCTGCTTCTTACTACTCTTAGCCTTCATTCTGTTTTCTGAGTTGCTGTGCTTCGAGCAGCCGATTTTGATCCGACCTCAAGGCCGCAAAGTCGGCTTTGCTCGAAGTCTCATGTCTATGACTGATGCCGTACGGACCGCAAACACTTGTCATTCATTCAGTCCAGCCGGCAGCGCGATTTATGTCTCCACGTTGTGCACCGGGTGACTACCGATGCCTCATTTGAAGGGATATCATGGAGTGGCCCCTAAATCTCACCCCTTGGCCCATCTTACCCCGACTTCAAATTCACCGCTACTTGGAAGGCTTGAAACGAGAGGTGCTGCTTCTTATGAGTACACTTGCACACTATTTCCGAGGCTGTGACCTCATCGTTCCGTTGATGAGATCCTTTCGACAACTTCGAAGCAGCCAAGGTGCGAACGCGCTTCTCCTTGTTGCCTGGATCTTTTAATGCTCTTTCTTCTAGGTTTTAGGCACGAGCAGGCGTCATCTGCCATTCAAGATGCGAATGATCCCCCGATCCTCGAGCTTACCCCATCCTGGCCAAGAATTCAACCGAGGGATGAGCTGAGGCTGCCACTGGGTGCCACCAAAGCTGAGCCTGCTGAGCGAACAGCCCCAGAAGCCAGTCACATTCATCATCCAGCTCCAAGCCGCCTATTTCCATTGGTTCGCCACAGCTGCCGCTTTCAGCGGGCCCTTAAATCGGATCTGCTCGCTCCACCTGCACCGTCGCTTCTTCCCTCTTCTTGACACTTTAAATGCCACCACCAAACACCCGTCCTGTGCCCATGACCCTGCTGCTGCTTGAGTTCCCTCAAAAATCTCCTGGCGTATCTGAATGTCAGATACCTGTATTGTCTGCTTAGGAGACTTGAGCAGCGGCGATGGCGAAGTTGCAGCTCCCCTTGCCAACCCTGCTGCCAAGTCTCCACCCAGCATCGACGCCGCCGCCTCGAGGACGATTGAAGCCGAACATGAGCCAACTATCACGACCTCGGCGGACAAAGACTCGACCGAGTTGATCGCCCATTTGAGGCCGTGTGGGCACTACCTGCACAACGAATGTCTCACGCCATGGGTAGAAAGAGCAAACAGTTGCCCGATCTGTCGTGCCAGTTTTCATCTCGTCGAATTGATGCGGACTATCAACGGTATGTTTAACCAGCCCAGTCGCTGTTCCATTACACACCATGCTAACATGAACATAGGCGATGTCATTTCGTCATACTCTGTCGAAGACCGAACGCAGGTTGCCGAGTTGGACCCTTCCATGTTTCTCGAAATCCCAGAAGAGGAGGATGAGGACCAACCCTGTCAGGCCTGCGGCGAAGACGATAATGAAGACGTCCTGATGTACTGCGATGGCTGTCAGAAATTATGGCATACTTATTGTGTCGATTTGCAAGAGGTGCCCTACGGCCACTGGTTTTGTGACAACTGCAGAGCACAGCGAGATCTTGACCCTCGTGTAATTGTGCGGTCAGGGCGACCGAATCGAAGACGCACGCGAGGCCAACAGCGCAGGCAACGAGGTCAAGAGTCAAGCTGGAATCAAGTCTGGCAGTCTGTTTGGTCACGCATCAACCTTGACCTTGACTTTCCTTATGAGGACGATGAATCATCAGCCAGATATCTGAGGCGTCACCGGCAACGCACCCAGGCCGATAGGCAGGCCCATGACGCTTGGTTGCGCCGGATGCAGGTTGCAGAACTTCATGGGGCTGGCAGTCGGTTTAGGGAGACGGAACCAGCACTTCCCAGCAGCCCCGGGGGTGATTCGACACCGAGGAACCGACGCGTAAGAGCGTCTCCGCTTCCACAAGCCGAGACTGCAGATGAACTCCTGGCATGGCATGCCTTTGACCAAGCTCGAGCCTCTCCGAGTGAGCCCAGTTCGACACGCAAAAGAAAGCGGAAATCCCCTACATCGTCTCCAGCAGAACCCGAGAACGAACCCTCGTCTGCGAACAAACGTCGACGCCCTAGCGCGTCTAGCCGCACAGTTTCTGATGGTCATGCTGTTACCATTACCAGCAATCGGCGACGGCAGCCTTCACGCATCGCCAGTCCCATTCCAAGAAGGCAGCCTAATGTGGAACCAGCGGGGCCCAGCTTTCTGCAATCCCTTTTGCAAGAAGTTGAGGATGCTGGTTCCGGTACTCATAGTATCAATCTCCATCGTCCTTCTCCTCGTCCTGCAGCAAGTCCACCAGCGGACCAAAATTCTCCGCGACCGTCCTCACCTGCTTTATCTCCTCTACCCTCGAATCATTCTTCGCCTCGGGCAATGTCAGCTACTCCACCTCCACTTCTTGCAGGGCTCAGACCTGGCTCCCCTGCTGGCTTGTCTTCGAGCATACAGCCTGTCTTTCCATCCACTGAATACTCTCCTCAACGATCTACCTCGCCAGAGCCGAAACAGGCAGAGACGAATGGCCCCCGGTTTAATGGATCGAGGATTCCTCCACCTCCTTCGACGTCTACACCATTAGCACAGCCAAGACCTAGGAGTCGAGTACCACGCATTCTTGAAAATGGGCAGGATTCTACTGTGGATTCGCGCTCGACCGAGGCTTCGCCCAACCGCGCAACCATGTCTCTGACTGCAAAAGCCGACGTGCAAAAGCTCGTTGCGAGCGCCCTCAAACCACACTATAATGACCAAACCATTACGAAAGATGAATACACGGCGATCAATCGCGACATTTCCCGGATGCTGTACGATAAGATTGGTGATTTTGAGGCCCTTGATGTGGACGACAAGGCAAAGTGGGAGAAGATCGCCGGTGACGAGGTCAACAAGGCTGTGGGTGCGCTCAAAGCTCAAGGTTGAAAAGGAATACTTGAGCGTTATTTATGATTGTTCTCTTGCGCGAAAGCAAGTTTGAATTTAGGATTCAAGCGACGAATTTCACGATGTTATGACCTAGCGTGGGCGGGAATTTGGAAAGGGCGGCAAACACCACGATATTCGGGCTCTATGGGCTCATTTTATGGACGTGGCGGGTCTGTCTATTCCAGTGAGCTTGAGCGATGGCGATGGCGGTTCCTGTCGATGCATTGTGGGAGCGGATACACCTTGAGCAGATACAAGCATTCGGAGCGGTGGGGAGCAAAGGGGAAGGATTGTACAGAAATACCCGGATGCAAGAGATGATACATGACTGTCCGGAATGTTTGCACCACCACGAGGGGTTGTGTTTGTCTCGACCAGACGTTAAGGGCGAAAGAGATGTGTACAATACAGGGACAAGGGAGATTAGGCTGTGAATGTAAGCATCGTGGCCACCTTTCAGGGAGGCAGAATCCAAAGTGAAGACGGAGAAGACGAGTTTCTGCTCGCATGTGCCCTCAATCAAATTGATTCAAGATGCTGAATGATTTCCAAGTCTTTGTTACTGCCCTTTTCTGTGGTCACTTTCGACTTCTACCATGTCACATGCTGTGGCGCCGAGACTGTCCCCAAGGACGAGGACATGCACAGATCCCAGTGCGACGCATGGGTATTACTTTCTGCAGAGGGAGCCTAACTACCTAGGTAGGTACCTAGGTAGTCAAGATGAGCCCCAACGCAGCTGTTCAGCCATGTCAAGGCGCCTCCTCGGCAGGGCTTACAATGACTGGATTACAAGACATATACACACACAGAGCCTACGAGTACGAGTTACGTCGCTGCTTAGTTGCCTTGCCATGCCTTGCTATGCTTCTGTACTGCTCGACACTTCGATCAATATTTGCCATTCAAGGCCTGGGGAGAATGTGCTGGTCAGACTGCTCGTTACATGCATCGGTCTCTGAGCCTGGCGCCTAAGGTATCCTCTGATCACGGCATATAACTCGCACGGGGGCGAGTAGATGGAACTTTTGGGACGGGATGGATGGGTGGAATGGAAGTTTGCACGCCACGTTTTGGATCATTTTAGGATGAGTGCCGTTCCCAGATGCAACTGGTTTCTGGGACGTTTGGAAAAGGCGTCCTCATCGAATGCATGGATGCCGTGCTTTTTCCAGCCTGATCGTGATGCCTAGACGACGTAAATGGTGTCTGTGGACGAGATTCGCCCCCACCCCCCCTTTTTATTCCTCTTCCGTTTCACAATCCAGTCTCGACAAGGCTACGAGTGCGCTTGGAAAAAGATAGAGCCCGATCTCAACCAGTTGCAGCTTTATCTTTTCTTTGATTCGATGGAGCCAGACTTCACTCATCAAAGAGGTAAAATTGCCAGACACATGAAACGGGCCCCGGGGTGGGGGTATGAGTAGCGATTGGACGGGTGCGGGCCAATGGAATCTCTCTGAGTTACGCCCTGCCATCACTGATCTGGGAAACGAGGATGGGTGCCTTGCTTGGTCGAAACTGGAGATGCTTTAACAACGTAAGAAACGAGCACTCGTTCTTGTTCTCGTAGGTGAGAAGTCGGCTGCTAACGTCGAATTGGTTCGGGACGGCGTTCTGGCTTCTCGCTGGGCTACCGTGGTTGAGTCGAGAAATCGGATAGAATATCTAAGGAGGCCGATGCTGGCGCCTGGCTGATGTGTTGCCTGGGAAGCCGTCATGAGGAGTCGGTAGGCATAGACGTGGTCTAGCAGTCTCTTCCATGATGCACAGATGACTTGAGTTTGTTGTCCCGTATCGTGGACGCAAGTGAAAGCAATGTCGCATAGGTAACTCGACATACGAGGCTAAAGGGGTGCAGTCCCAATGTCGGGCTCGTTATCCTGCACCAGGAAGTGTCTTCGGAGATGGAGGGCTATTATAGTGCCAAATCGGGAGGAGACAAAATGGTCCCTAGGACTCTCTGCATCGAGAGCAGGACTCAGAGGTCTTCATCCGATTGCATCGTTGCTGTCGACTGGTGGTCCCAACAGCTATTGCATGACACTTCATAGGTATCAAATCGCTATGATTGTTGCCCAAAACCATGTTGCGTGTAATCAGTTCGTAGTCCAATACATGATGAACCGCTACGCCTCTGCCTTGCTGGAATTCTGTTGCAACAGATTCCTCGCCGCAAGCGGGCGGTACGAGGACAAACAATGGAAGAACATAATCTGGATAGCACATAGAAAACCGACGCCCGGCTAACAGCAACAATGTAGTTGCCTACCTAGGTAGCTTCTTCGAATCGACCGCACATAGCAGAGAAAGCTAGAAGGAAAAAGACGTCTGGCGCGAGGGCGAGGGCGAGGAGAGTCGGTGGTTGACAAATAACTATGTGTCAGACAGAGGTGGAGACAATATGCCTTGTGCCTGCATCGCCTGTGTAATTATGTCTTTTGCGGTCGTGGAATCGCCCAGCCTCAGCAGTGGTATAGACGTCGGGCGGACAGGCACGGCAGAAAGGCTTCGCTGCTCCAGATTTCCCGACTCTGCGAGATTTGCTTGCATGGATTGTTGGTCCGCAAATGTGCGGTGCTTCGCGAAATCGGCGGCTGTGGAGTCATTGAACCACTTCTCGAGAAAGAGATCCTCCAAATCATCATCTTCGATCTCCGCGTATTGTGTCTCCGTGAGTGAGGCGTACTCGCCGAGGAGTCGAGGCAAAGACTGTAACCGTTGCAGTAGCCACACATTGACGAAGTCGCCAGGGTCCACTGGGATCATGTCTGGACCACGGAGGTGATCTACCAATCTGATTTTGCGATGCAGAATCCCTTGATAGAGCGGGCTTTGCATCGCTCTCCGGCTAGGGAGGGAAATGGGATGGCTCAACAGCATCTCCCTCTCAAGATACCTCATGGCGCCTTGATCCTCATCCGGTTCACGCTCCAAAGCTTCGTTGGAGATTGCTAGGGCTTCATCGTCTGCCATGAGCTGTTTCAAAGCTTCCAGTCCTAATTCCGCATATTCTAGCTCGTCAAGCAGTACCTGTTCCTGATGGTCAAAGGTGTCTAGGAAACGCAACGAGTCTTCATCCAAGCTGAGACCGAAATGAGCTCTTGATTTCTGCTCTTCAAGGAGCTGTCTCTGCTCTCCCCGAAGATCTGAGAGCAGTTCAAGTATCATGTCGCGGTCGCCGATCGTCGACAGGTATTGAATATCTTCTGGCGAGCGCTCGGCAGGTCCATCACCCAAGTCCTCTTGCTCGTCTGCTAAACTCATAATAGTTTCAGACTCTGGGAAAACAGCTGGTTTGTCAGCGTTCGTGTCCAGGACCCTATCTAAACGCCTGCCAGAGTGAAAGAGAGACTGAATGATATCGTTTTCCAAATGAGCACATTTGGCCTCATCTGCCCGGAAAGAGGCAAATGGACCTTTACAGAACAGATCAAATTTGCGTTGTATATCACCAAGCTGTGCAGTGAGATGGTCAGGCAAATCCGCCGATTTGGTGAGATCAGTTACTTGATGTAGAAGCTCCTTCAAGGAGTCGACCACATCCTCCGTCTGCTGGAACATGGGAGCCCTTATTGCGTTCAACTCAAAGACTTGCGCTAGAACCTGTGCATTGATGTCTTGTTGCCTTTGCAATGTTGCTATGCAATCGATCACACGAGGGTCCCCCAATGCTGTTTCTTGTTGGCCGTTACCATCCCCTGTTGCTTCCTGCTCTTGCCTTTGCTCTTTCACATCATCAGACGAGGCTTTGGAATTGGACGACAGACCACCGGGGTCTCGGCCAGCCACGTCCTCTGTGGGCTTCGCGGGATATGCCCATTTCTCCCTGCCATGCTTCGATAGGCGCGACAGGTGAACGGATGGAGACTTCTTGGGGACGAAGCCATCTCTATCAATCGAAGTATCAGCATTGCGGCTCAAAGCAGATACAAGCTGGATTGGAACGGGTTACAGAGGACTTACGTTTTAGGAGCAGGTTTAGACCATGGGAATAGCCGACCCTTCAATTGCCGGCCACCGGTCAGGAAACTCAGAGCTGAATGCATTCATGCTCACTAGGCTCGGAGCAAAATGAGTATCTAGGTAGTGGAGCACAGACAAGATGAAGCACGAGTGCACGATGCCATCGATCGAGGAGGGAGCCAGCGCCTACTTGTATCGGTGCGAGAAGGGGGTTAGAAGGCGCAGGTGCATGGGTAGGAAGTGCCAGCCGCATGGCATGGTGTGCTGTTCGTGCTGGTGTGACTGGTTGCAGTGTCGGGCAGGAGGTGCAGAAATGTCGGGTCTCATTTTGGGCTCACCAGACGGGTGCCAGGGGGGGTTCTTGCAGCCCTTTGCTAGGAATTGCATGAGAAAGAGGGAGCGGCTGGTTAGTGGCGCAGCAAGACTCTCAAGGACTACCTACCTAAGGTGTCACTGTAGTGGTGCCAAAGGATCTACTCTAGGCACCGAGCTAGGCATCGAGCTAGGCATGGAACCACAATACCTAGGTAGGTAAGTACCCAGGTAGGCAAGGAGGAGGAAGGGGCCGGCGGGCGAGCGGGCTTGCCGTTATTCTATCTCGCCTCCGTCAAATTCCCCTCGTCCTTACAACTCATGTTACAGTCTCAATACCAGTACACCACCTTGGGACCTACGCACACCAAACTGCCTATCACTACGATACTCCAACCCTCCCTCCCTTACGTGCCTCAGGCATCCATCCTCTCGCACTAGCTCATCACGCTTGTCCCGCCCGTCAAATGAGATGACTGCCAACACGCAGGCATGGCTGAACCACCTGCATTCTTCAGCCCAGTCAACTCGAGCTCTCCAAGTGCAATCTGCAGCTTTGGCTTCTGGAGGATATGCTACCACTCTACCGGACTCGGCTGGTCTGGACCGGCACCCTAGGTCTCCCAGGTCTCCCAGGTCTCAAGAATATCTCCTGCCCTGGTGACCCGATATATGATGAGCTTGGAGCCCCTCCTCCCCCGGGACAGGTTCTTTACCTGAATGTGGCTCGACTGCAGATCTTCTGTCTCTTGGGTTGGTGAAGTGATCCGACATGCCCGACCAGCCCAAGTCCTTGCCTATACGGGGCGACAGGCGCAGTAATGGTCGAGCTGCTGGTAAGATACGGCGCCTGCTCCAAGAAGACTGTCAACTTACTCTAGAAAAGGACGAAACAACGACGACCCGAGGAATGATGGACAAGTTCCTGCGCAGAGACGCCCGTAAGTTCTCTACATATCAACTTGATCGAGACCTTCATATCTCATGTTTTCAGCGATGCTCCTCGATCCACGCCGCAGATCGTTCCTCAACCGGCGCAAGCAAGATTTACCGTTGCCGACCAACATCAACGTCCGTCAATTGCGAGCAACCCAATATTCCCTCAGGAGAGGTGAACTCTATGAGGATGTTTTGGTTGACTTTTCGTTGCTGACCCCGAGTACAGAACTTCACGGGGCTATGAAATTGCTCCTGGGGAACAACAGAGCCCTCGGGTTTCCCATCCAAACGCACCGGGTGCGTCGTCGTTCAACAGCAGTCTAGACTTGCTGCTTCGAGGGTTCGCAAATATCCCGAAAGGCGATTTTGAGAATGTCGCGACATATCTTCGGGCGAATCCCTCGGTTCTCAGACAGGAAGCACAAGCTCTTCGGACAGAAGCCATTCACGCGTATCGTTACGCGAGCCGCGGATCCGAGGTGAAATATAGTGGCAAAGCTATGTACGGTGATAGTTGCATTCAACAATATGTGATTCTCAAGCAATTACAACACATACGCCAGAAACTCATCGAAGCACGACATCCCAAGAGAGTGACGACTGAAGAGGTGGATGAAACCATCAACCGCTTCTTCGACCAGTTGCTTGACAAAGCGTCTTCTACGAGGAAACAACTTTATGAAGAAGTGGACAAAGCTCGTGTCGATGCCAAAAGACAGTTGCAGAGTGCCGGCCATGGCCCTCTAACCACCACCAGCAGCCCCCAGCAACCACAGACGCCGATGACCACATCTTATACAGTTAATCAAGCTCACTTAGCTCAGCAAGGTTCATTCTCAACCACAGCCTCTCATGAAACCAGCCCCCCGAGCCTTGCACTTTTGAGTCTGCGTAGCTCGGGTGGAGATGATGAAAGCCGTCCTAGGCAACCGGGTCCGACAACGCAAATTCCGCGAGGCGAGAATGCCACCGCAGCATTAGACTCCAGGTACGTAACTAGACCATCAGCCTACTACCAACCGGGGCGCGTCTTTGCTATGCTCTGGCATGAACCCTACAACGAGGGCTCCGGAAACACCGGGAACGACTCGCGACACAGCTACCTGAGCGAGCATGTGAGCATAGGGCCCTATGGACAACTCATATACACCTCGATCCGCAGGATGGTTGTCGTCCGACAGGGTCACGGCTGCAGTGTTTGTATTCATATCAGCACCTACGGCAAAAGAGGACTGGCCAAATTCAAAAGGTCCCCAACAGATATTGACGCCCATTCCATCATCTATATGGACGACACAGAGCCTCAGCACCAACCGGGCGAACCTAGATCGAACAAAATCCCTATCGCAGTCAAGAAAGCAAGTCCAGATCAGAGACTGAATCCGTGGAGCCGTCTCTGCTACTCCCAACCGCAGACGGTGCAACACACAGTGAAAACCTTGGACGTGGGCTGGGTGACCAAAGACTGTCTGCCATACTTGCTCAGTTATTTCCAGAGGGTCAACGCACTCCCTTGAGAGACTTGACTTGTCTCCACGGCACCGTTTCCACCATGATCTACATCATCAAAATACGTTACTGAACCTATCTCAGACCGATCCATACTTGATACCCCGCCGTTTACGTTCCAAATTCCAACCTTCGACGTGACCAAGGCATATTGTTGTGGTGGAGCTTGTCTTTCCCATACTTTTCTACCGAACGAGTTTGTTCCATCCTACAAAGCACCGCGTCTTCTGCCTTGGCAATTGTCTCCTCATGGCTGCGGGTTCCCCTTATTGCTTATTTTGCCACGGAGGAGATCATTGCCTTTGTAAGTAGACTTGAACGATGTGTTGCAGTTGATCTTTCTATATTGGACGATGTTGTTTTGCCGATTGTTGCACCTCACTCTTGTTGCAATCACAGAAGGGAAATTCTTTTTGATCTGTCATTAATGGGGATTGAACAACCCCGGCTCTGCTTGGTGCAGGGTGTCACGAATTCACGATATACATATCTCATAGCACTATTGAAGTCATCGGTCATCTGTCCATCAGCTTCTGCTGGCTCTCCTCCTCCGGACGACCTTCGCTGCAATGCCTCGGTTGCGCACGGTGGCCCCGTAAGCCGCAGAGCCTCACTGCGGGGACGGCAAATAGGAAACCCACCGAGCAACCCGCCGGCAGAATGGAAGAGACGGAGGACGGAGTCGCTCTGACGAAATCACAGAACAGACTTTGTAATCGGCCACCAATGCAATTCACCACATGCACTGCCCCGTCGACTTCCAAGTTGTTCCAGCTGACGGCTAAATGGGAAGAGGTCGCCATGACCTAAGACCCAGCTGATCAAGGGGGGCTTGACCTATTGGTGACTTCGACACGAAATGGTAGAATTGCTTCGCTACGATGGCATGCGTCACGAACTCGAGTTCGCAGTCTGCACACCTCCTTTGCCCGCTCCTCGGTGTCCTTTGTGCACCGCTACCGGCAACCCCATTGGCACAAGCCCGACGAATCCAGCGCTAGTTGGAAGCCACCCCTGTGAGGATTCAGGATGGCAAGACACGGACTCGGTCTACTCGTATGCAGAAGGTCCCATGGGCTATAAGAACCTGAAATTCATACAGGGGATGTAAGTGGTACGACGAGATGTCCGACAAGGGATAACGGGTCACTGTCCGAGCCATCTCTTCGGGATGCAAATACAGGCCACCATCTTTCTGCAGGATGTCGAATCACTAGCATTTGGCTAACCGATCACTGACCTTTTCGTCGCTCCATCCTTCCCATTCCTACCGATCACGGGGCTGGCTACCCCTCCATTAAGATTGCAACTTGGGCAAATTCCCCCGACGATCCCTGCAGGAATTGCAGTTCCCTTCCCTCTCATCCATACGGTTTTGTGAAGAGGCAGTTGCAGCCATTATCTTCAGCCGCAATGCTATGACGAAGGGGGCATAAGCAATGTGCCTTTCAGCTTCTCTACACCCTCTCAGCCTAGCCACTGGTCAGTTTCCTCCGTCGAGATCCATCTCCCTCGAGCGCGATTCTTCTCTCGCACGAGTGCTCGTGGCTCATCGATGTCGTCTGCTTCAGAGTGGAGAATCTCCACCCGCCCACTTCACTAGCAACAGGTAGCTACCTAGCTATTACTTAGACACAGAGCCACAGCGTCCCGAGCCAGCGGGCAGATGCCGAGCGGCCTGGTGATCCTTCGATGAAGCCAGGCGCATCCCGCAGTGCCGACATTGGGCGGGGCCTAGACTGGGGCCGAAGCAGAGTACATAGGTATGCTGACCTGAAGCCTGGCTGGTACAGAAGAGTTGGTGAAGGCTGCCTGGCTCGATAGTTGCAGTGGACTCCTTGTGAGCCTAGCCCAATGCGCTGAAGGAACAATCCGTCGAGCAGTACCATTGCGCGTTCGACACCTGTTGTTTCCCTGCCGGATCCCCTCCCAAGTCCTGCGATTTACATTGTGAGCATAGGTCAGAAAATTCCAGTAATGACGGGTGTATTTTCAAAACATTGAATCAAAGCTGCAATAACCACTGAAGGGCAACGGCACCCCCACGCTCGTTCAAGTAGAGCATACGAGTTAGTTGTTGCCTCCAGCCAGCCAGACCAAATGATGATGCTCGCCTGCCATGACTCTCGTTCCAGAACCCATGTTGGGCCACGGATCTGTCCGGCTCATTGGCCAGGCGCAGAAAGAGACTTGAATTGGAAAGAGGCTGTGCAATGTGTGTCCAGCCTACGAGTCCCGGAGCCCTGGAGGTCCCTGGATGGTGCCTCGACATGATTCGTCTGAATTATCAATCCACCACTGCATGGGTGTAGATACGTCGTCGTGAATGTCGACTGGGATCTGGGAACTGCCTACGACTGCCTTGCATCTTCTGTGTATCACAGAATTGTGCGCTCGAGTCGCCTATGTAGGTCGAGGCCCGGGCCGTCACCTGCTACTTGTACACTTTGAAGAGAGGTTGCACAGCGTCCAACCGACCCAGTTTTGGTTGTTGAAACCAGCCAACTACGAGTACACCTCATCACTGGCGCGGCTCGAGGGCCTCCCCTATTGCACTGCGTAGGACAAAACAAAGTGGCAAAACTATTTCGAAAGAGACCAGAGATGTCAAACAATTGATTGGCAATATAGAATATCACAAGGCAATCAATCAGCCACGGCTGTGCCACCTGAGAGTTGTATTCAGGGTCATTGGTGGCGAGACGGGTTTTCTCCCCTTCGGTAACCGAACAGGCCAGCTGATGTCTCGGTCGTTGGATGCCTCCCCTTTTTGAGACTCCCTAGAGCTGACTGGACGACTTGTAGCATAAGTGCTACCTGGATTGCAAGGCTGAACTCCCCCGAAAAGTTCCCCAAACAGGGACAGTCATGCGCGAGAGAAGAAAAGGACAGAAAGACGAATAGGAATATAGAGAGCCCTGTGGGTGTGGAAATACAATTACAAGCTGGGGAAAAGAAAGAAATTCCGAAAAGGAAAAAAGCAAGCAGGGCCAAGATAGGAAATTAAGATGCCAGCACAAAGCACTTCCAGTCTGTTGAAAGGGCGATATGCTGGCATATGGCGTAGATACTGTGCGGATGGATATAGTGGTCGTCGTTTGGAGCTTTCTGCCGCCCGTCTGGTGCAAACCGTCGATGATGGACAGTCGTGTCAGCATTAGTCCCTGATGAAAATGCTTGACTGGGCAGATTTCTTGATGAAGAGGACTCTTTAGATTTCTCCTCTCAAAACTAGCTATCGAGTTGAGCAGTCTGAGAATCCACTTCCTGAGCTTGACCGCCTCCTGGTCTGGCATCTTCAGCTGCTTGGGGGGAGTTTTGCCGCTCTTCGGGAGACTGCTGCGACTGATAGTCGAGATAGACCTCGACCTTTGTCGTCGATTGGACCGAATTGTCGTTTGTTGCGCTTTGTAAGATTTGGGAGAGACTGTTTCCTTGAATCTCTGACCGAGACTGAGACCCTAATACACCTCCAGTTTCCCCGTAATCGATATTGCTCTGGCTAGGAAGTTGCTGCTCTGTTTCCGAAGGCGGACGAATTTGCTCTTCGGAAATGTTGACCCTCCTCTCTGGTAGATCCTCGTAAAGCTTGGCCAAGTCCTCTTCAGCCAGTCTCAATTCATTCAACACTTCCTTGCGCCTCGTCTCAAGTTCTTCCATAACATCAAGTGTTTCGTTCGTTTCGGATAACATTCTCAGCTCCGCGTCCATATTTATTAATATGTCCTGTAATACATCCACATCGCCCATTTTGGAGAGATAACGTTGGGCCTCAGGGGTTTGATCAAGTCGAATGTCGTCGGTAGAAAGAACTGAATCCTCTGTAACACTTTCCTCGGACCGGACAACGACTCCTTGGTCATTCAGGATTTGGAACGAAGTCTCTGCGGCGGGGCCAAAGATCTTTGAGCCCTGGCGGCCAATCTGAAAACCTTGCTGAATCAATTTTTTATCCTCTGCCTGCAATTCTGTTTCGATTTGCTTCAACCCAAGTAGAGTGCCTCTGAAATCTCGCAAAGCACCGTCACCTGCAGAAGCTAGCATTCCTTCCACTTCGCCGACGACATTTTCTCGTCGTCGAATAGCTTCTCTCCGTAGGTCGCCTGCTCTTATGAGACCATCAGTGAAGGAGGTCACGCTCTTATTAAATTGATTCCATTGACTATGCAAAGCCTTCGAGCGGTCAATCACTTCCGGTGCGCCTATACGAGGGTCAGGATCAATGTCTGATGGCAGAATGCGAGTTGTAGAGTCTTGTTGTCCACCGGGCTCTCCGGCCACATCATCATTTGGTAGAGGCGCTTGCTTCGAAATATCAACTGAATCCCCCAAAGGTTCATTTGTTCCCAGGGTCCCATCCTTTGCAAGTTTTGGAGTTTCCATGCTCTTGTCTACCTGAATGGAGGATTTCTCTGGTTTTCCACCGTCGACGTTTGCCCCGACGAGGAGAGAGGCCTCGCGTGTACCCGTGGCATTTTGAGGTCCGGCCTCAGAATGTGGGAGGTTGGAAGATGCTGGTGGATTAGATTCCAAGCTGTCACAATGTGTCAGTGCAATGCAAGGGAGCGTCGGAAGCGTGCAACCTCGCTTACCCGCGCTGCGGTTTGTTTCCCCATTTCCACCCGAACAAGGAGCCGAGCGAAGGCATTCCCAAGGGTACATAAAAGTATAGTCATGTTGACGAGAATCGCCTCTTTTCAGAGGGTCATGCCTCCTGTATAAAAAATGGAAATGGTGGACAAGTGAGGCGGTGCTTTTGGAATACAAGGGGTCGAATAAGGAAGCATGGAGGCAATTCCAAAGAAGAGTGCCCGCTGCAGTGTTCCTAAGCTAGAAGGTAAGACTAGTAGATTTATTACCTATCCAGGTAATTATACGTGCATACCTACCTCGCTACCTACATTGATGTAGGTAGATACCTAGGTACTTACAAGGGCCGTAAGGTCTCGTTACCGCCGAAATTACCTCGTACACGGCTGTTTAACCAGTGTATGGCCAATACGGTATAATCGTCACGGGTGCAGCTAGAACACCAAGCAGCACGTCTCCATGCACTGCAGCTGCAACCCCTGCAAACCCCCTGGCGCCTCCCCCCCCTTCTCCCTTGGGTCGGTGATTCTCTCGCTCTATCTCTGTCTGCTGTTTCGTCGGGTACGAGGGACGTGAATGTCGCCCGAGTGGCCTCTCATCGACCAAATGCCTCTTAGCAATCAACGCAACCCCGCCTGGCTTCCACGCTCCTCCAATGACTCTCTCTCAATCATGCATGCGACTGAAGTGGACAGTGGAGGAGATACCGAGAATACCCTCCATAATATTGTTCTAGAGACGCTTTCTAGCGGGACAAGAGCCTCAGAGGGACAACTGAAGGGTGCCAGTGGTTCTCGGGTACCCCCTCATAGTGCATAAGACCACCCATCCGATGACATTTCAGCTACAGGATACGTCTTCTCTAAATTGCGTACTTTCGAATACCCTGGCGTTCTTTTACTAGAGCGAGCTGCTCAACCCAGCTGACTAGGGTCGCTTTTGCCGTCCAAGGCACTCCAGTTCACTTATCCATTGGAAGGGATAAGTCTTTGGGAACCCCTGGTTCCCGCACCCCCGCTTCCTAAGCCCTGCCAAAAGACATCCCAGCCTATAGTTTTTCAAATCCCGAACAAACCCGGCTTTGTTTGTCGGTTCAGGTTAAAGAGATGTCTTCTCCGCAGGATCGTAGGCGAAAGCCACGTCGTTCCCGGGGGAAAGATGATGGTGCAAACGAAACCGCCGCGGCTGTTGGACTTGAATCACCACGAGAAATCGAGGTGAAAGAGCCAGAGACCCCATCGAGGACCGAAGGTCGTGCAAAGGATAAGGCCACAGCCCATGGTCGCTCGGGCGTGAGAAATAGCCCTGGAGATGATCATGAAGAGAGTGCTGTTCTCTCTGAGAGAACCACATCTGCCACATCACCGCTGGCCAACAAAGTGAAAGAAGGCAAGGGCGTCTCCTTCCCTCATGTGGACGATGAGGACCTCTGGCGGGCTATCTTTGACTGGACATTCCAGCCGCGCAGCGACTCGCGAGTGCTTGCTGACGAGGTTTATCGGAACTTGTCCACCACCCAAGACTATCAATTCCTTCTGGAAGCAATGAGATGTGACCGTCTGAGGGAACCAAGGCTTCGAGATACATACATGCGACTTTATCTGCTAGCCAGGAGTTATGGGCCTGCCTCACCATCATCTGACGTCGAAGAGTCCAGGAATCGCTTTGACGGGCTCTCTGAAGAGTATCTCAACCACACGGGTGTGGAATTCGACCAGCTCGCTGGCCAGCTCCGACAGATGACCATGCTTCAGAAAGTGGGAGAAGAAGAGGATGAAGGAGCGATGTCAGTGTCCCAAACTTCGTATCCATTTCACCAGATTCAGAGCTCGGCAAAGGGAAAGAGCAAAATAGCGCGGCCACAGTCTTCTTACGAAGCCACACAAAATCGACTGCCATCTCAGGCCTCGAATGACAGAATGGAACCCGGCTATCGCATAAGGGAAAGCAAATGGTTCAGCTTCGGCCGAGTTTTCAAAATGCTATGGCATGACAATGCCACAGGGTTCAAAGTGCATGCCAACACCACATCGATCAAACAGCCTGGCGATGACACAGGCCATATAACCCAGGGTCCATTAGGCCAGACGATCTATAGCCAGATCCGCCGATTCGCTGTCGTGAAGAAAGGCCATGGGTTCTCGTGGGCGATCCCCATTAATACCTATCATGAGAAAGGGACTACCCGGAAGAGTTTTGATAAACATGATCGTCAAGCACATGCCATCATTTACCTAGAGGGTACGAAGCCAGAGTCTCTTCCCGAGGAGGGTGAACTGCGGAAGGAACCCATCGAGGTGGTTGGTGCAAGCGGCGACAACAAGTTACACAAAGCAAGTCGCATTCGTTTCGACAAGGTTTTCACTATTGAACATAACGTCCTCGTCAAGAACGTCGGGAGAATCTCCAAGGACTCGATGCCTTACTTCAGTTCCTACTGGCGAGAGCAGGCTTTAGCGGACTTGGATGGCCACGATGGCCCAAGCGCTCAGCTGAAAACCCTTTGAACCAAGGGTTGAGTCCTTCAAGATATATACGTTTCTGCTGCTCCAGGTGTCGCCACCTCAGCAGCAGGGGGTTCGTCCTCTTCAGAAGCCATTCTCACAACTGATTCCCTTTCACTATGCTGGAGAGGCAGAGTCACTGCTGGGAGGCCTATGTATGCACTTTCTGGGCTTTGGTTTTGTGGCTGGACACATTTCTCCTCTCTGTCTCAACTATCGCAGATTGTCCGAGATGGAGGTCGGTGCTGTCCGCCTACCCCCTTTTCTTCAGAGCCTTGTGAGATGTTTGTATACTGTTTGAGGAATGGTGGCTGCCTTTTTTTCTGCTTCTGGGTTTTACTTCCGCTAGTCAGAGTGTAAACGGCTGTAACCTTTCAGCTGTACCTGTCATGACATTACGAAATGCTTTATCAGTAACACCAAAAACATACTAGGTACCTAATCTACCTTGACCACCGGATCCCCGCTCTTCCTCTGCGCGCATCGATCATCCCGTGGGTCTGGCAATACTTCGTATTTAAAACCATCTCCACATCGTCCAACCGGCTCCACTCTTTCCCCAGCCTTCTTAAAGGTCACAACTCGAGTTTCAGCCTTGTGGGCTCTGTAAACGCCGTCCGGCCAATATATCAGTGAATCAGTTGCCTCGCCTGAGCCACGAAATGACCGAATTCCCGCCTCACTTTCAGTCTGCTTGTTCATGTGCCCTTCAGATATGGATATATTGGATTAGAAGGTGTGGTGCACTAATCAAAAGCAACTACACCGACACCACTGCCGTTCTGGTAAGTGGCAATTTCCCCCCAAAAGAAATTAATTTTGACCCTGTCGTCCGCCTCACTCCCGCTCATTATTATTTAATCATAGCACGAATGCACAGTACTTTGTCTGCCTGGCTTGGCACTAATCTTCTCGGGGTCCCAAAAACCATGGCACGAACCGAAGTCCGGTGGTGCTGTAACATGGCACGGCGTAATACTGTATCCAGCTTTGGCACCTTGCACTTGGTCACGGGGAACCTTCCTTTTCCGACGGTGCCCCGTGGACCTTATATGAATATCACGCCCGGGGCTTGTGCTCCCTTGTGTCGCGAGGCCGACATGGAGAAGACCAGCAAGGACGATTACAAATTCCGCTTCCGCGGCTCGAGGGCGGCGCAAGAAGCTGAGCTTGAGACCAATATTCCAACCTTGGCGAGATACGCACCTGCTCTTGCGAATGCTGTGATGGAAAACACTGCCTCTTTGCTGCTCTGCACAGGGTGAAACAACACCGATGAGGCGCCTTTCAGGGCTGGGTCCGTGCGGTTTGCTTTTGCTACGGGCCTGGGATGGCTCCTGGCTCCTGTTGAGCCATTCAGCTAAACAGGTCATCCCTGATTTCCCAAAGCTACCAACCAAAGCTGAATTAATCGGCGAAACGCGGACGAAATTCTAGTACTAAACATTTCCCGTGCCAGAAAGTCATGATACTGACGAGTGATAGGTCAAGATCAATGGAATTGCAATTGCGCGCCTCGAGTTCAGAGCCCCAATCGCTGACTGCAGAGAGCGACTGACTGCTCTCCCACGACTAGCTCATGTCAGTCTCCACATGGAAAATGATTAGCGTGTAGCACATCTCTGCCCAGATTTGGGATGCTGTGCTACAGTCAGTGCATTCATGTCTGCTTGTGCGAAGAGAAAATTCCATGAAGCTTGGCTCGGGGGAGAAAACCCGCGCATATGTGGCGAGTCAGTGACTTGTGACTGGATAGGCATTTGGCGGTGAAAGTGCTGCAAAGCGGCCCAATGTGAGGCGTAATGTCAATCACGCACTTTGGAAAGCAGCCAATGTGCTCACAATTATAGATTGACTTTTGAGCGAAGCGTACAATGGCTGCGTCTTGAGAAACAGAGATCGATTGCGCCTCGGCGTCGTTGTTCTCAACATTCCAGAGGAAGGAACAATACACAGCTTTGAATGAGGCTTGAGGCCGCTGTGTACAGTTCGATGAAGCTCATGCAAGGCAGTCCTGCAAGAAAAGCGGAATCATCTCTGACAAAGTCCAATCACGAGCGACGAGTGTCAGCCATCTCACCACCAACGACTCGAGGAGGTGCAGAATCTGCCGTGGGCAGCAACTTTCGTGCCGGCAAGCGTGGACCATGACAACAGGCGGTATGATGGGGCCTTGAAGGTAGGTATCGTCGCTCATCTCTTCAGTTGCTGGCTGGTCTAACAGCTTCTGGCCTCTTGACCCTGTATCCTTTGTGCTGGAAGGTCTCTTTTGGTGAAGATGGCATTAATGTTGCTGATGTCGACAGTGTCCGATCGGCCCACTATCCTAGGGCTGCTGTTGTTGGAAGCATTTCCTTCTCATCCCTTGATCTTGTCTTGCGTCAATATGCTCTATAACCGTCACATAACGCTATAGTATGAGTCGCGAATGCTAGGCGAAGTGTCAGTGTCGAGCCAGAAGCAAGTCTTTACTGTCCGGCAAGATAGATATACAATCATCTCTTATCCCGGCGTGAAGGAGATCAGACCCGGCCGAGTTCGAAGAACCAGCAATTGATGCCTCCTTTCTTCAACCTACCAAGTTGCAAGAATTCGTCTCTGTCAAAGTGTCACCACCTTGGTTTCAAATACACCAGGTTGGAGTCACAACCCAATGCAGAGCCCGAGAAGGCCTTGAACCTGCCAAATGGAACTAGTCGAAGTATTCGACAGGACTTTTTGTTTTTGGGGGGAAGTTAAAGTGTCTGTTGATGAGGAAGGGCCTAGAGAAAGTCCCCAAGCAAACCATTGCTAAAGAACTCTCACGAAGGCTGAGGCCGTCGCAGACCTCGAAGACCACGAAACAGACCAAAACACGTCTTCATCAGTAACAATACATGGTCATTCAAGAACTCTGACTTCTGACCTCTAGCTGACTGCTGGGCACATAGGGTCCCTGCAGGCCTCCAGAAAGTACTCATCCTGCGGCCAACCTACAAGAAAGGTCGGCCACCACCAGCATCAAGGAGTACTCATAGAAACGAGCAAGGACATTCCTTGAACGTATCCGCAGCCTGGTGTCTTCCGAGACGCCAATGAAACAACTATTTTACTCCTCTGAGTTCCAGCCCCGGATTCATGGGATCCCGGCTCAGCCACCAGGACGCATCAGCTACCCGTAATACGTACGCAGCGACTTACTTGTACCCATAGGAAAACACGAAGGATCATCACACGGCTCACACTCGTGATATCAATGTGTTGCTTGTCGTCTCGTCTGATGTGTAACAACGCTAGACTCGAAGGAGAATGTTTGCCTTGCGGTTCCGTTCGTGATTCGGAATCCCCCCTGTGATTGAGCCCCAAGATGAGCTCGTGAAGGAGGAGTTGACGTGCACATTTTCTGGAGAGCGTTGATTCCCGCAGAGACAGACAGACAAGGGGACGCGAGCGCCGTAACACATTCAATGGTTGACGTTGGACTGGGCGTGGGAAAGAAAAGGGCAACGATTCAGCTTGTATCCTCTATTTTTGTAAACCAGCTGCGACTTTCTGAGGCTGTGTCCTGCGTGCAGAAAGGCCCCTGAAGCCTGATATGGTATTCATCTGATCGTTTGTCTCCAATCTAATTGGTACGTAGTGCTTATTCGAGCAAAACAGTAGGTGATACTCGTACAAGCCTGTTTTACATTGGGAATGTGGTCTATAAAACTTACAAAACCAAAGGAGATTGATGACGGACTCCGCGCAGCAAAGGCTTACAAAACAGAAAAAGGGGAACAACAACGGACTCCGCGCAATACGACCGGAAAACCCAGTGAGTCATCGAAGCATTGTATCTCCCGGACCGCATCCTTCAGCCTTAAAACGCCTTCTAATTCAAGCAGCGATGCGAGCCGTCTCAGGCTCAGGCGGCGCCGCCTTGAATTTGTGGGGGATTTTGCCATGCCAGAGGGTCGAGAGCCTCGCGTGCTCAGTAAATTTCGTATAGCCTTTTGGCCTCTTTCGCTGTCCAAGATGGTAATCGAGCACGATGACAGCCCATGGCGAGACCTGTTGCTTTGCTGGTATGGAAACATGACATTAGCATGGCCTTCAAGACTCTGCTACAAATTCTTTCATCGCTAGACCCTGATCTTCAGTCTGTCTTCGGATAAGTGTGGTTGGAAAGTTTTCGGTGGATCGTCGCCGCCGAGTATCCCGAGCTGTGCCTTCGTTTCAAGGGGCGAGTCTTCCACTGAAGCTCTTGGTTGAATTTGTCAGTAGCGCCGGACAACGGAGTAAATATTTCGTCCTCAAGAGTACATGAGAAACCAGAACGTTCTGGATCTTCGCTGAGATAAGGGTGAGTGTTGTAACCGTTGTCGCCCTGAAACAACGTCCTGTTGATATACTCCACAAATGTCTCAATAGGCAGTTTCCCATCAAGGTCAATTATGGAGATGAAGCGGATCAGGGACCACCACGACGATTGCAAGCACCCAACAATCCACATGGATACAAAGGCTGAAAGTAGCTCAGGCCCCCGGCCGCGCAGATCCCAAGCAGCAGACGTATACTGGGCAAAGGGAGAAACAAGAGATTGCTCTTCTCTACCTTGATTATGCAACATGGCATCCAAGATAGGCTGAGACAGAAAAGGAACCATGTCATTGTTTCGTTCCTCATAATCGCGGGCTTGAAGATGCAGCGCTTCGTCGCCCTCGGTCAGAGATGGCAGGCTCATCGCGGCATCGGTCAGCAGGTCGTTGAATTGATCATGTCCAAATAGTGTGTCTGATTCCTTCGACGTCAGATCCGACCCTTCAGCGACCATGTTAGATAGGGTGTTGTGACCCGTGGTTAGATCGGCCAACTCTCTCAACAATTGCGCCCGGCGCTTCGGAAAAGCTGCTAAAGCCTCTTGCGAGAATTCGTCCACAGGCAGACCGACTGCTGTCCTCATCTGCACGTCTTCCTGGAGCGCGGCGTACTCGTTTGTCAGGCTCAGCAGCCTATCCGTCACTTCTTGTCTTTGACGTGCTAATGCCGATAATCGCTCTTGACTGGTTGGCTCATACTCGGGCGAGAGACTCACGTTAACGTCATGAGTTTTAGGTATATCATGGAGACTCTCAGGGATCTTTTTGATCAGTTGGACACCAATCTCGGAATCACTCCCATCAGAAGCTGATGATCCTAATATGTCCTCGTAAAGTTGTTGCTCGGATTCCTTGAGCTCCCACTCTGCAGGAACAAGAGTCGATTCCACAATATCAAGATCAATATCTTGGGCTTCCAGTTCTCTGAAAGTCGATTCCATCTCTCGCAAGCCGACTGTGGCACTGTCATAACCATTTCCTAGGGAAAGCATGGTTCCGCTTGCCTCTAGAAAACTGCCAAAGGCTTCTTGCAGTCTATCTCGCGTATGCTTCATCCTACTCCGTTCATCTCTTGCTTGTATCCTGAGCGCTTGGACTTTCTGCCGCTGCTGCCTGATCTTTTTGACTTTGGTGACGAAGTGAATGTGGTTGTCTAGCCGATCTAGGTAATTCCAAGTATCGTTGTGGCTTGTTGAATGGTCCTTCAGAGTATTCGGCAAGTCGAAAGCTTCGCGTGGGTTTGACACGTGAACGGGTTCTCGATCCCCATGTAAGTATAGAGTGGATGAGGCGCATCTACTCATACCCAGATCCCTTGGTGACTGTGTGACATCCACCAAATCTGTTTTCGCCTCTTCAAGTGCTGTCGCATCCAACTCCAGTCCTGCCCCACCGTCCGCCATATTGTAGAAATGCTCGGAGGGCGAACAACCGGCATCGTGGATCGAGGAGTGGATTGGAGATTGAGCAGGATCTCTACCCCTAGATGCGACGGTAAGCCTTGCACATGTCACATCAAGAGACCATGGACATACCTGGCAACGTGACCACACAGTTCCAATTCTTCAAGTCCTTCATTCCATGACGACTCGGTCGGCAGGAATGCCATAAGATGGAGGATGCCATGTACGAATGGCCGCGATCTTCACAGTGGTTCTTGAAATCCAGTTTGACCCGTGCTCGTCTGGGACATCAAGACAAATCAAGGGAAGGCAGATAAATCAAATAGAATGACAACATATCAGGTCATGAGCTACGAATACATACGCGAGGCAAGCACGACATGTGGAGTTGAGGAACTTGAAGAACCGGAAAACACACCAACTTGACTACCTTCTTAGGTAGCTGTGATCGAACCCAGCTAAGGTCAAGCAACCAATGACCATGGCCCCAGGTTAGTGAACGATGCATCGATTCAGCCGCAAGGAAAGCATCCCTTTGTGGAGGGTGCAAAGGAGCATGCAACATGATTGTGGACAGGGGACGAGGTATGCAGACGGCTGATGGCATGCGCCAGAAAGGAGACGGGAGATGGGATGAAGAGGGGGCCCGGAGAGTCTGGGCCAATGCAGCGGGAGGCGGGTATTGTCGGCTGCCTCTAGGGCTCACTAGGCTTTTGTCTTTCAGGGATGCATGGCCTAGTGAACCCCCCTTGCTGGCGGCTCCTGCCTGGCTCCTGCGCACCCCCACGCCGCCTAGATCCCGACACGAGGCGCCTAAACAGTTCATTGGCCTCTGCTTCGTATTTTCTTGATCTTTTTGTCTGACAGCTCGTATTTCAATTGCGCTGTTGTCACTCTTCAATTGGGCTGCCTCCAGCCACCTGCGTCTTTTCTACCATCGCTTCTTCTTCTACTCCCTTCATACCCTGTCGTTTCCCTTACTCGAGGTCATTGCGTCGACACCACCGCTGCAATCACCATCACATGTGCCAATCACGCGGCATGGCTCGGGCTCGCCCTCCATCCCTTGTACTAGAACCAAACTGCGCGCAGCCCTTTCAAGCGGCACAATCTGTTCTCCACAAAAAGCCTATCATCTAGAACGATTTCGAGGTCTTGCTGCATACACTGGCACTTGCGCAGCTAGTCGAGTCAATATGGGTTCCTTTCCTCTCGCTCCGAGGCGTGCGGCTCTTACCCCAGCAAAGGTAGATAAGGTGCTGCCTTGATTCATCCGCCCTGGGTTCCACTCGACCTGACAGTGAACACTGTCCCGGTTGCACCTCTGCCTTGTATGGACTTATATGATCCCGTTGAGAGGTATGGTGATTCGTGGAGGAAGTTTCAGGACGGTCGTGAACGGAGAGTAGTCGAGCATGGAGGTGAGATATGTCTTCTTGATGGTTCGGTATGATGTTGAAGTTCTCCAGGGCGCTATTGTTTCCTAGACAGACATAGCCAGGAGCTGATTGTGATCCCAAATACGATAACCCCAGAACAACGCAGGTATGTCCGTGAGCATTTCTTTTCACTAAGTCCAGGAGGTCGTTTACGTTGGGTGTTGCAGAAACACACCAAGAACCACATTTCACGAATCACTCCAACCACAGAGCGGCGATAATCAACGTCGCCCCAGTGGAGGGTTCAACTTGCAGGGTGGTGGTAGAGAGTCTCGACCAGCCCCTGGCAGAGCGGATGCAAGTCCTGGCCATGTCACGAGCAATGTACCAATCCGCACTAGACGACCCTCGCATTCACAGCAAGAAACATCGACCATCGGAGCGGCGTCTCATCTACCTAACACGGTTTTTGATGCGTTTAACCAGATCGCATACAATGATTTTCTGAAGTGCAGTCGCTTTATTGACCATAACCCCAACATCCTCCTGTCAGCAGGGTTGGACAGCTTTCTCGATGCCGCAGTCCAGGCGAGAAGCAATCAGGATGACATGCTAGTGTTCCGATGCATCCAACGCTGCGTGATCATCAAAGCGTGTAGAGCCTTGTCGGCTGAAGACCGGCACGACTATCTTGATGGTCTGGCGCTTAGAGATCCTCAGGATCCTCGCTGGCAACAATATAGCCACGATTTCAATGCCATGTCGGATGAAGTGACCCGGCGCTTCCGAGAAGGCTCGAGACCCCTTCAGCGGCAAGAAGCGTTGGCGCCTGGGTCACAGAGTCGAAGTCATGACCCTGGGGATGTACATGTTCACCGGAGAGGGTTACCTCCAGATCGTGGTGCTTCCTATGCATCGTATACGAGATCGGGTGTCACTCATATCGGATCTGCTGACAATCCTCCACCATTGGCCTATTCGCAGCCAAAAGCATCCCCAGCAGGAGCACCAAGAGGAGGACTCCCGTCCGTGGAGAGCTTTCGAAGCGCTCCAGGAATGCCAACCCAAGCATGGGCCACTTTTGGAAAAGATATGCAACCCGCAGCTACTGCCGGGCTGCTTTCACAGACAAGCAAGACTTACCAGCAAGATGCAAGAAAATCTCGAGCTTATTCAAGATCTTCCAATTCTCATGACTGTCATGACTACAAACATAAGCTTCCCACGGCTGGCGGCATTGAAAATGTCGAAATTAGAGGTGACAAAGAAAACCAGCGAGTTGCGGATTCTGAACAGCTTGATCCTCGTTACATTTTGCGCAGTGATGGTGCGAACTTCTTTTCCGAAGGCAAAGTGTTTTCCTTCATGCATCACGAGCCCTTCGGCCTCAAAAGTGGAGACGCAACTCCTAGTGATTCCGACTCTCGAGTGAGTAAGGGACCGATGGGGACATACATCCACAGTAAGATCAGATGGATGGCAGTCATCAGGAAACGGCATGGGTACTCGATCTGCGTACCTATCATTTCCTATGGCGGGCGAGGCGTTGGGCAGAAGAAGATGGGCCCAGAAATGCAGGCGCACGCAATTGCGTACCCAAGTAATCAAGACCCGCCTCCGGGGCGGCTCGCAGGAGAACCTCCGTTCAAGAAGAGACCCATCGCTGTCGATCTCAATGAGGGCCACGACCTGAGTGCTGCTAGCCGGATCCATTTCGGAAAGCTGCAATCCGTTGAGTGGAACGTCAAAGTAATGGATATTGGCCGTATCGCTCGAAAGTCCATGGCGGACTTTGAGGCATACTGGGAAGACGAGTATCTGCCGCGAGAGAGGCCATGAGCTGATGCCAGCACATCACGTTAAGAGTTCTGATGAACCGCAGATCGCAAGAGCGAATTCGCTGCACTCCATCGGGATTCACATCATGCGACATTAATACGTATGAACACTTCGAGTTCGCCAAATTGTTACTCAGCGGATTTGGATATTTCTGCAATCGGTTTCGGTATTTGGTGGTCACAAACGACATCGGCTTGAATGTCTCGATTTCTGTTATTTTCCACGCCCTTGCATTCCTCCCGGCATAGCCTTGTCTGGACGCAACTAGCAGAAGAATGGACGGGGAGGGCATCATTCGTTTATTGACCCTTGACAAGCTGCCTTTGCGTGGCGGATACCAGGAGCGAGCGTCACGGGCCAATCGACTGGAGTTGTTTGACACCTGTGACCTGTCAATTCGCGATATAGCTGGATAATGCATTCGGCGAGTAGCATTCAGACCATGATCAGTATTCATGGCTATGACAATCTAACGACGACTTTCATTCTTTCCAAGAAACAATGGAAACTCGCATGTTGCTCCTTACTTTTCCATCTGTTTCTCTTTGTGTCCGCGAAAGACAGGCCGGTTTCCGGATTTCCCTTGCTGTCTGCTGATCCCAACTTGCGTGAGCCATTCCACGGAGTCAGTGGTGGTGTGAACCGGAACCTGGACCAGCAGTTTCTCGCTAAAGTGGCTGCCTTCCAGCAGGTGTTGAAATTTTGAAGCTTGTCACTCGACGTGACCCTACCTGCTCAAGTCCTGGAATGGGACTGACCAGGTGCTGGGGCATCGGATGTCTCAATACTACCTAGTAGATGGCTGGCGAGCTGAATACTCGGCCAGGCTGCAGCCTTGCAACAGCCTGATGATGCATTAGCGTGGGAAAACCCACAACGCCAACCAATAGTATCGTAGGTATTCATGATTAATTGCTCGAGCCGTGACACACGCAACAGACACAAGGTGCAAGGCTACAAGGCAACTTGCAGAATGCCGCCAGGCGCGCACGGCAGGCTGACGAGTATCGGGTACAGTCGTGCCATTTCATCGATTGGGACAAAGCACATTCTCAATCATGTGGACTGCCAGCACATTGCCTGACAACGCCCAGCAGATATGCAGGGTACGCACAGGGTCCTTGCAGCGTGCGAATGCGACTCTTCTCGTTGGCGGTTTGTTTGTACAACCGCTGTTCCCAAGCAAGGTGTGCTGTACACAAGTACTCGGTACCTCGTACTCTGTACTCTGTACTTTGCACACAAAGGACACAGGGGACCTATCCAATTGTCCACCAGTACCCTAACTATGGACACATTGGATCTCATCTCCGTGGTGTTTATGTTTAATCTTGTTGGTGTTGATTCCAAGGTCATTAATATCTTTTTTGTTTTTACTACCCATTCATTATTGTAAACACAATGTAAAAAAGAAAAGCAAAAAAAGAAGGGGCCGTTTGTCCTCATAATCTCGTTTCAAGTAGCTTTCCCTTCCCTCCCCGGGGCAGTTTTGAATGTCCCAAGAGGTTTGGATTTTCATGGTTTTGTTTTGGTGGGTTTCCGTGCGTGTGTGGTTTCCGTGGTATGATTTTTTGTGATATCGCCCACGCACATTGGTGACAAGCCGGGAGCTGCATTGGCAGAATTCGCGACGGTCCGGTTTGAAACAGGGCGCGGGCTGGGGGCGCGAGGGGCGCCCAACAACAAACAGACAGATGGCGTCCGAAAAGCCCTCGCGCCTGAGTCTGGTCGATGGTTCAGAGGCTCTCGGGCTCGCACTCACTCACTCAGTCACTCACATTGACTACAACATCTCGTCCTTCAAATCCCCGTCAACGCTTCCCTCCGGGCCGTCACCACCGGCGGGCCCACCACCGCCTCCGCCGCCGAGCTCCCTAACCTCGGCGGTCTCCCAGCAGAGACTGGTCAGGTCGAGCATCCAGCGCTGATACTGCTCCTCGAGGAATTCAATGGTCAGGGGTTTCGGCCAGGACTTGAAGGTCGCGTCCGACGCCGGGTCCTTGAGCATCTTGTCGTATTTCTTGAACGAGACGCGGTGGTGCGAAATGTTCTGCCAGCTGTCGTCCATGTCGATGTGCAGTTGGGAGCCCGAGAAGAGCTCAAACCTAGAGGTTGCGACGCGTCAGATCATGGTATCTCCGGAAATGGGAGAGGGGGGAGGGGGATGGTAGTTGGATAAGTCTGCCTAAGAGATTCGAGCTTCGCGCGGCGATGAAATGAAGAGTCGTTTTGCGACAAAACGTTTCGGGCTCCTCATCCAAACACAATCCAGACACTTACCCGATGTAGACGCCGTTGGCGCTGCCAAGACTGATGATCTTCGCGCCCGGCGAAGTCTTCACCAGGTGGTAGATTTCACAGTAGGGAACCAGATCCTGATGACTCGGGTATTGTGGAAAGAAGGGAAACTTGAGCTGTTCGTACGGGTGATTGTCAGTGGAATCGTAAACTTCTAGATGAGCTCGATCGTCGAGGAATGTCAATTGTAAGCTTACGAAATGGAGGTCTCGAGCCTTGTTCTCGTCGTACTTGACGTCCCAGAAGTGTCGCAGCACGATCTGATCGGTGCGCGAGAGGTTGCCGATGGCGCTGTGCGGCAGGGCGGTGATTTGGTAGTTGGTGGGAGGGCGATTGGCAAAGTCGAAGCTCGAGCTGGTCTTTGCCGACACGGGTCTCGAGTCGTGGAGGGACCCGGCCGTGGTGCCATTCATCATGGGCGCGTGCGAGAGAGGCGGCGTGTATGAAGTGGGAGGTGCCGGTTGGTGTGAGGCCGAGACGGAGGGCTGTTGCGAGGAGGAGTTGTGGACGGACCCGGATCGAGAAAATCGCCGCATGCTGATGAACGGGGACATAGTATTACCCCCAAGAGTTGGAAAAAGAACGAAGGAAGAGGGTGGGAAAGATAGAGTTTTAATTGTTGTTGGCCGGTGACTGTTTGGGCTAAAAGATGAAAGAATAAATCCCGGTGGCGCGTTGCAGAGCGATAGATGTTGGATGGACTGATGGATGATGGATGAATGGGATGAATGGATGGGAAAAAAGATGGTGGCAGGCCTTTCACTCCTTCACCGTTTAATGCCCATTCGGGGGGTGGACCCGGAGAAACGGCGCTAGTCTCTATTTATATGGAGCAGTCTAGACTGGATCCGGGAAGGTGCCGGATAAGGGCCCCCCAGCGCCGGCCTAGAAACTTGGAAAGTCCGACGCGACACATTGCAAAACCAACCTCCAACCTCCTCCCGCCGCCCGTTGTACAAGATCCCATATCAAACTCGTCGATTCATGCCAGGTTGGTTCCTGGGAACTTGCGGCCCCCTTTATCTTCGTTGACGTAAAGACTTGGGCGAGTCCGGACGCCAGGGAGATTGCATGCCGGTGGCAGCTAATGCTGGCTCCCCCAGAACTCCGGAGCCTTGGCCGCATGTCTGAACGTCACGGTGCCGAGAGGTAAGAGATGGAGAAAAGGATTCTTCCCAGATCGCAGCATGGATAAGTTCCTCCAGAGCGCCTAAGTATGATACGAGGGTATCCATCATCATATTTAACATGGCGGCAGCCGTTCGGGCCGGAAGAACGTCCTCCCATGGACCCCCTTCTCCAGGCTAACCGAATCAGGATACTTTCCACATGCAGCGCCGCCCAACACGTTTGTCCACGAGGATTCGGGCTCATTCTGCTCCGGTTAATCACTTTGAGACAATCCAGATCTGCATCCCGTTGGAAAGTGTTGCCAATCAGAATACTCCAAGTTCATTCATCAGGTCCACTCGGCCAATGCTCGGCCAATGACAGGTCTATTGCAGTTGAGTCTAGAAGTAACCGAAATGCTGGAGCCTGGACATTCCAATGCCACGCAGGACGCCCCCTACAAAAGTCACCATTCCAGCAAATAGTTTCACGAACTCACCTAGCCTCTCACATGCTTCTGAAATTGTCTTTGTAAAGCGGAACAGAGCAAACTGTTTTTGTTCTCTGAGAGTCGCAGGCACCAGTGTTAGAAACCATGGTCGGTGTTGTTGTGAATGGTACCAGGTACATATATCTCGCACCTCATCCATCATGAGGTCCAAGTCCCTCTCATGTCAGTATAGCAACAATCTTACCGACCACGACAAGCCAGATTGTAAATCCACTTCTTCATCAACACAATGACTTCCACAACGCCAACTGCAACGTCTCTCCGCGTCGGAATCCTTCTGATCCCTCCGGTCCAACTGCTTGATGCCTCAGCCATTGATCTCTTCGGCATGCTCACCCCGGAATACCTCGAAGCATGCGGCCTCCCTAAACCCCTCGCTGACCTCGCCATCCCGGTCGAAATCCACTACATCGCCGCCACAGGGCCAGGCACTCACGCTTCCATGACGTCCTCGGCCACGCTTCCGGTGACGGACTCTCTGTCATCCCCAGCCGTTCAACCAGGCCAACTTGATACCCTTCTCATCCCAGGTCCAGATCCGAACCTGGTGCCCGAGGAAGATGTCTTGTCTTTCCTCCGCGCACACAAAGCGGCCGGCAAGACTGACTTTCTGGTCATCTGCACTGGGAGTTTTGCTGCCGGTCACGCAGGGCTTTTGGACGGCAAGCGAATCAGTGGACCGAGAGGTCTGTTGAGCAAACTGAGGGAGAAATTTCCTGCAGGCAAATTTGTGGAACGGCGATGGGAGAGAGATGGAAGAATCTGGTCGTCTGGTAGGCCTCTTTCAACTTTAGTGTCGTCGTCGCCCAAACCCACCGCAATTGCTGACTGCAGGCTTATCAAGGTGGGATCACAAACGGTCTCGATCTCACAGCAGCGTATCTACACTACAAGGTCCAGAAAGAGCTTGCAGACCTCGTGTGCGCCATGGCAGAAGTAGGTGATCGCGCGCAAGACTACGACAGTGGCAAAGCGAGCAACACACTTTGGTGGATGTGGTTGATTCTGCGGTCGCTGGTGAAGGGCAAGAGCAAAGGAGGCAACAAACATCAACAGAAAGAAGATTAGACAAAATGCAGGTGAGGTTGCCTAGTGCTTGGTGTCAAATTTTGAACTTTTTTTTGGTGGTTACCTAGGTACTCTCTGAGAGTCAACCTTGAGGTTTGTATTGCGGGTTCCGGCTAGGCCGCGCTCCCGTTTCCCTGGGAAGTCATGGTTAGGTAGCTCTTGTGTCGTTGGCTTGGAGGTCTTGTTCCTTTTGTGCAGCCAGAGGAGGACAGAGCATGGCTTGCGGATTCCGATGTTGTCTGCGTCTGTCTCCCCGTCTCTTGGGAACTCGCATGCCAAGCCCTCCTTGTTTCTTTTCGCACGCATCGTGCACAGCCCCGACTTTTTCACCCTTTTGCACACCAAATTGTCTGCGCCCGCGCCCGCGCCCAGTTTGCCCAAGCTTGCTCAAATATCCTCCGCGTCGCTCATCATCCCATCTGTACGCCTGAAGCCTCGATTCTGGCTCTGTCAACCTGGGCTCTTTGATAGCCGTGCACATTGACTATGTGGTTGGCCACGCACCCAATTCTCAGGGAGACATGGTGGCACAGGTAACAACTGTATCGGTATCGTGGTCGTCTCTGCACTTGATTGTCGGGTGTGGCATGAGGGTTTCCTGCCATGTGCACATGTGGCTGACCTGATGTTGCTGTTGAGTTGGCGTTCCGAGGCAATGCGGTGGCAGCAGGAAGAGCGGTTGAGACCGTCACCAGTTGAACTTGGCGGGCTTGAGGAGTTCCTGCCATTCGCACATACGACAGCCCTGTTGTCAAGTTGACGTTTCGAAAGTATCCAGAGCCAGCAGGGAGAATCATCGAGCCAGGCCCACTGACGGGATGAAGTTGACGGCTTGGAGCCGCGCCCCGGTTGCGTGGAGCGAAGCGGATCGGGTGGACTGGCTGTTGAAATTGACTCCCTGCTGGGTGGAAGACGATGTCCACCAAGTGGAAGGTGGCCAGGGTCTGTGCTGCCTCAAGTTCGCGGGCCGTGTACACTCTGGGTTGTCGGCTTTCCATCTTTCTTGGTGTGTGTGCCGGGTGCTAGGCGCTCTTGTGTTGACCTCTTCTGCTTCGTCGAGAATGAGGGAGCGGGAGGGTGAATGTGTCGCGTTCTCTCCTTCGTTGGAAGGGAGAGGAGGGGAGAGGTAGGGCGTCGGATTGAAGGTTGAAGGTGATCGTGTGACGGAGTTTTCGCGACGGACGAGGAGTGAATGGATTCAACCATTCGCGGCTTTTCATTGTCAACTGCCTCTCCTGTCCATCTGCTTCACCTCTGGCATTCACACGACTTTCCCGCGCCCGCGCCTCTCCCAGAACCGCGATCGATTCAGCCAAGACAACTTGGACTCCGCGCTACTGAGGTCAAGGTCAGTAATTATATTCACCGGCGACGTCGATCAGGACTTACTGATTTATATATTTTTTGGTTGACCCACGGTGCATCAGCTCCAACGCGTGGGGCCGGGAACATGAAGAGGCAACAATTCAAGGTGTTGAAGCTCTCCGGCGGGCATTGGCTGGGCCAGCAAAGCCACCATGGTGGACTTGTTGTTCATGATCTATGTGGGTAAGAGTGGGAAAGAAGATCCCAGCTGGAAGCATGTGGCTCATATTGCCGTAGCTTGGAGGTGTCATGGTGCTAAATCCATAGGCGGATGTCTGCGGCTGTGGAGCTCCATACATGGGCTGTGGCATGCCCTGAGGCATGCCCTGGTGGTTGTATTGGATTGTGGCGCAGTATGGTATGCTTGACGCCAGGCCTGTGACACGGTCAGTATCATCTCCCCTTCGAGACACAGGACACATGCTTACAGGGCTAGACACCTGAACTGTCCACCTCGGGCCGGGCCATATAAAGGGGCAACGATTCAAAGTGTTGAGACTCTCCGGCGGAGTAAGATGTACTCGAGACGCCAGGCTGTGGAACGGTCAGTCTCGTCTTCACCTCGAGATATAGGGCACACCCTTACAGAGCCAGACACTTGAATCGTCCACACCGGGCCGGGACATATAAAGAGGCAACAAATCGAAGCGATGAGCCTCGCCGGCGGAGTAAGATATACTCGAGACGCCAGGCCTGTGGCACAATTAGTGGAATCCTCAATTGACATGAGAGCGGCACTTACAGAGACCCACGCTTTGAAATGTCGGACCTCGGCCACGATATAAAGAGGCAACAAGTCGAAGCGTTGAAACTCTCCGGCGGAGTAAGATGTACTCGAGACGCCAGGCTTGTGAAACGGTCAGTACGTCCCTCAATGAACAGGAGGACGGCACTTACAGAGTCTCACTCTTGACTTGTCCACCTCAGGCCCCGATATAAAGAGGCAACAAGTCAAAGCGTTGAAAATCTCCGGCGGAGTAAGATGTACTCGAGACGCCAGGCTTGTGGAACTGTTAGTAAGTTCCTTAATGAAAAGGAGGACGGCGCTTACAGATTCTCACGCTTTGACCTGTCCACCCCCGGCCAAAAGATAAAGAGGCAACAATTCGAAGCGTTGTCCCTGGCAGACCTGTCAGCAAGCTCCTCGGTGCTGGCAGCGGAGGGTATGACTTACAAGGACAGACGCTTGAATTGGCCACCATTTTTATATATATACCGACCGTCACGCTCGAGTTGAAGGATCAGGCCGGTATGTGTCTTTTTTTTCGACTCGACAGTCACGCGTCCCTGGACGTCGAAACAAGCGGGCAGCGATTGGAGTAAAGATGCGCGTCTTGCAAGGCCCCGTGAGGAATCGGAAATGCGGGTCGCGCCACAGAACGGGATGGCAAGGTGGACTCATGTGCGAGGAGCTCGAGCAAAGCAGCCGGGCCGTCCGTGATCCAATCCAGAAGACATGAGAGAACCGTCTTTCGAGTTGTGGTGTCTTCTTCATGGTCGTCATCTTCGGCCTTGACAAATGGCTCGCTCTTCATTTTCTTCTTCGCGCCGCCAAAGCCAAATTCTTCGACAAGAGTTCTCTATTGCGTTCGTCCCGAGAGGAGGCTCCGGCGGCGGGCGTGCAAAGACACGTCCGAGTCGCACTGGTCTTCCGCATCGTGCGCGCTAGCGAAACTCGCATGCTATCATGAGAATTAGCACGTGTCGGTAAGTCTCTTGGCTTCGTTGGACTCCTTACGTTTGCGACGAAAATGAGCGCAGTTGGCAGGATCCACTCACTATGATGTATATACAGTGAGTGACGTACATTTGGCCGGTCCGTATTCGGTTGACTTGTTTCTGGATGTACAGCGGAGATGCGCAAGGTCTTCGGGGATGTCTGGACTCTGAGGTTGTCGAGATAACATCAGGAATAGGGACATTGAACGGCCATATGATATGAACGTACACCCTGGCGCAAAGGGTAGAGGTAAGGTGGGGGCATTTTGTCAGCCTTGTTATTCGAGGAAGAAAGAGCGGGTCCGTGAAGGAGAGTCGAAGATGGAGCTCTTTGTCAATCTTGGATCCATGTGCTGCTTGGTCCTGAAGCTGGTCCTCCTCTTTATCCATCTTGGATCGATTTTGTTCCTAGGACCTGAAGAAGGATGAACGACACTTGTCAGCACAATCACGGAAGCCCACAAGGACATGGACGGATCGGAGTCGGGCACTTACGAGCAACTGCTTCTGAGATTTACTGACGCTTCAAGCTTGAAAGAGATACCGCCGCACCCGAGTGCGCTGGTCCTTTCCATGTTCTTTCGCAGCTTGCTTTCTGAGCACGCTGATCTCAGGTCGGTTTGTGTGAAGTGGGTTTGTGTCTTACTGGGTGAAGGTCTTGCTGGGTGAAGGTCTTGCTGGGTGAAGGTCTTGATGGGTGAAGGTCGTGATGGGTGAAGGTCGTGATGGGTGAAGGCCGTGATGGGTGAAGGCCTGTCCTGAAAAGGGTCAAGACAAAGAGACCGTGCAACTGATCGACATCCTCGTGAGACAGATCCTGTCGACACCGGATGCCGTTCCAGAGTGTCTGCAAGTATTGATGGAGACTGGAGACTGGAGTCGAGGACCATGTACTGTCATGGGACGCGCAGTGATTGTCTTGCACATCTACACAACAAGATCGAGGAGGAAGAAGGAATGAAGGATTTCAAAGAGACTGTGCAACTGAATCCCAGGTTGTTATCCTTGTGCGACAAGATCTTGGCGGCTCAGGGAAGTCGATTCAGAGTGTCACTGGAAGTATTTTCATGGAAACTGGAGCGAGGACCACGTGGTGTCTTGTCTCTTGGCGCCATGGTGTTGTCCTGGCATCTCTGCAGAGCAGTGAGTTCAAGAAGGCCCGGGAGGAAGGGGCATGAAGGTTTCAAAGGCATCCATCCATGCTTTGCTGGTGATGATGCTGATGATGTCGGGAAAGAATGGCAGACAGTCGCAGGGCGAGGAAGAGGTATATATACCCCAGAGGAGAGGGGGGAAGCAAGATTGAGTATTCACGACCAGTATCACAGTCTTCACAGATGTTGTTGTCACGCTTATACTCCCAGTTGACAGGCTGTACCTCGCATATCTCTATCACCATCGCCAGGGAAATTAGCTGCCGGGGCGGAATAAGCCGGGCGGAAAATCTCGGCAATCTCGGCAAGCTCAGTGCTGAGACAAGCGATTCACAGGACAATTCACGAACAATAACAACACCTGGGTGACACCATTTATGGAGACTCTCTGTGCGGCTTTTCGCCCGAGGTCGACCCAGACGCTGTACAAACGGCCTACCTAGGTACTAAAGGAGCCAATACTTCGACGAGGGTAACCCTTTTCTTGATATGCCCTCCAGTCAACCAACATCAGAACCGCATCAGATTCAGCACAGAGGTACTCTCTGCTAGTCGATCTTTGTCAGACCAACCCGATGCTAGATCGACACACTTGCTCAAGCACCCCTTTCCGCACAATACTTCTTCACCTCCTTGTCCAGCTTGTCCCTCTGGCTCGACACATTCTCCATCATCTCCTGAACCACTCTTATCTCCGTCGTTTCTCTCATTCCTTGTTCCACAACTTTCTTCAACCCGCTCTCGCCATATACATCCTCCATCAGATCCATGACCGCAAACAGCTGGTTCGGTAACCATGTAACGATGGGAGACCCTCCTGTGGCTGTGGGGTGCGAGGACCGCTTGATAATGTATTCCCTGGCAAACAACCAGTGACGCCAGCGAAAACTGCGCACATGGCCGAGCAATTTGAGGTAGAGAGTTGGCAAGAGCAAGGCGCTGGCTCCGTCCACGTCAGCATCACCCCGAGCTTCCATCTCCTGCGCTGAAGTACGGTGAGTACAGTACTGCCTCACACCCACCTCCGCACTTTTGCTCATAACCCACGCCAAAAACTCCCTGTGAGTCTTTGGTCGGTAACTTCTAAAGTCCCTCAGAATCTCCGTGAGTGGGTTGCTCGGCATGGGTATCTCCATCAGATGATCCAATAGTGGAATAATGCTGTCGTTTGCGCCGGATTCGCCTCGGAAATATAACGATTTGGAGTCCCCGTAGCGGGTGCCTTGGTAGATCACACCGTTGGGGAACATAGATTGCGACGTGATTCCAAAGATAAATGTCCGGTAAGAAAGATAGTCCTTGGGTAAGGAATGGGTCCACATTTGTTCCATGTGGGATTCGATGCGGGTCATGGCCGAGAGCATAGTTTGGAACGCCGAGATTGCGGAAGCTACATTGTTGGGAGAGTTTTCTATGGTGGAGAGCAGTTCGACCGCGCCTGAAATCAAGGGTCCTGTTTCCTGAACCATGTGGATGTGAGTCAAGATGAAGCCGGCTTCTGAGCTTGACGGATCAAGACCGCGCTCAAACGCGCGGATGAGGCGGAGGTTTTCGTAAACGCTTGCGCCGAGGTTGGGATTGACTAGAGAGTAGTTATATAGTGCATATGATGCAGCGTAGGACATGAATGGTGGAATATCGAGACTGGATGAGAAGGAGCAATGAGCACACATGTGGATAGACTGGACGTGGTTGCTGGAAGAGATACTTACATGTCCGCTGCTTTCACTAGCGGCGACGCTATGCACTTTGGCAGGATAGCTCTACCCAAGCCATAGCCATCTTCGTGGTCTTTCGACCACGTCTCCCAACAGGGCTCCAACAGATACGCACTGGCCAAAAAGCTATAGTCTCTGAAGACGGCAGTGATGGCTTCGAGGTCGAACTCCCCAGTAGCGGTCCGCAAGTCATCAACGCAATATGTTAAATCTCGCAAAGCACCGGAGTCGATAAGAGGGCCGAGCTTGAACGTAGCGAGCAGTCCAGGCGACTTATCTGCTTTGACGATTGGCATGTCGTCAAGAATGGCTGTGAGCGCATCGAATTGTGCTGGCAGACGAAGCAAGGGTGAGCGGCAAGGGAGGAAGCCGGTACTCGTCGTAACCGTGAAAGGGTCTGCAGAGCGTGGTAGACTACCAGCATCGGAGCGTATGTAAGGGAAAAGAGTTGAAAGAGAGGGGAGAGGTGGTGAGTCGGCAAGGTATGCCATGATGAGAGATCTCCTGTCCGTTGAGTCTCTAAGGGACCTAACAAGTAGTGCAGCTGTGCCAGACCGGACCAACTGAATGGTGAATTTGGTTTTGCCAGAGAATAGCACGAGGAGAGAGCCTGGAGTCCAGATAGACGCACCAAATGACTTCTCTTTCGGCGCGAAGGGCAAGTTGCTTATATGCCCCTTGGCCGGAATCACTTCCGGCCAATGGCTAGGAGAAGAGCGTCTGTTGCGGTGAGCAAGGACCACCGAAATTCCATCACAGCAGAGTTATCTCAAGGCAAGACAGGCAAGACAGACAGCCTCAGCCAATTCGTGACCTTGGAAATTTGGAAAAGAAGTGGAAAGCTTCGATAGGGGGCTAGCAGCCTCGTCTTGGCACTGACTGCATCTGGGGTAAGTGCAAAGGCATATTGCAGTCTTGCCAATTGCTCAGTAGATTGTTCCAGCATCTTTTGATAACAAGTAGAGGTGCATGGACACGATGGGTTCTCTTTTTGTACGTCTTTCAGCACAGGCCCTGGCCAAGCATGCTTCTTCAATGATGAGGTTCCCGAGGGCCAAAGTCCAGCTCGAGACATAGGGCCAGGTGGTCATGAGCTCAAGTGACATTTGAGAAGGAGAAGCCCACCGTTGACCCCTCCTTGAATCCATTGCTCTTAAGTAAGAAATTGCTAGAGGCCGGAATTCGATACGCTCTGGAGTTCATCATTGGAACGAGATGATTCGCCTGGCCGGAATGGTTTCGTGCTGCAAGGCCAGGGCGTGCTGTGATTGGTCCGTTGGCCGGAATTGACGCCTCGCATTGGATTAACAGAATACTGAGGGCTGAATGGTAGTAGTCCTCGTGACAACACATGGAAACTGTCCTGGTCTCACGCAAACTCTATTTCCCCTGATCGTTCGCAAATGATACATCCCATCTGTGACTGGCCTGGAGCAAGCAACTCGTCCTTGGCCCGCCTGAACAGCTACCACTCAGGCTGCCGAGGGCGTCAGAGGAGCATTTTGATGATTTTAGCGCCATGTCATGTCAGCTCAAACTCCATCATCCCATCTTGCTGAGCCAGGATCTCGCTTGGGTTGAGGTTGTGCACTGCACATTCGCCGACGAATAGGTATTTGGTGGGCTGGTGAATTGCGCTGCCGAACGAAGACATTGCTGCTTTGGAACGGCCTGACGATCTTGCCCTTGTCACTGAGGGGGAGTTTGCTTGGTAGGCGTTGAACAATCCCTCGGCTGGACGGACAGCGTATAATACACTCCCACCTCTGAAAGCGCAGAGCCAGTCTCCAGACTCCACCAAGGCCGAAGTCCTTACAGAACGACATTGCGCGCCAATTTTGAGTGATTTCCGCAACAATGATGCCGCATAACTCAGCTTCAGCCCGTGATATGCAGCCTCGCTAGATTTCGGTGTCTTGTTGGAGAATGCTGGTGCTAGGGATGCAAGTGGCTGAGTAAATTGGTTGTCATCGGGTCTGCCGGTCAGTAAAGACTGAGCTTGTGAGTCGGCAACGAGGAAAACATTAGGCCAAGACAGTGAACGCGTGACTAGACACCCGAGTCGGACACCAAAGACTGTTAGAGAGGCCCGGGCTGAGATCGAGGCTGTTGTCAGACCAGGCCGGGGACTCAACTTGTAGATGGGCGATCTCTTGACCTCTGGCACAGGAAAGGCCTCTTTGGGAGAGTCTTCAGCAAAGGCCGAATCCGGGTCGAGATCTGCAGAGTCCGTGAGTATCAAGGGTCGAAGTGGAAGGGGTTGTCTCCAGTCCGGCAACCAGGATGGCCAAGTCGCTTCGGCACTGGTCCTGTACCTGCCGGCGCCACTTAGAATAGCCAGGTCGTGCTCTTTGTCCACACAGTACAGAAAGACCTTCAGATAGAGGTGAAATAGATTCTCCTCCTGGGAAGACGCTGCTCCTGAAGGCTGTTTCAATTTCGACTTGGAGTTCAAAGCCTCGACCAAGTCAGGCATCAAGCCCAGCAATGCATAGACCGCGTCTTCGGGTTTCGTGCTCGTCCTTGGCCTGGTCAGCATGAGCAACTTACTCAGCTTCAGTGTGCCTTTGTCCAACTCGTTTCTCACTGTCAGGATATTCTCAAAGGAGCCATCGGAGTCGTACAGGAGACTCGAGCTGCGGAGTTTTGACGCATAGTGGAAATACCACAGAGACAAGTCGCTCCATGCCATTTCGAGGTCGCCGCAGCATATGATTGCGGCCTTTGCCAGAATTATCTCTTGGAACGTCCACTTCCGCGTGAAGTAGACATGCTGGAAAATTGACAATGCGTACTTCAAAGCTGGGGGAGTGTTGTGGCGTCTATTCTTTGGTCGGGGAGACGACAGGCTATTGAGGCTGGAAGTTGAGGAGGAGAGGCTGCTGAGACTTTCACGCGAGCCCGATGCACGGCTAGGATATCGCGACATTCGCGGAGACTTGGACTTGCCTCGCGGCGTGAGGGATCTTGTTCCGGGTGTTGACGGTCCACTTGACGAGTTTAGAAAGTCAGATCGAACCAGGCTCAGACTCAGAGAGGTCTCCTGTAGCAGTCCGAATGCCAAAGACATCTGCCGATCGTACTTGCCCAACCACACAATCACACGGCATGCAGAGGAATAAATGCTTCCTGTGTCGGCATGAGCACGCAGGAATGCCATCTAGAGAAGAAGTTGGCCGAGCATACCCATCAATCCGACTTGTTTCATCAACTCCTGGCCCTGGTTCTGATTGATGCAGAGTTGATCGACCCACAACCTTCTCCAGGCATCAGGATACCGCAGATGCAAAAGAGCTGTGTATAGTGACTCGGTGACGGGAAAGTCGTAGCCATTGCAAGAGATGAGGTTGGATGGGGTGGTCTCACCCCAGACGTAAGACAGGGCTTCGAATTGAGTACTCTTGGGCGACGGTACCACCTGCAACTCGCAGCTGATAGGAGTGCCTTTGTCGCCTGGAGCAAGCAGCAAGGTGCGAATCTCGTCGTCATGGAGACTGCTGTAGACATCTCGGGCAGTGGCATCGGCGTCTAGGATGAATCCACGGTCGTCCATCATCAGGGACGTAGTGTAGCTGGCCACCTGGCCACGGCTCAGACTTTCAACCTCAATTGTAAGGGTCCCAACATAGCCAGCTTCGAGCAGAACAGACGCGGAGATGGAGATACAAGTTGTGCCTTGAACATGGAAGAAAGGCCGAGACCAAAAGGTTGCCTGGCCGAGCAGGAGTTTTCTGGCCCCCATTAGTTGCGACAAGGACCGTCTCGCCGTCCAGCAAATTGGCGGGGCTTGAAATCGGGCATTTTATTACTTCTTTTCTTTTCTCACAGTACACCCTCGTTTGTGCATTGGCTTTACAATCGACGTAGCTGGCGTTCTTCCGTCAAGGATTTTGTCATTATGTCTTCTCTCGTTATATTTATCTCTATATACTGGTCTTCAGTTCTATCATCTTCCCACCACTGGCCACTCAATATACAACCTTTACACTCCACCCGGCCCCCACCACTCTTGCCGCCGTCAACATGGTCAATGACGCCGCATAAGCACAACTCGTAAAGGCAATCAATCCCCAGTATTCTCCCTTGCACGCCGTCACCAATTGTCCCGCAATTGGAATGCCGGTCAAGGATCCAAAGGACACGAGGGTATAGCAGGTGGCGTAATACCGTCCATAGTTCTCGACTTTGCATAGCTGGCCCACGCAGACGGGAGTCAGCGAAATTCCCGAACCCGACGCGAATCCAAAGATCAGCGCATAGACGATGATCAACGCGATGGAACCATTGGCCGGGAGCCAGAACGCCAATGTAGATATCAGGCACAGAAAGATGGTCACAACCATGGCGTTGAACCGGCCAAATTTGTCGGCCACAAACCCGGGAAAATATCGACCAAAGCATGAGCCGACATTCAATATGGCAATAATCTGATACGAGAATGAGGTCGACACGCCGTGGCTCAGAGCATAACTGCTAAGATAGGTAAGTGGGACGAAAAGACCCCATTCGACAAAAAAGACGCCTGCTGTGGTCAACGCGAAGACCGGATCTCTGAAAATGCGGAAGTCGGGGAGAATGTTTTCCTTGGTGGCCTTGCGTGGCGGGAGGCGTGATCTGATGAACAGATTCGCAAAGATGAGAAGCACCAGATTGATCAACGCGCAGACTCGAGTCGACCACGCCCAGCCAATCTTGGGAAACAGAGCCTGGAGGGTCAGTGGGAACAGGATCCCGCCCATCGACCCCCCAGCCGCAGCAAGCCCCGTAGTCTGGCCTCTTTTCCTCAGGAAGAAGTGGCCAATTGCGGCAATGGCGGGCGTGAAGACCAAAGAAGTCCCCAGCCCACCGACGACACCAATCACAAGGAGGAAGTGCCAGTACTCGGTGCACACCCCCATCAGGAGGTGAGATGCGAGCATGAAAACAGATCCAGCAAATACCAACCAGCGAGGCCCTTTGGCATCGAAGACAGGCCCAATCTGTATACCAAGGACAAAGGAGAGGAAGGCGTAGATGCCGAATATCCAGCCAATGGTGCTCTCACTCATGTTTCGAAGTTGGTGCGTGGAAAGGTAGGCCTGGTATGTTCCCAAGGTGTTCATCATTCCTAGGGCGCTCATCAAGCCGCAGAAAGAGCCAAACACACATAACCACGCCTCCTTGCCGCCTTCAGGATAAGTATTGCCATATGCATCGGTGGACACCCGACTAGCGGTGGCTAAAGTACTGGACACCTCGTGCAGTGTTGGGGATCTGGAGCTGGATGACTGCGAAGAAGACGATCTCGGCCGGGGTTTCCCTGAGCCGTCGTGACTATGCGATTGTTCGAGACCACAACAATACGAAGATGTGAAAGGGGCTGCAGCGATTGATGGTGCCGCAGATGTGGCCTGTCGTGATCCGATACCAGGACGTTGAAGTTCGGAGATCTCAATGACCTCTTTGGTCTCGCTGACAGCCATAGAACCCGATTGCTTTTCGGCTACCTCTGCAGCTCCTTCCATGGGAAAGGTGAAAGCACTGAGCGTTTGATCACTGTTCTTCCATGACTCTTTTTCGAGGTTCTGACTGAGTGACAGTGAACCCGACCTGCTCCTATTGGGGGTTGAGCATGGCGAATGTAGTGAGGCCGGAAGCGGATCTGGACGCGGGTCTGGACGGCTTGCGTCCTGAGCCAATCTCAATAAGCCCAGGGGAGTTCCGTGGTGTTGTTGCTGTTCGTTGGAGTGGTGGAAGGTCATGGACTGTGTCCTCTGGGGAAAAAGGGAAACTCTATGTTCAGTGTTCAGAGCCGGAGATCAGCTGTCGTGTGTGATCCTGGCTTGTGGCGTAGTTTAGTGAGGGAGGAAGAGGGAAAACTCAACAAAACAGACCAACATGTATTTATCTCATCTGGTCCGTGTCCTCGTAAAGTTGTGAGATCGCAAAGGGGTCGATATTTGCAGCAAGACAGAGCAGATGACGAGCAAAGGTGAAAAGAAAAAAAAGGCAGACCAAGAGGCGGTCGTCGTACCAAACCCTGCAAACGGCCTTGTAGCGCGAGGGAAAAGCCTGAACAGGGAGCAGCGAGATCGGTCATATCCGCGGGTGGTGATGTGTGGAGTGGAGATGGAGATGGATCTCATCTTGGTAATATTGACTGTAGCTGTGCTTCTGCGCTGTGCCCGTGGTGTACTCGGTACTAGTATTATTATTAAAGAGAAAAAGGGGACATGATTGAGGGGAAGCGAGATCCGCGCGTGGAGATGCCGCCAGTGGCTCGTACATCACCTTGTCATGCGTCGTACATCGGTCGAGCCCTGGCGCTCAGTCCCGGCACCATTGGCATAGCGACATCAGCAACTCCTAATAGGTGCCTAGGTGGCTTAGGTACTTCGTATATGTCATTCCCACAAGGGTTTGTAGATTTTGGAGCTTAGAAAATCAGAGAACAAGAAACCAGAGAGTCAAACGAGTACTGTTTCATCATGTCATGTTCATTTCTAGGCCCGTTCAATACGTTGATAGTCTCCCTCTTCTGCAGCCATGGTGGTTTCAATGCCGTTCCCGATGCCCAAAATCGACAAAAGCATAATTAAACGCTCGCTCACATTCCTTTTCTTGCACTTGTGGTCTGCTGGATCTTTGCTGTGAAGGGGGATAGAGTGTGTTTATGAGGATGGTGTTGATGCCCGCGAGTATCTTTCGCCGCCGGGCTTCCCAACGAGCTTCTCCTAACCTTGTGCACGTTATCTCACACTCAGTTCCTCTCTCAATTTCGAAGGCGCGTTTGGATTGCCCGGGTTCACCATCTTGTTTCTCCTGCCCAACAATGTCGAGTTGTCCAGGCTCAATTCGAACGGCTCCTTATTGCGACGTCCAACGCTCTGCTTGGCTGCAGCCGCTACCGCTGCGCTATGCTGGCCATAGCCTCGCTGTTCTTGCTGACTATTGTGATGTTGGCTTCTGGCGGGCGCCGCCGCCGCTCGCGCTTGGGCCGCCGCAGAAGGCTGAGTTCCGAGATTGGTTGAACGCATCTTTGCTTCCATACTCGACACATCGGCCGGTTGCTGGTTTTTCGGCACTTTGCTAGACACTTCTTCCTCGTAGTCTTCATCCTCGTCATCCTCATCCTCATTCAGAGGATTTAATCCACCGGGCATGCCTGCTCCGCGGTAGCCTTGCTTGAAGTTCTTTCTCCTCTTGGCTTCCTCTTCTTGTCGATGTACGGCATAGCCCACGTCGAAGACTTCACGGAGGTTGACAGCACCAGGCGATCGGAAGTCTGCCCGCTTTGCACCGGGGGTGTTGGGAGTGGTGAGGAGTTCTGCAGGGATGTTGCCCGCTTGGGCAATCTCCTTCTGGCGGACATGGAGAGGGGTGGCCAGAGGTGGAGCATCTGCAGCAGCATAGGTGGGTTCATTGGCATTCCGAATCCAAGGATGGTTCAGGAATTCTTCAATCGTATATCGCCGGTCAGGATTGACGGTCAACAGATGCGAGACCAGATCTTGTGCTGATTTCGAAATGTCATCCCACCAGGGCGATAGGAAGGTATATTGACCCCGAGCAACCTTTTCCGTCAGGACTTGAATCGACTCGTCGTAGAAAGGAGGAAAACCGCAAAGGAGGGTATAAAGCACACAGCCTAGAGCCCACATGTCGACCGATTTGCTGTAGCGTTCATCCTTGACGATTTCAGGTGCCGTGTAACCGACTGTACCGCAGGGCGTCATGGTTTGAGAATCCCAAATCACTTTGGAAAGACCAAAATCGGCAATCTTGATTTGGCCGATACCACCGGCACCGAGGCCTGGAATGAACTCTCCCTCGTCCGCTTTGTCTTCATCGTCCGGCCCCCTGGGCTTCGGGTTGCGCGTCGGGACAAAAGGGATCGGATAAAACAGAAGATTTTCCGGTTTGATGTCACTAGAATTGCGGTTAGTCAGTCGTGCAGGTCTGCCGCTTCCGATTTCAATACATACCGATGGACCACACCGGTCTCTTCATGCAGATAAAGTAAAGCCTTGGCGACCTGAGTAATGACGTGGCGGCTGAGGTCTTCGCTGAAGTATGTCAAGCGGACAATTTGGTGGAACAACTCGCCGCCTGGACACAGCTCAAGTACAATGTAGTAGTACTGCCGGGACTCGGAAAAGTCAATGAGCTTCACGATATTCGGGTGGTCCAGCTGGCGCATAATTTGGACTTCTTTGAGAATATTGGCTCGCTATAACAAGAGGTTAGTCTTCGCTCGGACGAAGGCAAGGAGTGGATCAAAGCGGATGTGGTAAATGGAGGGTTCGGATAGGATGGAAGTGCGCACCTCCACGCCCTTTGGTTGTTTTTTGAAGTTCGGATGAAGGTGAGCATCGCCCTAGGTTAGAAGAGGTTGGTTTTGAAGCTGATTTGAACGAAGAAAGGGGAGGAATGGTGGAAGGAGATGGAGAGGAGAGGAGTCGCGCAATACTGGAGACGGCAAAGCCAGAGCGCAGGGAAGTTGGGGTAAGGAAAAGGAAGTTTCCAAGACATGGCAGTGTACCATGACTCCTGGCATACCTGATTATTGTTCATTTCGAACTTGCGGACCACCTTGATGGCGACCTCGTCTCCGGTCTGGGTGTCTCTGGCCTTGTAGACGTTGCTGAAAGCGCCATCCCCCATCTTTTCCAGAAGGATGAACCGTTCGAGCCCAGGGTATCGGGGCATCTTGCTGGCCTTTTCCCTCTCTTCAGCAACGATAGCTTCGATGTCCGCTTGGATCTTCTGGTTCTTGCCCGCAGCGTGGGCTGCGGCGGCCCCGGCCTGAGCAGCCACATTTCGATTGTCACCGGCCCCGACGGAATATTCACCAGGTTGAGGTTGTACGTGATGCTGTGGTTGTCTGTGATGGTTGCCTATAGGGTCGCTGACGCCATGGTGATACTTCTGTTGCTGGGCATGAACTGGAGAGACGTTGGTAGTGGGATGGTCGCGGGGTGGTTCGGCAACCCGGGCCTGCTTCCCGTGACGTATAAAGTTCTTGAGATTCTGAATGGTGCTCATTTTAGCCAATGATCCAGAGCAGGTCGACGGCGCGGGCGATACGAGATCAGACGAGAGGAGAGGTGGAAGGGAGATCGAGAGATTCGCGGTCGATGCCAACGGGTGACACACGAGGTTGCGAGATGGGAAGAAAAAGTTCACGGCAGTAGGCAGGAGATAGTGGTAGGCAGGGTCTCCGGCCCAGATTTTCGGCGACTGCAGGAAACGGACAGTCGGATGATTCAGCAGCAGGATAAGCGGATCGCAGCTTTGACGGAAATGGGTGAAGTGCCAATGACCAGTCTCGGCTTTGAGATGGCGAGCTGCAAGGTGGGAGCGGGGCCGGGGAGGGGAAGGAAGAGGGCGTAGGAGGAGTAAAGTGAAGCGAAAACGAGAATGTGGTCGTGGAAGAGCAAGTGAGAGGTGGATGCTGATGAAGATTGCAAGGACAGAAGGGATGGCGAGAGGTTTGAATAATTGGAGTTTAGAAGGTTGGACGTGTGAAAGGGAATGATTTGGAGGAAGGGGAGCAGCAGCAAGAGTCAGTGACGGATGCGTGACGAAGCAGGTTGTCGATGGAGGGGCAAAGTCCCGGAGCACGGGCTTAGGTAAAGACGTAGCTCTGCACAGGGCCACAGGCCGGGTCTCGAGCTTCCACTGGTGGGTGACTGCTGGGCGACTGGTACTTCCCACTGGTGTGTCGGTGCTGCGTAATAGGGGCTGGCAAGGGCGGGATGGGCATCGGGGGGGGCGCCGGGGTGATGAGATCATAGGGCTTGCTTGTGCAGTTGTCCAAGGCACATCATGGGCGCGGCGCGGGGGGGCAAAAAGCACTTACAGGTGGCTCCGCCTGCTGTGGGTTTCCCAAGCCTCCGTTGAAATGCTCCTTGCGCTGCAGCGTCCTGTGTGGCCTTTTGCTGCTTGAGCTCTCCAAACAATAGTCCGACCGGCGCCCATGCAGGGCCCGCCTCGCAAAGCCGCCGTGGCTCGTGTGGCCAGATCTGCCTGTCTCCTCCTGCCTTGCCGCGAATGGTTGACGAGGCTGGGTCATCCCCATATTTGCCATCCGCTCAACGTCATCAGGCCGGGTGGCTATTGGCGCCATGGGTGTCGACAATGTGACTGGGCGACGATCTCTTCGACTCTGGCCTTGACAATATCCCGCTGCTGCAGCCCGTCGGTTTGAGACGCAAATCGCATGCCGTTTGTTGGCCGGATTGGCGTCGTTCAATCTCCCAAACACCTTGGGCGAGCACCTGTCCTGGTAGTCATGGTGATAGTCCTGGAAATCCCAGTCCAACTCCAGCTCCAACTCCAGGGCTCGGTCCAGGTTGAATTGGGCGTTCAGGAGGCTCTCGGGGTGGTAGAGGTCATCATCCACTATCAGTGGCTCAATGATGGTGGGCGCACGGGGTGGTGCCATGTCGGGGACGTCGCCGTCCTCCGTCCTCCACGAGTCAAAGTACGACTCCCAGCTGTCTGTCGGCGTGGCCGTCTTGGTAGAAGATGCTATCGATGAATTCCTTTGGTGATGCGCCATGGTGCATGGGTTGCTGACAAAGGCCATGCAGATGTCCAAGAACGGAATATGGGCAAGAAGGATCGGGTTGGTATACGAGGTATAGACCTATCCAATCATCCTCGACAAATATTATTCATTCACGATATGGAATGAAAGCAGAAAAGAAGAGCTATGGGAAAAGGGCAGAATCTATTGCCCATGACAAAATGGCTGTTCCTGTCTTTTAGATCTTTTCCCGCTTACTTCCGTTCGGGCCCAGCAGCTATACAGAGGTTCATCTTACCCTGCCGCGACAGCCTTTCCCAGGCATGTTACCCACTCAGACCATCCATCAGTTCACATGGAGTGTCACCGGGGATTTGCAGAAACCAGCGCTCGCATGATGGTGGTGCCCCTGAGCCCGAGGGAGGTCATGCACACCTTGATTCGACCGTTTCAGGCATCCCGATGCAAGGGGGAACCAGGCTTAACGAGCCGATACCAACTTTTGGCCACAGGCTAGCACCCAGCCGAGCTCTCCACCTCTCCCAGTCTCGAGGCTCTAACACGTCAGCTCAGTGTGATCGTCTTCTCTTCCGATTCGATAGCTCCCCCCAGACATGGCAAAGCGACACATTTCGAAGGCGAAGGGGAGCCTGTCAAACGGGCAGGGAGAACCTTGACCTACCTTATCGATGGGTCCTGAATCAATCGGACGGGACAGCCATCCTTGCCTGCGAGCCCAGCCGGCATGCGCCCCCCTCTACAGCCCATTCGCCATTGACATCATGCATATGCATTCAATATAACTATGTCCCGCGTCCGGGACAGAGCTAACCCGTGTTCAGACGCGTCAACAGAGTCAATCCCCCGATCTATCGAGTATCGAACCGCTCTTCAAGAAATTCCCGTCTGGAAAAGGGGTAAATCGAAAGATTCATAGAATGCTTTCCCAGACATACCAGTTGCCCGGCCAGTCCAGCCCAAGCCACTCCGGTAAGAGTATCCCACAAATTGTGTCCCTCGTGACTCGGTGCCGGTGGTAAAATACAATTTCCCTACAAAGTCTCATGACATGTTTGCAGTAATGCAATCTCAAATCGCTCCATGGTTTGCTACGGCTTGCTCTACATGGATCCCAGACTAGTCTACACGTGGTGCAGTCGCATCTCCATCGTATGACAGATCCTAGGATCTGTTCCTGAACTTGTCCCGACTCGTCCACCATCAAGACTTGGTTCAGGTTACGCCGGCAACCAGCGCAACGATGGGTTGTGGGCCCGTACCTGAACCTTTATCTCGTACCTTGCATTTCCATGTCTTCTTGACTTCTTTCTTCGGAGCCAACAGCGGAACTCTCATCCGGAAAACAAGTCCTGCGGATCCAAAAAATGTCCCAGTCTCCAGAAAAGTTGCACGACTTTACATCTCCTGCCTCCAGGAGACCACCAGCCCCGACATGGTTCGCCGAATGCCCGAAGCACGGGCCTTATGCTCGTTGATGGTATGCTTCGAGCAAGCCCCTGCAACATATCGGGTTGAGATCTGCAGAGGCGCACAGGGCGTGGACGGGCCTGGAAATATCGTCGATCATGCCAAAGCTCTCGTCCAGAGTTGGCGATAGGTTATTATTCCCTCAGCGAAGCACACCCTCAAGCTGCTCGCCGACAGATAAGCATCTCACGGTATGCAGGCGCGTAAAGGTAGCCTCTGCTAGGCTCTCGTTCAACAGCGGCACAACTAGCCCAGTGTCATGTTCCCCCTATCTCAACACAATCCTGATTCCAACACCTGATTCAGAAGTGGTATATGGTCCTGATTGGGCTAACTGAACGGAGTAGATATGAGCGTCGAGAACATACTGGTCCCAGAGAAGCCAGTAAGACTGTGTATTAGCAAAGGTACAGTAGCTTTCGAGAAACCGACAAACAAGAGCATCCACATGAAACGACCGTAGAAAGCGCCTTTCGTGGTTTCGTATCTTTCCGTGCACATGCTACTGACCATAGGTCGGCCAACGCTGTTATGCCGGCTATTTCTCGACAACACAATCACACGGTGCAACCTTGCAGACCTCCTCGAGTCATAGTAGGGCAAATGAGACCTAGACGCAGGCCAGGTTCCTCGTTGGCCGTGCGCAAAAGTATAAAGCCCCTTTGTGACTTCTTTTCGTGCATGTCATCATTCCGTAGCGCCATTCCTGATGGGCGTTGAGGTATCTCGTCAGCTCACACTCTCGTATCTCGAGAAAAAAGAGAACGGAGACTACGTGTTCCCTTCCCGTGCGAGTCCGCACAGACGATCTGTGCAACACTGGCCGCGTGCTGGAACTGATTTCCTCAGTCTTCCAGCGAGCTCAAGCACGGACCTAATGTGACCCGAATGCTCCTCCCAGTGCCGACGCCAGGCTTTGAGCTCTGCGGCAAAAACCAGGCCATTGCCACGTAGCTCAAGGACCCTGCAGGGAAACCGGTGAAAAAGGGGGTTGGAAGAGGAGACGTGTTTGAACGCGCGGTGGTGATTAGAACACTTTGTTCACGATTCCTCATCCTCTCGCTGGATCATTGAGTACGTCCCTCCATTTCGACGTACAAGGCGAATGCCATGAGACGCGGCAGGTTGGTATCGGTCACTATTCACGACGTAGCAAGTACTGAAAGTTACCTTCGGAGGAGATTCTGGCTGGGGGACTGCACGATGGCACCTGCTTGAAGTTGTAGAACGCAGACCTTGCCATCATATCTAAAGTAGTCAGAGAGAGTCTTGAAGAGGCTGCTGGTGAGCATGACAGGCTCAGACTGCCAATTAGTGTGTTGAATAGCTCCTTAATCTATGCTGGTGATATGACTGCAAGATAGCCGCTAAGCCTCATAACAAGGCTGTGGCACACTTACAACGCTGAGCCAAATTCTACTGGTCTTGCCCAGAATTTCGGTTGCCATTCCACTGCTCGTGCGGCCCTTCATCTCTTTCCAACAGGACCTGCTCCCAAAAGCCTCCAACACGACCCGCCGAGATTTTGTAGGATGCAGACACATGCAATCATCACTCATTCATTATAAAACTTCTTCATAATCAGATGCAAGAATAAGTTGACATTGACTCGCAGGGCTCCTTCAAAGAACTCCATGAATTGCGTGTTGTTGAACTGCGCCTGTAAGAGATCGTCGAGCGGCACTTGAGCGTTGGCTCCAGGGATCATCATGTTCCCTGAGCTGCCATCAATGGTGAACACGCCGACTTCGTTCGAAGAGAAGGTCAAGTCCACTCTGTCCCATTGCCGTTCATGGTAGCCGCGCCAGTGGACGAGCACCCCCTTGTCCGCCAGAGTTCGTGCAGAGTATTTGTAGGAACCAAATTTGAAGGATCGACCGGAACGCTGAAGCTCGCGTTCGTGTTCCCACTGTTTACTGAAGGGCATCACGAACCGTTTCTTGCTCTTCTTGTTCTGCAGAGTCACCATGGCTTGTTCAATGTAGTCATTGTAAGTCTTGAGCTGCTGTTCGAGATACAATGCTTGCTCATTAAGCCGTGCTAGAGTGGTCTTCACGTTCTCGAGTTCACGCTGCCGCTGCAATCTTCGCCGGTGTTTGGTTCGGATATCAATAGCAATGGCGTTGAGAAGGTCTTGGTACTGATTTGACCGTGTCAGGCGACCGACGGACTCTAGCTGCAAGATATTTTCCAAAGCAATGCGCTTGAGGTCGGGATATGATAGGGTGCTGATGTCGAGGTGATTGTGGACGTCAGTATAAGCACCACGCCGCCCATTGCCAGCGCGGAGTTCGTCATTGACCAAAGTCTCCCATTTTTCCTCATCTTCTGGTGTGATGGGCTTGACCAATATTTCAAGAAGATTGGCCCCTGACTGGACCCGGATGATATAGAGGACGCACCGCTTGGTCTCGGTCAATAGAGTCTTCACATCCGCATCTGGATCTTCTGAGTTTAACAGTTTGGGGGTTAGTGTTAGACTGATCTCGCTGGAGCTCACACCCCTGAGTTCGCTTTCATTGCTCTGGACGCTACCCAATTCCCTCAGGATGTCGCGGAGAACATCGTCCTGGTTTGGACAAATTGAACTGATCTCTTGAGACAACAGCTTGTGGATGGAGAAGATGTCGGCCATTTTGATGTACAAGGTCGGTTTTGTCTTTGCATAAAGATCGTTGAACTCGTCAATATCATAGTGCTCTTCTGCTGGTGGTATTGATATTACTGCGCAAAAAGTTAGCTTGAAGAAATTCATACCGGCTGTGATCAACTCACCATGACTCCAGATGGCCGCGAATCGTCCGATAGACTCGCGTACATAGTTGTTCAGGGGCTGGAGATAAACATTGTCACCGCCAAACTCACGGCCTGAAGCGGCTTGGTTTAACACTTTTGCGATCTCCCCAAGGTTCCGTTTTTGTTCTTGCGTCATGGCTCGATCGGCGACACCAAACTTTTCCGGCTCCAGGAGAGCAGGTTGAAGGTAGTGACGCCACAGCCACTGGCCCACGAGCTGAAGCACAAAATCAGCTTCTTCGCCAGGAAACCGCGCAATGAGATGTTCGTATGTCTGCCGGACAACGAACCGAACGCCAAAGGGCATCCGATGTAGACAGTCTTCTAGGCAAAGGAAGAATTGGTCTGTGATATCTCGCAGATCCTGCATGTGCGCAATGAACGTTGCTCTGGTCTCTGGATCTCGGATGGCGACCTCCCTCGGGACATTGGGATCTCTTTGGCTCCGTTGGCCTGTTCTCAGTTCTTCGTTGTTGATGGCCGAGACGTAGATTTGAAGAGGGTCACTTTCAAGGTCGAGGGTCGTATTGTCAATGATATTCTCTTTGACAAGGGGGCCGAGTATGTCTCTCAGAAACTTCCGGTCGCGGGGCGATTTGCTGTAGGCTCCAAACAACTTGTTGGAGAATGAATTTGTTCGGAGGTAATCTTGAAGAGATGCAGAGCAGTCGACTTCTTCTTTGATGGACCGAGTAATGAGTTTGACGAGATAGTATTCTTCCCTTCTCTTTTGAGCGTAACCGAAAATGCCCATGACCAGATGTTTCACCCGGTCACACTCCTTTTCCGCAGTGGCCTGCTCCCTGATGCGTCTCAATAGTCTGGACAAATATTGAGGCTGGGTCTGAAGCAGGAAAAAGAGTTCCTGATAATGCTCCAATTTGCGCCGCGAGGTCTTGTTGAGCGCTTTCAGGTCAAACGGGTCCTTCGACGCAATGTCTGAGTTAGGAAGGAGAGCACCGACGTGGCCGCCAAAATGGCGTTGGTGTTTGACTACTTCATCCAGGGTAATCTTGTTCTTGACCAGAAGTGCAATCTTGATGTCCAGCTGCGTGATGTACTGATCTGCAAGTTCGTTCTGACGGACGTGTTGGACCACGGTCTTGCGAAGTCGTTCGAATTCCACCTCCTCTTCAAAGTCGAAATCACTGTCGTTCAGAAGATGTACGAAGCCTTTCAGTGTGCCCACAGGAGGATTTTTGCCGGCAGTGAGACTCTTATATGCCTTTCCCTGAATCTTAGCTCGAACAACGCTCTGAATCTTGATAACCTTTTCCATATTCTCCTTGAAATAACGTTTCTTCTCTGCAAACTGGGACCGGATAGCGGCCGCTCTCATAAGGGCCTGCAGTTCGATGATGGATTCATCATATGTTTCCAACTCACTAAGTAAGTCCCCAACGTGACTGCGGCAGAGCATGGCACGAATCAAAGCTTGGAGTTGAATTGCTTCGTCCTCGGTCTCACCAAGCTCTGTGAGCAATTCTCCGGTCTGTATTCGCACAAGTGCTCCGCGAGAAAGTGCTTGGAGTTGGATGAATTTGGACGCATGTCTTTCAAGGGCTTGTTGCTGCTGTTGCAAATGATTCCGTACCGTGAAGCCACGGATGGCAGCCTGCAGAGGTATGGTTTTGGTTGATTGCTGCAGGAGAGAAAGCTTGAGCGAGCTAAAGGCTTCCCTTGCGTTTGCGCCTCTGAGGATTGCCTGAAACTTGCTGATGGACGCTGACTGTGATCTCAAGGACTGCTTCAGACCCGCAAGTCTGGTACGGACTCGACCTGCGCGGATGATGGCTTGTAATGAGGCCCATGCAAGCGTCGAGTTGAGTAGCCTCTCGCGCAGCTTGTTTTGAGTTATTCTCGCAAGCATAGACCTGGCTCCGGCTTGAACTTGGGTGATCGCATAGCTTTGATTTTCTAGAAATTCGCGATCGTCTTGAAGTCCAGCTCTGGTCAGCATCCCGCGAATTGCGGCTTGCAGCGATATGACTTCTTTTTCGGCCGTCCTGGTGGCCTCGTACTGATCGAAAGCGTCTCTTCTAGAGAGAGCCCCTCGAATGGCAGCTTGCAGATTGCGAATACCAGCCTCATGTGTTTGCACTCTTGACTTGATGGCACGTGTTTCGGTCCGGGCTTGTCCTGCCCTGAAGAGGCTTTGAAGCTTGAGCACGTCCTTTTCTCTTGACCTCCATTGCTGAGCCTTCTTCTCCTGTCGCACTCTTACCAGAAACCCGCGGGTTGCAGCCTGGAGATTTGTGGCGAAACGTTGCATATGGAGCCTGTAATCGGCAACCTGTCTCGCCCAGTCACCGCGAACGCGCGATTGGATGTCGACGATGAGATCCTCAGCATCCCAGAGCCTCTGCATCACATCGCCTAGTCGCAATCTGACCAACGCACCTCGGACCTGGGTTTGAAAGTCAGAGATGACGGCTTCTTGCTCATTTAGCTCCTTGTCTATTCTTTCATCTTCGGTCTCCACTGGTTCTGGTTCCGGCTCCGGCTCACCAAAGCTGGCGCCCATTCCCGAAAAACTAGGCATGCTAATCCCAGCTTTGTCGAGGCCTCGTTGCGTCTGTTCCAATTCATGATGCTCGAACTCAAGCTGACCAACCAGGTTTCCGATCCGGAAGTCAACCATGCCTTTGCGGTAGAGGAGCCATGACAAAGCATGAATGCAGTAGATCACTTTCGGTATGTTTTTCTTTTCGTAGAGATCGATCAGCTCGAACCGGAATAGGTCCGGCAAACCGACGTCCTCGAGAAACCGGAAGAACAGTACAATATTGTCTGAGTGTTTGAACTGCAATTTCGGGTTGCGGAAGATCCTCAGGACCTGGTCGGGATGAAATGCCTGAACTATTTCTGCTAGCGTGACTCCGTCGCGTAGAGCCTCTTCCAGTTGCACAATGGGAGGGATTGGTTTGTTGATGATGTCTTCGATCCATTCCTTCGCTTCACCAATATGACAGAGATATTCATAGGCCTGCAAAAATTGCCGTTGTTTGTCCATCCAGTTTCTTTCACCCCAGCCGTAACTCTTAGCCACCGACCGAGCGCCAGGTGCAACGGAGTCGGTACGTTTTAATTGTCTCCGATTATGCAACCCAGTCACAGACTGACCAGGAGCTGCGATACCGAATTCTTCCGCATCGCCGTCTTGGGCAAATCTTGATAAGGTTTTCAGATGGGTCGTAGAAGATTTCTGCAGTTCTCGGAGATCAGGGGCTTTGAAGGTGTTTGCGTGCGGGTTTGGTAAGCCTTGGTGAGTATGAGTTTTGGATTGATGCGTCTCTTGATGATGCTCATGTAGATGCTTGTCCACGAAGGGGTCTTCGGAAGAAATTTGTGGGAAGCGGTCGATGGTGTGGGCTCGGGCGTGATAGGGACTCGGACGGCGAGCATTGGGTGTTGACGTTGGTGATGGAGCTTGAGGAAGTGGACGCAGACTCTGGCGGATGTTACGATACACATGGTCAGGACTGTTTTCCACACTGCTGCTTCCACCATAAGCCCTCGTCGGCGTCATGTCTTCTATGGTTGTGTTTGTTCGCTTGTGACCTGGAGAGCCTCTTGCATAGATACTCGAGTTCGTGGAAGTGACAGTGCTTGTACGACTGGGGAGAAAAGCACTAGACGCTCCAGAGTAGGCGGAAGAAGCAGTGGAAGCTGATGAGGTCTGTCGTTGAGGAAAACCGGATTGGTAGTCTGTTTGCGCACGGCGAAGGGCGTAGTGCGACATCCCGGAGAGTTTTCAGACGCAAGATCAATGTGAAAGAGCTTTGGATCTGGTCGTATTCGAGGCTTGCGTCGCATCCTCAACCGTCTGCGCAAGGTAACATTCAGATCGTCAATGGTGTGGTATTAGACAATTGCGAATTGGAGGCTTCAAGCAGGTCAAAAGCACAAGCCGTACGCAGAGTAAGGTAGCAACAGTGGATGGTCGAGCAGTCTGACTTATTTGTACCACACTTAGTGAGTCGAGGACAGAAAATCAAACCTGCAGTTTCTTGACTTTAACGCTTTGTTTACATCTTGGCCCGAAACGGATGGCGGGACACGGGATGCCAAGGCTGTTGAGAAGCTGCAGCCATGATTGGTCAACGGCTCGCACAAAGACTATTGGCTGTACAAGGGTCAGCGCCCTCCGCCTTTTCACTCAAAAATCCCCTTTCGATTCTAGACTTTCTGAAAAATTTCCCTTCCCTTGGAAAGGCGCTCCCTGACCCCAGCAGCCCAATTGTGTAACTCTTCTGCTGTACAACCCTCTTTCAACCTCACTGTCAAGATGCCGATTGCGAACGGAGACATCTCCAACGGCGCCGCCATCACGCGCAAAGGGGAGAAACTAGACTATCGGACAGCCCTCCAAGTCCTCGAGTCCGACTACGACACTCGCGATGGCCTCGATATTCATGCCCTTCTGGACTCGAACAAAAACGGTGCTCTCACCTATAACGACTTCCTCATTCTGCCTGGATATATTGGTATTGTACCCACCTGAATTCTCTTCGCTCCAACAACATGCTTCTAACCCTCCTGAACAGGCTTTCCTGCGTCTGAGGTCACCCTTGACTCTCCCATTACCAAACGAATCTCTCTGAAAACCCCACTTCTTTCCTCGCCTATGGACACTGTCACAGAGGATTCGATGGCAATCCATATGGCTTTGCTGGGCGGTCTCGGTATCATCCACCACAACTGCTCTGCCGAGGAACAGGCCGATATGGTACGCAAAGTCAAGAGATATGAAAACGGTTTCATCTCCGATCCCATTGTTCTCAGTCCCAAGACTACGGTTGGGGAGGCAAAAGAGTTGAAAGAGAAATGGGGATTTGGCGGGTTCCCGGTCACCGGTATGTTTCCCCAAGACCATCAAATGGTTATCTTGCCCCTGTCTTTCGATGATGTCCAAAACTATTTACCCTTTTAAACTTTCGTTCATCCGCAGCATGAACTTGCAATGGGGAATCATGGAGATTTCTGTCTGAGAACCACCGTGCATTCTGCATTTTTACTTTCGAGTTTTGGAATGCGCAGGAGCTGACAGCGCAATTAGAAAACGGGCAGCTCAAGTCCAAGCTTATTGGCATTATCACCACTCGCGATATTCAGTTCCACCCTCGTCCCGACGACCTGGTCACAGAGGTCATGTCGAAAGATCTGATCACTGCGCCAGCTGGCACTACTTTGGCCGAAGCCAACGACGTGCTTCGCCAGTCAAGGAAAGGCAAACTGCCCATCGTCGACGCAAACGGCAACCTGGTGTCCCTGCTTTCCCGATCCGACCTCCTCAAGAATCTCAACTACCCCCTTGCTTCTAAACTACCACATTCAAAACAATTGATTGCAGCTGCGGCGATTGGTACTAGACCCGAGGATAAGATCCGACTGCAGAAGTTGGTCGAAGCCGGGCTGGATATCGTGATTCTGGACAGCAGCCAAGGTAACAGCATGTACCAGATCGACATGGTTAAATACATCAAGGAAAAGTACCCCGAACTCGACGTCATTGCTGGAAATGTGGTGACTCGGGAACAAGCCGCGAACCTCATCGCTGCTGGTGCCGATGGCCTGAGAATTGGCATGGGCAGCGGCAGTGCTTGCATCACACAAGAGGTCATGGCTGTGGGACGACCTCAAGCTACAGCTGTCCACGCCGTATCGTCTTTTGCGGCCAAATTCGGCGTGCCCTGTATTGCAGACGGAGGTATACAGAATGTCGGCCACATCGTCAAGGGCATCGCCATGGGTGCCTCGACTGTGATGATGGGTGGTCTCCTTGCCGGCACCACCGAATCTCCGGGCCAGTCCTACATCAACCGCGAAGGCAAGCTTGTCAAAGCTTACCGGGGAATGGGCAGCATCGATGCCATGGAAGATAAGAAGGCCGGCGGAGGAGGCAAGAACTCCAAGGCCAGCAATGCCGGAACGGCACGATACTTCTCCGAAGGTGATCGCCTGCTCGTTGCACAGGGCGTCTCGGGAGCTGTCCTGGACCGAGGCTCTGTCACCAAATTCGTGCCTTATCTGCTAGCTGGCCTGCAACATTCTCTACAAGACATTGGTTGCAAGAGCTTGGTCGAGTTCCGCGACGAGGTAGCTAGCGGCAAAGTGCGGTTTGAGCTCCGAACCGTCAGTGCCCAAGCTGAAGGAAATGTGCATGGGTTGGACAGTTTCGAGAAGAAGCTCTACTCCTGAGAGGCCCAGCACAAAGCCGCAATAACAGCATGGCGAAGGCGAAGGGGGCGTTTGTAGGGCCAGGGGAAGTTTTGATACCTTTTGCCATCTGACAACGTTGCACATGATTTCATGATTGGAATGACATAGCCACAGACAGTTAAGACACATAGATCAGAGATGGTCCCAAGACCGGCTCCAGGAGTCACTGGGGGGTCGAGACATTCGATTAACTGATTTGTATACTGTGTTCATTCCCTGGTAATTGTATACGGTACGTCCCTGACCAGTATACGTTCCATAGTGCGAGTACATGTCCGCCCTTGAATCAACATGCATGGCATGGACCTCGGCGCGTTCTCGGCTCTGCAAGGCACGGTCTGATCCAACAAACTAATTACGGCGAGCTTCAAGCGTAAGCCGAGTTCAGACATGATCCATTCCCCATCTACTCCAAACCCCCACGGATCAAATGCTCTTTTTGTTCAGCCTCGGTCTTTATTATCTCACTCGTTTCTCCGTCTACAACCCATTTTCCCTCAAATGTTGGCGTTCCTCTCGACCTCGACATGTAGATTTCTGGGCAGCTCGTCTTCGTGTTCTTATATTCCTCTTTTAGACTCCAGTTGTGTATTTCTGTATCCGCCGCCGCCACGGTTATCCAATCCTCGCTTACCAAGACGTTCGCCCTCTCGGCTTCTATACTCAAACACCAGACAGTACTACTGTCAGCCATCTCGCCCCCGGTTAGACAGGGTGCTTCCATCCCTCACCACCCACCGTTTTCAACCTATTGGTAGTAACCGCGCGAACCGCTTCGGGGACGTTGCTGTCACCATGTCCGCAAAGAAACAGCAGAAGCCCAAGTTCGAGGTCAGAGGCTATAGCGAGCACAAAGCTCCCAAACCGGCTTCTCCCTCAGCGAGCACGATCCTCGTCTCCCCCAGCAATGAGATCCTCCTTCTTCACCGTGTCCAGACCTCTAGTGCTTTCCCCTCAGCGCACGTGTTTCCCGGAGGCAACCTAGAACCCAGTGACGGGGAGCTGCCGAGTGATCCCAAGGATGTGAATCGGCATCTGGAAAACATTGCCTATCGCACCGGCGCGATTAGGGAGCTGTTTGAGGAGACGGGGATATTGTTGGCTCGCGAATCCAAAACCGCAGAGTCGCTGCTCCCCGTCAGCACGGCGGTGAGAAAGGACGGCCGCGAAGCGGTGCACAAGGGCAAGATCCCCTTCAAGTCCTGGCTATCTTCCATTTCCCCGAACGCGGTCCTCGACACGGACCGCCTGATCCCGTTCACCCACTGGGTGACCCCGCCTAATGTACCCAAACGATTCACCACGCAGATGTACATCTACTTTGTCGACCCCTCGGAGAAGGGCAATCCAAGTGTCCACGCGACCGCGGATCAGATCGAGACCATGGCGCCAGAGTGGAGGACCGCGAGGGATTGGTTGAGTATGGCGAGAAGTGGAGACATCATCCTGTTTCCGCCTCAATTTCTCCTCCTCTACCTTGTCTCTGAGATCCTCGATGGACCCGGCGAAAGCGAGGAGGATATTTTGAAAAAAAGGGAGATATTGAAACGACGGATTGACACGGAAGGGAAACCGGTGCCATGGAAGGAGAAGTTTATTTCTCCCATCGGCATGAGTTTCGGCGAGGACGGCCGAAGCGTGCTTGCGCTCGATAAACCGGGTCCCGAATTGAAAGGGTCGGATTTGAAGGGGGACGACGAGTACGTTGTGATCGTGAAATTCAACAAAGAGGGACCAAGGGACGTGGAGATTGGTTTGAGAAAGGACGTCCTGAGGGAAAGGAGGGAAAAGGGAATAGAAAAGGCGAGTAAGATATAGAATGGTATGTGAAGATATTGTCGACCTTTGACTTCATGAGTATATATCGTGACTGCCAGTCCTCCAGCGCCTCGCTAAGTATTCAAGACGAAAGACAACGAACCACCCTGGCTCGACTTGTCATCCTGTGATCTGACTGCGACCTCGTCTCTCTAGAACCACGACAAGGTCCACAAGGCTGGTAAATTCGGCCAGCGTTCCTGCCATCTAGCAAGAATTTCAGGAACCTTCTCGTCAAAGCTCATCCTCGCGGCCCCGGTCCCATTCTCCCACCCCTGGGTGCCGCTTATTTGTCTCTCTTGGGTGGCCGCCTCGTTCAAGCTATCGGCCAGTTCAAGAATCGCTCCACCACCGACTAGCGCTTCTTCATGGTTATCCTTAATATCAATGTTGAAGACATGAACAGGCCGATTTAAAGGGGCCCCACGGTCGAGTAAGTTGTCCACCACGGCGTCCCAACATCGTTCCTCGCAGGTGAAGATCACGTCTACAACACCGCCCTCCGCTCCTTCAGCACCTTTGTCGCCGCGATTCAAGGCTTCCATCCTGGCTGCGCCAACGATCCAATCGTGAAACCGCTCGGGTCCCCATTTAATCTTCCTGTTTCGGTCAAGCATGTTTAATATTCCATTGTTTCGATAAAGCCGCGCATCTTGCGCGTTGAGTTCTTCGTACATCTTTGTGTAGGAGGTAGTATTGAAATTGTAGACCTGAGGTTGTGAGATAGAGGGGCCGGGTAGGCGGACGTAGCTACCTGTGCCGAAGGAGATGACTGGGTAGTGGTGCGTCGAGGTGGAGAGACGAAGATGAGCTTCCATTGAGCGATTGTTGTTGGAGGCACAAACCGTGCAAAACTTGAGCTTAAAGGGTATTTCATCTTGTGTAGAAGTGGCCGGGGAAGGAGATGTCGCAGCAGCAGGTGCGAGGGTCGCCTGCGTTGTTGTGGAGGGTGGTGTGGATGGATCAATGCTGCCGTCGAGGCCTGTCGGAGAGGGGACTTGAGAATGAATCTGTTCTGTCGGAACAGTCGCCGTGGAAGGGGGAGGGGCTTGAATTGAAGAGGGCGGAGGTTGTGGTGTTGGTTGAACAGGTTGTGGCGTTTGTGTTCGCGCCAGGAGGCGAGCACGTCGAGGGTCTGCAGACATGGCGGGGGAGGGATCGAAGTAAGGTTATTGCTCTACAACAAGCATGTTGTGACTACTGGATCCAGGTCAGTGGACTTCCTCGAAGGTGTTGAGAGACAAAATGTTCAAGAAGGCGCCGAAGCGGCTCGCAGTCAGAAGGTTGAAAATTGCGTATGATTTGTGGATGTCCGCAGCAGGAGAATAGGACAGCTCCAATAAAATAGTCATCACAGGATGCGTACAACAGATAGAAAGTGTTTGCTGGATTGGTCGAACTCACCTTTGTCCACAGCTCGGATGAAGGATGGTGATGAGGACTCGGAGAGGTGACCACCTAGTAGCCTATTGACTCGGTACTTTCGTATGTCAAAGTCAACACCCAAGGTCATCAAGATCGGAGAGCGCAGGGCAGAAAATTCCCGGGCCTGGATCACGATGCGGCTAAACTTCTCCATGGTCCCTTGGAAGCGAGAACTGAAGGAACGTAGCCTGGGCGGGACCTGGGCGGCATCTGAAACGCCTAGTGAGTGACTGTGGGGAGCCTGGAGTGCCTCTGGCCGCCTGTGGTTGGAGGCTGACCAGGGCCTAGGGTGCCCTCTTTCCCCCATTTAGGTGCCATTCCAGTTGGAGGCAGAGCCAGGGTTGAACGGCCCAGTTAAAGCAGTTACAGCAGTTGCGCCAGTCAACCGCAGGCAAGCCAGTTAAACCCATTCGCCTCTCACGATCCAGCTCCACGATCTCGACAACATTGCTCCTCTCCTTGTGAATACCATACTACCTGGTAGGTACCACGGAGTATCTCCTACTGCTTCTTCTTCACTCTGTTTACCAGGCTGGCGCTGACCATCCTGCCTTGCCTTAAACCGGCGCATTTCTTGTCATCCTCCTTACCACCACTATGCGCCATCGCCTGACTTTGCTGCTCTTCTAATCCCTTGGGCAGACTGCTTGGACTTTTGCCTGCGTTTCAGCCCATCACGTACTCTCTCTCACATCGCTATATTTAGATCTGGCGTCTTTCTCGACCCTCGCCATTCTCGCCTCGCCTAATCCTCGACTGCTTGACTCGACGTCCTCACACTGCTCATTATTCTAATCACGGCCCTTCAGCCGCTCGTTGCTGGCATCTGAAGACGCCTTCCAATCTTCCAGTCCTTTTCGTCGTTCTCGCCATTCTCCCTCTTCGTTAAGCGCGCGCTGTGCTTTCGATTCTCCAGATTCACCGCCGCCATTGGCACACTGGGCACATTAGCCGCCCACCGCTCACTCCTCGTTGCCCAGGTCTCGTGCCTATAGGTGCGCTTCAACGAGGCAGAACAATCCAATCCTTCTTCGTCTGCGATACCTGTTCCTCCTTAGCCATCTAAACATCTGGCGACCGGTCCCTTCCTTCTTGCACGCGGTCAGGATGGCGACCATCACAGCCTCACCACCTGCAATGTCTCCCCCGATGGCCGCGGCCACCACCTCTCCTCCCAGTCTCCCTCCTTTAATCACTACCACCCCAACTGCGCGGCGGCCGAGTTCGCAAAGACCAACTTCATATGCTGAGAGACGGATGTCGTCCTTTTCCACGAATTCAAAAGGTTCCTACCTTCCGCAGTCCCGGCCGACGTCCTATGTCTTTCCCGCCTTCCACTCGAGCCTACCATATACCCTCGTCCGAGACTTTGCGTACCTGACGACGCACCCTTTACACTACGGTCCTCCTCCCAATCAGTCAGGTCTCTCCACACCGGCGAGCGAGTCGAGGAGACTGTCGGATCCAGCTGTCTCATCATGGGACGAGTCCAGAGGTCAATGGTCGGCAACCCCGCCCTGGATTTCAGAGACAAACGCCAGCGGTTTTAGTCGAGATCGATTACCTGCAATGACTTTCAAAGACGATGGACCGCCATATAGCGAGGATGAAGATATTCAATCCCCCATCGTTACCACCAGCAGGCACAAAAAGCATAAATCCAATGAGCGAGGGAGATCGCCGGGAGCAGCTGGCCCCAATCGTGGTGTCGTGGTTAGCGCAGCTGGTCATCCAGAGGAAGCAGACGGGCCGGGCGAAGCTGTTGAGACCTATGACAGCAACACACTGAGATTCCCGTACGAGCCTCAACACCGAGATTCCAACTTTGCCAAGCCGCTGCAGCGCAATCTGTCCCCTTATGAGGATGAAGGCCCCGTGTCTGAAGACGAGTACTCGGACGCCGAAGACGATGCCCGATTCTCAAAAGACTATTCCTTCACCATTGCCAGTCCCGACGAGGAAATGCACGGCAAGGCTGTTGCACTCTTTGATTTTGAAAGCGAGCATCAAAACGAATTGCCCTTGAAAGAAGGGCAGATAATCCTGGTGTCATATCGACACGGTCAAGGCTGGCTGGTGGCCGAAGACCCCAGGACAGGGGAGAGCGGACTCGTGCCCGAAGAATTCGTACGCCTGGTTAGGGACATTGAGGGCGGTCTCCGCGGGCTGCACGCCGTGACTCTAGACGGTGATGGGAACATGGACAGTATCATCAGTCCTGTGTCAACGGATCCCAGCTCAATCAATACGCCAGTACCGAACAATCATGATTTTCCTCCTCAGCAGCAACACAAGTCCAGCAGTAATGGCGGTACATATGGCGAAAAGCATCCTCCAATCCAGTCGAACTTTAGTACCAGCAGTCGCGATTTCAGCCCATATCCCTTGCCCACCAAGGGCGATGATAACTCGGCAAAGGAGAGGGAAAAGGAACGAGAAAAGTCGACCGACATAAGCTAGCACCCTATTCCGGTCGTCCCCTCCTAACGGCCTCGCGCTCAAAGAAGAGGAGCATGATAAGGGGACGACGAAAAGAAGATGGTCAAAATCAGCCACACGCGTTAGACTGAGCCTGCGCTTTATGGGTGATAGCATGATAAATTCTTATTCTCTAATGTGTTGTATGATATGATATCCAATGGAGTATGCTAGATGGCAAACTCTCAACGGCCGCCCAAGTACACGGGCTTCGGGCGGGTTGGAATGAGCGACGCAATGTGAGCGTTTGTGACGGACGAAGGACGAGGCTACGGTACACATGAACTGGACAGCGCACCGGCGCGCCAAGGAGAAGTGTTTCCTGTCGATAGGAGGTGGAGCTGAGGTCGTTCGAAAGGAGCCGACTCTGGTCTCTAGATCTTCTCTAGCATTGCAAATGAGACCATCTCAGAGGGATATAGATACAGAGACACAACAATAGAAGAAGAACAAACTCAGACATTTCAAACCGTGTGAGTCGAGCGAGATCGAACAAGATTCGGCCAGAGCTATGATTTGCCTTTTTCTTCTCCTTGCCTAGACAATGGACACGTCTGATGGGTTATGCGAACAACATTTGATGCAGGTCTTTTCGCAGTCCACTCCGACATTCAAGGCTCTCCGATTCCACCACAGTCATGACAGGATGGACTGCTCTCATCGACTCGGCTTCCCATGTGAATGCCCACCCTTGCTCATCATCGGCAGTTTCAGAGGACCGTTCCAAAACGCCCTTCCTGTAGCACGGTCCGTTGTTGGCAATGGAAGAAGGGGCCGTCGAAGACCGCTTCTCAATGGAACAGTGACCATGACCACTGGAATTCCTTCCTTCCTCACCAGTCCGATTCCTGGTCATGGGCTCTGTGGCTGGGGGTGTCTCGCAATCCGGCTATTTTGCGGACTCACTGCATATTCCTTGTAATATCCGTCGTCCCAGTCGTCGACTCGCCTACGAGAATCATCACGACGTCCCGAGGAAGCTCCAGTGACTCTCCGGCTAACGCGTCGGCTGAGCTTTCCCTGCTCCTTCTCATACCTCAACCTCTCAATCTCCCTCCTGGACGCACCTCCGTTGGTGACCCGGTCGCTCCAGATCAAATGTTTTGGGTCGCCAGGGTACACCCCCTTGCGGACTTTTCTCTTGCGGTTGAAGTAAGTCAGAGAGATGTAGAAGCCGTGGATGTGCGAGGGGATGATGGCCAGGATGAACATGACGCAGTTGAAGATGAAGTCTTGGTTGGGGCCCGTGATCAGCAGCACCGCGAGCGGCGGGAAGAGGATGTTCAAGGTCGTGATGACCAGGCGTTTGAAGAGGGGGATTCTCATCGTGACAGATTGGTCATGCCCACATACAGGCAAGCGGTCTATGTCGATAGCCCTCCGCAGTAGTTCGTGTTGTGTCTGGCGGCCAATGCAGCGTGGGTTGTGGTACCCTTTTTGTGAAAATGCAGGAAGATGACTATTAGTCGGGCTCGGATCAAATAAAAGCAGTCAATATCAAGAATTTGATGTCGATGCAGCTTCACGACTCTACCCTTCTGAGCTTGCTGTAAGCCTGGAGAACAGCAGCCATCACGTAGAGACGAAGAACACCTCGCACAAGTTGAAAGGGGACTGCAGCATCGTCATCATATGTACTCTTGCACCAGCTGCCTCATGCGTCTCGACCTGTGGCGGTGCGCACGCTCACCCGTCCTTTCTAACGCAGGGACCTCTGGGCCCATTTGCCCAGCCAGGGAATACATCGTCGGGCCCAGTCCGCATAGCTCGATCGTACAAGAGAAAAACATGGCACAAGGAAACTCTCCGAAGCGTTGATCGCTGAGATCGTCGACTTCGAGAATCAGATAAGACGTCATTTTCTCCCGAGCGTTGTGGCTGATGGTCCTTGGCCCCCCAGTCGGCCCGAGCCACGACTAACGTTGCTGAACGGGCAGAGTGGCGTCCATAACTAGGTATCATGTAACATCAGGGTCTGGGCTTGGAAGAGGGAAGGGCGCAGAAGGTACCTAGGTAGGTACTATGAAGCTGATGATTGACTGTGCAGATGAGCTAAGGCGATAGAGGCGATGGTGAGAATCCAGCTAGATCCGATCCCTCGGGTACATTATATCGAATTGAGAATCTATGTGGTATTGCTTGTAAGGAGGGATCAAACACCATTCCAGTATCCCCCTTGTTACTTTACACACCCTTCCCCGTCAGTTAGCCGTGTTCGGACACATTTTGGAAGCCTCATGGCACGAATATGCATGTTGTTTACCACTTCACTCGACAGACTATCGTCTTCCAGTCACCATCAGAATAGCACTTCCCAACTGGCGTCTGATATCTTCGTTATCCACATCATGGCTGTCTTCGACCTCCCCCCACATCCCCGTCTGCCATCTGACCTCCAGGCTGGAGGCCTCGGCAGCCTCCTCTATGCCGAACCGCTTCTCACTGCCCTTTTGTTGCATATCCCGGAATTCCTCGCTCCACTCGATCAACAGTCTCGTGCCGACGAGAAGACTCTTGCCAGCCAGCACTGCCCGTTCAAGGGCGGCGAGCTCATATGCCGGCAGCCCAGCGATCCACCCGCGTATCACGCTTCTCGTCGTTTCATCCTGCTGCGTAGGCATGATGCTGTTTTCGTCCAGCACGGGCTTGATCTCAATACCAGGCCACACGGATGTGCTGAGATAGCTGATGATTGGTTTGGCCGTCCTGATCTGAACCTCGCGTAGTGACTCGGTCCGCTCAGATTGCATTTCCAGAGGAGACTCCGGCTTTTCTGGTGCCCAACATAGTAACGTGTCCGTGTCTAGATAACGCATCATGGTTGCAATGATTTCATTGCGGATCTTATCATCTCCTCGCGCTTCTGATTCAAGGATATCCTGCGCTCGAGCCGCTATTGAGGTCATAGGAATGTTATGGTTTTTCAGCGCTTGCTGTGCGGATTCGAGTAGATCCCATTCAATCGCGATGGCGTGTGCCAGGTGCGGCTTGGAGCGTGGGACTGTGAGGATGGATTTACCCGGTGTTCGCACGGGTCTTTTGTCCAAGTAGACTTGATACCCTTCCGGGACTTCTTTGACAATCACCTCTTTCCAAAACCTCTTCTTAAGCGGACTTGTTTTTGCCCCTGGCTGGTTTGCTGCGCGGAGCTCTTTGCCTTGTCTGAGCAACTCTGCTTTCCGTCTTCGTTCTTCAATTCGGTCTCCATATTGAGGAGATGTAGGCACAGGAGCACTGGGAGGTGGTCCGGTTGCGGTAATGGGGAGCGCAGTGGCGGATAATGAGCTGGTTGAGGAGATCCCGCGAATTGTTGGCGTCGCGAGCCAGCCGACCGAGGGGTGGCTTTTCAAACAGCGGACAGCGGATGATGATGCCCTTAGCATGTTTGTCCGCATCTTGTCCTCAGGATACTTGATACGGACGAAGTCAATTGAGAGAGCAGTCAATTCCTTGAAACCATCAACAAAATCTCGGGGATTACGATGCCAAGCTGCGCCATATCTCCGACCACTAGCACTTCAAGTTCAACATCATCGAGCAGAAATCATTTCAATTACAACCAAGCTGGAACTGTGAACAATGCCGTACAACTTTAGGATTGGCCCTGCGGTAAGTTTGCGTCGAGATATGATCAGAACTTCCTCCTAAATTAGTAACCTCCAAGATGTTCTCTGTCCGATGAGATCGCTATCAAGGGCGTATCGCGCCCTTCGTGATAGTACTTGCTAGGTTGGCATCCCCAGTCATTGGCGTACCTTGTCGACTTGACAAACTTCTCCCTCGATCTTTGTATTGTATAAGAAGCCTGTGTTTTCCTTCTTTTCCTCTCACACGCCGTCAATACTTTCCTATGTATCCAAGCCGTTAAAATATTTCCAAGATCGACTTCTCGCTCCGAGCGGATCGATAATTGTTATCACGATGGGATTCCGTGCTGTTAGAATCATAAACATCCCCTCAGACATTGGTTCCGTGTACTCTGGCAAGTCACGAGCTCCCACAGCCTTCAAAGCAGCTGGCCTGCAGGAGAAACTCGAAACTACGGGATGGCAAGTCGCAGAATCAACCGCCCTATCCAACGGTCCCAGCGAATGGACCCCGAGCGGGCGGGCCCCAAACGGAGCGCGGAACGAAGCAGCCACTGTTGCTGCTTGCGAGGAGGTTCGCCAAGCTATTGGAAAAGATATCATCGGTAACGACGAGAGCCGCTTCGCAGATGGTTTCCAATTGATTCTCGGTGGCGAATGTCTCTATTGTCCGTCCATCATGTCAGCATATTGGCATCATCTTGAAGGGACAGGGTTGCGCATAGGCCTCGTTTACATGGACGCTGATTGCGACTTGTACACCCCCACGGAACCCAACTCATCGGGTAACATTGCCGGAATGACACTGACACATCTGACATTCCGCGAGGGAGCTTTGAAGAGTATGCAGAAGTTCTCTCGTGCTGACGGCTCCGCTGTGGTCGACAACACCAACATCGTCCTATTCGGTCTGAACATTGACTCGGCCGCCAACAAGCGGGATCACTTGGGCTACCTCTTTGACAACAATTTCCGCGTCTTCACCTCTCGAGCAGTCGAAGTTGCGGCACAGGAACAAGCCGAGGCAGCTTTGAAATGGCTGGGAGACAGGGTGGACTACATCATCCTCCACTTAGACGTTGATGTGATAGACCCCGGGGTCTTCCCATTAGGCAATGTTCCAAGCTGGACGGGTCTCGGTTTTGAAGCGGCCATGGCTGCGGCAAAGACGTTCTTGAGAAGTGAGAAGACTATCGCACTTAGTATTGCCGAGGTGAACCCTGATCATGACCCGGGTCTGAAGATGACGATGCAACTCGTCGATCAGATTGTTGACGGTATGAACGAAAGGATGACATCCGGGGCTCAAAATCTCGGAGTGCAGTAGTCCAATGACTGCTCGTCAACCTCTGGACCAGAAACTTGATTCCCATGTTAGGACTACCATTCCGTTTGCTTATGGTTCGCCCTTGTAGCTTCGCGAAGAGTGAAGGTGCTTTGATTCCGCTTCGATCGAGGGCTGGCTTTGGACAAATTGAATACCTGCCGTCCGCAAATGCTCCAAGATCATGTGGTCTTTCTGTCCGACATAGTCTCTAGTCATCTTGGGTTCGGCATTTGGCGTCTGCAGGAGATGATTCCTGCTAGTCTTTTAGTTGGAGGTTCGGGGTGGGATGGGAAGGAAGGGAACAAACTACAAAGTCGGGTGGTATGGCTGTGAAGAGATTCGGTGGTGGAGACGCCTATATTAGAGAGGTCAACTATGAGGGACTGTCCCCTGCTGGAGCTAAGGAGCGTGGCTAACTATTTATCAAGAGAGAAAAAGAGAATGTCATCGGGTGCTATACTTCGCGGTCGCTCTGCGCCATCACACCCTTAAAAAAGAACTATTTGTTCCACACCGTCGTTTTTCTTTTTGGTCAAGCGGCCAACTCTTCTTCCCGCTGTGTACCCGAAACCCCACTGGCTGGACTTTATGGAAGGGGATTTTGTCTTTCATTGAGACCCAGACAAATATCGACGTAGCTTTTTTGACCATAAATCCCAAATGAGTCGCACTTTCAGAGTTGGAACCTGCTGTTTGAAGTCGCAGTGTGCGATTTACCCGCCCTAATAAGCGTAGGTTGTGTAAGTTGTGGTGGTGTAAGGGGTGTAGACGGGGTAGACAGAGGTAGTGTATGTAGTGGTGTAAGGGTTGTAGACGGGGTAGACCGAGGTACTATAGGTAGTCGTGTAGACTGGTTCATACGTGCTGTATGTGGATGTGGTGTAGCTCGGGGTGTAATAGGTGGAGCTGCTGTATGTGGAACTGCTGTAGGTTGGGGAGCAAGAGTACACCACGCTGCTGGCGGTGTAGGTCACTGTGGCCGTGTACGTGACTGTGACCGTCGAGTAATCTGTCACGGTGGAGGTCGTAGTGGACGTTGCGGTGTACGTTGTCGTGTCTGTCACGGTTGATGTTGAGTAGATGGTCTCTGTGCTGGTGTATGTGGAAACTGGGCAGGTCGAGTACGTGCTCGAATAAACAGCGGGAGTCGTGTAGGTCGTGTAGACAGGAGTAGTGTACGTTGTAGTATAGACCACAGGGGATGAGTACGTGCTCGTGGAGTAGATGGCTGGAGTGGTATAAGTAGTATGGTATGTCGAGTATGTCGAGGAGCTAGTGTACACTGGCGAGTAGGTGCTGGTATACGTTGAGGAGTAGGTGCTCGTGTACACTGGGGAGTAGGTCGAAGAGGAGTAAGTGCTCGTGTAAACTGGCGAGTAGGTCGAAGAAGAGTA